ATAGAGATTGACACTGGAACACCGGACAACTTTATCTCTAAATCTACATGGAAACACCTAGAACAAAAAAAGCTGTTTCCCAACAAAATGCGCTACGAATCTGCAACAAGAGATGCTCTTCAACTTATACCTTAATACACCTGTTAACGACTCAGTGCACAGTCTACCTTTCAACAACCTTATCGGGCTATGCTCGATTAGAAAACCTGGACTCTCACTGGACGCTATTCATAGGGATCTTACTACCGACATCCATCATGGTTTTGTCATTTGAACCAGCTAAGGCCCAGATATAGAAGATCAACAGGTTCATATTTGCTTAACAATCATGCTTATTGAGTCAGAGCAGCAAAAAAGGTGCTTAATAGCAGTTAGTACAGCCTAAAAAAGTAGTGTGAGGATAAAAAAAGATTATATTCAATATGTATCATTACCTTACTGTATGTACCAATTAGTGTGCCATCAGGTCCAAATACTGTTGTTGTATTGTAGATCTTTTCACCACGTGTTTCAGGTATTGAGCCACCAATGATATAAACTTTTAAGTCTTTTGCAATTTTTGATAAAGTATTGGATGTCTCCCCAGGAATTGGCTCTGCATAGTCAGCAAAGTATTGAGTACCATATGGGCAATTGAAGCATTCCTTCAATCAGATTGCATGACATCACAGTACTTTTAATAATATAGCTGTCAGCTTAATTATCAGGTGATAATTTAAGTATAAAACCTTCTACAATTATAAATAAGTTGTGGTCAACCTTGTACTCTGAAACAAATTTGGCACTTAAAGCAAACTATGAGCCAACCCAGATTGTTCCCAGAGAATGGAAGAAACCAGCCACAATTTAATTATGTTTGCTGGAGGGAAATTTCTCTAGTTGATAATGTTAGTATAGAAGAAAAAATTCTAAAACTAAACAGAGCAGACATTTGCTTTGGATATTTGCATTTGCGTATATAATTTGCAATTGCATTTTTTGATTGCTTGATCATTGATCACTTTGATCGTTGATCACTTTGATTGATCATATGTCATGTGAAGACTATCTTTTGATATTTGAGAGTAATTATAGGAGGCATTGTAGAATTATAGGAATATTTTCACCCATCAGTGTCTGTAGAGCTTATACTGCTAACTGCTAAAAAAATATTCAGAATACACCAATAATTTTGAAATGATTTATTTTTACATTGTGTATTTGATGAATATAGACCCCTCCTGCTTTATGGAGTATGCAGTAGCATTGCAGACCTGGCATGGGAAAGCATGAGGTCATAAAAAATATATAAATTTATAAAAGAATATTCAACAATTGATCTACCAGCAGGGCGTGGTTAGCAAGGGTGTGGGGGTGTCACACCCCCAACATTCAGAAAATTACATTGGTAGAATTACATTTATAACAAAATAATTTTATGCCAAATGTAACAAAAGAAATTCTGTTGGTAAATTTTGGATTTGTATCTCTTACACCCCTTTCCCCTGCAAGAAAGGTCACTGCAAGTGGGTAAAAAAAACATTTCACTGTCTACTAGTGCTTTTTTACCCACTTGACAAGTAGCCAACATGTACCAATTACACTTGGACTTTGAATGTTGCTCCATATTGCAAAACCTAGAACGGCTGACTGAAATAGGCATTTCGTCACCTGTAAAAACAAAGCAGCTGTAAAATCAGCAGCTACATAAATAAAATCACAACTCACCGGTAAAGAAATTAGTTTTGCACCATTATCTGCAGCTTGTTTAATCAACAAGAGGGCAGTCTTAAGATCCTCTACTTTGTTTCCAGTCACCTTCAACTGCACAAGAGCAAGAAGCATGTCTGCCAAAAGGAAGTTTCATTCAAATCAAAGAGATTTTATGATGATCATTTGTACTGTGTTATCTAGATACAGCAGTAATCAAAAGACAGCAGTTTCCTGAATCAGGGCCTCAGACGAAGGAGGGGGCCAGGGGGCCATGGCCCTCCCACTTTTTTGCAAAACAATAGAGCCTTTTTGAAATCTTTTGTTATGGGTGTTAAATTTTCCCTTGCCCCCTCCCACTTTCCAACCTTTGTTGGAAACCATGCTGACTTGTTGAACATACATAATTTGTGAAAGCAGTCAAATCAAGAGGCAGTACCAGCTGCTGAGAAGCAAAGAGGACTAAAGGTCTAGAAGTGAGGCTCCTTGTAAAGATTAAAGGAAATGCTCTCTCTTTAAAATCTCTCATTTCCGTCAAACAATACCAGCATGTTGTCTACAAAGTTTGGTTAAAGTGAAATTGCAACATTGTAAACCGGAAGATATTGACCACCCTGTTAATCATTCTGAATACTTGGCTACTCCTGCCATGTGGAAATACCATGAAAATTGATTATCTACCAGAGTGGTAGAGAGGGGAAGGGGGTACTTGTTCCTGTGTTCCCGTTGAAAAATAAAAAAATGTTCCGTTGCTCCCTTAAACTAGCAATGATGTTGCAATGTTCCCAATGGAAAGTTGTTTCCATGTTCTTGCATTTTGTGCCATGTTCCCTTATTCCCAAAAACCCCCGAGAGACCCTAAAAATTGGTTTTCAGGGACATTTATATATTTGGTAAACAAAACCCCTGGAAATAGAAACCATTATGACCTAACAGGGGTCCAGTCAGGGTCAAAGAAGGCAAAGCTTAAGTGTTATAAATTACCCTAAAAAGGTAGTCTTTTTGACAATAACCCTCAAATTGTAACATAAGAAACAAAATCATGCTCTTAGTAGTAGTAGGTCCTACTTTGACAAATTTCTTCACCATTGACTGTTGTTGTTTCGGGAAAGGTAGGTCTTGTTAACTTTCTATAATAAAAGATAAGATTATGTTAAGTGGTAGTGTTATTATCGAAACTGGGCCATTTGGTAGCCATTTGGAAAGAACCTCAAATCGACTGGACCCCCCTGTCAGGCCTTAATGGGAGAAGCAGCCCCTGGGTAGAAACCTTATAACCTTATATCAAACCAGGGGTGGATCTAGAGCAAACTTGAAGGAGGGGCAGTTGGTAGTGGGGGCGCTGAAAAATTTTCAAAAATTGATGGCGAGATTACACTGTATACAACAATTTCAGATCCATTTTAGCAATAAACAACATAACTTTGAGGTAATCCTTGAAGCAAATAAACCTATCAGTCTCAGAAACTTTTTCACCTGATTCTCATTCTTCAAAGGAGGCGCAAAATTTCCAAACAGGGGTACTAGACTTGCTTCAACTCGTCAAGGGAGGGGCAACTGCCCCTAGTTGCCCCCCTCTTAAATCCACCACTGTATCAAACATTTAAAAACTTCCCTAAAGCTCTTTCCCTGTGCCAGGTTGATGTCATTGATTTTGTATCTTGCTATCCATGTATCTTTCTAAAAAATGGACTTCAGAATTGAAATCTTTATCTTTACATTAGTTTATGCAGAAAAATCATGTTGCTTGGACCGTTCAGTCGCGAGTTACTTTGTTTAGAATATTTGCATTTTTCTTTAGATTTGACCAGAATTTGCTGATGCAGTGAAAAAATTTCCTTACAGAAACAAATTCCATTGAAATGTATAGGAAAAGCTAAATCTTAAAAATGGGTTAATTCGCTGCCTGACGGGCCAAACAACCTGAAATTTTCAACACAGACTAAAGTCAACATGAAGATTCCAATTCTATGATCCATTTTTGCCAAATGTGAAGATAAAAATTTCCCGGATCAGAGAATAGACGATTGTGGGCCCGGTGCCCGGTGGGAAGTGCGGCCCTGCCTCATAAGTAGAGGGGGGCAGGGATGCAGTGGCAGAGGGCCCAGGGGGTACATCCGCCTTTTTAATATATCTCGGATCATTACTGAGTACCCTGATTATCTATCGCTGCTATGTAAATGTAATGATGGAGACACCACAAGGATTAATTATGCAGGAGGTTCACAAATTCATACACTACAACTCATACATGCTTTTCTCTTACCTCTTTTCCTGTATTAGAGTTCTTTATCGAATGGAATTGATGCGGACCTGGAAAATGACTCGTACGCGATGTTCGTAAGACGAAACCTTTAGCCTTTAGTCCCTTGTTTCGAAACAATACCGTGTCGCAGGGTCATGGGTCATGCGCATTAATAACAGTATTCGCTCAGTTATTGTTGTCTGTGACCACGATTTCTAAGGCTTCAAGTGATGATCCGCATGTACCTAACCCCGAAACGGGTTATTTTCCAGGATGATGATCCTTACACAGGTTTTTAATATGACTACATTAAGTGTAGAGTTTTTAATTTTTTCGTCATAGAGTTTTCAATTTCAAAAATTTACAAAAAATGCAAAGAAATGCATTGGATAATTCCCCTTTTTTTTCTATTACCGTAAATGATATGGTATGGCATTAAAACACATGATGCAAAGATACATTTCAGTCACCGATGCATATTATTTCTGGTTTTTGTTTTCCAAGACAATTTTCTTATGGTTCGGATTCATGGCCTTCATGTCAAATTTTAGGACATCGTTCTGATCATCCATTTCTTCATCATACTTTCGGATTCTTAAATATCGCTGTCAACTATAAAAAGTTGGATACTTTCATTGGCAATCAAACCAAAACAAATTCAGTCCTCCATGAGGAATTTGCGATATGCGTATTTTTCTTTATCTAGGACGTTCCATATCTCTCAAGAAAGAAAGACTAGGCTCTTGAAATTGTTTTTCTGTTTGCTTCTTATTTCGTGGAGGTGTGCAAAGACTATGGTGCAGCTAAAGTTTTGCGTAGCCAGTTTTCCCACATTTTTTGGCTATATCTTGGTATCATACAAAAAATGTTTGCCTGAAATTCTCGAAAATGTGTTTTTGTCCAAAAGTTTTCGATTTTAATGTAGCTTTAGTGGTTCCAGTTGACATCGCTAAAAATTGGATTTTATAGCATCCAGCTCTTGTAACGACGACAAACTTTCTTGTATCATCATATTTGCTTGTTATAGTGATAAGCCAATACAAAATTTATTATATTTTGACTGAACATGATAAAACGTCAAAGAGGCTACTGTATTACTCTACAACAAGTTCTTCCTATTAAAGAAATCATCATTAATTGCTTGATTATCAATTTTAATGTTACATTTGTGGCAAAGAACATTTATTGCAAACAGCTTTGAGAAGAAAATCAAAACGATTAGATACAGTTTACATCCCTGTACACAGAATGTCTGTAATATCCAACTCGCTTTCATAATTTCTTCTGAGAGATCATTCCTGGTGACATTATTGTGCTTCTACTCATGATTATTAACCATAAGAAACCATTCAGAATTAGAGGAAAAGAAGGTGAAAGGATGAATGAATAAGCCACTCGGCAGTCCAGAAAAAAAATACGGCAGCAGATTGGCAAAAATCGGGCTTAGGTGAAAGTGGAAAATTATCAGAGTCCGATGAGCATATCTTAGAGACATACCTACATACAGTATTAGCGCCATGGCAAAATGTTTGAAAAACAGACTTAAATTCAAAGGCGAGAAAAGCGAAAAAAAGAGAGGGCGGGCAAAATACCATTGGCATTAGACTGATTTACACAGCCTCAATATGTGTTCATGACATCAGCAATGCAGAGAGCAGATATGTGAAAAGACAATTGTGCTATCACTGATTTATGAATTGGAATGCTGGTTGAATAAAAGAAAAAGACTGGGGCCATATGAGACAAATTCAAGAAAATGTTTCAATCATTTCTACACCTGCTAAAATCAACACAGTAGAATACTAAAAGAAAAAGATTTGATGCTTTGTTTAAATTAGATAAAATTGAGGGAAAGAAAGAAAATGCTAGTACGAAAAGGAAAGACAAATCACAGAAAAACGAAAAAGAATTAACAAACTCATTGTGAAGGAAGGAACACAGTATAAAGTAGGTGATGGAAAGAGGTATAAGAAATACTGCATTGCACCCGAGGTGAAATAACATTAAATAGGAAAAGTTAAATGAGAAAACTAAATCATCTGAGGTAAATCAGAGATTTAGGCAGCAATGTGTTGCTCGAATGGGATGGAGAATATCGACATAAATAGAGGAAAGGAAAAGTACAGTGCAGTAATAAAAATGTGGCAACAAAAATGTACAGAAAGTTAACATGAAATGCGGTGAATTTTTATCAAATTTTTAGGTTCAAGCCAAGAAACTGATGCAGCAGTTCATAAGGATTTTTTTGTTACATCCACCAAACACGACTTCAATACATTACTGCACAAAAATTACGACAAAAGGCTTTCAGCTTTATACGTAATCAATTAAGAAAAACCCAACAATAAAAAAGGCCATTTAAGCAAGCATTTTGACTGAATCTTTTCAAAAATTACGAACTTCGTGTAAAGCAAGCGTTCTCGTATAAAAAACTGTTGCAATCCATACTCGTTCCAAATGAGGTGGGGGGGGGGCATGGAGGGCTTTTTTTGAAAATACATTCAGACCTAAAACTGGAAGCTTTCAGGGAATTCCTGTTAATATATTTCAAGTGAAAGGAATTGGGCAGTAAATGTTTTACAATTTGGGTCAAAACAAGAGCTTGTTTACAAAGTGTAAGGATCTGACTGACCCATCTGTAAGAGAAATTACATAATACTTTGTAGTTGTTAAACCTTTTTAAATTCCAAAATTTGCATAATATTCAAAAATATTCATAAATTCTCATTCAACAAATTCATTAATAGTTGTTCACGATTCCAGAAGATTATTAACTTGATAAATATCCTTCCTTTTCTGAAAATGAGTTGGGATTTGATTGCGAATCGTATCAACGTAATCAGCATCTGAAATAGGAAATAAAACAATTTTGCAGTAATGTAAAGATTTTAAAAAGAGTAAGTGAGTTTCCATAAAGAGTATAATATGAGACACCGCTGGCATATTACTACAAGACAGAATGCAAAAGCCGAGTGAATAGGAACCATTTTCCCTCATTGTAGCAATGCGACAACACCTGCTACAAAACTGACACATATTTGCATCCATTTTATTTCCTTTCTTTGGTTTTCATTCATTCATTCATTCATTCATTCATTCATTCATTCATTCATTCATTCATTCATTCATTCATTCATTCATTCATTCATTCATTCATTCATTCATTCATCTGCTGTTGTTATCACGTCATCTGCTCGTTTTAGATTTTCAAAGAGACAAAAAATGAGAGCGACATATATCGTAAAAGTAGCCCTTAATAAAAGAAGGCAGTCTGTGGGTTCCTGAATTCTTAGTTTTTTGCTTTCTCCGTTAAACATCACAAAAGTGCCTTGGTGTTGACAGGAGAATTAAAATCATCCTAACAAAGGCCATGGATGTCTCCTATGTAACGTAATGATTTATCTAGAAAAAACGAGGATGCTACTTCAAAATGTATCCACTCTTTGGTGGCTAGAGCAAGACGGCTCTGAATTGCCAATTAATGTTTCCACGCTCAGTGCCAAAATCAGGCCATTGTTAATAGCAATGTTGAAATCTCTCCATACCTATTTCTGCATAGATGACATCCTCTTTCTCAGCTGCTGAGGCTATAGCCTTTCCCCTGAAATAAAAGTTACATCTTTGATTATAAACAGTTTCAAGTGATTTCCTCGTGGCCCAAAATCATTTTATTATTCAGTAGCAGGGACTTCGCTTTTCAAAGGTCATGCAGACACCAGAGCAATCTCTTTAGCTTTGGATCACACATTTGGATGGCTTAAGAAAACTTAATACTTTACTGACAAATGAAGCATGTAAAATAGAACACCGTGGAACATTTAGGCAGATTTTCGATGATATTGCTTTTCCGCCGAAAGAGACCTTGACTGAGTATTTTCATAGCTTTACAGTTGAACATTTCTGATTCGCCGGGTCGTTAATCTTTTGAGAGCTCCAGACTCACAGACTGTATTCCCACGAGTTGCTCAACCAGAATCATTCTTCAGGAAGACGGTACTATCTAGAGCCCAGTAAACTGTTTATCCTTGTTCTAAACATTGTGTCACAACTTGAAGGCATTCGACACAGGTAAAAGTGGCTTGCAGCCATCTGACCCCCAACGGTTGACCAATCAAATTGCGCACAAAGAAAAACATGTGAACAGTCTCCGCTTTCAGCAAATCGGCGAAACACTAGAGTGGTTTCACGTGAGTAGTTTCAAATTCTTTTGAAACGCACGTGCTCTAACCGAGTTATTTTTGGATTCGCTATACTTATGCAAGTCAAATGCATTTAAAGATACCTACTTAAGGATCCTGACAAAATTACCCTGCCCCGTTTTGTTTTAGCTGAACAACCGACAGTTTTTCACACCTGTGGTACAATGTCCTAGAATCTTCAAAGGAGACTACTAATCTGTTAAAGGAAATTAGTATGTTTTCAGGAGTATATAAGAACCATTAAAAGTGATCTCTAAAAATGTCTCTAAACTTATGAAAAATGCTTAAAGTCAAATATTATGAGCTGATTTACCAGGGGTCAACGACTGTGCTGTGTCCCCAAGCTACGTAGGTGGCGCTCTCGTCTCTAGCAGGGCTGCAACCAGCAACATAGAGCTGCAAGAAAGGACAGATGCGTTGCAAGGTATCTAGACACAATGGGGAGACAAGGTTCCCGGTATATACCATAGATACTCATGCGTTTCAAGGACAGATTCAAATATCTGGAAACCTTAAAGAGAACTCAATTTGATGACAAAAGATTCATAGCCCTGAAAGCAAGGTGTAGAACCAGAAGTGTTCCAGCTCTGAAAGCAAGAATTGAACTAAAAATTTTGACATAATGCAACGCAACATAAATTGGTTACTGGTGCGATGCAACTGAGAAATGCAACTTAGAAATGCAGCGAAGTCAAAGTAAATTCGAAGTCATTTGACAATACAACTATACAAATTCAAGGACCCATACCTGATTGTCCAAAGCCCTGAAAAAGATAATTTTTATGAATTAGCGAATTAGATAACAATAAAAAATAGCAATGAATTAGCTAATTTCCATAACTGTAGGCTGGAATTGACATTTTTGCAGGATAAATTGAAAAAAATACGAATCATGATACACACGACTTATTATAACGATAAATTCAAATGTTTGATGTACTACGTAAAATATTTTACTCACTAAAAATGCAATGCCAAAAAACCGAGCTTTGAAAAAAATCTTCAGAAGTAGTTGCAAAAGCCTGATCAACGATCGAATATAAAACATACCTTGAAAAGACCACTAAATGGTCTCAATATTATAAAAAACTTCTGATTGATAATACTATTTTATTATAATTATATATATAATATTTTCATTATTACCAAAAATTATTGATAAAAGGATAGCTAAATCTCCAACAGCTTGAAAACAATTATCAATAAGCAATGTTACAAGAAGCTAAGTACAAACAAACCTGGCAGTGACAAGAGAGTGCCAATGTGCAGGTCCCGTGGTCATGTTGAAAGCACCAGGGTATATCAATAGATTGCAACCTAGAGAATTGTACAATTAAGTGGTCATTCATATGTAAATTTTCAATACATTTATTTGAACACGCCACAACCATGGGCTTTGAGATTCCCGAGGAGAAGATATTGATGCCTCACTTTGTTTAACAAGATTAAGATCAAAATCTAAATCAAAGTATAAGAAGACTGCATCATTGAATTTATAAACTTTTGGCAAATCCTAAGTGGTTCAGAAGAATCACACCAAAAGATTGCTAATAATGGCCTCAATAAAACAAAAATAGTTTAATGAAAGAAAACAAGAGACAGCAGATTAGCATGTAGACATGCAGATTAGAAAGGTGAAAATATAAAAAAAAGTTTCATGATTATCAAACATGAAAGCAGCTAAAAAGTGCAAAGCCATTTGTAAAGTATAACGGACAAGTTACCTTGTTTATCATACAAATGGGCAAGCTCTGGAAATCTCATGTCATAGCATATACCAAGGCCAACCTTTAAGGGTCCTAAAAGACACAAAAACAAATTGATTAAGTGGGAGTGACCCAAACAGTTAACTATTTGAATCCAGTTCCTGTTGCTATTTACTAGACAAGTGCATTCAACAAACTTTGTGAAATTACTATTCAAAATTTAATCTCAAATATGCCACAGTACTTTGTGATAGAAAATGAAATTAGAAAACAGAAAGTTTGTCAAAAATAAAAGTGGATCTTTACCAACTTGAAATGTAAACAAATTATTTCCAGGTGAAAGAATTTCTGATTCCTTGAAAACCATTTTTCCAGGTACATTAATGTCAAAGAGATGCATCTGAAAATGAGTAACAAGTTTTACATAAAAATGAAAGAAGAGAAAGAAACATAATACATTTAAATACAAAATATCAGTTGAAAATGCTAGACAAAAAAAGTAGGTTCCTACTTCATATGGTACAAAAAGGTACTAGTGTTCAAAAATTGAAACAACAAACAATTTCTTTGAACTATATAAATATACATTTTAGAAACAAATACAATGCATGTAGACTGAACTAATTTCATTTATCCAAACCTTTATTAACAGAACATGACTTTGAGAAATTTTCTTATCAAAACAAATTATCAATGCTTTATATATCCAAAAAGTGAAAAATAAATTGAATTAAAAATATCCAGATATTTGTAGATGCATACAATTAGTGTTGCAGGTCTCAGTGTTATAAAAAAGAAGGCTTTGCTACTTAACTCTTTTAATAGAAACTAAATAAACTCACTGAAAAATGAACATGCACATTTGCTGAAAAACATCTAGTCAATAAGGTGGAAAGATGCCTTTTTTCCTTTATTTAAAGTTGATACAATCTCTAGCTATACTCAAGCTAACAAAAACCAATTAATTTAAATTACCAACCCTAAATTTAACATAAATCAAATATAACCGATGTTACATACATTTTCCTTGCAAAGATCACAAGTACAATTTAACAATGAAAATACTGAGATTTTTTCTTGTGTATTTGGAAAGTTGAGGAGTATTTTATTTTGTTTGGAACAGGCATCCATATTTGGCTACATCTGTTTGACACGGTATTAATTTGCTTAGAAGCTCAGGTTAGAAGCCAGAAAAAGCAGTGTGAGGATTACATCTGACATATCAAATCTTATCATTACCTTACTGTATGTACCAATAAGTGTGCCATCTGGCCCAAATACTGTTGTTGTATTGTAGATTTTATCACCACGTGTTTCAGGTATTGAGCCACCGATGAGATGAACTTGCAAGTCTTTGGCAATTTTTGATAAAGTATTGGATGTCTCCCCAGGAATTGGCTCTGCATAGTCAGCAAAGTATTGAGTTCCATATGGGGAATTAAAGCACTCCTTAAAGTAAAATGCAAAAGAGAAAAATGATTTAGATAATATGTCAGCTCAATTATCAGGTGCATTACTTCAGTATATTATTGCATCATTGCCTACATTAAGTCTATTCTCTGAACTAAAAATCTATTCTCTGTGTTATAATCTTAAGAAAGCTTCCATAGTTCCCAACTTTTTGAAGTATGTTAAAGTGAGACTTGGGGTATCTGTTATCGGTTCTACGGAAAATGCCTGCCTGGGTGGAAATAATCTTACATTAGACTTCCTGATTTCCTTAAATAAAAGAGATTTCAGTTTTAAAAAACAAGTATTTTACTATCCTACTTAAAAGGAAAGTCTACCTAGTTCAACTTATTTGTGTTTCAAAAAGGTACCTTTTTACCCGACGTTGCTAAAACGAGGAACAAGCGGAACAACCTAGTAACAAGCGGAACAACCCAGTAACAACCCAGGAACAAGCGGAACAACCCAGTAACAACCCAGGAACAAGCAGAACAACCCAGTAACAAGCGGAAATGTGAAGTTATTTTTTTGTAAATAACACATGGGGGCGTTTATAAGCCAACTCTCTAAAGTTCGTGTGGGCTAGCACGTGCACTATCAAGAGGCCGTCAAACACTTCCGTTATGTAATTTTTTGGCAGTTCGCGGCCATTTTCCCTCTTTTTCACACAACCGTACATAGTTTGATGGATCAGAAAACCTGTCGTTGTGGTTTTTTACTCGAATCAAACACCGACATAGCAAGGCAAGGGCTGGTACACAAAAAGCCCAAATTGAGGGGTCGAAAATTGAGGTGGGGGATAATATTTAGAATATATTAATGGCAACAGAAGGGGCAAAAGGACCGGGGGGTGTGGGGGTGTCACACCTCCCCGATAGTATCTCAATGAGAAATTTCAGGTAAAATCTCAATAAACTAACAACAAATGTTGCCAAGTTTGTACGAGAAATAATCAGACAAGGCAAAAAATTTGAAATTCTCCTATGAACTGAATCGAAACTCCATTTCTAGGCATAGATTTTTTACTCATTACTTTTGATTGTACACTTTTAATTGTCGCATTTTTTATGTTGCTACTGTTGTTTTATCTGCTGCAAATTGTTGCTTATTATGTTTGTAAGAAGAAGCACTCGATTAACGTAAATAGCTGATGTAAGAATGGCTCTTCAACTAAGTGTATTTAGATAAATTAATTTTTTTTATGATGATGATGAAAACGCCAAACATTGGTTGCGTGTTTGTCACCTTGCCATCATTAGTTCACGATACTGCGCCATTCAATCGCCTGGGGAGAAAATGACTTTGATGTACCTACGAGAAACTGATGGTTTGCCCAGAAATAATTTTACTGAGGCGGAAAGTTGACTTCTTCTTTAATCCAAATTATAAGTTGTAAGAGAAATTAACAATAAATATTTGAAATTAACAACAATGAAGTAAACAGGCTACTTGCTTTTTTTTATTAAAAAGGTATCTAGGCCAAGATGGCCTCTAACGTAATTACAACATTAATATAACAAGAAAAGTTAATATAGTTACTGCTACAACAACTTTTCAAACGTTAATATCAACTCAGTTTCATGAAAAATACAATGGTTAAATGCGTATGTTTTCTGTGTTTGACATCAAAGGCTAGAGAGGGGGGGGCTTAATAGAGAGGGGAGGCTTATTTAAAGTTTTTGCTTGATAAGGGGGGACTTAATAGAGAGGGGGGCTTAATAGAGCTTTTATGGTAGCTCAAAATGCGTTTTAGAACATTTCTTCCAGTCATTTCTTGCAATCGTCTTTTTTGCATACTTTTGCTATTTTCAATAAATTTACCCCCTATGTCTAAGGGCCTCCGTGAAGGCATTAATCAGGCATAGAAAAAATTTCTAAGGGGGGAAGGGGGTCTAGTGCCAGATTGCCGTATAGAGATGTTTAAATGCAAATCAAATAAAGGCTTACTCTGAAGTTGAAAACTGAAGAGGCCCTCTTCCTCGTTTATTAATTTTTGAAAATCTATCTTCATCCCAATAGACGTACTTTTTAAGATTGTTATTAACTCACAAGAAACTCAGAAGAATCTCTACTGAAAATGTAGGTTTATAGATATCATTCTATTTTTTTCATTTTTGTGTGACTGTATTTTGAACATAAAAAATGCGACAATTAATAGTGTACAATCAAAAGTAATGAGTAAAAATCTATGCCTAGAAATGGAGTTTCGATTCAGTTCACAGGAGAATTTCCAATTTTTTGCCTTGTCTGATTATTTCTCGTACAAACTTGGCAACATTTGTTGTTAGTTTATTGAGATTTTACCTGAAATTTCTCATTGAGATACTATCGGGGAGGTGTGACACCCCACACCCCCCGGTCCTTTTGCCCCTTCGGTTGCCATTAATATATTCTAAATATTATCCCCCACCTCAATTTTCGACCCCTCAATTTGGGCTTTTTGTGTACCAGCCCTTGCCTTGCTATGTCGGTGTTTGATTCGAGTAAAAAACCACAACGACAGGTTTTCTGATCCATCAAACTTTGTACGGTTGTGTGAAAAGGAGGGAAAATGGCCGCGAACTGTCAAAAAATTACATAACGGAAGTGTTTGACGGCCTCTTGATAGTGCACGTGCTAGCCCACACGAACTTTAGAGAGTTGGCTTATAAACGCCCCATGTGTTATTTACAAAACAATAACTTCACATTTCCGCTTGTTACTGGGTTGTTCTGCTTGTTCCTGGGTTGTTACTGGGTTGTTCCGCTTGTTCCTGGGTTGTTACTGGGTTGTTCCGCTTGTTACTAGGTTGTTCCGCTTGTTACTAGGTTGTTCCGCTTGTTCCTCGTTTTAGCAACGTCGCCTTTTTACCTGCTGAAAGTATATAACATGATTGTACCACCTACACCTGGACTTTTAATGTGGTTGCATATTGCAAAACAGAGAAAGGTTGACTGAAATGTGCATTTTGTGACCTGTAAAAAGCCTAGTTTTTATTCTAACATAAATGAAATCACAAACTCACTGGCAAAGAAATTAGTTTTGCACCATTATCTGCAGCTTGTTTTATCAATGAGTGAGCATTTTTCAGATTCTCTGCTTTATTTCCAGTTACCTTCAACTGCACGAGAGCAAGAAGCATGGCTGCAAAAAAGAAGTTTGATTAAAACTAAAGAGACTTCATGGTGATCATCTGTTCTATGTTATGAAGATACAGCAGCTTCCTTAAAATAACATACATAACAGGTGAGATAATGGAGAACTTTTTACAAACCATTATTATATTGTTGTTGTGCTTCTAAAGATTTCTAACTGACTCAAAACATAGCTAAAAAAGTAAATGTAATGTAAATGTAATGTAATCAGAAAATGTAAACTGGGTTCCAAGTTAAATTTTAGAGTTGGCAAATAATTTCTTTTATTAATTCTAATAAGAATTCAAATATGTTTAAGGGACGAAGCTCCTTGTAAAATATTATTTGGAAAATGCGCATTCTCTAAAACCTCTCTCTTCTGTAAAACCATATCCATTGTCTACAAAGTCTGGCACTGGGGTTAGAGTGAAATTGCAACAATTTAAACCAGAAAACATATACAGATCAATATTTGCAAAAAACTTGTCATGTTTCTTTTTACTCGAATGAAGAAATGGGTCACCTCGTCTGCAATTGAAATACCCCCACCCCCCTCTCTAACATTTCTCCAAAACTTCATAAACAGAAAATATTGAATTCCAAAAAATTATTAAATTTTTCGAAAGTAAAATGCTCTTTTATTTATTTCTAATTATTTTCTCGCTGATTGCCGCAGAAGTCCAGTTCGCAGAGAAAGAGCAGCGTTTCCTGAATCGAATAGAAGCTGAAAGTTTAATTGAGATAAATTCGAATTAAACTCAATATTAAACAACAATATAAATTTAAAAGAGAGTTTTCGTGATGTATCTTACATCTCGATCTTGCCGCCATTTTGATGTACACCCCTCTGGCCTCCTTCACAGAGCAAGATCGTACTCGAGGTTGTTGCCTTGCCACTGATCAGTGATCACAAGCCAAGTCTCTCCCGCGTTTTACGTAATGATGTATTTTAAAACCTGCCATATCAAAATTTCTAGGAAGAGAGGGGAGAATAGCGCATTCCTTTCTTTCTATCCTTCTCAAAGATTTCCTTTCTCTCAATAACTGTCTCTATTTACAAATACCGTAAAAGCTCTACAACGCCCCCTCTCAATTAAGCCCCCTCTCTATTAAATCCCCCTCTTTAGAATATTCGAATTTAGTGGGTCTATTGACAGGTGTGATGATGAAAATATCATGTGCATTAAATTAGGCCCTTGTAAAGATTTACTTATGCGTCAGTAGTCGAAGTCACTCAAAATTTGCTTTGAAGATGTCCAGGGGTTATCGATTGATCCTGGTGATGCTGATGAAGACGAGGAGCTTATCCTTCTTTCTATCCTTCTCAAAGATTTCCTTTCTCTCAATAACTGTCTCTATTTACAAATACCGTAAAAGCTCTACAACGCCCCCTCTCAATTAAGCCCCCTCTCTATTAAATCCCCCTCTTTAGAATATTCGAATTTAGTGGGTCTATTGGCAGGTGTGATGATGAAAATATCATGTGCATTAAATTAGGCCCTTGTAAAGATTTACTTATGCGTCAGTAGTCGAAGTCACTCAAAATTTGCTTTGAAGATGTCCAGGGGTTATCGATTGATCCTGGTGATGCTGATGAAGACGAGGAGCTTATAATTGATAAATGAAACTTTCGAAGCTTCTAGCAAAGTTTTTTAGAACAAGCCCCATTACATAATAGGTTAAGTAGAATATATCGCTATTCAAATTTATTCAGTATTTTGACATCTTTTCAATTTTTTAACGCTGATTCTGTTACAAATATCTGTTTTAATTGGTAATTTATAATCCCTAAAGAAGGTGGGGGGTAATTCCACAAATAGTGAAATAAAGACAGAGGAACTTAACAAATTCTATCCAAAATATTTAATTTCAACCTTTATTTGCAAAACTCTCTGTAAACGATGTGTATCAAAGATTTACATGCATCTTATAAGCCAGAATAAAAATCCATACCATCATTTACTCTTCAAAGAGATTTTCCTTGTACAACAAAATTTTATTTTGATTACTCTATCATAACGAAATGCATAAATATAGTTTCTAGTTACAGGGTAAACATGTTTTCACTCATTCCTGATAGTACTTGTTTGTTGAAGCAAGCAATTGGTTAGCAGATGGGATCAACAGGGTCTCAAAATGGTTTCAACACAGTTGAAACATTGATAAACATTGTTTGATATTAACTGTAACTATGGCACTTCAAAATGTTCTATCCTGTTAATGTTCATTTTAATATCTCTGACAAGTTTCTCTGCAGTCATTGGTTCTGTTTGCGCCCTTGGTGTTTTCCATGCTACATATGGCTTGAGCTGAAAATTAAGCAAGATAATTTGAAAATAGACAGAAACTAAATAATGATATAATTAAAAGTCTTATTTAACTTTACTGTCTGAATTTTTTGCAAATTATACTGATTTAATAATAAAGAAACAAGTCACTCTAGTTGTGAAGAAAATTCAACAATTTTAACATGTTAGCATTTAGGTAATTTTTGATATACTGTCACACATGACACTCTCATTGCATCCACAAGGTTTTTTCCACAATTCTTTTTGTTAACAAAAGGCTACATAACATCTCATAGAAAATATGTTCAAGTTCAGGCAAAATTACTTTTGTTGTACCACTAGGATCTATTTTTGGACCAACAAAGTTCATTATTTATGTGATTGCCTACAAATCACTTTCTATCTAATTTGGTACCAAATACTGACAAGTAAGCAAAACTTAGAAAATGTCTAATTATTGCTGAAAAATTCCTAAGAAAGATGAAAGAGTGGTCTGACTAAAACTGATTGGGCCAATTCATTTGAAACAAAATATCTATTGTGTGCATGGAAACACTTGTATGACTGCCAGGACATTAAGGAAAAAGAAATCAATCTTGCAATCATTTATACTACCAAAATTTGATCTTGAAGATTGAGTTAATTTGCCTTTGAGGTAGTGTCAACTGGAGAAATGATAACAAAAGCAAATGATTTATCATGTAGGGTCATGCATGTTCTCTGTTATTTTTTCTTTTTCATTGTTTTCATTCTATTTACATTGCTACAATTTTTTATAATTTGGCTAAATTACCTGGAATCCAGTCAGATCAGGAACAACGAACTCTGGAACTTTCTTAGGCACTACAACAAACTTCCCTAAAAAAATAACAAAAATCATCCAGAATAAAGCTTTATTTGCGTAGATAAATGATAGATTAAAGCTCAAACTTCTACTGTGGAAGATCAATAAAACTGTGAATATGTACACAATCTTCTACTCTTTGGCTCTTGCTTCTATTTCATCCACCTACAACTTTGGGGCAGACTATAGAAAATATTTTTGCATCAACACCTGTAAAGTCAAGCTTGTACTAAGTCAGCATTAATAGCCACATTAATTCAACAGAAGCTTTCTCTGTCTTTCTCTGCCCTCTATGCATACAAAATACAACAAAATGGAACTTGTAATGAATCATTAGTGCTTTGGTTGAGCAAGCAGTGAAGGGCAATACACCAAATTGGCATTCACTGTTTTGCAAAAAGGCCTTTCTGCTTTTAAAACTGTTTGATCAAATATTGATGCACCTTTTACCTGCCCTGTTTGAAGTTTTAAACAGGCATAATTCTAGAACTGAATTCATACTTTACCTTTTTTAGTGATAAAACCAGGGTTGCGTACACCTCTACCTAAGACCAAGTGATAATGTCAAACTCAATTAAACAATAACAACAAATTCAAATAATCAGTTGATAAGGTAAAAAATCTCACAATCAAAGGAAGATGTTCAAACAAAAGTTTGTCGAGAAGTTACACCAATTAATATCTATGGGTAATCTAAAAAAATTGCTTGGTTAACTTAATGCTAAGTAAAAAGTTCGATCTTATGTCTTGAAATGTGGCCAGAACTTATGACTGACCATGAGGCTCAACACAGTGGTGTAGTGCTCTATCAAAATAACAGGAGGGGGGGGGGCTCTTGCACAGAATGTTGCAAAAAACAAAAGCAAAAGTATAAATATGCCAATTTTGGCATAAACAAGGGGTGCTCAGCCCCCTAGCACTCCACCCCTGACTCAACAGGCTTTTCTATTTAATTAAAACAGCTGTTTGTTGTTTATTGCACGATTATACAAATTAGAAAATAAAAGCTGTATTATATTTTGCGAATTGCATAATTATATAATTTTCAATTTTAAAGGTTAATTATATTGGTCTAGATTTCAATTATATCATCAAAGCTACATTTACCATGCATGCAAGCTTTTGAGCTACAAAAAATGGGAAGTCATCCCCCTCTCCAGCTAGATTTTGCACCTCTTCCCTTACTTTTCAAGAAAATTAGACCTTTTACCTTTGTAAAAGTTTTTGTTTCCCCTTTTACTTGTCATCACTCCTCTGGTTGCACCCAAAAGAATCCTTGTGAGCTGCATTTTGCAGCAATTTACAGCACTCTCCGATAACGGGATTCTTTATGGTTTGGTAGCTGTTTTAAAACTGCCTCGTCCCCAAATCACAGTTGAAAATCAGATAGAGGCCGCCTTTTATCCTTTCGAGTTAACTTTGGAACAGAAGCTTTTTGTTCTGCGTTTGGACATCCTTATTTATTTTATTTTATTTTATTTTATTTTATTTTATTTTATTTTATTTTATTTTATTTTATTTTATTTTATTTTATTTTATTTTATTTTATTTTATTTTATTTTATTTTATTTTATTTTATTTTATTTTATTTTATTTCATTTTATTTTATTTTATTTTATTTTATTTTATTTTATTAAATTCAATGTTATAATATTTCAAAACGTTAATCAATGGTGGGGCCCCCAATAATTGTCAAACTGTAGTATATTCCCTTCACACAGTGTACTGAATGAGAAGGAATACAATGGGCAGCCACCCCAAAATGAATTTCGTTCTGGCGGCACTGAGACACAGCTAAAGAAGAGATGTCACAAAGAAGGGCAAAAGTATTTGTTGTTCTAAATTGCAGCTATTATGCAAGCCAAACAGTAATGATAGGAGTCCAGGATTGCTGTCAGTTGCTGAAGGGAATGAAAGAAAAGGAGGAGATGAGGGTCCCCCAGGGGTTTCTTCGGGAACAAGGAAGCGTGGCACAAAATGGCACGACCGTAACCACGGGTACAACTTAAATTTTCCATATGGAATAGGAAACATTATAACTTGCTCTAGGGAACAAGGGAACAATGGTTTTCAATGACATTTAGTGTTTCAAGAAAATCTTTCCTGTAAAATATTCGCTTGGTCGTAGTCCTACTGGAGATATAAACTCATGAGAACGAGGCTCCTGCTAACTTTCTAACAGCCAATTTTTTTGCGGAAGGCCTTTCCGCAAACAGCAATTGAAGAAGAGAACAGAATATACATGTAGAAACATGACCTACATGGCTTCTTTCTTCATAAGTGATTCTACTAACAAGCGTTGCAAGCTATCGCAATGGAGTTTAAATCACCACACATATTCCTGACCAAATATATCTAGAAAAGCAATCCCTTTTGGAATTCAAAAAATTGTTCCCACAATTTTTAGTTTGGAAACAAGAAAACAGCTATAAAGAGACCACCATTAAAAGCGAAGTCACATCGAGAACCTGACGAAATACAAAACAAAACATACTATTATCGGTCATACTGCGTCAAGGATTATAGCTTTAAGCCTGGTTCCCGATTTTAAGGGAACACTTTCTTCCGATCGTTACGACTGCGCCGAATGTGAATCGCAAGGGTCGGAAGAGTGGATCTGAGCGGAAGAGCGGCATTTTTCTTCGACCCGTTTTTAATCCGTTTTTGATCGTTCCCACTAAGCCGGGTTAACATGTATATAGGGTTAAAAGTTGTAAGAGAAATCAGTATTTGCATCAATAATCCTTCAATTGCTATGGTTGTAGGCCAATAGAAGCAACATTGACATCAGGATTTTTTTTTTTGGCGCCATCTCCATTTTTAAACGTTGCTGTTGTTGCAAGTGGGTCAGAAGTTATCCGGGTTTCGGCGTTTCCATTAACTCGCAGGTGGGTCAAAAGATACCCGGGTAAAAACTGACCCACCTTGAGACCCGTTCTCAAACTTATCCGTTTTTCAAGCGGGTTTGGGGGAACGCGACGCAGAAACGGATAACTTTTAACCCGGATATGTTTTAACCCAGACTAGTGGAAAGGCTGCTCTAGTAGCACAAAACGACATCGTCGGAAATAACGCTCCACGGCACATACCGCCGTGCATATTTTTCATCTTATTTACAATTCAATTGAAGTCTGTTAAGATTTTCTTTGTTTGGTTGAGAGCACAGGTGAGAAAGCTTTATCATTCAGACCCCGTTTACACTGTCCCGTGCAAGTTTGGAACCGTCACAAAACTGTCGCGGTTCGCCCTTGCGTTTACACTAGCACTGTGGAACCGTGACGATTTTGCTCTGCTATCCGGAACAGTTTTGACCCTGCTTTGAAAGCGAATGAATTTTGTACCGTCACGGTTCCGTTTTTGAACGGGACAGTGTAAACACCTATCCGAGACGATTTTGTCACGGATTCACAAAGAGGTATTTTGTATGGCTGTTTCAGGTAATCGAGGCTTTGATTGTGGCGTAACTACGTTCTCAAATTCTGAAGAAAAGGAAATTCTGAAGAAAAGACGACCACAGAAAAGGCTTGTAGTGTTTCCCAGTCCAAGCCTTGATTGGACTTGGCAGTTTTGTAGTCTAAAATAACACTGAAAATTAAAGCCACCTTGTCTTTCGTCCAAGTAAAGTTTTAATCGGCCTTCCGCTCCATTTTAACTCACAATAAAAATTCGATTGTTGACTTCAGCGGCAAAATAAAAGCCTTGGTTGACTAAATACAGCTTCTTCTAAACAATGTTCTACCATTAAATTAAGGTCGTACCGGTACAGTGTAAACGGAACGGCTAAACGGAACAATTTGGAACCGCGACAGTGTAAACACTTGCGAACCGTAACGGTACAAAATTGTCCCGGGACAGTGTAAACGGGGTCTCACTTGCAAAAGTTGATGCAAAAATTTGCTTGACAAGAAGGAAACAAGAAGTGACAGAGTTTCGAGATGGTAGTATTTATCATAATTGTGTTAGTATGTTACAATAACTTGACATTTATTATTTCTACGGCTAATAATAACTGCACCAATGAAAATTCAAATTTCTCTACTACTACCTTTGTATCACAGATATGAAAATTTAGCTGACAAACACACGTAATTAAAAACACCTCTGCTGTAAAGTGGTTTCCCCTAAACTTTTTTATGCCCCATATACACTCGATACGGTCGTTAGCAGTGGCTATTCTGCATGAAGTTGAACTACTATCGAAGTTGCAGCACAGCTGGACGAAGATCGCTTCAAGAAGAAGCCAAAGCTAGAAACAGTTATGTCAATCGTTTAGTTTTCAAGCAAAACTTTTAAAGCAGCAAATTTTTTTGAGAGTTTAAAAGAACGAGGTTTTCAGGATTGCTGATTAGTGTTTTCCAGATCTAAAGATATTCTACAATATAAAATATAGTCCAGTTTCTTTTTGCTGATCGCTTAGAATTTAAGTACGTTTATTGTTTTTTTGGCGGAATATACCGCATTTGAGGTTGTTGCAGTTGATTCAAGTGTACCTGGGGCACGATTGACTCAACTTACTATGCAAAGCTACGAGAAATTACGGCAAAATCGATGGAAAAAATTAAACAACCAAATATTTCCGTAATTTTCTAGACGGGCTGATGCTTGGATTGTAATAAAATAAATCAGATTGTGATGTGCATAAGATAAACCATTAGAGGGATGCATTCTAAGAGAGTACAAAGTTGAGCAAAGTAATAATTCATTCTTGAGGGCATTCTAGCCGGCTTTTGATTTTTGAAGGGTACCGTTCACTACAGTTCACAATAAACTGGTGCTAAATTAATGATGAATTTAGCTGTGTCGTTAAAATATTTAGACTTCATAGTTTCCCTGTTAAAAGATCTTCAGATTGCTAAGCATAATTGCAGTCGAAATGTGACCTCATGCTACTAATGCAGATTTTATCAAAAGGCCTTGCCTGAACCTACTTTAGTTCACTGTTTCTTGATTCTCAATGTCTTTATGAAACTATGATTGAAAGTAAAAATAAGTGCTACAAAGTCATGGATGAACAAAAATTACTAAGACTACTTTCAGCAGATGGCATCAATAGTTTAGTTCTGTGAAATGATTTAATCTTCTAAGAAACCCTTCTTACACAGTGTCGAAATCGTTTCCTTGTTTACGCTACACTACGTCGCATTAAAACAGACAAAAGTTGCCAATTTGCTCATTCGTAATGACTTGGGCACGGGGCTTTAGAAGTTATGGATATTTCAATAGTGTTACTCCTCTTTGTCCTAAAAAATCCCTTTTAAATAAGAGCCCCTCTCTCATTATACAACCCTTACTGCCACATCACTCCCTGCATTTCGAACGAGCCCGTAACAACTCGCCCATAGTTCCTCAGTCGAAAGCAGCGATGAGAAACAGTCTACAATGAGGGTAAACGATCATCTTTCAGAGCTGTATGTCCTTTTGGAGCCTGGAAACGAAGATGACCTTTCAACGCGGTCGCCCATTATCAGTTCAGGTTCACTCAATCTTCCCTTTGGCGACTTGAATGGATTTGACAGCTGCAAGATAATGAAATTCATGTGATTAAGTGAAAAAATAATAAAATAATAATCACGTAATATAGGTTGGCAGCTGAATCAAGAATATGAAAGGGGTGGTGGCTGATTGTTTAACCAAATGAATAAAATTAAAACTTTAATTTGATTCTTGATGCTGTTATACTATTAGCATTGTTTGAAGTGCAAGAAAAAGTTAACTTCACAATTCCTGAGAAAATTTGAAGGCGTTTGGTTATCGATAAACGTACCAGCGGAGAAATCGTAACAAGCTCTTTGACACAAGACCTACATCTCTTTATAAACAATTTAGCAGCATATTTAAAGTACTTACACACAATTAAATTACAGCCTAAAACAATATCAGATTTAGAAGGTTAATATATTCTTTGAGATCAAGATTGATAAAGGTTAGCCGAGTTAATTCTATGTTTTGCTGCTTTACTTACGGTCATACTTCAAATCCTTCCAATCTTGATACCTCATGGCCTAACAGCTTTACGAAAAAGGAATTGAACTGTTATTTTAAGCATAATTCATTTCTTCTTACTGTTTAAGGATTATTAAGACTAGCACTTGAAGATAGAAATCTTCCTTTTGGGGAGTGTTGGTTGACAATAACTTCATTGATAAGGTTAGAAAGTATTAATGGTTATTCACTTTGACATGATCTCGATTGACTAGTTGTTAATTCAAGGATTAGAAATTGCGTACAGTTATTCGTGAACCTAGGAATCAGACTTGGGCTACTTTCTGTGGCAATGCAATTTATATAGCGTTGTTAGAAATTATGTTATGAATTTACCAAAATTATACTGTCAATTTGAACTTTCTTAATCGTATTTAACCTTATGTTGTCACCATTTATTGCTAGTTCAAAGTAGATATAGCTTATTTATAACAGCATTAATTAATCGTGATCTCAGTAATATTTCTTCTTCTAAAGAATTTGTTAACACGTCTTAGTTAAAAGTTATGTTAATTTGAAAAAATAAATGGAAAATGAATAGATAATGGAAAACATTTAAAAAATTCATTCGACACCAAAAAGGTGTTTTTACTGTTGTCAAAAATACTGGGTGAGCTTAAACAGGGTAGAAATAACTGCTTAGATTTGCTGAGAACTCACCAGAATTGGATCATCACTACTGACCGACGTTACAGGTGATGTATGCTGTTTAAGGAAAAAGGGACAATTTAGAGAATAAGACACGATTCGTTATTGCTTGAAGACAAGCTACTGTTCAGGAAAAATGGTTCTAGATCGTACAGCGTTTTGACTAGACCCAAGTAAAAGTCACCCACAAAGCTGCATCGTTTCGAAAAATGTTAATGGAGAAAAAAGCTTCTTTTGCATTTGACTGTTGTTTAATAGAATTTGTTGGATAGGGTCAAATCGTATTGGCTTGGTGCCAGTTTGCCTGTTTGTGCGGCAAAAGTGAATATTAGGCCACCAAGTAAGATAAAACCTTTGTGCTACATTCGGTGCCATTTGTCATGGCTGTAGCAATAAGAAAATCACTCCCTGCAACCTCCCTTAGCCCTCAATGGAGACACGAACCAGTGTTTGACTGCAAAACACAACAAGAAAGACGGAAGGTTAAAAAATATGAATAAACTTACAGAATTTTCATCGACTGACTTGATTTCGTCAAATACCTCTGATCGATTCGAATCTGAATAGCAAACATATAAAAGTAAAAGCACAAATAAGATTGTGATTTTCTAATGCAATCTGTCGATTTTATTTCATATCAAATGACAAAAGACAATGTTTCCAGTCAAGGCCTCCTAATCATTTAATTTTCCCTCAATGAAAAAAGCTGCAATCAAATATCAGTTACCCTTCAATGCAAATGAAAATTTCAGTATGGAAAAGACATCCATGGTAATGTGTCTATGGTCAACCAATTATTTCTATATAACCAGGACTTTGTTTCAAAATAGATTGATATAGTTGCAATTAATACGTAGACGGGCACATTGTACAGACATTTTGACGCGCAAATATTAGTTGGAAAATTATTATAACTACAAATAACACACTCCTTTTTGCTTCACATCCAAAATCATATATTTCTTGTAATGGAGTTTTCACAAATAAAAATCGTGACAGAGAGTTGTAAGTCTCACCCGTCGATGAAGCGAACTCTTAATTTCTAACAGGTCGGTATCTGCAGTTGCCTTAAAATGAACAAGGCACAATGGTTTCCTTATGAAGGCTTAATCAATGCCACAACAGGACACAGAAAAAGATTTCCTGACTTCACAGCTAAATATCTTCGTCTACACGAGGATTCGCAAAAAGCTCACCTTCTTCTGAGATATCATCAGAGACCATTATGTCTGGCGTCATCGTGCTCGCATTCGTGGTTAAGCTGCTGAGGGAGGGAAGACTGGACGATGGAACAATATCAGGTGATTCCCCTGATTCGCTGGTCACATCACTATTCGCTGTCTGTGTTAAACGTTTGATCGCTGCTTGGGACTCCTGCAGGTCGCTCTGAAGCCTGTACAACAAAACGAGGTAATCAGCTTCGTGTACAGGAGGCAAAATAAAGATGGTAGATATCAAATCTAGACAGTAACCGAATATAGAAAAGCTAGCGGTCGATTTGAACTGAATGAAAAACACAAAAAGCTAACATATAAAAACAATAGATTCAAGTTACAATAAATACATACGAGACACAACGGGATTGACAAACGAAGATTTAGCACTAAAGAAAAATAAACTGACTGAGGTTAGAAAAAAAGTGAAAAAGATTGAGGATTGAAAAAGATAGCTTCAAATTAAGCACTGCACAATTGAAAATAGCGAGGCGAGCTTTTTTCTGCTATATTGAAATAGCTTACCATTGAAATAGCTAGCAGGAAAATAGAAGAGAAATATTCTTTCGTGAAATGTGTGATATTATCAATGATATTATTATAAATGTAACAACAAGTTTTACCTTTCTTTGGTATTTTCATCATCTGTTATAATGCGCTGCAATATAAATCTCATTCTTCAATACGATTTACTTTTGGCGTATATTGTTTCTATTTAAATAAAACGAAATGGCCTACAGCTGTCAGATAAGAAATACAGTATAGCAAAAATTATGCAGTTTCTCGCTCGCGTATAATTCAAACTAAACTTGTGTCCCGTTAAGTCATACCCTCAGACTTTCAGCAAGTCGGACTGACCTTTCAATCCAAATATATTTTACTACTCCGCCCAAACAAAAGAAAAATAACTACAGAAATTACACCTCAATGCTAAGAAAGATTTAGTTAGAAAGAGTCACGCCACGTTCTAACATAAAACTTGGATACTAACCAGGAGACTCGTGAGCTGCTCGTTAATTGTCGTTGTTGCTTCGATAAGTACTTCCTGAAAAAGCAAGAATTGGTATTGATAAGTGCAAATTATCCCCGGAGAGGAATAAATGCAAGATACAAGGGCTGCAAATGCCAAGGGAAATAAAGTTGCAGTGCCATTGGGAATAAATCTGCAACGCCCGAGGGAGGACAGAGGCAACAATAAGGTTCGAATGTGAAGAGACAATTGGTTTTCGAATGTTCTTTACAGGATGACTTTGAAAATACGAAGCCCGATGCTCTGCAAATTCTGTTGAATTTCTACATGCATAGGAATGCAGAAATATTTTATTTGCAGACGTATGAACTATTATGATCTGACATTATTTTGTGAAAAAAAGGAGAAAAAACAAGAAGGGGTTTTAATTACTTCAAAGTCGCGGACCAAAAATGCCAGCAAAAAATGGAAAGCCAGACTGGATTTGGTTGTCCTCTAAACCCATGTCCCTGTCATCTAAACACTGAACCGATTCAAGGTTTGGACAAACAGATTCCTAGGCACCTATAACATACAGGAGCTTAATATTGGCAAACTATACCAACCTGTGGACTCTGTATAACTCTATCTTCGTCATTCTGTGACTCTTCTCGAGAAATACCGTTTGGTATCGAGGCAGGGTTCGGCGACATTGCCCGCATGTCGATCAGCCCGTTGCTCTCTGACCGCTGGTGGACGTTGAAAATTTCATTGACGGCTGCTGCCAATCGGCTACCTACAGAGCAAAGAGTAATTCTTCTATTTGCGATTAATGTAATAAGATGGAATAAGAAACACATTCAACCGGCTGAGAAAAATGGAAGGATAGGAAATAATTCCATGGAGGACTTTTACTAATGAAATTACGAGTAAAAATTTTTGACTATTAATTAAACTTTAAAAATATCACGTTACAAATGTTAATTCAAAAAGAATATGGCAACACGATAATATTCCAAATTTTAAAAGTTAAATGTTCCAGAATATGTCCTTTGTTTTAACCTATTGTGTATGTAAAATACGGACCAACTTTCAAAATAGACGGACTCCAAATCATCAGTAAAGTAGCCGTACTAAGTAAAGGCGAAAACCAATCAAAACACAATCTTGAAAGAAAGGTACCTTGCAAGATCGCTGCAAAAATGAACTCCCTGAAAGTGAAAAACAATCTGTGTGAATATATAAAAAATTTGAAATAAAGTTTAACCACAAATAAAGCAATTTTCAAGTAAACAGCCATGACCGAGGTACAGAGAGAATTGTTTGGAATGATTGCTGGCGATTGTTGTATCAATAATGCTTGTGACCCACTAAAAAAATGCGTCAATCTTTCATTTTACTTCTTAAATATGCTTACTAAAAGAGTTATTTCTAACTTACCTAGCTTCCGCTTGTGAGTCGTTGGTTGTTGTCTGAAAAGGAAAATACAGCCATTAGAAACGGAAAATCTGAGGGAGACCCAAGGGAATAGAAAAGAGCATCAGAGGGTGCGTAAGAGGGAGAGGTGAGTGACGGTGGGGCAGAATTTGACACAATTTATAAGGTCAGGTAAAAATTGAGAGGCAGAGGGGTGGAGTAGGGCACAGAAAGTGAAAGGAGAGACAGGGTGAGATAGGGACTAAGGAATAAGGTCCTTGAAATGAGACAAACGTTGGGACTGAGTTGATGCAAAGAAGAGAAATTTCGCATATAAGATGGGAGGTTAGGTGTGTATTTGGATAAGAATGGGGGAGACGCGGTGAAAGTTCAAATTGTGCAGGTAAAGGATGGACTGTGGGGGGGGGAAGTGTGGGGTAAGAGATAGTTACAAGATGGTTGATTAAACAATTTAGGAGAAATGATTTGTAATAGAAAAATGTTGCTCTGAATTTACCAAATCAGATATAATTGAATGAACTCTACAGTGACCAATCTACTCGACCAAGAACCGAATGGTTGTGAGAGAAACACGAAAGTATCATGTATCTACTTACCTCTGCGGTTATAGTGGGGCCGAACTCTTGACACTAGAGAGTAAACACAGACACTATACAAAAATGCAGTAGATAGCCACGATTGCACTATTAAAGAATTTCAAACCATTATAAACCTCTATGCAAAAGTTATCTAGCCCTATGGCACAATTAACTGTTAAAGAAATTGCTTTTATTTAAATTGCTGTTAAAGAAAAGAAATTGTATTGTTTCACATATGCTGCACCAGCAAGTTCTGAACTGTCAAAACTATCTGCAGTTGGCCGCCATTGAGAAATAATAAAATCATGTGCACATTTCACATTGGTGTTGGACAATAAGGCCGTGCGCATTCTTATTCCAGCATGGCTTCAGATCCCGGCAGTGTTTGACCAAAAACAACAAATGACAGACAACAATTTTGGAATAAACACTGGGAGAATTTTTCCAATATTGCAGATTATTCATGACTGTTGCAGATCAATCAAGATATAAAAGCAATGAAAGTTACCCGGAGTTCAGCAACAATTTTGGCCTTGTCTTCGAGTAGTTTCTTCACTTCGTCGTCTTTGATTCGTAGTTGTTCTGCAAATTTGTACATTGCAAAGTTTAAAATGTGAAATAACGAGAGAATTTTGTAAGAGGAAAACGACTTTGACCGAGCTGGTTAAAAGGCATTAAAATAAATGTAAGTTGCGAAGAAACATGTTCGATAAACGAAAAATAAACAAATGAAATGAATACAGTTGCAATCAAGATTATTTACCACGGGCATCCTCCATTGATTGACAAAATAAAATAGAGGAGATGCGGTGAAAGTTCAATTTATGCAGGTAGAGGTTGGAGTGAAGAAAAGGCAGATGGGTGTGGGGAAAGAGATCATTATAAGGTGATCAATATTTAAAAAGTAATACTCGAATTAAAGCCCAGCATTTCTGAATTAATGAAAAATTAATCTGCATACATTTATTCAAAAATTACACATTTATTAAACATCAATATTTTAAGTGTAAATATCCAAGTACAAAAGCCTTATATTATCAGAAAATAAGGCTCACATAAATGTGTAATCTAAATGCTCAAATACAAAATTGATTTTTACCGTATAGTTCTGCTATTCTTTCTTTCGATGGAGGATCAATCTTTTTGACTGGTTTTTCTTCGACTACTTCTGGAGTCTGTAACTCCTAAAAAATCACATATACGCATAAAATCATCAATGTGTCAGTGTTAAGTACTCCAGAAGCGGTTTAATAAAAATATTGTTTTTGAAGAATTTAACTTAGTATATAATTATTTATATCAAGAGTTTAGGTCAAAATCTTACTTTCTGGGAAGAATATCCTCCCTAAATTTAAAGAATAAATAGCTATATTCTTAAACGTTAAAAACAATCTCTAAGTCTTTACTAAATATACATTGAATATAGATTGATACTCATGCCTTTTACTATCGCAGCTTTTAATGCCTTACATCGGCGAAATGATTTTACGAATAATCCAAAACTAACCTCGTATACAACTTCATCTGCCTCTTTCTGCTTTTCCTCTACTTTTTCCGTTTCCTTGTTGCCGTTTTCATCTTTAGACACAGCTGACCCCCGTCTGCTTGAACTGCCATGAGGCGGCGTTTCTTCCTTTTCATCGATGGATTCAGACAAAGCAACGCTACCAGATGGGGGGATGCAGAGTGCACCTCGCCGACCTCGTTCTAAGATTTAAAAAAACCTTTAACGTCTTCTGCCATTAGGTAAATTGCAAAAGTGTTTAGACCTTAAACAAATCTCGGAAAAAGAGAATTCCTAAGATTTTTGGTAAGTTTTAACTTATCAGGTATCTCACCTTTTCCTTTTCGTAAAGACGCATCTACGCACTCAGTTATAACTTTGACCCACCTGTAGAAGAGGTAAATAAGAATATGATAAATATCATTAATAATTTTCCACTGTTAAAGTAAAATGTTACTTGTTATTAGCAATAAAAATATTATAAGTAGCTAAGCAGTATACAGTCGAAAAATAGTATCAAGTCGATTGACTGGGCAATATACACTTGAAAATAACAACACAAAATCAGAGAAAATTCTGGGGTTTGATTTCATCGACACAAGCGGTAATATGAATTCTTAACAAAAAGGCTATGTACTTCTAATTTTCATACACGAGTGTGGATTAACTAGGCCATCGTTCAGCGATGGGGCGGTTATCTTGAATAGAATCAATCCCATATAGAAGATCCTTTAAAACCATTTAGATCAATGCATGTATTTGCGACTTCTCTTGTCTTGTTTGCAACGTAAAAAACGGACACAATTAAGTAGAGCTTACGTGTTTCGGTCCAAAATTGTCGACGTGACAAGTTCGTAAATTTGAGGACCAACTGAAGACGTACTGACCAAGAAGAACGCACGTTTGTCTGAAGACAAAAATGAAAAATTGGTAAGATTTAAAACTGGCTGCATCATTAAAAAACTGGCTACGAATTAGAATATAATTCTTGAAATACTTAACAAAGTCGTGAAAGTGACAGATAATCGCACATTAGTACTCAACATGAAGACCGCAAAACGTTGAAGCAAACAGAATGGCGATCAGATTTTACCAACAAAAGTTATTCCATTCTCTCATTTACAATCCTTTAATTTAACTACAAATTTTGAAATGTCTTTCAACATTGTTAAGTTCACTGTGGTATGCACAATGGTTTCAAAAAATAATATGCTATAACTTTCAATCGTATTGAAATCATATATAAAAAAGGATAAAAATTAACATTAATAATTGAATGCACAGGGTTTAAAAATCACAATTAAGAAACAGCTACTTAAATTTAAATGATCCAAAATAAGCTTTTTTCGAGGAATGAAGCTCTAGAAGCATACCTGTGGCTACGTCTCGAGTCAGAAGGTTTTGTAGCTTTATAATTGGACTGTGCGTTGTCTACGAAAAATTACCACAAAATGATTACGATACGGCATACATGAAGTAATGATATATCAAAATAGGAAGGGCCTTTGTAGGCACTATCAGAGAGAATCAGAAACCCAGGAGCTGGTACATGGGATAGGTCCTTATAATGAATATGAGTTCGGTATTACGTAAAAAAGACTAAATATTTGAAATTTTGAGAAAGCATTCAACATAATAGAGAATCATCCACCTTTAAAGGGGATCTTAGACGGAAGAGCAGCAAATGAAGAGGAAATGCTTTAGATTTTAGGAGAGCTATGAAGACTGCATGAGTATATATAAACAGGGGCGGACACTTGCTCAATTACTAGGGGAGGGGGGCAAGCCTATTGTTTTGATAAGATAACTGATAAGATGACGTCACATTTTACCATTGTTTTAGAGCAAATGACCATTGTGTTGCAAAATATTAGGGAAAGGGGGGCGACCACCCCTGGTGTTTACCACTGGGAATATATATAAGAAGAGCTATGACACAAAAAGCGAACTACCTTCATGTCTTGAAGTCCTGTTGATAGCGTTGTACTGTGTGATTTGAGTAATAATTTGTCGTCTTGCTTTTGTAGAAGTATCATATATAAATCTAATAATAACACGTGTAATTCTGAAATGAAAAAAAGAGAAAATCATGTCGTTGGCTGGAAAAATTCTTTTATTTTAATCAGTTCGTTAACTGATATTGGCATATGACAAATATTATAAACAAATATGGCATATTAAAAGGTTAACTGAATTGTCAATATCCTTTGTGTGCCAAAGTGTAATAAAACAACTTAAAGTCTTAACTTAAAGAGATTTTTCATTAAGCCCTTGGTACCACAAAATTTGGAAATAGCCCAGACGAGTTGAAACATATAGAGCCAAGAAAAGGAGATCCCTTCTTCTATTAGAGAAAATATTCTCATTTCTTGAGCAAGGGTTCTAATTACAGCCTATTGAAATTAGATTTTAGTCGCTTTGCCGTTAACCAATTCTCTCTAGAGCATTAAAAAGTGCTCCGGACACATTGGTTTCATCAAACATTGAACCCAACCGTTCTTGGGGGCTACTACATAAAGGAAACTATTATCACACATGAAAAGGGTCTTCTGCGAAGAACATTCACATGACGTACCTATTGTTTTGGTCCTGTTAATTCGCCATATTAAATCGCCTTCGTGAACTAGTTTGTGCTTTGTAAGATCAAAATCCTACAAAAAGAAATGATAAATATCACGTTAATAAGAATAAAAGTAACAAATACATCAACTGTAGAAATCAAGGTAACATATTAAAAGAAAAATAAAATAGAACAGAGAAAGCATAACAAAAAATTGAAGACTATTTTGACAGTTATATATTAATGTCTACTTGAGTGTGATAATCGCATAAGAAAAAAGTTCGGAGTATCATCTCACAATTTTCACCTTTTATACAATAAAACATAGCTGGAAAATAATATCAAGAAACTTGAAATTACCTTAAATTCATCGAAAATTTTTGTGTTTCCTTCTAATGCTTTCATGTCGATTTTCTTTGAAAGCTCAATCAATCTCTAAAAAGTGAAGATGAACACATTAAAGCCAGGTGCAATACAAAAATAAATTGATGGGTGGAATTAAGAATCTATTCATTGAAGAGAGCGACTTTCGGACAGAGCTTATTTCTAATATAAGCTGCAAAAAAATTTTTTAACAGAAATGAGTCATGCAGAAGTTTTATTTTCTGAAAAATAAAGATTTTGAAATGTGGGATTAATTATTTCTTAATCAAACTTACCCATTTATTTTCAGTTTCTTTCATACTTTTATTTACATGGTTTAAAATATCCTGCAACAAAGAAAAGGCAAATACTATATTGAATTTGCAAGCAAAAATAATTTAACCATCAGATTGGAAAGTTTGGGATTTTATCTTTAACTAGCGTTTTCTGTCGGTAACGACAATACACAAAATAATATACCAATCTTCTGTTCCTTTGAACGCACATTTTGTCTAAATATTCGTCATGACAATTAAGTGAAGCAGTAATGAGTATTCAACGGTCTTATATCCTGCTTTGAAATAAGGTTGCTCAATTTTGAAAAACAGCTTGAAATCTTTTAATGGGAACAGATGGAAGAATTCAAAATTACAATAGGAAAATGTTCCCATACTTGTTAAATACAAAACACTCCCCGAACTATTTGAACAGGTGCACAACATAAACTGGCCTACCTACCTTACAACATCGAGCACATTTTTCCAGCTCTTTTAATTCTGGATTGGAAGCTGAAACAATACAAATTATCGTTAGAGCAAAAGCTGAACGGTAATAACATATGGGTTTTCATTTGATCACACCAAGTAAAATCATTCTTTGTCAAAAAACGCCAATGGTTTATAGTCCATTGACCTGTCCCTGAGTTGTAGCATTGAGTTGTAAGACAAAAAAATAACGCAAACAGTGAATTGCAAGCAGTTTGAATAGAAGTTAATTGAATATATGTAAAATAGGGACATTTTTGAATTTATTGAAAGTAAAGTGAATAAATTCCAAGTAATTTGAATTTTGTTTTCAAAAATAATTACATGGTGTTGATTTTAACATCTCTCTTAATAACAGAGGGTATTTCGTAAGTCGTTGATGTGTGTTCGCCATTATATCGTTGAACTTAAGTCGCCTGCAATATTTTGATTCTTCTTGTCGCTAAAATGAAAGAATGAGGTTGCAACTTACATATGGTTCATCATCATCGAATTGGGAAGAAAACAGAAACAGGGGCTTTGGTTTATCAAAAAGTACGATTGTCAAAAGACGGTGAAGTCGAGAATCAATGCCCACGCCAGATATTAAATGATCTGATTGGTTACAAAACACAATTTATTTTCATTCTTTTGAGACACAGAAAAACGTTATTTACAAAGAAAATAGGATAGTTACATACGATACAGAACACAATTTTTTAGAAAAAACTTTGACAATATCCAACTTGGTAGAATTCTGTTCTTAGCATGTAGAAAATTCAAGGAAGAAAATTGAATTACTTGTCCTTAAAACGAAACAGGATTAATCGTTGGATCGCTTGTATGCATAAAAAAGAATTATGAAATGCCACTTACCGCCATGAAAGCAGCTAATTTGCTGTCTTTCTTGGTACGGTTCTAAAAAAGGGAAAATGTGTAAAGAAGAGGGTCTCTAAAAAGCACCCAATATCTTCTATTTGTATACTACTTAGTTGCATGGTAGTCTTGACAACAAAGAAGACTTGTTTTAGGCCGTTTTATTCGCCGAATTGGCCCTGTTTGCGCGAATTCGATAAATGCAAAAAAGGACGAAGGAAGTGTGCTCGAAAGCGCACAGCGAGTCAATTAGAAAACAATTTTAGCGATAACAATCATTCCGAGCCAGCCCCACAAGGGGGCCATCCCCTTACTTTTTGCTAAATAAAATATATTATCACATAAAGAACCAAGATGCCACTGACATAAAAAAATTCGACAAAATTGTACCTTTAGCATTTCCATAGCCATCCTTTGGTTATGATTAAACAAAGCAGCAACCTCTTTTGCTTTTTCGCCGGGAGCTCCGTCAAACTAGGAAAGAAAATAGCGATTTGATGATTGGAAACTCAGTGCAAAAAATGCTGAAATATTACGCTAAGCTATCAAGCCGATGGACCAAGAGTGGGATTACAAATGCAAGGTGTATGAAGTTAATGTTCGAGAGCTTCAGTTAATGTTGTTGATTCTCATCACCTTTAATCAGTGGATTGACAGATTATTTTATTTCATCATTAGCTCTCTACATCTAGTTTATTATTCCAAGCCAAATATCCAATTCTGTAACTGACAAAACGATAACACTCATTCAAACGCAGGCCGGCACTCACTCTGCCACAATGTTTCTTCTGATCTTGTATGAGGGCTGCCGCAGAAAAAATCTCATCCCTGACTCTAAATCTAACATTGTCATTTCCAAAAATAAAAATTTCCTAATAAGGAATTATAGGGAGCAGTCGGAACAAAATCGAGATTTAATCCGCCAGGCCACGTCTATAAGGCATACTAGAATTCAACTCGACTTTCATTGAAATAACGAATCGATTCGAAATAACTCACTCTTGCAAGAATTATATCCGCAACTGAAGTTATAACGTCCCCCTGCTGGGCACACCTCGTGTTCATATCTGCCAGAAGCGAGGCTAGAAAAAAATGGATCTTAAGTGGAAATTGCAACTAGATGTTGTTTCAATACCACCAACTTCTAATTTGTAAATGTTACAACTTAGACTGACTCGTACATATTTGTCAATGATCTGTATATATTTGCTCAAAATCAAGGATTATGCCTAACAGAAACAGCCATGACAAAAAATGAAATATTGTCAAAAATATTTACTGTGAATTTCGATCAACTCTGCAAGATTTGGGAAAATTTGCTGGATAACTTCCGGTGGCATGATTTGCCTCTCTTGCATTGGTTTTAAAAAAACCTGCAAAAAATAATGCAAATTGGTAACACGAAATTGTTTTTTAGCACTTTGAAAAAAGCTTAAAATTAACAGCATACCATTGATGTAAGACACGAATGATTCAATCAAGGTGAAGGCAAAATTATTAAAATCTAGTGACATAACATATACTTTTAAGACAAGTTGAAATCTAACAGGCATCCGGAAATGTCTGAGGGGACGATCTTCAAAACATAACCACTAGTCGCAAAACAATTACACAAAATTAGTAGTAACTGAAAATCAATATCAGCAAGCGGTCCCGCTTTCTTACTCCTCAAATTGATTTTTCACACGGTTTTAAAGTAGATGGATAAACATTAAATGCTTATTTAATTCCAAAAATAGCTCTTATTGTAGCCTGTATGCCCGGCCATTTCTAGGTGAATATGGTCCAGTAGAAACGCTGGGTTGAATATCCTTCTAATTTCAGAAAGAATCTGGAACATAGAAGTTTACAGTCTGCAATTAATATGACTAGTTCACTAAGCCTGCCAAAATAACTTGGAACGCCAATTGACTCAATCTATTTTTTGTATTGTGTATTGAATTTCTCTACAATTGTGCATATACCATGACTACTTTCTATTGGTCCAAAAACAAAAGCTGACAGTTTATGTGACTTTCTTCCAAGTTATACAAAAAAAGTTTCTACAATCATTTGCTAGTTACGTTTAAACAATTAATTATTAATGAGGGGGAAGGGGATGGACTCAATCGCCTTATAAACTGGAGTTTGCGTCTCTTGACGTTTCGGTTCCAAGAACTTGGTTGCAACAGATCGAAAGTTCATCATAAAAATATAGGGGAATTTCGGAGTGTTACCTTTTCAAGAACTTTTAAATGCCTAACATGCGTCTTTTCTGTATTTATTAGCTCTGTAAAAAATAAGAACAGAAGCATTACATCTTGACAATTCAACCCTGCGAAACATACACAAAGATTAGTGGTATTAAAGACAACTTTGGAAATGCCAGCATGATTTCAATTGAATAAACAAAAAATCTGCGAAATTTTGACAGATAAAGAATCGAATCACACGGGAATTAAAAACATCGACAAAACGTAAGTCGCTTAATCCCATGGGCGGAGATTTGGTTCAAATTGGGAAGAAACATGAGAGATTTTTGCGATGGTCCTCTTCTTTCAAATCTCTTGTTTTAAGATTAAGGCGATCTTATACAGATTTCAAAAATGGGATTATGATTAACTAACTCTAAAGTAATCTTCAGTTAACAACAAAAATTTGGGATTCGCTAAAAGCAAAATTGAGTCGGTTTGCAAAATAAGAAAAGACTGGATAAACTTAGAAATCGAACATCGAAAAAGGGCATTAAAGAAACCGGATACCACATGCTCTACACTAAGGTGAAGTCAAACAAGACTTGTATGGAAACTTCATACAAATCTATCTTGGAAGTTTTTAATTCTTAAACTTGGTTGTCTTTGCTAAAAAAGCTAAGTATTATAGTTTGAAAATCATGGCCTTTAAACTAAGATATTAGAAAAAATGACATCTGCATTGCAACACTTTAAATGAGGCACTTTTTACTGAATCTTAATCCCCAGACTTAGATTTTCTACTTTTAATTACATTAAATACAGCTTGTAAGCCATTTACCATGAATAACTTCTTGTCTCTTCACTTCCTTGTCTTTTAGTTTCTTTATGATCTTAAAAAACAAAAATCATCTGCGATTAACTAAAAGTTAAAAAAACAAAGAATCTTCAAATTCCAAAGGCACATTTTCATTTGGTTGATTTACATTTTCATCGTCATCCAATACCTTATAGATTTTCCAATATCTGAGAAGTACAGAAAAGCTAAAGCAAGAAAGCTCAATTCAGCATAGTTGAACCCGAAAAACCAAAGACCAATCTAGAGTTTGGCCATAACGACAAGAACAATTTTTTATTAATTATCTTGTAACAATTAAAACATTTATAATAAAACTTTTATATCAAATGAAGATTTTTCGTCATGTGGCCCAATTCAACTTTCAAAACGGAATACCAACAACTGGTATAAACTTTAAAACACACGCGATGAAAACAGACGCCTCTGTGTTACAACGACTCCTACAGGGAACAGAACCACAAACACTATAAACAAATTGATACCTTCTTGTCCACCATTTGCGACCATGGAAGCGAAGGAACATCATCTAATTCAAGCTCTTCGTCCTACAATTGCAAAAGACACAATTGCAACATAAACAATGTATCGGATTAAAAATTTTGATAAACTTGACTTAATCTGAAATGGGAAGATTTTTCTAGAGTTGTCCTGAAGCATAAATCGTGCTACCCATTGCTATTCGCCGTTGGCATGAGGTTGGCATTTAATCACCAACTTAGATGACAAGTATTTTTTGCACTTTGCATACCCTATATCAAATAAAAACAGCGCAAAAAGGAAAATGTAAAAACGGGGTCTAGAGAAACGGGAAATAGAAGCAAAAAGGAACTCAAATGATTCTCAGATAAATTTTGTGAAATAGGCCTGAACAAAGATTTTCATAACTTTAGACGATAAACATTAAATGGTATTTTAGAAAAACTTCGTTAGGTAAAACATCGTTGATAAAAATAGATAAAATATTGAAACTGAATTTCATATATTTGAGGTTAAATGATGAAAATTTTGACTCGTACCTGTTCCTCTTCTAAAAAAGAAAAAAGGTAAAGATTAAAATGTTGTATAGACATTTATACATATACAACTAAAACGGGAATTGAATTATGTGCAACCGTATTAAAAACACCAAGAAGTAATATCTAAGAGACATATAGGTTAAATGAGGGTTTATCAATGCACAACGATCTTTTCCTTACAATCAATGATGCCTAGATCAAATTCTTTGGGGACAGAAAACAGACATTTTGACGTCAGTACTATGTTGACAATATTTAGAAACATAAAGCCTGGAAATACACCAACCTTCGTCTGACATTGGAGGAGAGTCGGGTTTTCTGTTATACGGCTGCGCCACATAAACCCCATTATCCATATTCAATCCATCGCTGCAATGGAAAGACGAAATCAAGAAATACCTTCAATTAGCTAAACCGACGATCCTATACCGATCAAAAGGTATTGAACAGACACCATAGAAACAAGTCTTTAGCTGGAGCATTTGCGTCTTAATTTTCTTACTAAATACCTATTGCAAATACTGAAAACAGACTTTTCTCTCTTCTTAATTGGTCTCTAACTGAATCTCAAAGAAGCAGTTTTACCTGGTTCATTTCAGGCACATAGTTTGAAGCTTGAACGGACGAGCGAAAAATGGAGAACTGGGAAGGGGTTACAGACAACAGGGAATCGGGATCTCAGCGATTCGTTTCAAGGGAAAACAGTTTTTTCATCGGAATATCAAAGTTATCATCATCGTTTGTAAAAATATCATTTTAATCCCAAACACCATTCAGAGAATCCACTGCCTAAAAAGATGGTTTTTTAAATTCTTTTAAGTATATATATAAAAAACAAGTATACATTTTCAGATTCTCTATTCCTATAATCACTCGTTCATTCCCTCTTTCTCAAGATAATTGGCTAGCCTGACTCAGTTCCTTCATTACTGGTGCTAACATAAATCGTTAATGTAAACCATTCACACTTATTATTTCTGTGTATAGAGCAAAAAATATCATTGGCATTTTCCTATTTTCATGTTTATTACAAAACCCCTATTGCTCAAAGTTTCTAAACAGAAGTAAAGATTCGGCTATTGCCCTAATAACCCAAGCAACAACAAGAAAGACCAGCCGATTGCTTAGTCACGTCAACTAACCATTATCGAAACGGTGTATGCAAACACTTAAGTAAAAAAAGGCTTACCCTTTCTGGCCAATTTTTTCAGTACTGACAGATGTGATGGTCTTTTTTCGGTCAAGCAGCCGCACAAACTCTCGAGTCATCTGAAACAGTAGAAGACAGAAAATGAGAACTTAGTTCTGAATGTCATTTGCAAATTCAGGTTATTGTCGCCCATATTTCTGAGCACAAAACAAGAACTCATGCTTTCCAATAAACACTTAACATTCTTCCTTAATATCCATGCATTAACTACGTTAAGATTCCTAAATCTAGTAAAATACGAGAAGCGTTATCTTGGTGCCGTATCATCTGAACAACAGTTTCTGGAAGCATCTAGACAAAAGGCTATGGAAGTCAGAGAAGAAACATGCACCCAAACTTATATTATTGCAAATCTATTATACTTGATAAATTTTACAAACGGAGTAAACAGTTAAAACAAACTACCAACCTTGACACTTTGTGCATGAGTGAGGTTGTTCTTTTTCGTCGGGTAGTCCCTAAATAAAAAAATTACAGTTTAAAATAACAGCCGTGAAACTACTAAGGAGCAAACAGCTTTAGTAGTATATTTCATGAAAGGGTGAAAGCTCATTATAAACGCGAACACGACCTAAGCTAAAAACAAAACGAAGATATATGAAACATTTGAAAACTCCACTATCTCTATAGCTATAGGTAATGCATTCCAACATTCTTTACTAGCTGTCAAAAATATTTAGAGTCTCCATTCAACCCCTCCCAAATAATGTTATAGAGAAATACAAACATTCTTTGTATCTTTACATGTAAAGCAAGCTATCGGACACTAGCAATTAGACACTAGTAATCGGACACTAACAATCGGACACTAGCTATCGGACACTAGCTATCGGACACTAGCAATTGGACACAAGCTATCGGACAACAAGCTATCGGACAACAAGCTATATAGATTATATAGATTCAGGATACATCACATAGATATATAGATTATATAGCTCATCTTAATTTACGACCTTATATACATTTATATTTCTTCATCTTGTTGTTATGTTAGTTGGTATCAATTAGCTTATTGTAATTTTTTATAATTAAGCTAGAATTTTTATCCAACTGTAAATAAAGTATCAAAAAAGCTATTAGACACAAGCTATCGGACACTAGCTATCGGACACTAGCTATCGGACACTAGCTATCGGACACAAGCTATCAGGCACAAGCAGTTATTTGCCACGTACGAATCTGCAATGCTAGGCCTAAGCTCAAGATAAAGCTTTAACGTACCCTTTCGATTTTTTACTTTCACGTTCACGAGTGATTGGTTCGTGTAGTGATTCCTGAAAGAAAGTCAATAATTACATAAAAAACATTTGCATTTACGACTAATGATTGAATCTGTTCACTATCAGTCATATTAATGATTTGCAGTTATACGACTTGTAAGCAAAAATGAGGGCATTAAGCGACGCAAACTCAAACAGAAACTGTCGTGAAACATTCTGCTCTAAAGGCCCCCGCAATCTTGACATAGCTGTTGAGACAAATGATTTGTCATTAACTAATGCCGGATAGCAAACACACGAAGTTCCAAACCACCTCCTTTCAAGTTGGGCCGTGCACCATTTAGAGGCAGAAATATCGATATTGAGCTAAAAGGGGGGGGGGAGGGGGTGGCAGGGATACAGATAGGTAATTTTTTTAATAGGGTTTTATTACAAATCTATACGATAATTTATAAGTAGGGTATCGGAGAGGAATAGATGGTTGCAGGGAGCTTTAAACATGTTGAGCAACTGACACTTTCATGAAATTCTAACAAATGATCGCATTCAAATATCAATTTCAATTCCAATACCTCATATGGTCCTGGTGACCTAGAAAAGATAAAAAAATATAATTATTACAGGGTCACAAAACCTTACTGCGGGAGTCTGGCGATATAAGAGAAACGAATTACGGAGTATTAGGGACTGACCTGCCAAAAAACTGGCCATCTTAACAATGAAACCCTTGATGAAGGGTTTCAGCGATTGATAACAAGGATCAGCTATTGTGCATATAAGAATAAATAAAAGTCCCATTTCTAGTGATTATGAACGAAATTAGGATTAATAAGTCGGAATCATGCAAAAATATAGACTGAAGTTAACAAAGCAACTAAGGAAATTTTAACGAGGTTTCCCGAACTGCTTATATTTGGAAAAAGGATTAAAAAAACCTTTTTTCAATTTGATGATCGTTCTAGAATTAATCACTTGACGACAAAAATTTCAAAGCAAGTAAATTAGAGTGACCCGGGATGAGCGTAAATCATTTGTTGAAACTTGTAAACACAAGCTAAAGATGTGAAGAAATAATGAGGACAAAAATTAAATACAGGCCTGCGGGTGGATCAATTATTTACAATGTTACTTATTTCACAGGCTTAATCTTGTTTTAAGACGAACGAATGGGGTCAGTTTTTAATCTCTCTCCTTTTCGAGTACAGAAAATTACACATAATCATTTCTCAGAGCTACCCTGCTTTACTAAATAACGAAAGTCAAGTCTCGAATGGGCAAACAGAAGCGAAACGAAGCGAAAGGTTTATCAGAATGGGAGATAAAGAGAGGCAAGAATAAATGCGGATTGGAGAATTTTCAAAGAGTTAAGCTGCACAGGCGAAAAAGCGCTGAAACAGATGTCTTATCAAGATGCCTGCAATGATAAAATTAGAGCAAGAGACATAGATTCTAAGTAGGTTGGCAGAGAAAGGAAGTAGTTGAAATTGGGACAACTAATGGATTCTCGAAATTGTTACCTAAATATGATAAGCATTTTGAAATTCTACGGGAACAAACGTACCCCTGGATATCTTCAGTCAAATACCAAAATTCGTTTCTTACTTAAGTGTCAACATAATCGACCAGTTACCCTGAGCTCAAATTTCGAATCCAAAAAATGAAAGTCCCAAAGCTTGAAAACAAAAAAATCGGCTTTTTTATGCTGAAACATCTTACACGGAGGTAAATTCATTAGAATATGAAGCAGAAAAATTTCCCAAATAATTTTGCCAAGAATCTTACTGCGAAAAGCAGCTGCAAGCCTACGTGTAGAGGGACAAAAGTTTTGGGCCCAGTTAAAAGTTTTCCAAAAAAGGCTAGAAACTAGAATTACTATCATAATTGAAATGACCAGTCTATATGTTGGAATACATGGCTATACGCAGGCTAAACATCAAGTATCTAAAAGTGACGGTAAAGATGATAAAAAACATTCTATTCAGTAAGATTAAAGGAAAGTGATCGAAAGAAACAAATACCAGAAATCGTCACCGCAAACTCGATACTTGATCTAGATTACTCTGACAAAAAACCCTCATCCACGTATATTATAGTAAATCCCAAATTGAGTGCCTCGCATCTGCCAATAACTCGGTTGATATAAAGGAGCACAGAAATCAAGAATTGCTTTTAGGTTATGTACTAAGTAAGGTTTCCAACCATGGTAAATATAAGTGCACTTCAGATGTGCAGGGGGGATAGGGTGTACGCCATGTCTGCATGTATCAATTAAATAAGTCTTTTCTTTTCACCCAATCATGACCCAAGGTCAAATTTGTATTGTTAAGAAAGCTGAAAAGACGCATTTACAAAACTGAATCATTTTTTACGAGCAAAAGTCGCTTTCATGATCCACATAGCACCCGCAAAATTAACTGTCTCTAGTTAAAGGGTGAACTCGCGCGGATACTGATTCGTAAACTGAGTCATGATATATACGCATCAATGAGTTGGATGGGAAAAGCAGAAAAAATTGACAGATCATGGATGGGTGAACACGATACTCTAGCATAGTTGATAAAACGACAAACAGGAAAAGCCATATTATTACTGCACAAGAAAATCGAATGCACGGAAAGACTTTCTGAGCAAAGCTTAAATGAAACTGTCCTATTTTCTTGAAAATGGACTCCGTGATTACATCAAAATCAAGATAGCAAAGGAAAAGAAAAATTCCACAACATTGTGATAATATATTTGCTAAAGCACCTCGGGGTTTGAGCTGATAGCCATAATAAAGTACTTTTTAGCTTCTAATAGAGTAAGAACTAAGAAATCAGAAAATTGATGCATATATCGGGACGGTAGACTCTTTCTCACAATCAGAGATACCAAGAGCTTTCAATCTAATTCAAAACAAATTGCTTTAAGATTAAACTTTTACATAAAATCGAATTAACTGGGCCTAAACTTTACCCAATAAGAGAAGCTAAAAGTAGTCAAATTCTGATTCAAAGCTAAGAATTACTGTTTCGTTGTTCTGAAAATGGGATAAGTGTTTTGGAGTTATGCTTTTAAACAAACAATATAAAGTCTACTCACTTGCTTGAGCTTTTCTCAGCTTCTTGATCTGACAGCGTTTGCTCCTCGCTATAAACAAAAACATCCAACATTATCGACTCGGTTTTCCTACATCGAAAAACGTTAACTACAAACTCGGACAACTGTTAATAAAATTTTGACCAGAATCGACTGACCTGAGTCGAAAGTTAAGATACAACGGTAATATTGCTGCAAATGGTGGTTCCATACTCCGCGGTTCCATTTCCATGCCATGGGCATGTTGAACACCACGAAGTAGGCGAGTCGAATAGACCGTCATTTGAACAATCACAAGTCTACCTGTTGAAAAGTTTGAGGTAAAACACGGAACACGATACGCTGACGAAACGGGTAGGTCTTTGGGTTGTGAACCTATCGATATTGTCGTAATTATGACCACTTTAGCCAATACAAATTTAGGCAATAATGACAACGTTAATACTGATGAAAGCAGTAACAATACGTATTGTCATCATAATTTACAGACAGAGGAAAACCTTTATTATGCGCTCAGACATAATATAGTTTAAAATTTCAAAAGAGAGCTATCAGGCACATTTAGTTGGCTCTTTCTATCAAATGATGAAAAAGCGGTGAATATCGTGGTTATAAGAAGTGAGGACTGGATATTGGACCACATAAACTAGCACCAACAATTATTTTTGAGCCTGAATGTAGATAATGATTGCTTAAAAGTATATGATTTCATCCAAACCGATAATTGAACTTTCCCGAAGCAAGTGGAGGGGACATCAAAGGGGGACATCAAAGGGGGGCATCAAAGGGGGCATCAAAGGGGACAGTAAGCGTAGATAACTGAAACTGTCAACCAGAGGAGAAGTAATAGAATCAAAATGGCATCCTGTTGTGACGCTTGCCCCTGTACCACAGGGTGCAGAACTGATAAATGTTGCTTCATGACGTCACCTTGCCAAACATAGTGCCAAACCCATGTACGCAATAACGATTGTACGTCCATACTTTGAAAATTTTTTAAGCTGTTCTCCATTGAGGAGACGTCTGGTTCGGTGGCGAGACGGGGCATAAAGTCAACCTATGAACAACTGAATGAGTTTTATTCTGTCGATTCACACAAGAATGAGGAAGATTGTGTTTTGGTTTCTATGGAAAAAGGCTGTATTGTTACGCGTTAAAGATGATAACGGCTTGTGGCCAAAAGCCAGGAAAGGGGGTATTTATAAGATCAATAGCAATATGACCGAATAAAAGAATGGAATCAGTACTGTGAAGGCCACTTCATCGAAAAGCTTTTGACACATTGCGGGCAGATGGGTGACTTCATGAATAGGCTACGTTCCTGTATGTAGCTATCTAGAATATTTAGCAGAATACCTCTGACACAGAACTGCTATTATAGAAGGGTAATCGAAAGAAGGGTAACCTGTGTGATTTGATACTTGTAGTCGCCTAACTCAATTGTGAAATATTCTAGAGCATTGTCACAATAAGACTGAATCAGTTCGTAAGCTAAGTGAAACAAATGTTAGCACAAGAAATCACTGCTATGACTGTCACTGTTGCTTGGTAACTTCATCGCTAAACATACCTTCAAATCAGCTGATGGAAATTCGTTGATGTTATGGGATTTGATCGATTAAGCTAACCTATGGACTTGTTGGTTTAAGGAAATCTTGGGAAGTCAAAGACACGTACCAAAAAGGAAATGAAACTGAAGCGTAACAGAATTCGAAAGAAAAGAGACAGGAAACGCCAATCGACATGAATGGTAAAAGAGCACAGGGAAACGCGAATTACTAATTCTTATAATCTCCTGAAAGGGGATATGCTGCCTGTACTATCAATAACTTATGGAGTCACGTGCCTTTGCCGCCGTTACCCTGCGCAATCCCACCCACCTTTTGCAGTAAGCTGCGTGCTGAGCTTTGAGTTGCGTTCCTCACTGAAACGTCATAAAGATTGATTTTCTCATACTCTGATGATAGAGCTGGCAATAAAGCGCTACCACAGCCTATAATTTTGCCATCAACTTAAGGTATAAACAGTTAAAAACATTTTACTATAAAAGCAATTCATTCTCTTTGAATCGATGACGTTTTCATAATACACGTGTTGATCGAAATGGCTTAAGCAACTGTACAAATTTATGCCGTTCAAAGTTCTATATGCCTCAAGATTTGTTTAAAGAACTTCTTGTTCCCATTTTCATTCATTCCTCTTCTGAACTAAAAGCCTGCCAAAATACCTTTAAACAGCTGCAATTGCGTAATAATAAAAAACAGAAGGGTGTGTACAGTGTTGCCTCGGATACCAGCATGGGCACACTGGACTTGCCATTCAAACATCCTTATCAACTCTGCTTGTCAACTCTGCTTATCTTTGAATACATACGAGTAGTGGTACGCAGAGGAGAGCTCTGGAGCAATCGCGTGGGCCACGACAAGGACAACAACTGACGCCAATCATATTTTTCTTGCGTGCTCATTATTAGGGGCGTATGTTAATTTGCATGCGTGGAAATCTGACAAAACTCACAAGAATGGTGTACTCTAACTGCGCTTGCTTTTTCCATGTTATCCTGAGCAGAATTACAAACTAGAACAACAAAGGATTTTCGTCCCTTGTCTAAATTATTTTTCATTCTATGCAGTCAAATTTAAGCTTTGAAAGATATGATTCTGCGAATCACATGTGGTCCGTGTTTTTGTCAGCTGCTAAAGGCTGGTGCCTTTACACTGCCGTCCGCTAGCATTAATACAATCACCATCATGAAATAACAAAGCATTGTTCACATTCAAGGTTGCTCAATTCTATATTCATTGACTCAATTATGTTTCATCTGTCTGCTATACTGAATGATTGAAGTGGGAATTAAGAGAAATCATTAAACGAGAACAAGGAGGGCAGTGTGAAGAGAGGGGTAAGAAGCGTGTGAAAAAGGAATGCACAGGGTAAACAATGGACTGAACAGTGTGAAAAATGGGATGGGAAGTTTGAAATAAGTTTAATGGCATCAGTTGTGACGAGTTGAAATCAGCATTCACGAGCAAACCGATGCTCATTTTAAGTTAGTTTCTACAAAGCAAGAGAAATTACCAGTAGATACTGGCATACGTGGTTTTAAATAGTAAAGCTCTTCAGCCATCAATTGGCAATTCGCAATAATAGACAAACCATTAAGGCGAGGCTTTCTAGGCACAAGCAGAGATTTCGCCGTATCATTCGATCACTGGATTATATGCAACAAAGAACAATCAATTGTTAGCGTACAATCATTTTAAATACGGCGTTAAAATGCGATTTTAGGGATGGGAGGTGTGATACATTTGGGAACTGTTGTCGTTGATCAGATCAGTTAAGTTGATGAGAATTCTTTTATTTATTTGTTGAACTTGTTTATTTTGACTTTAGGCAAAACAAATTATACAAATATGGATTCGCGCAATCTTTTTCATCAATAACTGAAAAATCAAACTGATTTTAACACATGGTCTTTGTCTGAAACACGTGGACCTATCAGAAAAATTATCAGTGATTATAAAAAACAAAATTTGGGAAAGCGTAACAACTCACTTCAAGGAAGCTGATATAATTTTTTTGAAAGCACAAAATGTTACTCATATTGTTTCAGAATGAGAATTTTCTTAAGAAACTTATAACTCTTGTTCGTAAGGCATCGTGCTCTTTACAAAAAATGATTACGTTTCTTAAAATAATAGTTAGCAGTAAAACACTGCAACTAGGATTATTTCTACCGGTAATTGACCGTGTGCTTTGTGAGTTGGCGAAAGGTTCTCGAGTAATGCGGGATGGTTCTTAAACTTGCAAGAGTATTTTTAACTAAATTATGTGAAGATAACATTTCCAAGAGAGGAAAGGTTGATAAATTCTATAGCTTTCAGAATAAATGGCAGCTACCAAATCTTTACTGCATGCCTTGAGAACGATTTATCAAGCAGAGTGAGAGAGAAAAAGCAGTCAACGATGAAGCAGTGAAGAAGCCATAAGCTCCCCCCTCCCCGCCCCCTTGAATTCTACGAAAATACTTTGTTTACAAGCTGTACCCAAGTACTGTTGTTATTGTTATTAACCGTTGCTTCTCCATTGGTCAAGACTCCAAATGTTTTCTTTGGCCATGCTCCTGACGTTTACCATGAACTCGGCTAAAGGGTCCATTTCACACTTTGGGGGCTAGCAAAACCCTTGTCTGTCGCCGTTAGTATTGTTAGTGTCTTATATAGACAGAAAACGAACTAGACAAGTATAATTTAGCAACCAACACGAAAAACAAACCAAAAGTGGATGTCGAATAGGGCGAAACAGATGGAAGAAATACTGGCTTTGGAAGCAAGGTGTTTTACTGGTGCTATGATGGAATGCAGAAGGAGGGATGCCCTGGAGCTGAACAACATAACCGGTGAGGAGACAAGTGTGTTGTTCTAGTTATTCTGAAAGTTGTATCATGAAAAGGAAAAGTAATTGCTTTACAGGAAACGAAAACGGACGACAGAATGTTACCGTTCTTACCTCGTCCTCCAGCAAACTTCTTTCAAAGAAATGACAGAGTAGAAGGTGATAAATTTTTAAAGGATTAGAAAAACAGAAAAGCAGTGCGGTTTTCACTATTTTCTTCAACTATGAAAAGTGAACCTCGTTGATAGAGCCTTTATGTTGCATAACTACCAGTATGGAGCATTCCCTTGTTGCATAATAATTCATTTTGTTCGTATAAAACAAAACAAAATTTCAGAACTGGTTTCACAACTAAATTTAGATTAAATACAAGAAAGTGGCATCAGAAGTGGCATAATGGCAAGGGATGCAGGGGTGGCATCGCCACCAGGTCAGATCCTTCCACTCGTATTCTGGGGCCCTTCTTTTGGTTTTAACACAGTATAAGCGGTTGCTGGTGAAAAACTGAGTGCGCACGTGCTACCTCTCTAGGCGTAGCAAGGAAGTTCTCAAATTGCTGAGCATTAGGCATTTATATGTAAAAGTGATATCCGGAGTTTCGATGTGCGTTAGCAGCAAGATCAATATCAAATAACTAAGCAAACCAGACTATATATAGTTGGAGCAAAAGCAAACCAAAGATTTTTTGTTATTGCTGTTCGTTACAATTCGACCGCGCTGCTTTCGTTACCTCTTAGCCTCCTAATGACATTTTCAAAATGAGGTACCACTACAAACTTGCGGAGTTTTTTATACAAACTATTATTATTTTCACGAATCACCAAAAGCTAAAGGTCAAAACATAGGTCGCATCATGCTATGCAAATTAGGCCAATTTAGTGACAATAACAACATACTTTTCTACATGAATCCACAAATACTCGATTTTTAAGCCGACTATTCATAACAAATCAAAAGAAATGACGTAAATGGATGCTTAAATTAATGAAAATCTTCATCGAAATGTAGACTTATAGCAAATGGAAATACCGTGCATGAATTCTACAAATTTCAACAGAGATTTTAACAAAGCAAGCCATATTAACAGTATTACCAATGTTTTCAAACCAACCTATAGAAAAAATACATTTACCTCAGCTTTCAAGAAGCTGAATGACGGAGCACTGAATGACAGCGCCCTCACCACGTCATGCATTCGATAAAGCATTGCGGCAATGGTCCTACGATTACAAGGACCTACAGGCCTGACAGGTGGGGGGGGGGGGCATGAATAAGTTGGGAATTCACCCCAGGTGAGCCCAGCTCAAAGGTCCATGAAACCAAACCCAGGCGTTGACTGCCAAACTGAGGTTGTCACTAAAGTAATACTGTAATAAATCTTTAAGGGTACCACAAAATATTTTAACCAGATTAAAGATCGGGTAATCGGATAAAAGATCAGTACATTACAATACTAAAGACGTCAGTACTGAACATTCAGAAAAATGGAAGATTATTGTTATGAATGCAAAAACAGGTATAGACAATAAGAGATGCCACTAAGGGCTGGTATGCTGCATAAAGGCATCGCCTAGCGTGGTATCCTCCGTATTCACTTTTTGTTTTCTAAATTCGGTTTTTCACTTTTCGCTTTTCTACACGACTGTGGTCGCAAATGGAAGCTGAGTCAGAGAAAGCTTGGAAGCTCGCCCAGCCTTATTTAAAATTTGGTCTTTTTGGATCACTAGAGCAAATGTCTTCAAATTGGGGGCTGAAAAATGTCCCACTGGAAAAAAACAGATAGCTCCAAAAAAATTCTAGAAATTACAAAAATAACGATTCTTTGCCGATAATTTGAAAAAAGAATCTGTGAATCGCAGATAAACTTGGTAAACCCTTTGAGATGGGCAGGGAATTTTGACTGATCTTCCTCGTAACAGTTAAAAACGCTGAAATCGCTGACCATATGCTCAAGAGCAACATGAACATGAACAAGCGTCACTGTATTGAACAGCATCTCAAAGGCAGCAATCAAAATGTTTACATGGAGATGTTCCATTCTTGAAGATGCCTTGAAATTCATTGTGTTTGCTACATGTGAAACAAAGCACCAGAAACTTCATAGGACTTTAGCGATATTCTTGGTTAAGCATACGATAGATCATATTAGCAAAAAAATTCCAGAGAATAGAACTTAAAGAAATCTTGTATGAAAACGGAACTGGATTTCGGATTGAAAAGAACAGATTTTGTATCCGTTTATGTGTACATATGGGATTCATATGCATATTCTACAGCCAGAAAATCAATGCTGCATAGTACGACTGGGAAGAGGCCGGAAGAATGAAGGTAGTGGCGGGAATGAATGACTCAAAAATTCAGCTTCTTTAGTAAACCGAACCGGCATGGTGATCGAATATTGCTAAAACACAGATTGGATATAGCTCGACGGGTAAGAATGTAGCTGGACAGTTCGAAAATATGATAAAAATATAACACAAATGGAACTTTTCAGCATGGTGTGCTGATCAAAAGGCTTTGACGCGTAGAACAAGGGCCTCACCTCTTCGACCAAATCCATTTTGAATGCCTCACCATTCTTTTCGGCAACGTCCCTACCTTGTCGTGGCCAACAGTGATCAACATTAAAAAGCTTTAATTTGCAGACAAGTTGAGCAGCCAAGATCATCATTTGTATTGCTTACAGATCGGAGAGGTCTTCGATTATAAATCCATAATCACAATTAAAGTCACAATTCCTTTGTTGACCCGAACGAGGCGGATTCCCCCCTCGCTCAATCCGCACGTTGACCTTGTCATTGAACTCACAGCGACGTAGAATGAGAAACATGTCAATACTAGAGGTCATTTTATAAAATGGCAGACCAAGGCGGTTTTCTTCATTTAAGTCAATAAGCCGAAGGGCTTTCTTATTCATACTGACTGAGATAAGGTCAGACCAACAATTTCGTGGGAGTCTGTCATAGCAACGGAAAATCCAGAACAGCATATAGCCTGTCCTCTCTTGACATCTTCCTACGATCATGACGAACACAGGACGTGCTCTTGATTGGAAAATTTAAATTTCAACGCAAGAACTGACACACTAGAACTATGTTCTCTAACGAATCAGAACCTTCAATAAAGGGTGACATTATTGTCGAGTCCTTTATTTAAAGCCATTGAAATTCTTATGCGGGTTCCGTCCACCTTCTTGCATCTGCTTTAAAAAGCAGCTTGGTTTGCTTGCCATGGAATGTAACGTAACATCGAGGTTCAAACCCAGTGGAAACCAAAGTAGTAAAGATAAATAACGCCCAAAGTTTCTTAGAGACGCACTTGACACCGATCATTTCATTTCAAGGAGATCCTATTAAACAAAAATAATTTTCAAGTCCCAATGAAAACGTAAAACTGAAAGACATGCTAAAAAAGGAGGGGAAGCCACGCAGTTGCTTCATGAACCAAACAGGGTGAGTTCTATCGAGGGCTAGCAGTCAAAACACATAAACGTCTGCTTGTCAAATATATCTGCCAACCAAGGAAAACACACAAATCACCAAGGCTTCCTCGCTGGAGACACATTTTTTTTATGTTACATGGTTCAGACTGGTCGCTAATGGATTAGGAAATGTGGGGCTTTAGCTAATAGGAAGCGACTATGGTGGTGAAGAACTTCGTGACTGCTTATTGGTTTCAAAGAAGTGTTCAAGAGATAGGAAAAACCCTTAAATAGTACAAGGATATAATCATAAATCTCTGATAAAATAGAAGGATTTCGAAAGGATTCGCATATTGATTTATAGCACGTGCGTCCATATCAACTTTTGGGCGACCAAAGCTGTCTATCCTCTCTCTTGTGTAGTTGATTTATTTACTGTAATCAGGCGTCTTTAGTCGTCTTTAGTCGTCTTTAGTCGTCTTGAGTCGTCTTGCGTCGTCTTTAGTCGTTTATAGTCGTGTATAGTTTTCGTAAATTGTTTACTGTAGTTTACTGTCGTGTATCAACGCGTAACATCATGTTAGGGCGTGCAATATCTTGTAGCGGAGCATAGCCTAGCGTTGTGTAGAAGGCCACGAGGCATGAAGAATATTGTGGGAAATGAAAAGGTGGAAAAAGAAGCATAAAATGCTTGATATGATTGGTAACATGGGCCTAAATAACACTTGCTTAATCTTTCATAAACATAATAACTATAAACTATACCTTTAGAAAATGTAGCAAAAATTAGGCTTCCCATTGTTGACATAATTCAGCGATACGGCACCAGAAAGAAGATTAATTCAGAAAAACGGAAAATGAAATTCATACACAAAGCCAACAGGAACTAATCAGTTGATTTGATTATCAAAGGTGATTGAAATAAGTGATTCCGTTCTGATCAGGTTGTACATGCGAAGATTAAAGAAGTTTGCTTGCAAAGCGGTGTGATGAAAAGAAAGCTCTAAAGGATTGAGATGAATATCTGGGTTGAATCGACAAGTAACTATATACTGTGCAGAGGATGCGGGAATTAATCTTTTAATTGTTAAATTACTAGTCTAGTCATCAATGGAACACGAAACTGTTCAAACGCATTTACCAACAAGTTCCAAAAATAAGCAGGATGTGAATCAGATTACTAGTATCAAAGAACAGAATGGTCTCCCGTTGCCCTGATGCTTAATAAAAATTGTCTGGTAAAGTAATTGTACGTATTTCGCTTCAGAATAAAATTAATGACAAGAAATGCATTTAAGATTGAGATAATGACGATAATAGGTATGATCTTTTAAAAAGAAGTTTGGCGTTTGAGATAATAATATCCGAAGTACAAGTGTGATTTAGTTATCTTGCGAAAATGGAGTTTAAAGGACGATTATGATTAGGATTATTATCAAATACACTCAAAAATTGCAGCAGTCAAATGTGATTATGCGATTACGAGATTACAGGTGTCAGGGTCACCAGTGTTCCTGCTGATAAGTATTTGATGCGATTAGGTAAAGAATTATGATTATGATGATCAGTATTAAAATCCGATTGTTGAAAATTGAGGAAGAGACGAACAAGGAAAAGTCTTTTAATGAGTAAGGCAACCCCCGTCCTTGAGTCAAAGAGCATGCGCAATAATGACTTCGTTCCATGTGCATGTTTTTTGACTTGAGGAGGTAGGGTTGCCTAATTCATCTAAGATGTTCGCTCGCTCGTCTTCCCAACAAGCAAATGATAGCACTGATGGCTCTTAGTCGAGCCATAAGACTAGCAACGATTATAACTTTGATCGGTGATGCCGACTTACCCTTTTCTATATCTGAAAACAATGGCAAAAAAGGAAAGAATTTGAAATGCAACACATGTATCGAAATCTGGCTATTATACGAACAGACAATATAAAGCAATATAAAATGCGAACAAGAACCAACCTTTGCTGACTTGATTGCTACAAAAAGAATAGAAATCTTTAAAAAAACCGTGACAATTTTCATGTTAAGAAAGAGATCTAGATAGAACAATCATAACAATTTTCATGTTTTCAATTTTCGTGACAATTTTCATGTTAAGAAAGAGATCTAGATAGAACAGCCTTCCTATAATAATTGCCAAGCTATCCACATCAGAGAAAACTTGCATTCTGTGTTTTCGTGTTGAATTCAACTGGGCTTTTATAAATTTAGACAGAATGTAAAGTTTGATTAATTTAAACCAAAGATTAATTTAAAAACTCCAGAAAACAGAGCAACATGATCAGTTGGTGGTGCATGATATTTCTTTCCACATGTGATCTTTCAGAACAGGTCTGTGGATATCAATCATCATTTCATGTGCTTTGTAGCTTCTTCCACATTAACAAAAGGCCCTACCTGGAACATATTTGTGAGCTTGCAAATATTCAACTTAATAGCGAGGGAACACATAGCGTTTGGACAATGTAAGAGTTTGGTCCCATCCTTAAACAAGGATTGAGATCCAGTTTTCCCCCAAAATAATTGTCAAGCTATCCACATCAGAGAAAACTTGCATTCTGTGTTTTCGTGTTGAATTCAACTGGGCTTTTATAAATTCAGACAGAATGTAAAGTTTGGGAGCAACATTCCTCCTAAAACTTTGCATTCTGTCTGACTTTATTCCTTTGATGGGTGGACGCTTCTCAGTTCCAACAAATGACAGCAGAAGTAGACAAGTGAGGAGTGTTGAAGTAACTATTTTCAGGAGAACAAAGCTTGAACTATAATATACCTTGTCTGGATCTTCATTTAGCGAGTTCCCTCGACTGCGCATCTCATTGTGTGAATCTAGAAGATTTAAACCAAACTCTCATTAATTTTTAAACTTCAGTGAACGTAGGGGCCCAGGCCTGATCAAACATACTAACTAGGGGGTAATTGCCCCTCTAGCCCTATTGACTTGGCAATAGACAATAGTCCTCATTCTTATAGGAACTATAATAAGGTTTACTTCTGTGGTTCCTAAGAAAAGGCTAAAGTAGGGTTTGTATCATTTAAGGATTTGGTCCTCCTCTTCAAACTCAGAGAAAATCATTTACCGGGAGGGCGACTGCTAAAGTCGCTTACAGAGAGGGTGATGCAATATACTGCAGTCCTTCTTTTCATAAGAATTATGGCATTATCCCACAGTTAAGTCTCTTGAAAAAGGCTTGGAGTCATGTACATCATCATCATCATCATCATCATCATCATAATCATTCACAGTCAATATCATTTTAGCATCATGTCATGCATTGCTTATATTCATTCATTTTGCAATGGAAATACTCGAACCAAAGATTAATTTAAGAATTCCAGAAAACAGAGCAACATGATCAGTTGGTGGTGCATGATATTTCTTTCCACATGTTATCTTTCAGAACAGGTCTGTGGATATCAATCATCATTTCATGTGCTTTGTAGCTTCTTCCATATTAACAACAGGCCCTACCTGGAACATATTTGTGGGCTTGCAAATATTCAACATAATAGCGAGGGAGCACATAGCGTTTGGACAATGTGAGAGTTTGGTCCCATCCTTAGACAAGGATTGAGATCCAGCCTTATATAAATGCGCGCAAAACCATGATCTACTTGGCCACAACCTGTTCAATATAAAAGACAGATACCAATAACCTAGCAATCTTACTTGGCAATGATAGGCTTTCACTATCTGTATCATCAGTGCCTTCGACTTTTCCTGAGAAGAAAGCAACATAAATCATTAGATACTCCAAAATTAAAAGATGGAAATTCCATACCACGTATACTGAAAATCCAATTGAAATTCAGACAATGCGAAAGAGCTTCAGTTTCGAATTTTTGTTTCTCGTCACTGCGGTTCAGTGGATTGACAGATAAGAATTCATCATTAGCTCCTTCGTAGTAACCGTGAAACACAAAGTATCTAAGTAGTAGAGAGTGCGGGAAAATAACAGACCCGAGCGAGGCTCGAACTCACGACCCCTGACTTTGTATGTCAAGTGCTCTACCGCTGAGCTATCGGGTCGTGCTTTCAAACCAACACCCAAAGCCGAGTCATTCACCCGCACTGCCCCTCTCTTTTACCAGTTACACAGGGGAGCCATCGCAGCGACCAAATAGCTCAGCGGTAGAGCACTTGACGTACAAAGTCAGGGGTCGTGAGTTCGAGCCTCGCTTGGGTCGGTTATTTTCCCGCACTCTCTACTAATTATCTTTAAAAATCCTGTTGCCTTTAAACAAAGTAACTAGTTCTACCCGCTATCCGGTAAATGTAACTTCTGTATATGGTTGATTAATAATATATATATTTGGGCCTCACTTAAAATTTATAAATATGGATAATCACCTGACGATCGATTAAGGATTGAAACTCGGAATTGCAGCTAACGCCATGCTCTACGCAACAGAGCGTGCACAGCTCTGTTTATATGGAATCGATCACTTCACAATAGACCCGTGAAGAGTCTTTTAATATATAGCACCAAGCACCCAGCTATAGTTGACCATGTCATGGTATTTGATTGACTTGAGAAAGGGGAATTAGAGCCGACGATGGTAACAGAGCCTTCGAGACCCCAAATTGGCGCAGTATGAATTACAATACTGAATGTTAGACATTGTTACGAGGCTACAACTAATGACAATGCCCGGTAAATGCTTAAATAATATTTTAATTTTTTTAAATTGGTTTATTTATCAATTTGGCTTGGGGACAAGTGGCATACGAATTTAGACTTAAATCCAAAAATAATTTGATGATATCTTCCTCTGTATTGACCTATTAAAGTTTTGGGTTAAGTTTTTTTAGGAATTTCTCCGCGGAAACCACTTAGTCTTAGAAACCATCCTGAGAAATGTCTTCGCAAAACTATCCAAAAGGAAACCGAACTAAAAATGTTTGAGGAAAATCTAAGCTGTATACTTCGGTTAGGCACTATATCTAGACAAGATATCCATCCTGAGAAACATTTTTTGGAATCACAAAATTCCAAAGAATAGAGAAAATCATCAAAACCCGCTTACCAGTTTTTTCGCCTTTCTGTATTCCAGGTTTTCTCGAGATAACTGGCTTATGTATCTTCGGTTTTTCCATTATCTATAAAAAACGAGCAAATCAACCAATTAACATGAAGGAGGATCATAGAATTTAAACACAATACAGTGACATACAAAGGTAAACTTGCCTATTACCATTCGGTTTCATATACCCGTAGCTTTGCCACAACCAGGTACATTGTTAAGCAGTTACCAGGTACATTGTTACATTGTTAAGCAGTTGCCACAACCAGGTACATTGTTAAGTACCACAACCAGATACAGAGAAAAATTGCTCGGATCGTTTTATTATAAAATTTAACTTTTGTTTAGTCTTGTTCACGCTCATAAAACGGCTCGTAAGTACTGGCTCATAAAACAACACATAAGGTAAAAATTTGTAATTTTCTTTCCAAAGATCTCAACCCTTTTTACATAGATCTCAGGTCCATGTGCAAATATATCGAGCCGAGCAGGTTCCTAAACATGAAATCAAAAGACCAAGAAAACTTACTTTCAGTTTCCGCTTAATTCCAGTGCAAGAGACTTCGATTGATTCCATGCAGTTGCCTTTATGGACATTGTACTCGCATACTAAATGGAGAAAAGCGCGATCCAGTAAAAGGCTTTATTCATTTCAAAATAGATAATAAATTCATTTTAAAGAGCCCCCATTGATACAAGCTATAACAAGGGCTAGCATAGTCAAGGTATGTATAAGTGCTACATTACACGAGGCATCAAATAATGAGGCACATGCATACCCTGACTGCTTGAAATGAGACGCATAAATATACATACACTATGTAAGGATTTTACTCCTCCTTAACTTACATGCCACCTTAGGGTATACGCCTTACTAGACGTGTTCTCATTAAACATGCACCTTTTATGAAGATTACTACGTTGTAGAGAAAGTTCGTAGGCCCTTTTGCTGTTCTTTTATCTTGAGAATTCTGGCAAACACTTTCCAGTTAAATCTGATTTTGCTGCAGATGGCAGAACCACAACTATCTCCAAATTCGCTAAGAAAATAAATCTCCTTTTCTCTCGACCTGTTTTGGCCCCTTTCGAGTTTCGCTGTTGCTCTTAGTTGAATGCAATCTTCATACCTTGGCACTGCATGCCTTGAGTCCCAATGCCCCAAAGCAGCCCTTCGCAGTAATTGCATAACGTGCATTCCGTGTACTGTGTGCCGATAAATTGGTGTCCTTTCACGGTTACCACCTGAACAAAATAAAATGTACAGTTAAAAAGACATAAACATACAACGTTCATAAAATACTTATTAGGATGAAAACTGCAGTGTTTAACGAAACGATGAATTTCTAAACGATCTCTCAAATTCATAGAGCAGTTTAAGCATATAAAAATGGACATTTATATCTGACCGAAAATATTTAGAACATTTTATCACAGATTTGGCTATGCACTTTGTAAAGGCTCAATACAGAGAAATTTTCACTGTGTACGTATCTTAACCTTCTCAAGATCTGGTTGTGCTGCTAAACATGAACAGAATGACTGCTGTGGATTTCAATCGGATTTGACAAGCAAATAGGGGCATGATCTCTATATTTTTTCTATAGCTGGAGATTGACTGAAAATTGCATCTAGTGCTTACGCTTAGATGAGCTTTAAAAAACACGAATTAACAAGCAATATATTGCTCGTTTATTTACAGCCTTAAAAGTTTAACTAAGGGCTATGTTTAGAAACCTTTGCCGGCAGGTAATGACAGTAACCAAGGCATTGACGCGAAAAGAACAACTTACCTTTTTACTTGGTTTGAACTTAAACAAGGAGCTTCGTTCTTTCTCAGCAAAACTTTTGTGACGCTCTAATGGATTTATCTGACTTCCACCAGTCTACAAACCGAGAATATCTTACAACTATTGCTTCAAATCTTACAACAATAAACCGAAAATCAACCGGGATTTTCACATTCTTTATTTATTTAACCCGGCACTCGGTTTGAGTTGTTTTGAAAATTCTTTGACATTAGAAGTAACTCAAAGAACAAACATGCACATTGGTGAATTTCTCCTGATTCAAACTTAAGGGGAAATTATTTTTGCTTTGTTTCATGGATAAGGCATAAAACACGTATCCAAAAGCATTAAGGAGACATACTAACAATACTTACTGGAAATACTAAAAGAAAGGCTTACAAGATCAGCTGAGAATGTTGGTTGTTAAGAACGTATATAATTAGAGAGCACATTCTTAGAGACTGGGCAAAAACAAAGCTCAGAGGAGAAAGAGGGCCTTACTGAAGAACTTCTGGAAAGGAATAAACAAAGAAATGAATAAAGAAATTAAAAAGAAACAAAATGATATTAAAGAAGAAGGACAAATTTTGATCCAAATGCTGAAATAAATGCGCATATCTAAGGAATATCACAAATAGGCAAATATAAGATATTTATCCACTACGAGTTTTCTATTCATATTTACGAAGACAGAAATAGACGGAGTCGAATCGTCAAGCATAGCTTGATTAGCCAAGACTAAAAATAACAATGCTGCTGTTAGCTTTATCCCTTAAATTTATCAAGAAATTAATACCTTAACTGAAACTCCAACATGCTTCATAAATGTCGTCAAAGAAGAGGCCATCGCCGAGCTGAAATAAAAAAATACGTCAGCAAGCTAATATGTTTACGTTAAAAAGAAAACACAAATTGCTATATTACTCTATTGTTAATAGCAAAGCATTTACCCATTATAACACAAAACTTAACTAAAATGAAAAACTACAGAAGGGTTATCGAGGGCCCTGAAACTAAGCTAGTAACTGTACATAATATCAAATTTCAATGTATTTATCCTCTTCCATTACCATTAGAATACCAACGTTATTGCTTAAATCAACATTAGAGTTTGTTTGATTTTATTCATAATTCGACTAACAGATGCAACAACCCGCATCAATGTGCAAGGAGAGCAGCAGAGCTGTGATTGTGCTATATGGAGGACGGGGACCAAAGGCTCTTAAATTTTCAGTAAAAACTTGTTCATAGCTAAGAATCAAAGTTTTCCTTGCAAATATGTTCCCAAGTTTTAAAGTTCAACTCATGGCCTATACAGATAACAAATATTGTGCTTTCTAACAAAGCTTTAGGGTCAACTTTCTATGATTTCAGGATCAAATTCTAATATCTTCTGTGGAATTCCCGAAAGAAAAATCAATAACGCTTATATTTGACAGGAGAAGTTCATTACAATAGAGTTCTCAAGTGTGACGTCACAAAAAACTATTGTTGGAATTTTCGAATTTTGACCACATAAAAGAACACCATGAAATACTCCCATATATGTAAAATCAGCTAAATTTTCCAAAAATCAGGTGAGAACGGATTACTGGCTCAGTTCATATAGTTAGAGCTTGTGCTCATCTGGTCAATAGTTGAATGATGCATGCCACTTTCTATGCATTGTAAACAAAAAACATTAATAAAAATGTACTAAAAGGCAAACTACCAAAACCTCAACATTCTGTTTCGTGTGTTATCACTTCTCTAACACGTATGCTGATTTCAATGCAAAGGCTAAAATCTACTAAAATAAGGCTTTTTTAAAATTAACGAAAATAATTACTTTTTCGCCGCATATTGAACAGATTCTTTCGGATTCTTCTCAACTTCAACACTGAAATGAAAATATTGGTAATTAAAACTGGGTGTTACAAATTGTTACACATTGAAAATGTTACAAATAAAAACTGGAGCTGTAAGCGAAAAATCAAGCTGTCATTGCAACCAAACAGTAGAATTGTCCCAACTTTGAGACTTTTTATCTGAGAAGATTTGCTGTGACCTGACTGGAAAATATCCTCATTTGCTGACATCTAGGGCAAGGACAGGGGGCGGGGGGAGGGCAAGGCCCCCGAAAATTTAAATAACACGAGGAAAATACTTTATATTGTATCTCTGTCTTTGATTTCAGGCGTGTAATTAGGTTCTTAATCCAATGGAACGGGGGGCATCTGACGGATTGGAGGGGGGCTAAAAGTTTGGGGGGCTATAATATGCAAGAGACCAAAAGCAAGATTATTCTTATACTGTGACAAGAATTGCTTTTAACTATGGATCTATTCGTTTCTGGGCGTGAAAGTATCAAACTTCAGGTACAGGTGTTGTGACAGCAAGATAAGGCTGGAATACCGTTTCCGGGTTTATATCACACGTTGGCCTAAAAGCTGTAGTGGTGAGCAGATACATGAAAACATGCTAAACGAGGAGGGCAATCGATACAAAGTTTCTTAAAACAGCCGACTTACGTTAGTGCTTCCAAGTGTGGGAGGAGAGTCTGCTCAACAATCTTCAGCTCTTTATCTTTATCCAAATCATCTACAAAAACAGCGGTTCGGCGGTTGATACTTTTATTGAAAACATAAAACGATTCGCACTCGCCGTCCTCGCCAGTTACTTCCTGGATCTCCATCTTACGTCGAAATGCATGAATGAACAAGTTAAGTAATACAAAAATACGATGTTTTAAATATAAATGTGTTCAAAAATCCAGCAAACGGAAGTCTTGGATAGGCCGATTTCTGCAAATCGATGCAAAAGGACAGAGTAGTAGTGATGACAGATCATATTTGCCAAACATCAACAACAAATGGAATCCCACACAATACTCCATCTTGAGCGTGAGAAACGAAAGACCGTGATAAATAGCGGCCCCGGACTATAGGTTTATACGGAAGACGGAGAATGATTGTGATGATTGCGATCATGATTAAGCTGATTACGACGATTGTGTGATAGCAATGGCTGCTATAATCAATGGTGTCTATAATAACGATGGAGTTAGGAATAACGATGGTGACAATCGATAAAGCGACGATTATGTTGATAATATTGATTGATGATCGATGATTATGATGATGGGTTTTGATCATGATTATGATTATGATGATGACTGGTTTTGATGTTTTCTGTTCATAACCGGAAACCCCTTACCTTCCAGCTGATGATCCCCAAATAAGCTACCGAGGCCAAGGGCCCGCTTGCTTCTGAAGTCGGCTAACTGCTCACTAACTTCATTGAATGCGAACGCCCTGCAGACAGAATACGTCATATCAAGTTCAGATGCAATGTTCAACTGCACAAGTTTTACTTGCTCAAGAAGGGAAATGCACAAATAAGAGTTCTCAAGTGTGACGTCACAAAAAAGTATTTTTAGAATTTTCGAATTTTGACCACAGGCACCACATAACATGAAAGACCACCAAAAAATATTCCCATAAATGCAAAATCAGTTAAATTTGTCAAAAATCGGGTGAGCTATGGCCAATCGAAGATTTGAAGTTTTCTAACGGATTACTGTTATTTTGGCTCAGTTTATAAAGGTATGAACTGAGACCAAATTACAAAGGTTTGATGGGGCCAGAGCTTATGCTCATCTTGTCATATCTCAGCCAATTTGTAATACCTTTAACTGATTTTGCAGATTTGGGGGTATTTGTTGATGCTCTTTCAGGTTATGGAAAAAAATTCCAAAAATTCTGAGCAAATGCAAGCATTTCACACCAAGGTAATTCCTTTTGTTAGATCAAGGTACTTGGATTAAAAAAATGAAAGTCGTGACATTGTCTATCTTTTAGTAACAAAAAGTGTCTATATATAGAATATCAGTTGGCTACTGATACAACACGCTCTACTCTAACAGAGTCAACAAACTGTAGCGATTTATTTCTTCATAATGTCCAATATCTATCTATGCAGGGCGGTGAAATACCACAACATACATTGCAATTGTTATATCTTTAACAAATTAGAAAAATATTTGCAGACAAAGATTTTCCACGCATGAAAAATGAACTATGGAGTTTTCTTGGAAAATAAATATCGCTAAGCCTTCAAAGAGAATCGCATACAAAGTGGCTGAAATCGTTTATACACTGAAAGCATTTCAATACCGCTTTGGATATTTCAAACAAAAGTTGGGATTTCCTGGGAAGTTGTCTCTAAATTCTCTGAAAATATTTGCAAATTTGATAAAAATCTTAACATTTGAGTCTTCAAGAACTGAATTTGCAATTATCTGAAAATATTTGCAATAAAAATTAAATTTTCACTCGCCTTGAACTACGGAATAAATTTCTAAAATCCTCTTCGCTTAAGCTTTTGCTTTTTAGGTTCTCGGCTGTTAAAAAAAGTTTAAAAATTACCATTCATAACATCATTTCTAACAATTTCAAGCACATAAAACGTAGCACTTTGCCACACATTATATTTACTTAAACAGTTTTCATGCTCACTTAAAACGAAAAAGTCAATTAGCTCAACACTGTTTTCCAATGAGACAATCAACCTGCGAATGTCTCGTGATGATTGCTATAGACTGTGGCAGAGGATCAAAAAAAACAATTCTTACCCAGGGCTTGCTCGATCGACTCTGGAACGCATACTTTCATTGGCTAAATAACAGAAGGCAAAATAAGTGAACTATTGGGAAGGAAGATAAATGATGATGCAAAACACTCAAATTCGTAAAACTGAAAAATACAAAATACAAAAAAAATGTAATCATTTGTCAAACGAGGTATGTTCACATGCATTCATGAGGTCCAAGTTTGCTAGACTCTCAGAAAGAGTGGGCGAAAACAAGAAAGGAAAAATAGCCTTTCCCTGTAACGGGAAAGATTCTAGAATATATCTGTACAGTTGACAAATGCACAGGAGCATGTAATTCCCTTGGGGGCAAAAACAGGGAGACTGATATGGCATCATGGTAAAAACTTCATGGTTTACTACCAAGAATTTTCTGACAAGGGATAATTTACAAAATTTGTTCAGTAATCCAAAATCTGAAAAAAACCATTTGTCCTAAAGTACCGTTACAGTTAAAAGCACAAAAAAGCCACACAGATTTTGTGCCGGTTTTCACTGTATACCAAAGCACAAAACCAAACTTCTACATAGAAAATAGTGAGCAGCCTAAAGCAGGTCAGATGTCCATAAAACTACTACCCTTTTCTCCCCAGATGCGTGACTGAAATCAAAATGGGACGTTTCTATGCATGATAAATATGCTAGATATGGTCAGATAACAATGCAGGATATTTTATATGAATCAGTGAGAATAAAATCGAAAACTCACTGCAGATGGAGCCAAGAACGTTGAATATATCTCGTAGGCCCATTTCCTGAAATCTTTCAGTGAGCCTTCTTCTTTTGCATAAGTTTCTGTAACCAGCCAGAAAAACTGAAAAAGAATCAATCATTATAATATCGTAGCGTAGTTGTTGTAACAAAAACTAAATCGAATTCGGCACGTGGAGAAACTTAGGCTGGTTTCGGAGGATAAACAAAAAAAGGTGCGTGAAGCAGCATAAACAATGTTTTTTCCCATGAGGATGGGGATTATGCAATAATGAAGTGGATATTATCTTTAAAGCGGTGAAGATATAAAATAAATTGGACAAAACGTTAATCGTTTACAGCCATTTAGACCTCTTGCCAGGCCTTGTTCTAAAAATCAACAAACAAATACTTACTAATGCACTTGGGTCACTATTAGACATCAAAAAATGTAGAAAAACAGCCAGATGAGCTGAGGAACGAAAAATTCAATAAATTATTGATAATAACATCTGGTTAACAAGGAGATAATGAAGTGATAAAAATGATGCTTAAACAACGCTTAGACAAGATTTTCCTGGCAGATCCAGAAAATGTCGCATTCGTACCACTGATGTTTGTGAAGGAGGTCCATTTAAAACAAAAAAAATCCTAGCAAAAACCATTCAGGGAACAACGAACTTCATTGCTTATTTGAGGGAGGTTTCGAAAGTGTTGTTTAGTGTCCAAAGAAACAATAAACATTCTTTTTACTTTTAGATGCCATCTCCAAGTACTTTGGCACACCCTTTCTTAAATATCAGCCTTTTTCGACTCGACAAGAGTCGTGAGTACAAGTACAATCAACACTGATTTTTGAAAAGCTGCTCAAAGCTGCACCACGTCAACAATGAGGCTACAGGAAACTAAATAACATTTTAGCTAGCTTATGTAGAGAAAAAGACAGTTGTAGAGAGAAAAAACAAACCTGGCTTGGATTTCAGAGTATCTAAATCGAGGAATGGCCCATGATCATCAATCTAAAAGAAAATTTTAATCATTATGTTATTGGAGTGCTGATGGTTATATTTACATATGCAATGCTGAAATATATTTCATAAAGATTTTGAGTATTTCGAAATGATGTTCATATTGAGCTATTTGGTTTCAAATTTCCCAGTCTGGCACTTTATCTACCATCCCTTGAAGGTTCTTTATATTTTTCCTTAAGGATTCCGCTTTCCAGTTGCTTATTGCATATTTTCTATGCCAGCTCAAGCAAACTTCAGAAAAAATCACGTATCTGAAATTAAAATGAAATCCCCCGTGAAATGTTCGTTCAGAAGTCTGTCAACTTCTACACGGTCTATTTGTACCCTGCACATGTCACATAAGCTGCAAACTAAAAACTATGAAGGTAGCCTTCACACCAGATGTAGCTTGATGTTATCAAAAAATATGCGATCAAAGCTCATGAGAAATTACAAACTGAGTTTGAAAACTTGTATTCAGTTTGGTTCACAAATTAAAGTACAGATATCTAAATTTAACCAATTAAGGAATGAAAAATAGCAAAAACCAAGTACAAAATATATATAAAATTTAAAATAGCATTTTTAACAAACATATAATGTTACTAAAAAAATGCTATTTCAAAATCCATCCATTCTTATTAAAGGAGGCCTACTTCAGTTTGTCCATTAGATAATTTGAACATTAATTCTTTCTATAGATTTCAACCAAATAGCTGCTAGCTGTGTCAGCCCCTCAAATGAAAATGTTAGAAAGATGTTCCAGCATGGGAAATCTTTCCTTGCCCTATATCATTGTTTATACGAAAAGCAGCAATGATATTTGCTATTTTCTTGCGAGCAAGAATACAATGTATTTACCTTTTCGTCGGCACTATCGAATTCTTCTTCCTCCATCGAAATGACCGACATTGCCGAATTTACTGGTTGTAAATTCTCAATTTTCCCTCCTGGAACAAAACTGTTGCTATCCATCTTCGCTTCTTCTGTGTTATTAGGCCGATATGGTTTTTTGGCTTGACTCACTGGCTCATCGTCGACATCAGATTTTGTCCGCGTGTGGTTTAATTCGTCCGATTTGCTTCGTGTATGATTCACATTGACGATGTCGGTCGTCTCTGAATGAACGGTGGGAGGTGAAATCGGAACCGGTGGACTAATTGTCGGCCTTTCCACTAGCGTTGGTTGTCGTTCGGGGCCGGCCTGACGATCGTAAAATCTCGAGAATGAGCGCAAAGAAACAGTTCGTTTCGGAGCCTAGGAAAGGAGAAGACAGTCTTTGATTGTACATTACCTCCTGATTCGAGGAGTAGGCTGTATGGGTAGCCCGTTGAAAGCCCTTTTGCCCCAAGATTGAGGCTTAGGCCTTAAGGGCAGTAGACATATGACTTGGCACGACTGGGCTACCTTGCTTCAATTAACTGTAACAGTAGTCAAAGTAAACATATTCTACAATGAGATTTAGGGAAAACGTAGAATGGGGTTTTGAAACTTTAAGAAAGATGCTATTAAATGAGATTATAAGAATTTGGTAAGAAAGACCATTTGCTTACCCTTAAAAGGAGTGACAGGCTCTGCTCAGTAGACTTTCAAGCACAAAAAGGTATTTTGCATTTCAAAAGTGTTTCAAAATAATCGACGAGAATGTGCAGAACAATAGGATTTCTGAGCACTTTTCCCGAAAACCAAAGGATTTTTGCCACAGGCGTACGAGATATTCGTGGAGTAATATGCCCCTGGGTTTGAATGGATTCAGTTTCAAAAAATAATTTTGACATATCCAGCCACCAAACTTAACAAACAGAAACCACTACAGACAATCAGAGAAAAATTAAAGAGATTCAGTCAACGATCTGGACTGTAAATGTGGTCAGAGCCAAAATCAATTATGTCCAATACGTAGAAGCATGAAATTTGCTGTTATAATTGAAGAATGAACTCACTTTCTGTTTTTGTGCAGGGACAGAGTTATAGTCGATCTGAAAGTGAAAGAAATAGATTCATAGCGAAATGGGAACGGCACTAAGGACCGAAAGACGATAAATTTCCAACTTAAATAATATATTTCATAAAATACCTCCCAAAAGACAACAAACAATAAAGAATTTATCAAATTTGAGTAAAATATAAATGAAAGTTGATGTATTTGAAGAAGGTTCCAATTCTGAGAATTCCACATTGGTACTTTGGCGATTTCTAAGAAATTTTAACTGATTAATATTTGTGCAGGTGTACTCGGCATAATTGATAAACGGACAAAGCATTGCTTTACCAAGATGGTTACAAATCATAAAAGTATAATCACAAGCATAGCGAAAGAAAAATGCTGAAATGCCATATTCATGAATAAAAATTTGAAAAAACCAACAGCATGAAGCTTAGGAGCGAAAGTGTTTAAAAAATAGTCAACATACCCTCCTAGACTAGCTCGAAACAGTTTTTAGTAAATGTTGTTGCTTAGTTGTATTTACTAATTTAAATGAATCTTAATAAGCTAAGCTGATATGTTTCTCTAAGGTAAAGTGAAAAACCAAAGAGAAACTCTCACGTGTGTCTCTGTGAAACTTTATAACCAACTAACTTCAATAAAAAGCTTTGTACAAACTCAAAAGTTGATAATAGAGAGTTATTGAATCTAATACAAAAGGAAGAGAAAAAAGCTAGATGAAAACAATAGGGCTAAAGAATTACTGCGTAAGTTCAAAACAAAAGGTGTTCTCTGCTATTGTTTTGCGGGTTTGTTTGTTTTGCGAGTTTTGCGAGTTCACTAAAAGTCTAAAAACACAAACAATTAGAAAACAGCCAATTGTTGTAGCAAATGTTCTAACCAACGTAAACACCATCCATATCAACTGCTAGAACAACTTTAAAATGCCCATGTTGTACTTCATTCTAATCTCTAAAATTTTCAAATTGCTTGCAAGCAATATTCTTGTTTACTTAGCTTTTTCATAATCAATGTAACATTTATCTATTTTAACGCCTTAGCTTGGTCGCAATCATTAATCAATGGTTGCAATGAGTATTTTGCAAATCATTTTTCATTGAATACCTTGGTCTGAGATATCTGTTTCAGTAGGGATTCTTCGGATGAACTGGACGGTGTTCTATCGCCTGAACTGTTGCTCAAATCGGTTGGACTAGCTTCGGGAGCAGCAGTAACCGGTTTAAAAGACGAAGACGATTTGATCCCTTGAACAGAATGCGACCTTTGATGCTGCTGAAATGGCTTCCGTGCTGCGTGGAAGTCTGACGTTGATCGACTAACAGTTCTTACGGAGTTCTACAACAAGGAAGAATATCGACTTGATTTTTGACGATATTGTCAACTATCTATGTTTACAAGTGGGCTTCTACACTCCGCCCTAGGCAAACGGGTTTACAATGGCAATTAGTTGCATAAAATAAATTTTTGCTGGTTTCTTCAAATGTCTGAAAAATTCAGATATTGCCTTTAATAGCATGGTTTACAGGCAAAGACGTTGCAATCAAAATGGAAAACTACGATTATATTGTAAAAAACCATAATACAAGCAAATCTCTGAAATCATGACAAAAACTAACATTTTCCAGTTTGGTACTTTGCACTAATGCAGGCACGGATGACAAGGTTCGATAAAAAATCAGGCCCTGCTAGGATGCAGATGCCACTTGGAGCATTGCAGAAAGTTTTCGCGTGAACCCCAAAAAAATTTAGCTTAGAAATGAAGCAAGTTCACTTCTAGTTTCATGAGCTTTTGGCCGATTCCAATAATCGATTGGATTTGCTTGTTACATAGGATCCAAGTAGCTGACTTGAAGACGCATTGCACATAAAGATATACCAAACAGCACAATCGGCGTGGCCACTAGATACCGGTGTGGCAAAGAATCACTCCAAAACATGGATCAAAACAAAGTCATGCCAATAAATGAAAGGGCAAATAAAACATGTGTTTGAAATATAATTGATAATTTCTGCGTAAAAACACAGCAGCTAGCATAACACATAAGAATGATCAAGAACAAGAACTTTCGCATAAACATAAAGAGGTTTGCACTGACAGGTGAATATGTCAATATGTTTTCACCAGTAGACTGCAGGTGACAAACCAATCGTGATTAGATTGTAAATATTTCCACAATGAATTTAATGATTAAAGAACTTTCAGATTATAAACGAATAGGATCGCTCCACTCACAAGCAACGCATAAGGACCATTAAATTAAACAAATATGACAAATATGAATTAAGAATACAAACACGTTAGCTAATAAGGACCCAGGTGAAGAAGCTGTTAAGGGGAAGAAAAATACCATTCATAATGTTAAAAATGCAATGAAATCGTCAACGTAGCGAGCCAACAACTTTCTTGAAATCTTACTCATAGGAAACCCTTGAAATCTTAGATAAATTCCACAGCTAATGGAAATGAGAATGATGCAAGGCATTTGATATTAAAAACAAGAAAACGGTCTAAAACATATGAAAACATGGTAGAAATAGCAACGCTTGATTGACAACACGATATGAGTTCATTGTGAGCTAGAACTGTAGTAGAATTCCAAGAATCTCAGAATAAAATCTACGTATAGAGGCTGTAAAGTTTAGCCTACCTAGAAAACGCACTATGCGTCGTGCAAAGACACGGGCAACCTGCACATCTACACATGAACTCGAATTAGCTACAGCATGATTCGAAAGACAAGTATTCATTACCGAGAAAGAAACCAGAAACCTTACGCAAAGCTTGTCGCGGGGATATTTCCACTGCAATTAAATATCAAATGACCACAAAACTGACATCGTAGAAGCTGACAATGTAATCAGACGACGATGGCTTGCTTACATGGACAAAACCACGTCATGCTATCAAATGAAATTGCGAACTTCAAACAAAACCGAAGGATACGTTTGTTACAAAGCGTCAGTTCATTTACAATATATTTGGCTTGAACTGTAACCAAAGCTCTCTCATCCACTGGCAATCGACTGCGCATAGCCAAACCGTTGTATATTGTTTGAGGAAAATAATTTTTTGCGAACTGGTAATAACACTGACAGGTGTAAGGCCGTCCAACCTGCCTCGTTATGCGCAATGAAATTCAAAAAATACTTTGAGGAGATGAAAAAGCCCTCCTGGGAGGAGGGGGAAGATAAAGAATGAATAATGACTGCAGCTAAAATGGAGTGGAAAACATGGCGTTAAGCCTATTTTTGTACTCTGGAAAGCTCTCATACAAAAAAGTGGAGAATACGAAAATAATTGTATTATTTATCAGTTCTCCTTCAATCCTCAAGAAGGAAATTCGTGATAAAAATTCTGAGACTTTGGTATCCCTAAAGATGACAAGGAGCCAAGAGACCTACATTAAATCAAATATATTTGCGAAATAAAGCTGGTTAGCACTCGGTACTATGTTATTTCCTGTTAATCGATTAGCTTGAAGATTTCGACTGACAAGTGTTACGGTCTCTTGCAAGGGAGTCACGTGCAGTGGATTGGAGCACTGGGGACTGATTTGGCCTAACTAGTTTGTGAATAACCACAGAGTTTCAGGACAGCTCATATTTGATAGAGCGAATTTTTCACTTACCAAATATGCATGCAAACCAAACCCAAATTATTGCAGTAGATGTCACATGAATTGAATAGGCTCTGTGACGTTCTACGACGACGCAGCTATCACAAAAGAACATACGAATAGGCGTGTACAGTGGCTGGCACCTAGACGACAACCTTGGCACAAACATCACCTTCAAGACTTTTCAGGATGGGACCTCTGATCCATTATCACAATGGCTTTCAGCGATATAGCTTGGCCTAAGTTCTCTTCACAAAATACTGATAAACTAACATTCTGCAGTTCTCAGGACACCAATAACAACATGTGTACAGTGAAATTGTAAGCTGCAATCAAACTAAAGCTAATCTCGAATCCAGACATACTATGCGGACTTACCAGCCATCCATCGAGCACTCGTATACAATTTCAAATAACAATACTGATCAATCAATCCACATGTGCAAAGAAAAAATGAATCGCTGTTATAATATTCATCCAACGTGCTTGATTTAATAAAATATGCAGTTCTCCTCCACAACCGTCCGAAGCATACTTATGTTACCGTTACACGTAGCAATAACTCACTGAGCCAGCTACTTAAAGGCTGTCCATGGTTTGCGACTCAAGGTACGATTCCCAATCGACATGCCATGAATCTGTACTCAACAGAGTAGACGCTATACTTGCCAACGTAACACTATAGCAATAACCGCAAATAAATCTCAAATTTAGATCAACTTTCATTTCGAAGCTATCTCGTTTAGAGATGTGTTCACGATTTTACCAACTCTGTCTATTGCCTGCCTAAAACAAAAACTATATCGAGTTTCACAATAAATATGATTTTGTACTGTAAACGGTATCATTTACTGTTTGAAAGATAGTTCGTTTTAGATTGAAAGAGCAAAGCTACGAAACAGGAATTAGGCGGGTAAATTATCATTCCGACAAAACAAACCTCAAAAGGGGGGAGGGAATAGACTACTAATGTAGGGGTAAATTGAGGGAGGAAATGAACATCTTAACAAATTTCTAAATTTGAGTTTTCCTAATGATTTCTGAAGTCATTTCAAATATATAAAAACCAACGCTGGAAGCTAGATAACCAATGAAGTAGAAGATCTCTAAAAACAAGATATAAAATTTTGTACAAAACGCTATCCAATGGGTATCTAAGAAACTTTGAGTAATTTGCTAACCATCAACAGTATACTGCAATGCTCTCCTTGGATTTTCCTTTTATAGGCAATTAAGCTCTCGAACAGCCTTTTTTAGACAATACATTTAACACTATACTCGATACAACACCCGATTCTGGTTTTTCACGCATAACCGTGGGCCTAGTAGAAATAGGGAGGACTACACCGATAACAGTCGTTAGAGCATGATACCGAAAAAAGCCTCTGTGGCAGCCAATACACACAAGATACGCATGCGCGGTGAACAAACATCTAGATGCATTTACACTAAAAGCACAGAGAGAAAATTATGTAAACAACGGCTTACACAGGGAAGTCAAAATTATGTATCATCAAAAGATAAACGAATAAAGGATGGATGGGTATATCGTGTTCACATAGTGCCTAGGGGCGCAAACATTTCTTTGAGCTTAAGGTTGGCAGATTTGCAGATTACAGGCCGAATCCTTTTCAGTCTGCTAATAATGCTAACATGAGACTTAAGCTGGGTGGCTGATTAAGAAACAAACTACTGATCTTGATCAGCAAATGCTTTGAAAACAATCAGACTTTCTGCTTGTTATACACAATTCAAAGCGGCTTAGAATGTTTGGAATGGCGAAAACAACTGAGACTCGCTAAGCTTCTTGCTGTAAGATTTCAAAACAGCAACCTGATTTTGGTATGCGCGGTTTTTATTAATCTTTTCTCGTTTCTCCAATTTTTGGATGCTTAAAGACAACCTTAAGAGGGCCTAAAAGGAAACATAAGGGATTAGGAAACAAAATTAAATAAATTACCGATTTCGGGGCTCCACTTGCAAGGGCCTTTAGCTGATCTTCAATAGCACGGATTCTGATCTGCGAATCAGCAAGCTAGAGGGAGAAAACATATGAAATGACGTCAGCGATCGAATAAAAGGTATTTAGCAACGCTGAAGATCGCCACACACAGTGACCAAACATAAGCAGTGAAAGGTCTTATGGGAGTGGGGCCGGCAAGAGATGTTCTGGAAAGCAAAACATCCAAAAAGCCTTTACAGAGTTGATGGTCTCGGTTTATTATAAAGACACGCTAAAATACTTTAGCAAGCACTGGTGGCAAGTCTTCATGTTCCCATTTAATACTTCTGTGTTCCATTCTGTGTTTTGGGCCCTAAATCAAAGAGATTTCCCTTGCCGAGGTCTTAGATCCCATTACCGGGTCGAAAACATTAGCTGAATAAGGTCAACAGGATGCTTAAAAATATTAGAAGAAAATAATTTTGATTTACCACTTTCTGGGACTCCAACGAAGGTTCTAGAACATACTGCTCTTTAGTTTTCTGCAAGATATTAAGGTTTAAATTGTTATGAGGAAGCAAGTCGTTAGACAATTTCAGTTCATTGGCAGAAATGGTCAAATTATTGATTACAAGGAAGTAACAGGAGATAACACTTAACGAGTTTCTGCCTTGTGGTGGTCAGAAATATTTTCCAGAATAACTGAGCAGTATGAAGTGCTACATACGTTTGGTACCAGCAAGCGCATAACAGTATCAAAACTGGAATGCCAAAGTCAAGTAATTTTTTCCAAACCTGATACGGACTAACTTTTATGAATAGCCTTTTTTACTTTGTAACGGCAAGGGTATTTTTCGATATATCGGACTTCAAAACTGTACACGGGGGTAAAAGACAATCGGAAGTATTGAAAAATCTCGCTTTCAGTCATGAACTGGGAACCAAGCCAGAATGTGGAAAGATGAAAAGTTTGCTTAAAATTTAAAAACTGCTTCTAAAGAGGCAATATAAAACGATCAGTTAGAAAGATTATGAGGCGAAGAACCATAGGGAAATATTTCAACACTTGGATTCAAATATTTTCCCATACAACCCATACAGCAGAGAAGCCCGTATCAAATCACGGAAGAATACCAATCAATTTTAGATTTTATCAGTCAGCATATTAAAGAAGACCTCTGAATACCTGGAAGAACAAACGTTCGTGATCAAGATTTCTTTGCAGGGCCTCGACTTCAATGTCCGGCTTGTATTCCGTTGATTCCTACAAAAGAGCAACAGCATTACGAACATTGGATATAAGAGACTTCTCTCGTACCTTGACAGGGATTAATAACAAAACTTCCAAGAACATTGATTCAAATATAAAATCGGAGCCATACGTTGAAACAGCTACTTTCAAGCGTCTGATCTACTTAGATTTAATATTACAAAATGAAAGACTCGAACAAGATTTCCGGTTAGGTTTTCTTTCGAGAAGTGCGCATTAAAAGGGTTACACGGTTTAAGAATTAATTTGTTAACCTTCCTTGTATAAAATTTGACTCGTAATATTGAAATTGAACTTATGTTGATCAAACAATACAAATTCGCACTCCGATTGAGATTTCTTTAAGCAATATTTAAGAACTTCAGGATTCAAAACGGGCTAATAAAGAAAAGCCAAGCTGTAAAAATCAGAGCAGAAATCGATTTTAAAAATAGGGTTTTAGATAAAATTACGGATTGTTCAATGTAGAAGGGTGTACAGAGGGAAGCCTGAGGGTAAAATTCCTAAATAGAAATGAAAGAACACCAAAAACACAAAAATTTGTCAAATTCATTTTTATAGCATATTTACATGGATAATTGATGTTGTCAATTCAAATAAATACTTACATGGATCCAGTAGTAGGAAGAAGAGCAGTAAGAAAAAAGCTTTGGAAAAAATGATGAGGTGACGTAGATCACACGAAAAAGAGGCTTGCTGAAGAATCGCATGAAAAAGAGGAAATGCGATTGTTCCCTGCAAGGGTAATGATGACGTCGGAGCTGCCTAGTTTCCATACTGCTCGACCTGATGACGTAATTAGTTTACCCTAAACCTAACCCTTACCCTAACCCTAAACCTAACCCTTTACTTGAAATAATTAATCATGCTAATCGTTGACTTCAGGGAAATCAAGGAAAAGCACAACATTGAACAGACGCAATGAAGAACATTCTACCTTATTATGTTTTAATATCATTTGTACTCATGTGACATTTCGCAAGGCTTTACCTAATTTCTTTCCTGTTTACCTTGGTAAAGAATCATGTAATGAGTAGAAATGAACTGAATGAACTCACAACAGTCCTTATCTTGCTAATATTGTTCACAAGTGACAATGGCCTTTGTCTTTCGCTTGGCACTGCAAAATGAAACAGGAAAAGTCAATTGAAACCAAGAAAATGCAATCCCATGAAATGTATTCAAAATTAGTTTTGGCTGCAAGATGAAGATAAGATTTAATAACTGCAGAGAGATTAATATAGGACCTGGAAGATAATAGCATCTTCGAGTTCCTTCCTTGCATTAACATGATTTACGTCAGGGCAATTTGAAATCCAAAATGTCCTAAGTGATATTTTCGTGTTCGAAATCGTGTCACAAAGAGCCGATACTTCACCAAAATATTTGCAATTGGCGTAAAATTATTATTCAATAAACGAGCACGTAAAAATAGAATCAGTTGCTAGGTTGAAAAGCAACTTTTAATTGTTGTCAAAAGGCTCTTAATCCAACCTTGTAAATACAGAAAAAGTGACTGTGCCGTGACAGCAAGAAATCTCGTTGCTCATTCATATTTACAGCCTGTCGGCATATTTAAATACAAGTCTCCTAAGCTTAATTCTATGACCTAATCTGGACTTATTTGCTAGTCGGGGCAAACAGTTAAACAATTTTTAACAATTTCAAAACCCAGTTAAGATTGGTAAGCGCCTACTATGTACAAATATAAAACATTTTTTGCTATTTTATGAACTCCCAACGAATCAAATTTAACTCAGCTCCGTCTTATATGAAAACGTACAATGTTTTGTAAGAACCAAAGTTGACTGAGACCCAGTGTGTTCAAGTCGCCCTATAGATGTATAAATGCTAAATATTGGTCTACTATATATATCAATATTTAAAAAACTTTTTTTAAAAAAGATGCAACACAGAACTGGGCAAACAAGGTGCTTCTTGAACCTTAAGAGAAGATTTTGCCAGTTTCCTCTTGCAAAAGAGCAGCACATAGCCTTGGGTGAGGTAGATACAGCTAGCCATTTTCTCATGTACACAGCACAGATGAATAGCCTTGTTTATCCTAATGAATTGCAAAGGCTTGCATTTCTTACAAGTCTGTGGACCATATGGAAAATGACATTTTGACAAAAAGTTGAACAAATTGGCACTTTCATATGAACGTGCTCATTATTAATTAAGTTTTAAAGAGAAGCCCCTGAGACTTTAAAGACTTGGAGAAGAAAGTTGAACTATCCACTTTCATTGTACTATCACCTTAAAATCCGTTTATTTATTTGTGAAAAGAATGCATATAATTAGGCCGAGAGTATGGGTAATGGATAAAAAGAACCAAAATTTTTCAAGGGTGGCATTAGTTTCATGGTTTTCCAAGCAACACAAACATGAAAGGGTGCTGCCTTCTTTACACCAAAAAATAAAAGGTGAAGCAGACTTTAAAGCAAAAGGTTTTTCTTGATTGGCATTGCAGAGTTAATTGTCCCATGCTATCCAGATACGGCTTGGAGGGCCTTGGTGCTTGAATAACCTCTTTTGATCGATTTAATGGGTAAAAAATCAAAATTCACTGCTGCTATTTCAACTCTAAGCTAACAGTATAAATCCACTTACTAAATTTTGCTTATCAACACTCATTTTGCAAACAATTTACTACAAAATATTAAAACAGCTTTAAAGGCACCAAACATTTTAAGACAAGCAAAACAGCATATTTGTATTGAAGCTTCACCAAGCAAGGTGTGAGACCCATAATATGCCAGAACCTTAAATACCCCTAGATTAACCAAGAAAATGAAAATGCCACAAATCACAAATCTTACACTAGTTTTACAAATCAAATCTTCAAAAGGCCAATTGACTCCTGTATTGCCCATAAACTAGTAAAACAGCTACAAGATAAATGTGCCGAAGCATGGCACAAGAGACCTTAATGAATAGGAAATAATAACTCAAAAGCCCTACATGAAATTAACTCTGATTAAATTTTATTTAATCATCATCAAAACCTTTTCATCTGACACTCTTTCCAAAATAGCACCACAAACTGTCTTGTCACTAATCTTATATAAAACTATCATATATCTTCTTATATCAAATCAAAATATGAAACTTGTTCATAGACAAAAATTTGCATAGGACTGCAGACTTTTTAAAATATGTTATCAAACAATAAATCATATATGTAGCAAGTAATAAATGAAAAATTTTATCTGCAAACTATGACATTGAATAAACTGTGCTAAACTGCTTCCTGGTCGAATCTCTAGCCCATCACTGAACTAGGGTATACCATAGTAATTGTACTCCAGATTTCCTTATACACTGTGCTAAGGTCAGACAATAGGATTTCCACTAAAGATGTACCAGATTCCCATGGAATGACTTCCAGAGATCATATCACCCTTTTAATTCAATATTTCCTGTGTATGGAATATTATTTTTCAACTTCAATTTATTGTAGCTTCCCTTTCTCAACCCCAGTTAAAAAAAACCTCCCCCTGTTAGTTCAGAATACTACAAAAGTATCAAAAAGCCGAAATAGCATAGCAAAACATATTCAAGATGAAAAGGATGGATCTAAGCATTTAGATCTGTTGTACCGAATGCAGATTTCTTTGCTTTAATCTATCTGTTCATAAAACATAACAAGAAACAATGCAAATCAGAAAGTACCCTTTTTGTTTGAATTTTGAATAAAAGAGCCTTTCCAAAACAGATTAAGGATATCTTGATAGATTCCTTGTCCTGAAGTTCTGGGAGGCTGAAGTTGTGTGAGGATGGCTCAGTTTTTAGAGGCACTGACCAAAGACCCAAGGGTCTGTGGTTTGAGTCTCTGGCATGACCAGACTTCCACCCAGACTGAGGAGAGTCACCAGTTCTCTGTAATTCCAGGCATAGGAATCACGAGGTGTGGTCACATCCAGAGGAAGGACTAGGATACTCCTCGATAAGCATTAGCTTCTCAGTGTCCTAAAAACTACCTTTGGATGCTAGGTAGAAACAAATACAAATACAAATGTTTATAGAAATCTGTTTCCCACTAACAAGGCAAATACTGCCTTGCTCTGCAGAGATGGGAAAAGTTCTAGCATGTGGGCTGTGCATTTCAATGAAAAAAATGGCACACCAAAACTCTGAAACATCTGAGGACTAGGTGAAAAATCTTTACAACTCCATCAAAAATTTCTACACATCTGTAATTTTCTGTTAAATAGAATTTAATTATAACATAATGCCCTTTCATAATTCATAACTTTGATCATAGATTCACTAGCTATTTCATCATTGCATGATTATCTATGACAGAATGAATTTATATTCAAACAAAAGAGTTCCAGTTGACTGGCTCAGTCACAGAATCGTTGTCAGAAAAGGATTACCAGAATAACTTTGTAGACATGTCATTAATGCGTTGGTATAGAAGCCAATTAGCATAGTTGGTGAAGGGGGAAGCTTTCAAAACTTGATACCCTGACAGCAACCAAACAGGCGTAAACAGAGCAAATGTTTGTCTAACCCCAAAGAAAATATATTCAAATTCATCAACACGAGATTTCGAGCTAGGTTATTCCACAAAGATAACTTTTGAGACTTGGGGAAGGAAGTCGACCTACCCACTTCCATGGTCAATTGCACCTACATTCATGAAAGTTCTACGATTTATTCTTAAGTTTGCCAATGTTCAGAAGAAAATGCATTTGTGCCCCTTCTAATCACTGAAATTTCTCTGTGTGCGAGTGAAAAGATCAGATTTGGTGGTTAAACAGGCAAGCACCCATCAACGATATTTTAAATGGGATATCACGCAAGGACGCTTCACAGTGGAGTGAAATCAGGGACCAAACGCTCTAAAATTGGCGCTTTCTAAGATTAAATTTCTTAACAAGCTACACTGTAAATAAGCAAATTACGATGTCTTTTAAAACCATGTTCTGTACTTTAAAAAGGATGTGTTTATATTGTTTCCGCCATCATTGTTAAGTAATCACCACAACCCACCGACAGCTAACCTCGACGTTTGCCCAAATGCAACTCTTTAGAAATGAGAAAAAGATGTTAATTTCAACTCACCTGGACTATGGGTGCTTGCCCTTTCACCTGGAGACCTTCCAAGTAACGTCAAAGCCACATACGAACCACCTAAAATCAAATTTATAAGGAATTAGAAGCTAATCCGCGTACACCGTCTGGAAAGATGTTTAGGCCTATCCCCTCTCAATTGCTGTTTCATAAACATGTAGGTCGATAGCCGCCGGGGGTACCTGCTGTGAATAGACACAGCATTAAAAGGACCGTGTGTGCAACTCTATCGCATTCTGGAATCTTATGACCTCTACATAATCCATTCGCTGAAGTAATCGATAATATACATTCTTAAATACCTAATCTACAATCACGAGGCCAAACATGCCATCCTCTGAAATTTTACCAGAGGAAAGCGAAACTTTGGTTAGAAAATGAAATGCAAGGTAGATAAAATATCCAAAGAAGGCAATTATGTGTAATGGCTTTCTTGAATTGAAATACTTGGATATTTTGTACAAGAAAAACACTTCAAACATGACTGCTTTCCAAAGCAGGCAGGCCCTGGGACCCGTGCCACCCCACCAGGATACCCATATATATATAACCAAAATGAGATCAATACTTTGCTTCTCGACAAGTGAAAGATTTAAGTACTAGTCTTGGCTTACACTTTTTTTTATAAGAACCAGTAAATTTAGGTTCAGGCTGACTGTTCTTAATTTTTTAGAAAATCTGAGGCTGGATTGTTCTTAATTTGTTCTTAAATTAAGAGGGCGTAACCAGTGCTATTGCTAGCTTTTTCGCTCTAAAGAGGTGTTCAAGTCTCATTTGCCAACAAAGTGAGTGAGACAGCCTTAATTCGCTGACAAACTTGAATATTCACCGAAAAAGCACCCACACATCGCTAAAAATCCTCGATTTTGAGAAAAAACGTTGTTAAAAATTGCATTTTGCAGAAGCTCAGCCTCAGCTTGTTCTTAATTTGTTCTTAACTTTTGACCAATTTTGAGGCTTGTGTTCTTATAAAAAAGAGTGTACCACGTACCACAATATCAGGGATTAGTGCTGTTGACCCCCGTCAGTAATTAATTAACCATGTCAAGCAGATCTGATTGTTTGAGAATCACTAGTAATTGGTGGCTCAAATCGCTTTGATACGAAAGACAATAACTGAAACATAATCACTAGCAAGATAAACACAGTTGGTTAAATTCCAGAATTTTATCAATTTATTAATTATAGCATTGGTTCGTGAAAAGTTTTGAAATAGCTGAACAGATTTGGAGATCAAATCATCATCAATCTTGAGATCAAATTATAGCCTAAAAATATAAAACAAATAAAACAGCGGACAAAACAATATTTCAGAACGGTTTTTATCAGACCCTGATAAGTAATTCATTCCCAAAATCAAGAATCTCTTTCACTTTAACATTTGACCTTTTGACGAGGTCTCCAACTTTTCAAAAAATAGTTCCGCTCCACAAAATGTTCATGGTTTGCATGCTGAAATTACAGCATATTTTGCTAAGCGGGGTTAACTCCAACCTCGAAAAATTTATTTACCAATCCTTCTATAGTGGAATTCCGATTTAGGAAGCCCCCCATAACCACCAGAATTTGGTGCCAAGGTAAGCGTGCTTTGAAACGAAAAAGGGGCACTATTTGATAAAATTTTAAACAAGAAGAATGCAATTGAAGCCTTCATTGAAACAAAATTCCTTGTAAATCAATCAGCTTTTAAAAAAACAAAATGGACAAAAATATAATACTATTGGAGTGCCGCAGAAAGAACTCCAGAATTTTAAATTGTACTTAGAAATTACTATAGACAACATTTCAGGGTTGAAGTTAATACTATGTGACCCATGCCTGTGTTACTGCTTCAATAATTGAAAAACATATCTGCTTTGGAATGAAGAATAGGGTGCTGTTTATGATTATTATATTACCAATTTAATTTACTTTAAAATTTGTTAATTTCGAAGGATTTTCGTCTTTTTATTCGTTTCTTGGAAACTTGCAATGCTCTAGCCCTTAACAAAACTCGTCTGCAATTCATTATATAGTCGTTCAATAGACCTATGCAGATACAAGTCTTGTCTTGTATCCACATAGGCCGCAGATACGACCTAACCCGGGTTGATATCTTTTTAATGGTATGTAGTATTTCTTTCATCAGCCATGTAACCAGGCTAGCAGATACGGACCTCCTGGAGTAGCCAGACTTGTTAAATTGCATTATTAGTCAAATTTGATGAGAATAAAGTGTAAAAAAATATTCTTATCATCACAATAACCCATGGCATAGCTTCTTCAAATTAGCTTTCAAAAGAAGGAGATTTCCAGCATTTGAAAGGGCTTGGTCACGAAATTCCCCTACTTCCCAAGACCCCATCAAGCTAGGCGTGCCCTGTTTGTCTTTGCCATCCCAAATTCTACCAACTCGGCTACGCTACTGTTTCCAGCTAATCAATCTCCACTACCACACCAGGTCCTATACAAACACTACTCGTTGCTCCTTCTGTGAGCCCTAAAAACATCGCGCAAAATAATCGCCCTGCCTTATTGATACAAGATTACCATTTTTTGTTATATATTGTTATATACAATATATTCTAAATACCCCCAGCGGATTAGTGGTACTAAATATGTTTAGTAATTTTTAAATAAAGAGAAGTCAGGTAAAGAAAATATTTTTAATGGATAAGACTGCAAAAATGGCCAGAAATTGCTATACATGAGTCAATTTACAAAAAACGCCTATTAACCAGGGGCGCATTGGCCGGGGAAGGTTGCGTTGCTATAGCCTTCGCATAGCACCATATCTTAAGCCCCCCCCTCCCCCCAAAAAAAATTAAACTACCATCGCATCCCAGATCATAAACCTTACAACACATTTAAGAAATAAACTTTTCTGTCGACAAGATTCTTTTAATTCTCGGAACTAGCATTTCTATGGAATCGGAAAACACCTATATATTCCAACAATTCTGCGACACCCCTGGAATTTAGGAGTCTTTAGCTGAAGCGTTTGCGCTGAACAATTTTTGAAAAAGGACTGTTCTGAAAAAATGTATCAAGAGTCAAGTAGAGACTTCTCAAGATGTAAAAAGTTCCATTTGTGTCGCTATTTACCACAGTTTTTGTCAACACAAGCTTCATCAAGGGACGAGAGAGAAAGTAGCAAAAGCAAGCTTTCAGTATCAGAGGAACACCCTATTTCAAATATTCCATTGCTCAAACAAAAGCAACAAGATATGAAAAGCTACGTGCACCTAAAAAGACGAGAAATTAAGAGCTCAGAAATACTTATAAGAATCCAAAATATGTTTTTGTCCTTTTAAGGTCATTTTTTCTTTTAAATTAGAGTTCTAACAAAAGGTTTTATGCGTTTCAGACGTTCAGGTGTTTCCCTTAACTTAGACCCATTCGTTATATTTTCGGAAAAATAGCTCTGCTTCACGTCATCTTGAAAACTCAATTTAGTAAAATATTTGAAAATAATTAAATAAAAAAAATAAAGAAACATACCTTTAATTTGTGCAGTTCGATAAGAGAATTTGTGAATTTGTACAAAAACAAGAATACACCAAAATATCCGACAGTTCAAGCTATTTATCCTTTGAGAAACCGGAGAGAATACAATTCACCCCTGCATTCCGGCAACTTAGTTAAGAACAACTCTTGCTACAAAATCCCCGACGGGAAGACTCGAGCCCCAAGGCATCCCTGCTCAGTGCTTGGAAAAACAACATTTCTCCCTGTTACGCAACTGGCCTACGGATATCGAACACAAGAAAACCGCGTCTGATCCCATGACTGGAGAGAAAATATATGTCAGGACACGAGCGACCAACCCGATAAATAAACAAATAAAGTGGTATTAAATCAGTTGCCAAAACAAATCCCTAAAGAGAAGTTCCTCCTTTTTTCAAATTTTTCTTTCTTCATGAAATAATCCATAGTTAAAACTAGACAAACAACAATGCGCTTTTCATTTTCTGGAACTGCTTTGAATCGAGATCAAATTTCAAGAATTCGGAAAAGGCAAATAGCAGAGCGGTGGATTGCCACAGGTTCTTTATATATCAAAATTGCGAAAAGAATTCTAATCTATTGTTTAAACCCGTGTTATCACAGTGAAAAATCCCACATTTAAGAGAGGGCATTGAAAATTGCTAAAACTAAAACAAATTCACTTATTCCATAGATTGATCGATCAATTAAAGAAAAAAGATAACAATGTCAAAATTCTTTCTTTTTGCAATTCAAAGACGAAACAAGCTGGCTGGATAGGCCCTTTTCCCAGAGTGAGTGTCTATATTACCTCACAACAATAAATGCGATATTGTTGCCTCATGGTCTGATAAATCTTTCAAATGAAGATCTGCTAAAAATCATCCTCTATGGCCATGAAGAATTACCACTCGAATCAAATTCGAAAATTCTCGCTGCAACGCTAAAATATATCCAGGCCGCTAAACGTTTTGAATAAATTGGTGATACAAACAACATATTTCCTCTATCCTCTCCTCTCTCTAGAAATAGATTATATTCATTCTTTTCGTTCATTTTGTATCTTTAAATTGCAGTTAATTATATATTTATTCTTTTCGTTCATTTTGTATTTTTAAATTGTAGTTAATTTAGTTTTATATGTTGAATGTGAATTACCACAGGGTTGCTATGTATTCCCATGCTCCATGTGGTGTCGTCTGGTAAATTTGTGTATGTTTTTGTAAAAATTTTATGTGAATATAAAAAAAACAACTACGGGTTATCTTGGAAAACTTCGCAAAACACATTCACTGTTAAATTGAAAATTTTCCAACAGATTCTACATGAGTGGCAAAAGGGCAGTACCTTCGGGGTTACGCGCTGGCTCGTCACATCGTAAAGGAACTACAGTTGAGATCAGTTTATGAAAAGCAAGAAGACAGTACCTCTTTGCGGGATGTGACAAAAACCCTTTGTCAATAAAAGACAAAAAATCACAGGCTCAATATGATACAATGCCAGATTACCAAAAGTTGAGAGCCTAAATCAGTTTGGATGGCTTTTTTTCGAAATTGTACCAACACATCTAGAAACCTTAAACTTTAACCAAAAAGTGTACAATAAATTATTTCTATTAGAACAAGGCTATCACTTTTCGGCTCTAAAAGCTTGAGACGATACTTCCATCACTCTCTCCACCAAGTGGGTCCAGTGCATAAAACTACTTTGATAAAACTACTACACTAATATTGTATGGTTACTTCCATTTTTAGATTATTTCAATTTTTGTGTGACTGTTCATTGTAACTTCTTTGTTATTTATTGATAATTACACATGAATCTTAGAATATATATTATGTTTTACCCTTCTAATTACATTGATTTTTATCTGGCTATGTTTTGATCATCTCAAAAGGGTACGCGATTCTAATTAGTGCACAGCTCGTGCTGTCTACAATAGGTTTCCAATTGAAATTAAAAGAGGCTTTACTCATTAAGGGATTACTCATACAGCTTACTACTCGCATACAGAAGGAGGTAAATTGCCATTAGTTAACAGTAGCTAATATCACAAATATAAAATGGGTTACGGTTTGAAATATGCCAAGTAAACTTACTTTTGATAAGGTGCACAACCTCGACATGATTGGAGTTTGCCACCATTGTGCCATTTACCTACGAAGAAAAAAGTGACTTTGCATCAGTTCCGATGTGTTATGACTGAAAAAGGATACTTTGAAGGGAAAAAACAAAACTGAAGGAGATATTTGCTCAACCAGATAAGCGAGGTTTTTATTGAATAGTACTTGCAAATCCAAACTATGGATCTTTGAGGGTTAGACAAATCGTGTTTGTGTACGATGTATTTCGTTGTTTTAGAACCAGGGTCAAATCAAGGTTGTTTGATGGGGGAAATCCTGTACTCCATTGGCCATATCGCAGGCAATCTGTAAAAGTCTAACTGACTTTGCATATTAAGTGATATCTTATGGCTTTCTTTAAGGTTATGTGCCAAAAATCACTTCCCATTCTATTACTGGGCTATTTAAGCACAAAAGTTTTTATCTAACTCATTGCTTTCAATCAATTATTTTAAATCTCTCAAAATCTCCTATCATTGACATGGTTGGAAATGAAGTCTCTCCCAGTTAAGATAAAAAAGATAGCCCACAATATGGTTACAATATTTGAGCGACTTGACCTTATTCAAGCCTAAGCAAGAAATTTCAAACGAATGTGGTTACACTGTCTTGAAAGATAAACTGTTAAAGCAAAATTGTATTTGTGATGCCACCAACCTTGATGATTTTGTCTCCAACTTTAACACCAGCTTTGTTTGCAGCAGAATCTAAAACAAATGTGTACTACATTTATAACAAGTTTAAGGCATCTTAATGTATACAACCCTTGAAATCATTGTGCTAATGAATATTCAAGTGGCTAGATACTACTGGAGTTGAGGCAGTACCTGACTTCGTGCAAATTCATTCAAGTTTTATCCCTTCATTAAAAGATAAAGATAAGTCCTGTATTCGAAATCGAGCGTTGGAGAATACGCTGTAGGGGGCGCATCGTCCTGAGCCACGACATTGTGTGGTAGGGCGACCAGTTCCTTTCCACGCCGCTGCCGACCCCTTCATTAATCACATTTATAGCGGTGATATGAATTTAGATGAATTAAAAACATCTTTATTTTTTAAAGGACGTCTTTTAGCATGGTTCAATATTTCAAAGGTTGGGTATGCCAGGCACCGCGCAGCCATTGGGCTAGCAGGGGCTATAGCCCCCCCCCCACTTTTTTGCAATAAAAGGCTAGAATTTTTTTTTGAAGGTTTACTCTAACGCAACTTTGGATAGTTTACTCCTATGTAGTAGCAGTTCTTCTTCACTGGGAACCTTTTTTCATATTCTAGGTGTTTTATCTTGTTTAATGATATGATGCATTTTCTTACTTTGTTAGCTTGGTGTTTTGTTACCCTCAAGCTAATTTTATCTATTTTTATAGTAACTGATATCTTCTCTGAACCAGACTGTTTATAAAAATTGAGTAGATAGAAGCGAGAATTTTCTAAAAGGGGCGTTTTCCGGCGTTCTGGAGGGCATGGCCTGAAAAAATTTTCAAGCACACCCAATTCAGCCCCTCCACTTTTAAACTGGTGCACGGTCCCTGGGGTATGCTATTCAATCTTCTGTGATACCAAGTAACTTCAGCCTAAGTTATGATGCATCTCATCAAGGTGCATTTTAGACGGAGGAACCATCCATACAATTTCAGAAACTTTCAGTGTATTGGAAGACGTTTTTGGAAACATAATGGCCACGATTCAACGATTGTAATGTAATAAGATATGAACAGAAATTGAAACTTCAAAATAGATTGATAAATGGACATCGTGACAAAATTAGGTCTCACAAGCCAATCACTTCCCCCAATAAAAAAGCATGCAAACAACCGTTTCATAGGTACGACTCCATTGTTTACAAAACTAGACCTTAACTTTGCTTGTTCTTTACTTGCTGACAAGGGTGCAGTCCAACCTGTAGCTTTGTATAAAGTGAGTATACAATTTTATGGTGACATAGCCTGATATGAATGGGCAAATGAACTCGAAGAAAATAATGTGCCAACAAAGTTGGTATAAGCACCGCCGAAGCATTATTGGCAATTGTTTTTAAGCGGTAAAGGAATAATTGACATTCGAAATTTAGAGGCACAATCCTTCGAGCGGCAAAGGGCAGAAATATGATTATGTATAAGTGTTCATTGCAGAACATTGCCAGACAGACACAAAGAAACCTAAATTTTCGAAAATGGGCATAATTTGGAAAGTTATATTTTGACAGCTTGTAGCATTCATTATGAAGGTTTTAAACTGTAGGTACATTGCGCTGGTTAATGGGGTTTAAGTTTTTTTTCTCGAAATATCATTTGTTTAGAAAATAGAAAAAGAGAAAACGAGGCAGTTTCTAATCAAACCATGATGTAGGTCCAGTTGAAGTTTGAGTCTCTCGGCTTTTCTCGACCTACCCTTCAGATGTTTCTTACTTCATTTTTCATATTGTAATTGATGTTTTGTTTTAATGTTTCATATGCTGTCTAGTAATTGCGTGCCTTCATTGCCAACAATACAAAATATAGAAATCGTGGCTGAATATAAAATAGTTGCAGTTTATCTCAATCTTAATATATTGCCAGAGTAATCAAACACTGTTCCTTTTTATTCCTACAGCAGTTGAAAATTTGCATGGTAAGAAACGCAGTGAAGTAAATTAAATTCTACTCACTCTCTTTGACGGACTGAACATAAACGGGATTTTCACCACTAACTGTGACGCCATAACCGTTCTCGTCGCGATGGAGGATAACACATCTCTGCACATATCCACCTGCAAATGCAGAAATTAAAAGTGTTTTTAAAACTTTTATTAGCAAAGTAGTGCCTGTATCTATAAATAGAACAATTTAAGAGAAGCTTCAGCAAAAACATGCATCATTTGGAGCTGGAGAATCAAATAATTTTTTACATAGCTTTTAAAAATATTTCTTATGTTGCCGAAAAACAACGGTTTGTGACCAGGTTGGAAGGAATTCTCGCAATCATTCACAGAACGATACTTCAAAACATTAAATGAATATCTTGTTCTTGTGAAATGCCTTTTATGCATGTGCACAAGTTTAGTGTCAACATATAAAAGTTTACTACAATGAAATTATTGTTGAAATTTATATCAGATAGAACTGCCAAACTGCCAACGGTGCTTTATTTGCAATCTTAAACAACTGGTTCATTGCATGGCAACACATCGTTTCATACCGATATTTCATACCATTGTAGTTGGAGTCAATCTCAATAATTATACTCTTTATGGAGCATTAATCAATTTCACATTCTTTCATGGCCTAACAAATATGAATTTATATAAAGAGTCGTAATACAGTCCTTTAATAACAGCCAAAGCCAAGCTATTCTACCAGATTGTTGTACAAACGTTGTACAAACTCCCTTAATATTACGTTGTAGAAAATCCTCAAATCACTTAAGATTCTATTAGACAACATGGACTACAATTTTAAGTGTACCTGTGGAATACTATAATGTAAAGTAGCCCCAATGTGGTGTGTTTAGAGAAAAAGTCTGACAGAGAAACGTTCATTTTTTAAGCATGGACTAGATCCTTCTTTTTGCGGGGGGGGGATCCTCCTTTTTGATTAAAACTTGGCTATCGATGGATCATACTTGAAATTATTTGAAAATCATTTTACAGACAGTAATGCAGAACAACTTAATTGAGTCAATTAAATCAACCACTTCAACTGCAATCTTGCAAAGCATTGCAAAATATTGGAGAACTGACTACTTAGTAAAACCCATCTCATTGATGATCCTCCATGCCTATCGAAAAATTTAAGCATATTTTAATACTATATCGAATTAAACAGAGGCTCTCGCCATGCTTTCTTCATGGGCCCAAATCATGAGCCACCAAGTGAAACCACAGGAAAACAATAAGAACAAAATGCGTGACACATAACGTTCACCACTAGACTACGTTAAGACAACGTCTCCAGACACCAATGTAATTAATTTAGCTTACAAGCATTATTCCTCAATTAACATGACGGTTATTTAATATTAGTATAAACGTTACACGTAATTCATTAACCAGGTTCCATAAAAATCTAGGCCTGATACATTAGGACATAATTTTATAAAAGTAATGATGTTTATTCAACCATTTTACGTAATAAACGGACTTTCAAGCGAACCTTCTGAACTTGAGGTGGACTGGCAAACTCACTTAAAGTATTGCTTTTCTATTGGGTCTACGAGAACGTGCTTGATTTTTAAGTAGGTTGTAAAGTTTTTCTCCACTTCAAAAAATGTCATGAACGACACAATATGGCTATAAATTCCGGAGTTAAACAATTAATATTCTGCTATCCTCGAGACATTTCCTCAAGTAGAGGGCATTGAAACTGCCTACGATTTTATAAAGTATTAATACTAAGGACCGCGAGATGGGTTTTTGATAACAATATACCAGATTCAGATCAACCTGGTTTGATGACGTCATTCGGGAGACTGGTCCCGAAATGTGCTAAACCACATCTTCAAAGACTAATTCTTGGACATTCAATGAAAACAACAAGTCTTTCAGGTTTTTCTTTCAGGTTTTTTTAAATGAGGTAACAGCACAGAAAAGAAAATGAAATTCTCTACAGAAATGAAAGAAACAGTCGACTCAAGGTCTAAAAAGATAGTTTCCCGCAATTTTATACCAAACTGTTAAAAAAGAGTTCATGTCAATAGACCTCAAAAATAGCATTAATTCTAAACAGTCTTATAAGAGTTTTTTGTTTTTGAATGTACGATGGATGAAGCTGGTAGGTTGTCGTCTGGCATCATATCCACACAACATGATCAGAGTTGCAAATATATCGGAACCAGCGAAATAAATATACTCTACCAGTATATTCTAAAGTTCATAGTGAGAAAATAAAGGCATTTCTTTGTAGCATATTTCAAAAGAAAAGTTACAAATCTTTAACGTTACAAAACAAACCCAGATTGAGAATTCCTAATGAATGCTTTGTGTAAAATGCTCACTATAAATCTTCCACTAAGCAGAAAGCTTTTGTCTTATGTAATAGGCTCCCGAAAGAAGGTTGTTTTTGCAGCCTAAGAAACTGACGCGACAAAGGGGCTGGCCAGGAAACAAAACAGGCCAGAAAATACGGTGGTCAAAAGATCGAGTACCATAAGGAAGGCCAGAGCAAAAATGTTTCACCCCAAAGCCTTGCCATGTTTCAAAGGCTGGTTTGGAAAAGGATGTCAAAAAGAAGAGTAATGTCAGAAGGAATTATCAGCATTCATCAGGTGATGCATGAAGCTGGACTTGTTAAGAATACAGATAAAGTTCACATTTATATTACGAAAGTAAAAAGGTGAAATGGAGCAGTAAAGGCTGTCTTGCGTTCCGAAGATTGCGAGGAAAGCGAATGATACTGTTTCTTCAGAATGAAATAGATTGTGCAACAAGGAAACAATTGCTAGCTGTTGACATTATATTTACAAGTATTAGCACATTATTGTTATACTACTTGTTCTTGAAAACTCAAACGCCAGCAAAAACTAGCGTCGTGTAACCATATGATCATAACTATATGAAGTCCTAAAACCGATTCGTCCATAAAGCATTGAATTGCATTATTTGTAGCAAGTTATGCAATGGATCAATGCCCCATTTTTATATCAAAAGGTGCGCTGACTTGTGTCACCTCGTGCTCAAAATATCTTGCCTCTTTCTGCAATTGACAACAAACGATAGCTCTATCAATGCCTTGAAGAAAAGATTTCTGTGGATTTGGAATGTCTGATTTTATAGCATTGACAAAAATTCTAAACCTAACCACATATAAGGGAACTTAATTGACCATTCCAAAACATGCTTTCTCAACAAGTCGCTACGGCTTCAACAAACACATTTGCGTGGATTTCTTCTTTCTTGAAAGAGCAAGGATTAACGAAAAAAGGCCTAAGAAACTCTATATGGGAGGTGTCTAGAGAGGAAAACAGTGCACATAATAGTGGTTTGTTCGTTCTGCTTCTCCGAATGCCGTCGTCTGCATATTCATTGGCAGTTTTCCATTTAAGCAAAAGTAGAAACAAGCCGCAGTCAACAATTCTCATTTCCCTAATGCCCAAAGTTCCTCCATTGTATATTAACGAAACATTATTGTTGTTGGGAGCCTAAACCCTACCAGTCTACCATACATGATAAGGCAATGGCACAAGGTGGCCGACGCAATACGTTCACGACGGACCAATCCAATGTCCAGCGTACACATTGATATTCATATATTTCTGTGGGAAGGAGGAGAAAGCAAGCAACATGACATTGAATAACGATACCATTTGAAGATGGGGGTGAAGGGTGCAGAAGGGGACCAACACGCGTTCTAATTAACGGTACTTCCCCGGTTCCTCAAAGCCCAGTTTAAGGCAACTTTTATTAGGACAAAAGGGGGCTTTGGGACCAGTAAGGAACCTACTGATCTATTCAAAACTGTGCTACGGTAATAGCACAGGCCCATCTACCCCCGCTTCTAAAACTCTCTCACTGCGATGTTACCCCTGAACGGTAATTAATATATGCACAAGCTAGAACAGGTTCCATTTAAACATCATTACAACCTCTGTAACAGCTGTTTGGCGTGTTTGTGGCGATGTGGCTCTCGGCCATTCTACAAAATTGCTGATAAAAACGATAAAGTTAATGGTTTTCTATCTAAACGAGGACTTGCACTAATTAAATGAGCTTATCTGATCGATGTGTAAAAACAAACAACTGAGATAACGAATAATCAAAGTCTGTGAATCTGATGCAACTGTAGCTTGACCACACATCAAAATTGGTGCTTGCATCAAAATGATATTTCAGTAATAGCATATTAAATAATAATATCGAAAATTATTTCAAAACTCGAAATATAACAAGCAACTAAACAAAATATAAAACAAATTACGATCAAAATATGAATGTTGGGACCAAAAAATAGCACCAGAGAAAAAGACCCTACCAACGTGTAAGAATTTGGAACTGAAAAATGCAAATGAGTGAGTATTTTTCCTTTCTAGCCCTTTCTTTTGCAAATTTATAAAAAACATCAAAGACATCATCATATTTTGCTTAAGACTGACTTAAATCAAGCATAAGAGAAGAAGACAAACTCCTGCACAATTCAACACAAACATTCTATAAAGCAGCTTTTAATCAATGCCGATGGCTCGACTTAGTAAAGATGAAACGTCAAATGTGACGTAATAGAGATGATCCTGTGATACGATTGTTTCCTGCTACACATCATCTATCTTTCCAGCACGTAGGCTAAAATGCTTGTCTACAACTGTTGGTCACGTAAAGAACATGCTTACAATTGATTACAGAGGAAACGTAAATGCTGGTTAGCTTCTCTCATACTCTAAGATCACTTGAGTCCCTGGTAGATGTGACTGCCATTCTCTCAAGGGTTGGAAGCTATATAGACTTGTACCATGATAAAACAAAGAAGTATGCTATTTTATCTTGCTTATACTATGATGGAAGGCTCAAAACATGTGCCCGCAGTCGTGATGCACCATGATCAATTTATTTGCCCACTATATAACAAAATCAAAAAGTCAGATTCTTCGTGAACGAGTTAAGATATTGTTCAAAAAGCATATTCATAGGACCCAACGATACGAGACCAAAAAGATATGGCAGATAATTTAGAAGAAAAACGATGAAAACAATTTCAAGTGAGAATTTGACATGACAGGAAAAAGGATAATGTTATTCTGATTGACTTTCAGATCTTATCAAAAAAAATCTTGTACATCTGCCAATTTTAAATTTCTAATCAGACCTTTGGGTTGTTGATCAAATAGAGGAACAATGACGAAACTGAATCACAAAAATATAGATACGATGTGAAAAATCAAAATAACATGAACAGTGGTTTGAAACCCTGGAATTTATATCCATATACGGGCAACTTTAAAAGCTCAGCAACCATTCAAATGAACAACCGAAGGACGATGATTTGGTTGTGAATCAAACAGCGAAGATGAGCAGAATCAGAGTAGTCAAGCAATTTCAAGGCGAACAATTTTACGGCCTAATATACAGTGATGGCTTACGGTTGGACGGTTTCTAAACTATTTGTCAATATACCACAGTTCGGAAGCTACATTCAATAGAATGAAGTCAAACTAAGTCGCTTGAAAAATTTCAACTATGTCGCTAAATCTGTTTGGGAAAAAATTACAAAATGAAAAAACGATCGAAGTAGTATAATACATCCAGATATAAACAGACTCTGCATTATTTATGAACGAACACGACTGACCTTCCTGGGCTGGCTGCCTTCTTGTTGACGCCATTTTCACATCGAAGGAGCAAACATTCAGCTCCGATCGCTAAGGAAAAACAAAAGAAGTCGAACTTTATTCTCTGTCCTAAATGGATAATATATGATAGGCAACCAAGCATTCGGTAGTCGTATTATTGTGGCAGCCATATACGACGCTTCGCAGATTCATTCAAAAAACAAACAATGTTATTGTATCTTATATTGAACGCTCGTTTCATGCGTGAAGTGACTTATTCAAGCAGTGAATGTACCAATTTGTAAACTATAATATGACAATCAAAGCTCAAAACAATATTTATGAACAGTTTAAAACATACAATTTAGCATTTGAAGCTAAAATATAAAGAGTACTCTGTTTCACAGGCCAAGTTTCTGATTGTTTTGTAAATTCTTAAAACAAATATTACACTTTACTCGCATATAGCGTTAATCTCATTCACAAGTAATGGGTAAATGATATCACATTGCAGGCCAAAAGTCGAGCGCTTAACAGAGACGCATAAATAAACAAAGATACAGTGAAGTAGAACCAAAGTAAATATGAAAGGGGTAAAATGAATAGAGAGCCACCTTGGTGATTTAGAGCGCAGCTAAAATGAACTAATGACAACAACAGCATCGAGAATGATAATAACGATAGGAAAGAGATCAAATGTAAATATTCATAATAATGATTGGCTTTTAAGGATAATAACCAAAGACTTAATATAAAGGTAGGCCAATTCACGATTTTCGATGATAAATTAAAAAAGAAGAGTTTCACTAAAGAATATTTTAATACACAGAGTCATATTTAGAAATAGTTTTAACGATAATGTGAGAAGCCATCTATAGGCAGGCCCGTCGCTTGCTATTGTATTTAAAGGGGGTTACCAAGCTCAATTTACCGACAAACTGGGTGCGCCATCCTTTTTTTGAAGATAAGTTTGGAAATTTGCCGACTAAGCACCCTTCTAGATGGCAAAAAAAATCCTCGTTTCTGCAATGAAATACAAGAGGGGTGTCACTCTCTACGCCACCCCCCTCCCCCTGCATCTAAGGTAAGGCATAGCCACGGGCCTGCATCTAAGGTATTCAGGTCGGCGCTCCCATTCCGTACTGAAATAAATAAAGTAAGCATACTCGTAACGGTGAAGTCAAATTGCAAGTTCTCTGCAGAACTTCGCAAAACTATCACACTTAGATGCGATAATTTACCATATGTTACTTTTGTCGATAAAAAACGAGCATTTGACTACCTTGATACTTTATGAAAAATTCACATACTGTGTTCAACAAAGTGCTAGAGGTCTTTTCAAGTCAGCTGGGGGTTGGGCCTAGTGGGCCTAGTAGGCCTAGCAGTAGATAGACGCTGTCAATGTAACGTAACACTGCATATCAAGGAACCAAAAAGAATAATGGTTTTGTTCAAAGCCCATAAAGGCGTTTTCTAAAATGCCAACAGGTGTATGACGTCGCTGACATGTGATAAAACAAGCTTTTTCTTAGAACAATTGATGTCAGCAGTCTTAAAACCACCTGCACAATCAACTAACATGGCCATTAAAAACAGCGTTTTGAAACATCGAGGCTCACTTGAAATGTGTATGTCTTTAAAAAGGATAATGTTGTTCTTTGCTTCTGATAACGCTCTACTAATTATAAAGAGGCAAAGCTTCTGGTTCAAACCAAAAACTTGCCACAAATTACTCAATAGTCCATACAAGGTTACAGTAAAACCAGGAGAGAAGGAAATTCCCTTTGAATGTCCCTAAATATTTAATGAGATAGGTTGTAAACAAAAAACTGGACGTTTTGCTCATTCAAGGAATAAAGAAAAGTTTCAGCCAATGACAGTTCTCTTCACTTCCTTTTCTGGAACTGGTTATTCTACATCTCAAAAGAAAATTGAGATAAGCAGAATCCAGACTTCAAGGATATTTGCATATCTTTGCACCTGTATGTTCTCAGAAAGTTCATTTGCTTGAACTCATTATGAAGAAGTTTGAGTATTATGAAAATTACAAGAAGGCAGGTTTAAAATTGAGAACAAAGGGGTAGCAATTCTTGAACCATATAAGAAAGAATGACTTGCATTTTTGAAACTTATGCACACACTCCATGTTGATAATAATAAAATATAAGGAGTCAAGGGATTAGAAGGTCATGGCGACCTATAAAACCCTTAACAGACCCTATGAAATAGATTACAAAAGTGTATTAAGTATAGGAGGGAGGGAGGAACTAAACAGTTTTCAGAATACTTGGAACAAAGACTAAGATGAATGAGTGCATGGTTTGAAAACTTCTAGAAAGCACTACTAGAGGGTTAGAGCCCACTCAATTCCTCACATTTCACAGTATCTACCCTACACAACTGGGAAACAGCATGTTTATGACTAACAATACATAAATCACATCAAGAGGCTGCTGCAAACTAGACCAGGGTGGTGTGGCAACAAATATGTGACCAAGAAAGTTTCTTGACTATATTTGTGGTTAAATCAATATTTGTAGTTAATATTTGTGCTATCAACTATATTTGAGGTTAAATCTTGCATCTCCAAGTATGTGAGAAGCAAGGAAAAGAAATAAATGTATAATGGATACCTTGACCAGTTAAGTGATTCCAAAATTATAATCAAACTAGCAAATAAGAAACACATAGACACAATACCATAAAACAGCAAAAGAGTACTGAGCAGCCACAAATTCTTATAGTTAAAAAAATCAAATATTTTTTGAGAGAGTATAAAAGATCCTGGAAAATTTCATGAGCACAAACAACTGCTTAATAAAAAATCTGAATGACTTTTACTATAAGATATATTTAATATAGATTTTTCATTTCCCTTCTTTACAAATTATTTTTCAATTTGAAAGACCCTTCAGCATTACAGATATTCCCAGCCTACAAGAAGCCATCAATAGTCAACTACCCAATAAAACTCAACCCATCAAAAATATTTAACTGACTTACATAAGATAGCATGCTACTTGGTATATGTGCATAGCTAGATTGGCAAAGTCGTATATGCCCTCCTTAAAATGGGTTTGCTTTCTATCAAACTTATTAAACTCTAACAAAATTTATGTCACTTTAGACTGAAGTTCAACTTATTTTTAAAAAGGATAACATCTGTAAAACAGGTTAAAAAAATTCACAGATGCCATGAAAACCATATTACTGAACACGTCATGAAAATTTAGAAATGGATGCCGTGAAAATTGAGAAATGGATGTTTTACAGAGAAAATGAAATTGATGTAGTGAAAAACAGTTGAGAAATATTTTATTTAATGGATTATAAAATGACTTGTGCCTCTCAAATCAATGTCAAGAGTTATAAAATTTTAGCTATGTTATAACAGATTGGAATAATCTGCATTCCTTTTATGAGAAACTTTAGAGCTCTATATCAACTTAACCGAGCCCCTTCTATGAAAATACACTCTTAAGTATGTACTTGTTATTAAATTCTTGGGAGATCCATTTATGAAAAGCCTACAAACGGTTTTGCAGACTTATTCAATATATAAATAGTAACCCTCCTATTAAAGAATTTAATGTGAGCAAATAAATAAAAACTATAGAATAAAACATGATCAAATGTACAAATAATTACAAAGGTGAATAAATTTTAACGTATTCAGTTATAAAATTAACTTTTTGATTAGCAATTTCATTACTTTTAATCACATGCCCATCCAGATGATTAATTTAATATTTAATCAGTGAAATTTACCATTGCCAAGCTACCATTGTGTTGGGGTAATCAACATTGATAATTATTATATAAGTGATCAATAACAAGGACTGGAAATTCTAAAATAACAAATGAAATAGGCAGAAACACAGCATTGATAATAATCACATTTCATTCAGTGAAAGAATTTCTTTTGGACTGTAGCACTGTCTGATTACACTGATGATGAATAACCACTGCCAAGAGACAGTGATGGTAACATAATTCTGAAGTTTTATCTTACATCAACTAGGACATTCTTCAGAGGCATAATCAAAGAGGGTGCATTTGTGTGTGGGAGCAGTTTTACCCCAATAAAAAACAATAATGATGATTTTGCAAGAAGATGTCATAAATGCTTTATCACTAGCCCTCTCTCCCAATCCAATCATTGTCCATTTAGTTAAACTCATCAAATCAATAGTAACAATGATTTGTTGATATAAAAAAGTATAGCAAGTTAATTTTTACATATTTATAGCTGAAGCAATAAAAGTAAATCTCTAATCTTGCAATCCTTAGAGAAAATCCAGGTTAAACCATGTTTTTAAACCAGAAATTGGTGATACAACATGATTTTGCTTTGGCCTTTGTGACAAAAAAACTTAAATGAAGTTATGATAGAGAAAATTTCCTAATGCATTAGGCTCTATAGGTTTAATACATAAAAATGAAAAAGATATAATGGTAACTAGGTTTGTCATTTACATATTGTATGAGATGTCTATCTCACATGGATACTATGAATATTTATAGATGATCCTATTTCATAGACAAGTAAACAGAAGCTTAGGTTAAATATGAATAATAAAAACTGAAGCCTTCTTTATCAATTAGACATAAGATGGATTAGGGCAAGTTTTTAAAAAGATGGGACTAAAGTTAAGTTTCCCTTATATCAAGCCCCTGGCTGAAGGATTCTTGATAAAAGAGGATCGGTTGGGCTGCTGTGGAAACCTTGCATCATAGCAAATTTAAAGTCAGTAGGACTGAGACAAACAGAGAAAGATTTTTGAGTCCTAAATCGTTAATGTTGTGCAAGATTTAAGAGACACCTTACATAGAATGTCAAAATGTGGATTAATCGAGGCTGGTCGGAGTTCAAAGCTACTTTTGACCTTTGTGGGATATATAAGCTTACATCCAATTTAATGTTTTTAAAAATCATGTCATTCGTATTTGTCGTGGTTATAAACGTAGCTTCAAATCTTTTAAACGAATCTGACAGTTTTAGCAACGTCAAGCGATTATGAAGTTATAGTTAATGTACTTGTATGGCTGAATCTTTGGGCGATACCCAGACCAGTTCACAGGAAATTTGTTGACCAAATCTAACTGCATACTGACCATGGCGATTAAAGATGTGGTCAAATACATTGCGCGACAAAGACTTGCTAAACGTGTCAAACCATTCCCGTAAAAATTTACTTTTTACCATCAACGATACCTTAAAATCAACAGGGTTCTTCGAAATTACTGCAACAATTCTATGGCCTAGGCTTCTGCCATTGTTTTAATTTTAAATACAAAATGTCAATCTTTTTATCTTTGACGAGCAGAGAAAAAATTTACAGGCTAAAATCAAATTAATCTACAGTAAAAGGATAGGAAATATTTTTAAGATGAAATCTGTTTAGCTGATTCGATAAAAAGGATCTGATTTCATCTCGTTGCTGGGTTCCGGAAAGCGGTCACGGTCTTCCCTATAATATCAACATTGAAACAAGCAAACATAAAACTTCGAGTCTCACCTTATCAACGCGTTGAATTCAGTTATATGCATTCTGAGTTGAAGTTTCTGGCAGCAAACTTTCCGATCAACTTTGTCTTATGTGATTAGGCTTCTTGAAAATTTGTAGATCCAGAAGCTTTAAAAGTTGCTACATTCAAATTTGACTTCAAACATACAAGGAACTGCCCCTATTTTCACCGATAAAACGATCTGCCGATAATTCAAACACATAAATACCGTGAGAAATGTTGAATATCAAGCTCCTTGCAGTGTTTATCGTCTTTGCTAAGAATTCAGATTAAGACGTATGCATATTCATGCAAGATCAATAAAATAATAGCGCAAAGATCAACAATAAAAACAACAGCCCTCTTTTGTAAAATTCACTAGTATGTGCACTGCAGAAGGGGGACTGGTAGCTAGTTACATGTACCGCAATGGTGTATCGAGAACGTATTTTGCTGCCTCGGGCGTCGTTTTTTCCGAATTTTCACTAGACAAATTAATTTCTTTCGTGAACTTTATTTTTACTGATTATATTAACATCTAAGGACGAAATAATTTAAAATTTTAGTAGGAATTTCTAAGAAAAGGAGCATTCTGTGCCCATACTTGAAGCAATTTTCATATTTTCGATATCACCAGAGCTATTATTACATAAATATACTAAAATGCGTGCAGTACAATATGATGAATTTAAATAACGATCAATGTAGGTAAATTGTACCAGGAAAAATTATTTAACATAGGATAATTTTTTTCTTATTATTACATAGCAGGTAAAGCACATTCAGCGAGGGTAGTATGAGATGAAACACGATGCTGCAAATACATCCGCAGGAAAATGCCTAAAGAATGAGGAATAGAAGAAGAATTCAAGGTTTTAGATAGCACCAATTCCCGTGCGGCAAATCAAAAGAACCCTGAACTTAAATCAGGAGATGGAGCTAGCCTACGGAGAAAAGACACCCAAAAATAAATAGCGAACTCTAATGTCACCGTGCAAATTATTTTCACGAAACTTTTATCTAGAAAGTGCCAAAGTTAATGTACAATCTTTTTGTATCGGCAGATTTATATAAAAAATAAAACTTCGAGATGGTCCAAAGTTGAGACTAAGGCACTGTAAAACGCAATAAGAAAATTGTTACTGAAGATGCAGAACACATTTCATGACAGAGCATATAGTTAGTTAATGTCATTGAAAATTCGATAAATGTATTATCCACGTAAAATGCTGTTTTGCAGTTAGATACTGACTTCTGTATAAAACTTTCTAGCATTCACCCACATGATTCAAGGTCACTTATGAACAATCTGGCCCTAAAATTATAGAAAGATTAAGATTAGCTGGACTGGATGGAACCTAATGTTACTTATTCATATGAAAATGGGTGTGAAACTAGCATTGTGGGGCCAGGGGTGTAGAACTAGAGGGCTCAGGGCGCTTAGCTTCACAATTTAGTGCCCAAAAGTATTCTATCACTACTTATTGCAATATCAACAGTAAGTATAAATTTGTGAATATTCAAAACCTAAAAACTCTAAGTTAAGGTGTATGCTACTATTGAGAATTGCCACTGATCCAATGGATGATTTAATGTCTTTACCTTTTTAGCGGTGTCTTTGTTTTTGAAGACAAAATAGAAAATATTATTTCAATTCACTAAGAAAGCAAAGCATAATATTTCATGATCCAAGAAATGAAGTTTTATTTTTCATTGTGAATGAAATTTAGACAAAAAGTTTAAATATATGGAAAAAGATTTATTATTTGGTCTACGAACTTTTTGATCAAAAATACCCTAGTTTTTCTGAGCCTCACTATTCTTTGAAAAAATCTATATCGAAGCTAGTCATAGCATGGCAGATGAAAGCAGGTTGTTCTATTCAGAGACAGGAGTTCAAGCCTAATTAAAGTCAGACAAGTTTTGCAGAAGTAGATGAAAAACAATAAATGGAGTTTAAGGAAAGCTCAGATAAATAAAAAACAATACCTTTGAGCAGGGGAGGATCCAGAGCAAATTTGAAGGAGGGGCAGTCGGTAGTGGGGGCGCTGAAAAATTTCCAAAAATTGGTGACGAGATACCCTGGGTACCAGACTCACTATATATATAAAAAAATAGAGAGTCTGGTACCCAGGGTAGTGACGAGGGTACGCTGTATACAACAATTTCAGATCCATTTTCAGAATAAACAACATAACTTTGAGGTAATCCTTGAAGCAAATTAACCTATCGGTCTCAGAAATTTTTTACCTGTTTTCAATCTTCAAACGGGACGCACAATTTTCAAAAAAGGGGTGCTAGACTTCCTTCAACTCATCGAGGGAGGAACAACTGCCCCTAGTTATCCGCCACTGCCTTTGAGTCTCGCTCTTGCTCGTTTTTATATTGACATTTTAACAACTTGGCCTATATTCCTGTAAAAAAGGTGTGTATTGGAAGCAGAAGACAAGACAAAAATTGTCAGATTGCACACTATGGACGATTATTGAAAATAATGTCTGAGATTAAAAACAGTGTAAAACTTTGAGTCACAAGTGGTTCTCAGAAAAGAAGAAAAAGTTAATGCAGCTTGCTAAAGGGCAGAAAAGAACAGGACGGAAAACTCGTTTTTTTGAATGCAGAGGAAGAAATGCAAGTTGTGATAACAATTGAATAAGGTGGTTTTTGAAATTATAGATTTAAACATTTTGTGTAAACAAACACATGTAACTTTTTTCTGTATTTAAGACTTGTAAATCACCATAATCAAATGTAAATACATTTTAAACGTCTGAAATACAGGCGAAAACTAATTTAGTGGATGATTACCAAAAACTCATGGGAACCCTCTTATTGTGATTTAGCTATGAATTATGCTGTGAATTGGATATGAAACTTTCGTACGGCTATAAAGAAGATGAATTGCATGAAAGCATCTGCAAGTTGATCCCATCTATTGCCATAGCATATAACTAAGGGAAGATCTGAACACTTGCGCAAAATAATTATTCCATGTTAGATTTCAATTAGAGTAATAAACGCTTATTTGTAATCAACGCCGCGGCCTGGCTATTGATATTGCTACATATGTTATGTTGCTTAGAAATTGATCGATTATGATGAAATGCTCACTTGACCACGTCCTAATTTTCTGCCCACACCCATCAGGGGCCCTTTACAGTTACCGTAAATGATATTTTAAGCCCCCCGAGAGGCTTATTGTTTCTTCAACATTTTAAAGGGGGGCTAGTAAGAGAGAGTGGGCTAAATTGAGGCAGGGGGCTTAATAACTATTTTGTAATAAAAAATCGTTTTCAGTGGTAGACCTATTTCTCATTGCTTACGAGATAGAAAACATCAAACCAGGCTTCTACATCAATGATACAGTATAATCCGGTCATAACTTACTTTAAGGGACCGGGGTTTAAATACGTTATATCCGAAGTACGTTGTAACCAGGTAAGTAAAAATTGACTAAAACCAAGCACACCTATTGTCGGGACCAAGCACACCAGCACGTTATATCTGAAATACATAATAACCGAGTTCGTTATAACGGGATTCTACTGTATTGTCATCGGCATCAATTATTTATTCTGAAATATCTTCTTGGGCCATGTCGTCCTCTGAAATCGAACATTCGAAAAGGTGCCAACGCTATTTTATTTGATTTGATGAGAGGTATTGAACTATCAGTTAATAAAATGGAAATCTTCCTTTTTTTGACAAGTATACTTATTTTCGCATCAGTGAATTTCTTTTTAGAGGAGCTACTAAGAGAGGGGGCTTGTTTAATTTCTCCTTCTGAAAAGGGGGCTAATAAGAGAGGGTGCTTAATTGAAAGGGAGCTTAAAAGAGAATTTACGGTAGTCGTGGCAGGTTAAAAATTATGAGCAAGTCCGCCCCTGCTTTCGATTAATGGTTAAAAATGCTTTATCGCGGAACCTGAATTTTGCCTATTCGATATCTGTGCAGCTCAAGATTGTGAAACAACCTATGAAAATGACAATTTTAAACTCGGTGTAAAGGTTAAAATGAGTGCACCTCGTCGAAAGATCGTTCTGGGGAACATATCAAAGTTTTCCACCTGAAAAAATGCTTTGCATTAAATAGCTTCGTAAATATTCGACGCAAAGTACTTACTAGCAGCGTTTAATCCTTTTTATCCAGACAGCTGGCTTCTGAAACGTCCTTTATGTTGTCAAAAATGATACAAATATTAGAATGATTGTCAGATGAATGTTCATGGTTCAGGGAACTCAACAAGGATATTAAAATATAATCTATACAAGAAATCTTACAACATAAGCATCTTTTCTTTGTTTGCTAATTCAATAAAATACATTCAACATTTTCAGTTCATCATTAATTTGAAAGAACGTGAAAAAGTAATTTTCATCGTAAAAAAACTGTAAAAAATGATTAAATTTCCTTGCTTGGGGTCAACCTTCTTGGGGTCTGATTTTTCGGAATGATTTTTATCAAAAGTCTTCTGCCAGCTCTAACAATCTGCTGGGACCCTGTTTGCACATCTAATACATTTCGCACCCCCAGATGGTGATAAAGGGTAAGGCAGAAAAACTCCACCAAAGATTAAGCCTTTAATAACGCTCTGAAATGAAAGAAAAAGCGACCCACCCTTGACGTTCCTAAATGGTCGTAACACCTTCGTAACCACTGTGACCAGCCGAGCGCGGGCAGAGGAAAACTGCCCCCAGTTCCGCGATATGAACGGTCTTGGTAATAAGATTTCACGCTTTGGTTTTCATTAGCTTATTAACACTGTTTAAATACTATATATTTTAATTTAAAATCGAAACTTTAAGATAGTAGGCTCCTCTGAAATAAATTTCTGCACAATTTATATTCCAACCAGCTCTCTACCTCAAGAACATGTTATTTTATGTTTAAGATGCATGGTAAGATCCACATGATTCATACGGTATTGTTTTTGGGGTTTGTCGGTTCTTCTACATTTTATTTGCGCCCACACCTGAGCCAGACTTCCCCTCCAAATTCCAATATTGAAATGCTTCTGTCGTCTTTACCTGAATGACATAACGGTGCGTGCCAAATGTAATTACCTTATGAACAAAATAATAATAATGCTTGGTAGTCTGTTGTTATTGATATTTCAATCTGCCATAATCATCTGGAACAGCGGTTAAATTATAATCGTTTACTGTTTATGAGTGGAATCGTTCTCAAAACAGCAGAAAAATCAACTCAAGAAAGCACTGAAACCAGACAGTCACTAGGATTTATTTGATAATTACTAAGGCCGATATCAAGCGTATTTTAACGAATAGAACATTTTCACCTTTTGCCCCTCTTATCTGACCCACTCTGCAGCGTCCTGCGTGTAAATTTAACTACTTGTGAATCTTTCCGATGCTTCTCTTTGTTGAAATGAATGATCAGCTGCCGACATTTCTCTGTCCTATTTTCCCCATCACTGCTATTTCTTTCTGACATTCTTTTTTATTCCTTTTTCTATTTCGTCTTCCTTCTTTTTGTCCCTTCCCTTTTCTATCATTCCATCCAAACTTCCCCTTCACCGTGCACCATTCCATTTTTTCAACTCCCTTATAATCTTCTCTTCATATCTTCATTGTTTCTTTCCTCTACTTTTACCCATACCTTCCAATAACTCCATTTGCATTTCCATTCCTCGAAACTCTCTTCTCTTTTCCAATTCACTTCTCGATCTAAATTCCTCTTTGTTTTTCATTTTCCACCCTTTTAACCTCCCTCCCCTTTCTCTATCTACTCTGTTTGCAATCCTCTCCTTACTTCTGTTTGGTTTGCCTACCTTCCCAGATATATCCTATCTTCACTACCCAATATGCCTTTTATTCTAAATTCGCCCTTTTCCCTTTCGAAACTTAAATTCTCCCTCAGAAGACGCATTTTTGCAGCTCACGGATACTTCCATACATTAACCATTATGTAAAAGGCACCCAGCATGAGAGAAGAAATTGAAGCAGAAAAGTCACATTAAAACGAAAAACCCAATTACAAAAACTCAAACCATTTTCCAAGTAGGCACAAAGACTTAGTCCTTGAAAAGCCTGTTGTGATTTTCATTTTCAGTTAATTAAAAGTTTAGTTGATTGTGCATAATAACCTTGAAAAATAAATGCAGTTAGAGAAATACCCTAATTTGGTGCACATCCTTTCGTTCAATACGGGTTTGCATCGAATATTTTTTGCTTTGCGTTTTCAAAAACACCGATTTAGCTCTAAAAGTTTGGAATAAATCAGCGATAAAAACTTTATATTTCCTCTCTCATGAAATATTTTACTCATATTTTTCGTTCCTCTGTATCCCCTAATTGTAGGTAACTAAGTTTAATATGGTGATTGTAAATTGCCACAGGGTTGCTATGTATTCTCATGCTCCTTGTGGTATTGTCTTGTAAACTTGTGTATGTTTTGTAATTATTTTTTGAGAATATAAAAATATTCCTCTTATAATTATATCCACCGCATAAGATGCTAACGAAGCACACACGATCACTTTAAAAGAGATAAAATACCAGATTAAGGGAAACAAAATATGCTGCCCTACACCTAAAATATTTTTTAACTGAATATTACGAAGAAACAGACAAAACATATGGCCAACATCACACAAATCTTTCTTATTCTACATCCCAGAAACAGACAGTTATGCGATATCTTCGAGGATAATCTATTTTTAATAAAACTTAATCGAAGAGTATCCAGTAAATCTTTCGACTTGATGATTATGATGCCATCACTTATCCATTTGCCGTAAAGTGGTCTGCCATATTATAAATCGTGGTCACGTGATTTTACGACAAAACATTGAAACACGGATTCGAACAGATCCGATCAACATATGAAGAGTATAAAGCATTTGAAGGGCGCCAGGAGTCGAATCATCCACACACTGAAATGAAAGGGAACAACATTGTTAAAAGTTAATGGCATACTTTTTAGTTTCATTGATCATACAATATCAACTACTTTTACATTTTTAACCAGTTTTATTTTAACATTTAGTTTTGTGTGCTGGGATTTTAAATTTTGGGTTTTATCCTTTTCTTTGTGCAGGGCAGTTTGAAGGACAATTTATGCACTGAATTCATAATTTTACCTACCTCAGACTTGACTTAACTTTAACCTCAAACTCGTGATAGCACAACCACACACTTGTTTAGGCATGGCAGTGCAACTTCAGGTCAGCAAAGTCGAAGTTAACTTATGTAAGTTAAACACGAGTTTTTATCAATTAAATGAAACTTGGCATTTGATTAAAAATGGTCTTTGTTTCCAGTTGATCTCACTTTAATTTGCCTAGCTTTAGAAATACTACAAAACTCATAAGTGGATTACTGTGAAGAATATAGAAGGGAACATTATGGGAAGAAAAAAAACTGAGAAAAGTGATAGAAATGGTTAACATCTAGAAATTATTATATTTTACATAATTCTAGTACTCTTGATCAAGCTGCATTTTAGAAATTGTTTCTGGTAGAATTTTCAGTTTTTCATAATCTAGATAGTTTGATAGTCTAGTTTTGCGACATGCTGATGACGATATGCGATATTGTTATGAAATGAAAAATATCACATTGAACTCTACAGCGTTATGGTGATGGAATGATAAGAAGGAAGGGGCAGGCCGATTAATAATGGGAAAATTACTGGTTTCTTGTTTTAGCGACTTTCCACCCGACTTTACGAATAGATCCGACAAATCTCACAACAGATAACGGGGTAATACGCCCTTGTCACGACCTCAATTGACGGTATACATAAACACTCACCTCCAAGGGCTTCTTGTGCGAAGAATTTGACATCAGCATCAGGGTCACTGTTTAGTTTATCGAGGCAGGGTTTTATCTGACTCTGTATGGTTCTGTAAAACAAAAAACAAGATAAAAAGTGCATAAAAATGTTTACATTGCTTGTAATTACATAATATGCATAACAATGTTACCACAAAAGACTAGCATTTGGCATACGGGATGGAGCTTCTCTGTGACAGCTGGATCAGGAAGGACTGGGGGTGCCCTGGGTCACGTGGCAATAGCCCAGCAGAATACTTTGGATGCAGCAGCTAATGAGAAAATAATTTTGAAGCGTATATGTACTTTTCAAAACTCAATGCAAAAAAGGAAGTGATAATCAGTTCCAGTTGTTTTGAGTAGTGAAAATGAAGATGAGGATGATACTGGACATTGTTTTATGCCGGCCTGAATTGCGATCAGCATGAAAGATAACAAAACCTGCAATGCCAGAACTGTAGAGCACGCGATTATCATATGCCTGTCAGCTTGAAATGTAGCTGAAAAGGCGAGGCAAAACAAAATCATGCCAGCAGGTTGATAGAAAGGGACTAGCATGAAAACAACCTTCAACATAAAACCTTGTTGGAGCATTAGCTTGGTCTCGCCCGATGTTAGATATGGATACTTCGAAAAAGAAGAATATTCTTTAAGAATCAGGTGGACAATACGGATAGTGAATGCTCTCTAAAAGTTTTATCTTGTTTAGATGATCCATTTTAAGTCTAATTAATATTGTTGCTCAGCTTGTCCTTATCGAACCTTCTAATTTCCTGTTTGAGAGTTATAAAGAACATTTTATGAATTTGCTAAACCCAAACAGATGTAACCCTTCCTTTTGCTTAAATATTTACACGAGCAATCTACAGGCAATCTGTGTTGGACGTAGAAACAGATTTGATATCAAGACCCTTGTCGACAGAAGTCTGGATGAAAATGATGACTGGCCACATTTCATAATGAAATCATAAATAATAGAGCTAGCAAACGGAAATGATTAGCAACCTGTGAAAATCGAATACATAACCGAGCAGCAACTATACACTGCATGCATAATATGTTCTTCAGCTCGATTCGAAATCATAAAAGCACGGCACAATCGAGATACTCAAAGAGGGGGGGATCACTCCACGAAAATCCTATTGTTTTTAAAAAGTCTTGTATGCTGTTTGATAATCCCTTTTGGAGGCACCCATGAAGAGCGAATGGTCAGTATGAAGCCATCAAGATTTCATATCACTGTTAGCTAACTTGTTCAAGACAAAGACTTCTCTTTTTCTAAATGGTGACCTTCGCTGATGACTTTGGCAAATCCTAGAATTCGACACTTAGAACTTATCTCAATAGTTGGGATATTGTATATCTTCGAAGAAGATTTTGCTTTTGTCTTACAGAAAGATAAGGATCTCAGTAAACACGCCTCTTCAAAGAATATTTAATAGTGCATCACTGCCCCTCTCAGAACATCCTCCAATGTCTCAGCTGTGAGCAGGACACCAACATACAACCGTTTCAAGCGCAAACAAGTCTTATTTGAGAAGAGCAAAGTAAAGCTCTGGTTGGGTCACAATATTTGAGAACAAAAACCGGCTTCTAAGTTGAATAAGCATGGATTATTTGTGGGATAGGGTTTTCAATTACCAAGGACACATTTTTAACCAATATAAACATACCATGGTAAGTACTGGGTGGTCGGATCTTGAAATTAAGATTTCCGTTACATAAAAGACAGTTTGTGGATTGGGTACGTCACTGATAGGTAGCATTATGCGAAAAAATCTCTTGCTGAAAAGATAATGGGACCGTTCTTTTGTTGTCTAACCAGCTAAGACATTGCACGGGGTATTTAATTCAAGCCCGGTACCACAAACTAAGCGAAGTTTTAAGCATACAAAAACACTGCATTGTTTGACGGTTAATGTTCATTCATGAAATGAAGGTTTCTTTTTTATTTAACGAGTTTCCTGCAAAACAAAGATATGGTAAGGAGACCCAGAAATCGAGCAGCTAATTTCATATCTTATCTGTTATGATCCTTTACCGCTACGGTGGACAATGCGAATAAGCCAACGCGAAACAGGATTTGGTATAAGTTGGAAGCCTACTTCTTAAAAACCTAATAAAAAGACACTGTTAGTGAGATCACTAGCAAAGCGACTAAACGATGATCATTGTGCTTACTGTTACTGAAAATCCCATTTTAATGTCTTTCTTAATGGGAAATTAATCGGCCATACAGGGGACCACAGGCTTTTTACGATGCCTGTGGCACTCAACCAAAATAGTCACACCAAACGTTGCTTGAAAATTTGTGACTGTAGAAAAAGTGTGACTGAGAATAGAGCTAAATTGAATAGTTTTGCATATTTGGGTCTAAATTTTATGTGAATGTAAACGGTGGTGTGAAATTAAGCGAAATGACTGAAAGTGGAGCTGCCTGTATTTTGTTCTTTACAGGTTTTAAATAACTATACAGATTATAAACTGAAATTGCAAGAAAGTAAATCTTCAAAATGAATAGGAAAAGTGGAAACTAGGCATCTTATGATATAATAAGCATTCGAGTTTCTTTTTGTCCGACACTCAACAAACTGAGTGTAAGATTTCGGATAGTGACCAAAGGTAAGCGAAAATTATATCCAGGTGAGGAGCGAAAGAAACGCGAGAAAAGAATGGCGGAAAAAAGTAAGAAGTGAACAGAGTAAGATCAACAAACTGGAAAGTGATTCCCATCAACGTTTAGAACAATGGGATTGCACCTTAAGCATGGTTGGGAAACGTAGACAGCAGAACAATCCTACAAATCCTCTACACAGGTGAAAACAAGTGGAGTCTTTATATCTCCAACTGCTAAGAGCACTAATAGAACCTATGACGTTGACATGGTCGCATGGCTGGTAAGAGGAATTGTACATAAATTTCAATGAATTCTACAATGCCTGTCGGAAATGGAAATACATTTGATCTAATGAGAAAATGGTTACCCACCCCTCCCTCCCCCCCAAAAAAGATTCTATAAATTGTGGTGCGAAGCTTTGAAGATTTTCGTTGTGGTTTATTTGAGAGCAGCAAACCAAACTCCACACTTTCACTTTCTGACCACTTCCATGACCAAAGTCTCCTGCCCTTCCAAAGATACTTAACAAGCCTTTCTGATCAATATTTAAATGGGGTGTTTTTTAGTTAAATGATGATTGCAAAGTAATTTACTTTCAGTGCAAGAACTCACCACCATCATGGGTAAAGTGCCCTTTGAAGAATTTATTTTTTCTAGGTAGTTAAATCTTTTGCCTTCTGTTTTAAAAATTTTCACATTAATCACACAGAAAACCACCGATGAAAAACGATATTTACGCACCACATCACAATTAAGCTCAGAAGTCGTTAATTCGAACCCTGGAGTTCTAGCGAAACAGAATATTCGCAATCTCATGTGATAAAAGTTATAGTTTAAACAAGCAAAACAGGACTTACGGCGCGTCGAGGACATGGCCGAGTAGGCGTAAAGTTTTTGCGACGTTGAATCTGACATTTGCAACACCATCGTTTGCCAGACTCAGCACGACGGGTAGGATGAGTTTCAGGCAAATTTCAGGTCCAGAAACTTCGATCAGAACCTGAAAAACAGAAGATTTTAAGACCAATACACATCAAAGGTGTTTTATCTAAAAATGAGAAAGCCTATATTTAATCAATATATATATAAACAGATCAAATTTAAGTAACCAAATTCCTTCTATGAGAAACTGTCAAGATATTACACGGGCTCAACTGATAACATCACATTCTACAACAGCCAGCAATCAAAGATAAAAAACGAAGGAGTGAAATTATCTTAATAAATGTAATGATTTGCATTGAATTTTATGAAAAATCGGGTCAGTAGGCCACTTGTTGTCAGTTATAACTATGAATACGTGAGATGAAGACTAAAACGATAATCAGGCCACAAACGTTGAAAGCTTAGCTTAGCTGTGACCTGAATAAAGTTAAGCGCAAGAAATCTTCAAAGCATCATATTAACGACTTAAATGGAGAGAATAAACGGCAAACGGTTACGCTATTACTGTGAAGCAAATGGCAACTATAGATTCCTGGTTATAAAACTGGAAAGACATAACATTTGCTTTGTTTTTTATTTTCGCACAGTAAGAAGGAGAATTTAAAGCCCATTGCATTGCATCCTGAACAACGGGCCTATTTTTGCTTAATAACTTCATTATACGCCGGCCTAATGAGTGCGAGACAAAGGTGATTGTTTACAAATATGCATGAAAAAGATGGTTAACAAGCACCAGCAGTAGAGATTCGGAACTGCAAAAGTAAAGGTTATTTTCTCGCTTGTCAAGAAAACATTTAAAAAGATGGAAATAACTTACGTTAATTGCGAACAGTGTTGTCATTCTGTGCAGATAATTGGTTTCTCTCGCCAACGCAAGGACACGCGGTATAATCTTGTTCTACGAAATAAATATCATTGACGTTTTTAACATTAACATTGCCACTGCTAAGGTGGAAACTATTGTGTATCGTTTGAAAGACAGATTTCCAGCGATGGTAATTCCGATTAAACGCATTTCCCAGCATGCGTACGATTTAACTTCTTTCTTCCACATGAAATACTAGTTCATTAACTTGTTTATTCACTTTTGCTGAAGCTGCACGAATAGGATAATTTAAACGAAAGCCGGTTTTGAAGCGTAACTAAAGAATGAAGTCTTCACAGACGGACACCTTGTGGCGGAGTCAAAATTCAGGTACTCATCGCAGTTAACCCCTTCAAGAAGTAACCCCCAGATAGTGGATACCCCAAAAAGGCGAACATAGCCTTTTGTACAGCAGGTATCCGTTATGTTGCTGTCCGATTGTAGTTCTAAGGAGAGGTGATAACTTTAAGTCATGACAGAGTTACACTGCGTTAAACAGCGTGGAAACGGAGAAATTACGATAAGTGAAAAGAGAGCCGGCGAATAAAGGTAGAAAAGAAACTGATAGGCCAAGACATGGAGATGAATCCAGCAAGTCTACACGCCAATATTCTACCCCATTTCCATGTTGCCTAATCTCAGCGTAGGTAACCCACTTAATCATTCACACCATTCAAAATTATAAACACTAAAATACATTTCTGAAGCAATTCTAGTTCATTAATTGCATCATCCATCTTCCATACAATGAATTGTGACTGGAAATTATACAGAAATCTCCTAACGATTATCCCTAATGTCAAGCATCTTCGTAATCTTTCATGACACCAATGTAATATTAACATTTGACTTCAAGTCGTTAACTTCCTCTCTTTTGAATTGCCTTTCCTTCTAGTTTAAAAATAGCTCATAAAAATAGAAGCATTCTTATAGCACGCAGAGGATAAGGAAGTATTCAATTGACTCGGAAATTGGACGAAGCCAAGTTCTAAGCAGGTGGAAATTCAGTGCGTTGGTTCAAATCACACAAGGGGAATTTGTCAGTGGTAGTGTCGTTGTCTTTTACTCTTATCAATAATTTTCTAAACCTTTACAAACTTGTCTACTTATCTTTGTTCAAACAATCACAGTGTATACCACAACCAGAGAACTCAAAAGTTACTCTGACCACGCACACGTTAAATATTCTTACTTAGCCGAGCAACTGGCTACAATTACTGGAGGTACTCTGGAACCAGGATGCAAAGGCAAATCCCGGCTATTTCCATCGAGAGCTGTACTACCTATCAGAATCCCACAGAATGAAACAGTTGACTTCTGAGCTCCATTTAATAGCTCTATGGAAACAGCTGATATTGGAAGCAATTACATTAGCTGGGCTGTTAAAACATCGCACCAGATTGATCCCCGTTTTGTCGGCAACCTGAATACAGGTATCGTTCTTGCGCTCTTTTGCGCACAAGTTTCCATGGCAATGTCACGAGTTACTATCACGACGAGTCTACTTGTAGTAAACATAAATTTAAGGACATCGAAACCCAGTCAATGGTAAAAATAACGAATTCAGCAAAGTCGTCGGCATTCGAAATTTATAGCTGGTTCTTCATTGCTGTTTTCACAAACACCATGTTTGTTGCGGGTGTCGAAATAAATGCCATAATTGGCATTTGAACAGCTCTGATGTCAATAAAGGCACTTCAACACACCCGAACGTTGTTAGCAAATTTGTTTATAAAGGGCTTCTAAAGTAGGCCATTGTCAACTGACTTCACTTGGCAAGCGGCAAAAAGATGGACCCTCGGTTCAGCAAAATGTCAAGATAGCACGAAAAAGCTTGGCCATATAATTGCACACTTAAAACTTATCAGACAATCCTTTGGTAATGAACGCTGGGTAATTACCAAGAAGGCGAACAAGAACCTGTATGCAGCTACGGATCAAAAGTAATGTGAGAGCAAAAATTCGTAGTCTTTAGCAGAGACGAAGCCATAACTTCTTCATCCATTTCTACGATTTACAGAAAAGCGGAAACTGTTCACATGAAATTCTCCCTGCGCAGTTTGATCGGTCAACGGTTGGTGGTCGATTGGCTGTAAGTGGTCGACTTTTATCTGCATCTTATCACAGTCTTTAAGATACAATCAGGTAGAGAGGACGATTTTGATCAGAACTGTGTAGTGTATGCACATGAGAACGTCTTGCAAGGAATAGCTCAAAGCAGGATATTTGACATTTGTCAATTGAATGTGATTATTTGACAATTACTGCTACGACAAAGACTAAAAAATGATACGATCATTAACTCAAAGATTGTTGGAGACGACAGACATTTTGGACATTTTCAACCCTTTAAATATTTTGTATTGGAAAATATATCATATCTGACACCTTTAGGCCCACATCAATGAGCTTTCCGTCACTGGCCTCCATTTGTTTATACTCACTAAGGCGAAGATGGCATTTTAACGAACACGGGAACACGAGAAATACCCCCCCCCCCGCAAGGCATTGCATCTAATCAAATAAGAAACTGCTTACCTGAGCCCATTCAATGCCAAACTTTTCAACTAATTTCTGCAGGTTCTTTGCAGCGGCTTCTCTGATCGCATAAACTAAAAAAAAATTGAACAAATGATGGGACTACTCTTTTGTTCGGGACTACTATGGTTAAAATATAATAACGAATTTTCTCACAATATAACCTTTTTCTCTAAAATACAGTATGACTTACGCTAAAAAATATATCCTCTTCTATTTTTGATAGCTGTTTCTTATTTCAATCTACAAACTAAGGGATCGTCTTACATTCTTCGAGGGGAGATCGCTTTTAAAAACTTGCTAAACAGAAGCAAAGTACGTCGCCGACGAAAATTTTCAAGAAAAAGTTTTCCAGAAAACAATTCCACCAAACGTTTGAATTAGACAGGATCAGAAATACAATATTGTTCTGGAGAATATGGTTCTAAAGAAAAGAAAATCAGGAAAAGATCAAATAATGAATTGATAAGTAATGAAAACACTTACCATGATCGACAAGCCAGCTCATGCAAAGTGAACTTAACTTTTCATCAAAAAAGTCGACGCCCTAAAATCGAAATGAAAACTGAGTAACATGTTCCACTAGGCCGATTATTATTTCACTGATGCAATTTTGGCACACAGACTCGATGGTAAATAGTCCTTTGGCAAAATAGGTTTCAGTATTTCCTGTCAGACACTCCAATTAGTATTAAACAGTTTGTTTATGAGGATAAAAAGGCTCAAATGCGATTCATGGATGTAATTGGTGCATAACAGCGCGACTCAAGGCTCTACTCAACGGTGTTTAGCACTAGTTATTAAATATATTTAAATAAAGATTGTAGATTTGAAAGAAATATATAATTTCGACGTCTGGAGCAAAACTTTTCATAAGTTATATCTTGATGAAGAGTTATGCTCGAACCTCGAAATAATATACCTCTTTCAAATGAACAAAGTAATTCCTCAAATATGTCAATTTTCGGTCTTTATTCATCGACGTACAACGGATGAAATACTTACTAATTGACCGGCGAGTAACGGCATGTATTCTATGATGGCCAGACGAACCCGCCATTTCGAATCTTCAGCCAGTTCCATTATGGCAGGAAGTAAAGACTGTGACAATTCTTGGATTCCGATGACTGAAAAGTGACCTCATGACATAAGAATAATTAAAATTTTACAACTTGGCAGGACAATACTATCCAGTTTTGATTGAAATATTGTTCCAGTTCCATTACATTCACCAGTTATTCAGTTAACACCAGCAAAAATGAACTAAAGAAATTGAGAACCTATAGACTGTCCTTCCTTGAAAAATTACCTCGTATCTAAGAACATTTTTTAGTAGTGGAGATAGATTATTTAAAGTTCGTAACATAACAGGTATCGTAATGAAATTATAAATGTTAACCAATGGTGTATCATTTGTACTTGTAGTCTTCGTGTTGGCAACTTCAAACTACTAACCCTCAATACAGTAAACTATTTTCACCCCTGGGTTAAAAAATAATAACTTTTGAAAATACACATCCTTGAAGTTGGAACAAAGAACAATATGATTCTGGAAAATTGTTTTATCGAGGATTTATTACATTGTTTAATTGCACACTTAAAACTTATCAGACAATCCTTTGGTAATGAACGCTGGGTAGTTAACAAGAAGGCGAACAAGAACCTGTATGCATATAGGAAATTTAAATACCTTCATTGACGCTGTCCAAGTTCGAAATTATGTTGAGCCTAACGTCTGAGCACTAAAAAAATGTCGTGGCATATCTTTAATATTAATGACAGAGCATTTTAATAAGACGAAAAATGCGTAACAGTATACAATGCATCAGAAAATCATATAGATCAGGAAACATGGAAAGGTTGACATAGATTAAGGCAGAACGGCAAAATGTATTTGATTCTTGGTACTAGATTCCTAGAGTAGGAACGGAAATTACAATTGGCAGAGAAAATTTAACCGAAATAAAGACATCTTATCTGTAGAATCTAAAAATTGAGCTCATAGTAAGAAAATAAAATCATTTCTTTGCAATATCTTTGACACTCAAAGTTACAAATCTTTAAACGTACAAAGCAAAACAAGATTCAGAATTCCTAATGAATATAAACATTGCGTCGAATATTTGTAAAACTGTTTAATGCAAATTTTTGATTCAGCAGGAAGATTTTCTCTCGTGTAACAGGTCCCCAGAAAAAAATTATTGACGTGAAGAGAAATAAGCTGCTATAAAATAACTTAATATTGAGTATTCAATAGATGGAAAAGCAATCCAGGACGACATTAAGATAGCATAACGTGACTTCAAATGGTACAACGTGTCGTAAAGAAACGTAAAAAAATAAAATGTAGTTTGACAAGATTTTGCAAAAGTCCAGAATAATAAAGCGTGTAGCTGAGGCTCGTATGAAGCTCCTTACCTCGTCTTTCAACATGATCAAAAACAATGGAAGGAGATGTTCGATTGTGCTAAAATAAATGAATATTCACATTGTTTCAAAATAGAAAAAAGAAATCTAAATAGGCTGATTTACATACTAATTTACGATCTGTATGCTTTGATGAATATGAGCAGCTGCGTAACCTGCCACCAATTTACATTCGGACTTCACTAGCTATTAGATTTACTCGAAGAAATTTGCAACAGTATATGAAGAATCAGGGAGAGAGCCTTGAAAATACAGACTATACAAACAGAGAAACATTGACAACTTAACAAATATTCAAGAGCTTTCTCTTTTACTTGGCCTATGCCTTCCTCGTTTGCATTCTCCATCACTGTTCACTTAAGCATTCATGCTATCATAATGAAATACATATACACAATAAATATATTTAAATCAGATTTTCAATAAAATGTTTTAAACTTAAATATTATACGAATTCAAGAGCAATAGAACATAAGAATATTTACTTGTCCTTTCCAAGGATCGGAGCCAACCCCATGATTACACCAGCCAATGCAGATTTTACATGCATATTTGGGTCGCTGGCCAAATCCTGCCAAAATCAAGGATACTTTAATGATAACTTCCAAAACTTGACAAAGCAACATTAAATTAAACAAACTTCACCACTATACTTGTAGAACGACTGCAATTATCACAGCCCAAAGACTCATTGATAAGCCAGTACAAAGTAAGAATCAGAAATTGTTTACTTAAGGCTTTTCCATCATATAACAGAATTCCATGCCCTGTTTTCAACATGTGTTTTATACAGTAGATCGGTATGAAACTGCACAGAAAATCGCCTATGTGTATTAACTCTTTTCAGAAGGTATTTGAACATTCTAAAAGGAAACGCTAAAAACCCTGCCGAAAGGATTACCCCATATCCAGTGGGTTGGGATATTGTATCAACACAAAGGTAGAATAGACAGCGGTGGAAAGTATGCGTGGCTGCGAGAGGGTGGCCAACACATTTTTATGACTTGGACAATTTTATTTATTTTTCTGAATTGTAACCCAGTTGAATACCAATTCATTCTGTACATTATTTGCCATAGCCACACCGAATGAAAAGTAATTGACAAATTTAACTCAGGAATATTCCTAGGGACATCAGACATACCTTTACACATGGTAAAATACTGGCCATGATTATTTGTTCTCGTGATTCCGGCTGCAAGTTTATGCAGAATTCTGGAAAAAAGAAAATAAAGAAGTCGATTTGAATATAGAGCGACTAGATAAATGCCGAGATTAAGTGTCGAGAAAACGAACCGGAGCTACGAACACTTTGAAGGTGAGTGAAAATCTAAATATAAAAATTTCAAAAATGCCCACCTTTTATCAACAAAAATTAATCAACAAATGAGGGTTTTTTATATCTAGTGAATTTGAATCCAGTTTTTTATAAATTTCACAAGTGTCCAGATAACAAAACCATTTGATATTTGCTGTTTGTACAACAAAATGCAAATTCACTAGAATAATATCGAAGAGAATGCTTTCTAACCGTAAACTTCAAACGTAAATCATTAAAATAATGTTCTTTTTTTATCAAGACAGGAGAATTGATCACTTTCCCGGACCAGTGTTTCACATTACTGCATTTTATAGCATGAAACGATTGTAAATCTGGGAGGTTCTCTCTGCCTACCTTTGACCTTGTGGGCCGCAGCTGTTTTTACTTCCGCTTCGCAGTCTTTAAGAAGTGCAGCATAACTTGGGACGAGTTCTGTCTTACTTGTGTCTGGTCCGACTGCCTTTTGGAGCTGCAAGACGAAGATGGTACTACTTTAACATATTCAGGGGGGTGTTGAGGAAAAAGGAAAGGTACTTCAAAATTATTGGGTAAATCTTCTTTTTATCAGTAAATAATTGCATTACATGATGATAAACTACGATGATCGTCATGATGATTACAAAAGAGGTAAGACGCTACTGGAGATCGAATTGACTTTCTATTTTGACAATTATTTTAGATAATGCTATCAAAATGAGCTACGCTAAATATCGACGAGCAATGAGCGAGTGTAAATGATTGTAATGCTAAAATCGAAACAAAACTTACTTCGACAATTTTGTCAGCGACCATGTATCGAACTCTCCAAGACTTATCCTGCAAGAGAATTGTCGATACATTACGTAAGTAAACAACTAGCTTGAAATATTCACTTCCAAGATGGAGTTGCGAACAGAAATATTTGAAGAAAACAACTGTAATTAACAAATTTCAGAAGATAAAATTACAATAAATGTAATATATAATATACACTTTATGTTTTTCTTAGATTAAACAACATGTTCATAGCACAAAATATCCTCATGTCTTTTTCTCTTCTGAACCTACGGCTGTAGGGTGACATTTAAGTTTCTGGCCCTTGTTATCAAGGGTACAGAAAAACATATTCATAGGAAACTAACGAATTCTTCATTCACCAAAGGAAATTTCTGGGGAACCTCTTATGTAAAAATTGAAGTCTTGCCTGCTGGCAACAAAATTATACTTGATGCAACAAAAGGAATTTAGATTATTTTCAAAAAAAAAAGTTGCATGTCAAGAGTGAATGCTTATTTGTCTTTCTGGCTCTTTTTAAGGTTCCTTTGATTCCACCTTGGATAAACTGCTACACTGAATAGAATACCATTCATCAAACTGAAAGAGCTTATCTGTCTTTCATTTATAGGCCAATCAATTCATAAACATTATTGCTTGAAAGAGATTGCACCCCGACGATATTCCACTGATACTTGATTCAAACCAGTAAAATTGCAAAGCAACACACCTGCGCAGCGTTTCTTAAGGGTTCCACCATGTATTGTTGTTTATCTGGTTGTGGAAGAATGCCGGCAATACTGACGCAAGCTTCGACGGCCAATAGCCGCACGGAATCCTGTCAAACATAAAAGAACTCATTTTAAACCTTGGAAATTAATACATTCCTGGAGGCCTTTATCACATCCCCGAAAGATGTTCCCAAAATTCATAATAAGCAAAATGAGGGTTCAACAATCAGGTACACAATTAAACTAAAATAAGAAAAAATCTTTGCAATTCAAAGCTTGTAAATGATGCTTTACATCTATCTAAAAAGATCTAAGTGTAAACAGAGGCGGATCTTAAATTTCTCAACCCACGTTTAAAAAATCCATGATCAAAGCTGAAAGAGAAAGAGGGCTTCCTTCACAGAATATGACGTCAAATTTACGATTCAAAACAATAACGAAAGTTTTTTGTGTTCTAGCTGATCGTCACCTGTTCGTCGTTTGCCAAGCTGTTGAACATCGGGATAAGATCAGATTTAACAAATTCAATTTCAACGGCTTTTGCGAATTCCTTCAAGAGAAAATAATTCAACATAAACAAAGAAATACTAATAGGTTTGGAAATCAGCTGTACATGATTCACCTCCAAAGCAGTTAACTGATTTATATGAATAGTAAATTCTACTAACTTTAAAACAAAAACAATCTAGTTCGTCAAAGCAATACTGGCAATATATTTGGCAAAAGACAAATCATTGACATATATTCTTCAACTGATTTTATAAAATATCATATATACGGTCTACAAAATTTATTTCAGGGGTTCCACATTATTAAAACAAAGCCACAAAAAGCGGCGGGTATACAGTCATTCTTTTGTAAAAACTTGCAAAATCCCCTGCATTCTATTCAAAACATTCGCCAAACCTGGCAAGGCAGCAAACACAAGATATAGGTAATACAAAAAGAAAATTTTAGCTAAGGCAGCAAACAAGACAAGAAACAGATAAATAAAGAAATTTGAAAAATCTTACGCCGAGTTTTCCTGCAGCCGCCCTTCGGACCATTGGTGTGTCATCACAGCACAGAGATTTAAAAGCCCTAGCGAAAATATCGAGGTGTCAAAATACACAAAAGCAAGAACTTCTCAAGGAAGCATCGCATACTGACAGGAGATATCCTAGTTCTTGGTAATAAATCATGTTTTCCTGGTAATTCCACGAATCAAACTCAAAGAAATGATCTAGCCGGACCAGACCGGGGGAAATCGGCGTATGTTTTAAAAAATACAAATACTTACGTTCTAAGATCGGCTTTTGTATTGGTTCCCACACGAGAATATGCAACAGCGAAAAGTCCGCATGCCGATGTACGAGAAGTGAACCAGTCGCCTGCAGGAAGATGACAACTTGCAAACTATATCATGACCATGCCGTGAGCGTAAAAAAGAAGTCAGGAAAGCTTGGGATTGCAACTCTGAGCATGTTATAAATAAACCTCTTTATGCAGATATGCGATGCAGATATGCGATGCAGATATGCGATGCAGTCAAGCTCAGTGAGAAGGAGCCTGACAAAGGGGCTGACGCTAAGAAGGATCCTGTATAATTGCTAAACTATCATTGGACGCCATTTTGAATTAGGAACAATATCTTTGTGCAGGAAAAATATCTCACCTACTAATCTCGGTTCTGTGCAAAAATCTTACAACAGGGTCATTCCATGCCAATGAGGGACAGTCATGTAATGCACCCTCTCAAATTTTCCTGATACTCCTGTCAAATGCTAAGTATCTTGAGAGGAAAATAACCTGAAAATTTCAAGTTGATATCTTAACTCATTCAGATATTATAGTTATTTTAATTTTTGCTGATTCAGCATAATATTATCCACATATCCGCCATTTTGAATGTGCAGAGAAAGTAAACTTTGAGAAATTTTCATAAAGTATATGGAAATCATTAATTAAAATATCATTTTTGGATAAATTAGGGGCAAGGAATTCAAAAATTGCAACAGAAATGCACTAAATCCATTAGAAAACAGAGTAAATTATACCAGAATATAATTTCTTATACTCGCAAATCGCTTTTACCATCCACCAAACTATGAAAAAATTCACCATGTTGGAAGAATGTGACAAATTTCAAATTGTGCATCCAAGAAGTACACAGGACAGACTTTAAATTTACAAAGAACCAGCAAAAGGTTTTTCTTGGTTTCTGAGATATGCACTTTGCAAATTTGTGAGAAATTTGTGAAAATTTGGTATTTTTCTCAGTTGTTTAATGCCATCTATATAGCAAGTACACTGTATGTTATTGGAATTGGTGTTTTACAAATAGAATTTAACTATTATAATATATGGTGTTTATAATTGAATATATCTTTCCCATCAATACAACCCATTTTCAATGGTTCAAATTTACTTTTATACATGCTTAGGAAGTGCGAAGACCTACAAAAACGTTCAAAATTTTGAAAAAAATCCGAAAACCCATGCAAAAATTCGGCAATTCCTAAAATGCATATTTCAAGGTAAAATTTTCTAGGGATGTAATTTATTTCAAAATTATTATCTGCCAAAAGCTAACATCATGACATGTTATTGTGCAGATTTGTTTTAAGTTTTGAAGTACACGCTTTTTTTATAAGGAACCTACCTAAAGGCCTAGTTCCAAAAGTTCCTTATTTGTATACTTCAAATCATCAGATTTTATTACCAAAAGTTCCTTAAAAGTTCCTTAATTTTAACTGCACATCAATAAGCCTTAACACTTAATGGAGAGGGGCGAGACAGCATATGCGGAAACTACTCGACAAAGCACTTGACACACGAATAGCAAACAATCTATGCGAGTATTGGCTGCAAATGAATGGAACCGGCTTTTTAGTTCTTGATGCTTGCAGTTATAAAAATTTTGCAAATCGAAAAGTTCTTTAAATATTTCGGCCTTATACATGTAGGTTCCTTATAAAGTGGTTCCTTATAAAAAAAGCGTGTACCGTCTGTAAACGCGAAACACCACACCTTTTTAAACCTGGTTCCCAGTTGTAATTTGCGTAGGAATCGGGGAAGTCGGCGATTCTCTTGCTTCTTATGCGTATTGGGACAAGTGTGAACGTGTTTTTATAGGCTGTTCATGAGTCGCCGACTTCCATGACACTTTCGCGAATTACGATCAGTCGCCTTTTTGCCGCCCCGTGCAGCATTGTGCAGTTTGAAAGAAGTATATGAATTATTTAAAACTAAAAATCCTAACTTATAGATCAGGTTTTCAAAGTTTGCCAGCCTGCGTCCCAAATGGTGCATTTCAGTTGGCCCCAAAGGTACTCATTCAGTGTGTGTCTGCACAATCCATCAAAATTTAAAACTGATGTTAGATGCTATCAGTATAGACAAAAGTTATCATGAACTTACAGACATGATTGTTTGTAACCGAGAATCAAAGGTATGCATGATTCATAGGTGTGCCTCCTGTCCAGGTATAGAATCAGTTGAAGCATATCTAAAAAGGGAACTCCAAAGAGTTGACCCAGGAAAGATGCCGTTGTCAGATGAAATTGGCGCAGTTAACTACTGTGATGAATCTGAAACGTCTACAGATGATGAAGACAATGACTTGGATGAAATAAGTATTGAATTCAATCAATGGACAACAACAGATCGCTCTATGCTGACTTCCCAAACTGTTTCTGCAAGTGAATTTATTTCAATTCTTTGTGAAAAGTTGGATAAAGTAACAGCTCACTCATATATAGCACGTTCACAAGCAGCATATTTAAATGCCAAAAAAGAGTCGTTGTGTGCTGAAGAAGTGATTGTTTTGGGGGATTTTTCAGAGAATTACAAGTTTGTAATACAGGATGAGGTTCAAGGGTACCATTGGAATCAACAGCAATGTACTCTACATCCAATAGTTCTTTACCACAAATTTGAAGATGCTGCTCAATTTTCTGTCCAATCCCTCTGTTTCATATCAAACGATTTGGACCATGATGTAAATTTTGTGTACAAAGTTATTTTTGAAACTGTTGCTCATATAAAGCAGCTCTCAAGCCAGGTAAAGAAGATCAGCTATTTTTCAGACGGTTGCGCAGGCCAGTACAAGAACTGCAAGAACTTCATTAACCTGTGCCACCATCAAGAAGACTTTTCCATTGAATGTGAGTGGAATTTCTTTGCCACCAGCCATGGTAAGTCACCATGTGACGGAATCGGTGGCACAGTGAAGAAGCTTGTTGCCATGGCAAGCTTGCAAAGGCCTTCAAATGACCAAATTTTATCAGCAGAGGCAATGTTCCTCTATTGCCAAGAAAAAATAAGTGGAATTGAATTTAAATATATTCCAATAGAGGAAATTCAATCCACACGAGAGAATATAAGAGAGCGTCTCAGTCAAGCAAAGACAGTTCCTGGCACAAGAAGCTTCCACCATTTTATACCAATAAGCTCATCTATTATTGGCGGCAAAAGAGTTTCTGAGGAAGTGGATTTTGCTCTTCGATTCAGTTTTGGAGAGGAGCAACTGGAAGGTGTCGAGGCTAGAGTTGGCCAGTTTGTGGTTTGCAATTACGACAAACTCTACTGGGCAGGAATGTTGATAGAGGTAGACAATGATATGCATGATGTCAATGTAAAATTCATGCATCCCAGCCTCCCATCCACTTCTTTGAAGTGGCCAAGAAGAGATGATACATGCTGGGTACCGAAAACAAAGATATTGTTCAAAATCGAGCCACCAACACTTTCAACTCATACCGGTAGGCAGTATATTCTTGATGGCAAAGATAGAGATAGGATTGACAGATGTCTTCAAAGGATGTAGAACTGCTTGTGAGTATATAGCTACATACATAAACAATTTTATAACTAAATAACATGGCATTAAACAACTGAGAAAAATACCAAATTTTCACAAATTTCTCACAAATTTGCAAAGTGCATATCTCAGAAACCAAGAAAAACCTTTTGCTGGTTCTTTGTAAATTTAAAGTCTGTCCTGTGTACTTCTTGGATGCACAATTTGAGATTTGTCACATTCTTCCAACATGGTGAATTTTTTCAAAGTTTGATGGATGGTAAAAGCGATTTGTGAGTATAAGAAATTATATTCTAGTATAATTTACTCTGTTTTCTAATGGATTTAGTGAATTTTTAATGCAATTTTTGAATTCCTTGCCCCTAATTTATCCAAAAGTGATATTTTTATTGGTGATTTCCATCTGCTTTATCAAAATTTCTCAAAGTTTACTTTCCCCGGACATTTAAAATGGCGGATATGTGGATAATATTATGCTGAATCAGCAAAAATTAAAATAACTATAATATCTGAATGAGTTAAGATATCAACTTGAAATTTTCAGGTTATTTTCCTCTCAAGATACTTAGCATTTGATAAGAGTATCAGAAAAATCTGAGAGGGTGCATTACAAATCTAATTTTTTTGTCCCACTTTGGCATGGAATGACCCAACACCAAATAAACAAGGTACTGTCTTGCCTAAGCTGGCCAAGGACCCACTGTGGCTCTTGGCTGTTGTGGCCGGGCCTGTCGGATACTCTTGTAATAATGCTGTTCAAGGTAGCCTATCCAACATATCTATTCTACTGAAATATTTCAATGGGCATATGGAGTCAAAGAATCGCCGATTGCACGTTCAGAAGTATATTTGAGAAGAGCATTTGTGTCATAGGCCTGCCGTTGATAGGCAGGCCTCACAATTAGCATGGCTAGACTCATCATTGTGCAAGAAGCGCATGACACCAATTATGCCGCAAATTGAGGAGGCCTTAACGCTAGCCTGTTTTTCTAAAAATGATCAGAGATGTAACAACGCCTTAGGGTCAATGTAACAATGTCACTGATGGTAGAGAACAGCTAAAAAATTAAACGCTTGGGGTAACCATTCGTGAAAGCCCTCTGAGAAGTGAGAGAATCATTGTGAGAATCTACTTCGGCTACCTACACCATTTTCATGGTAAATACCGGATTCGAAGTCTACTTCAGGTTTTCTGCAGGACAATCAATTTGAGGTTAACTGCGTTGCTAACAGTAGTAGTAAATATTTGAGGGTACCAGCAGTGACATACTGATTCAAAAAACCCTTACCTCCAGCTAATCGTTTGACGAGAGGTACGAAGTGGTGTTCGAGATCTTGGGTAGAATGCTCCGCAGCGACGATTCTGAGTGACTCTACAGCCTACAGGAAGAGACAGGCGTCAGGTAAGCATTTGCTATTTGCTTCGGTACAGTTAAATCTGTTTTAAAAGGGAAACTCAAAATTGTAAAAGGGAAAGTTTCATATAGGCTGAGGGGAGCTGTGAATCACCCTCCTAAACATAAAGGAAAAATTGCTCCCCGCACCATTCTGAAGGTCCCGCCTAGATGTATCTTGAAAACAGGTGCAAAAAAGTGTAAACATCAGAGATTGAAGAGGACCTCAACAACAATTAGCTTAAATTTTAAGCCATTTCAAGTCTACACATTGTATTTGTTCTTTTTTATAGCTAGTCTGAACAAACGAGGCGAGCGATTCACAGCCCACCTGCAAAAATACAAACGGCCAGGCCTGAACCCTTTTGAAATACTTACAACGGTAAGATACACAGATTAGGAAAAAGTAGAAAAGAAATGAAAAATTCATACTCTAAAACTAAGACAGAGTAACCATACCATAAGACAGAGGAAACATAAAAAATCGTGAACATTGATGCAAGATATAGATAAATCTATTACATACATACAGTAAAATCTAACAGCCATTTTATAGTTTTAGTTATATATAATCGTAATATGCACGCCCAGGCAATCTTACTTATACCAATTCAACTTTATAAATGTATCCTTCGACCCTACTGGCCTTATTCTTCTAAATAAGATTGGATAATCAGGTATCTATACTTGACCAGGTGTAGTCCAAGAAACTGCGACACGTGTCTCAAGACAAAAAAATCTAGTTCCATAGTTTTCACATTAAATCGAATTTAGCAATATATATTATATATATATATATATATATATACCTAAAAATTAAAACTTGTTAATCATACGAAACAGTCATAGTAGCTTTTATCAAACGCTATAAAGCGATCATCGAATCGTAGTCAAGAACTCCACACGTTGTCTGCCAACCATTTTAAATTCCAATTATTTTTCTATACAGATGGTCTTTATGTCTCATTCCTGCCTCCATATCAGATAAGCTATTGAACTCATCTAACCTGTCAGGTAGAAGATACCTCTAACTAACTTGGAATTTGAAAAATTCCTACTTACTTTATCACGAACAATTGTCTCTTCGACAGTCGCAAGACTTTCGAGCGGGGGCTACGAGAAACAGATACATAATTTAATGGGAAAAAATTGTCAACAATTACTTGGTTCTTTTAATTCGTTCTAGATAAAAACAGAAGCAAGAGAGGTAAGCAATATCTACATAAAACATAAAAACATGCAACAACTAACTATAAACTCAATTTATCACATTCAAAGGAACGATAAATAATTGCAAATTCTCTTACTGCATTAAAGTAGGCAGAACGGCAAACACATAGTTAATTAATAAAGCAGATGTGTACTATTTTATAACTCTAAATCTAAAACGGAATGAAGCCAAAACAAATAAAATAATGGCCAAAGATAATTGCCAATGGGATAAATCTGGCAAATTAAACAGATGTCTTTCAAGGATAAAAAGAGTGGGTTGGAAGCTTATTACTCCTTTACAGCGAGTTGAACTCAAAATGAAAAAAAACAGGAGAATAAATCCTGCGCTTCTTATAGAAGAAGAAAATCACGATTTTAGCTTTTGAAATCGCTTCGGTGAAAGAGGAAGCGGTCAGTTTCTACTTTACTGCAGGTGCAACCTGTTTAATGAAACTGGCAAAGAGACGAAAGAGGCAAGACTCACCAACAGACAGTTCACAAATTCTTGGCCTCCGATCAAACGAGTGAATGTACCGAGCTAAAATGAAATACAAATAAGAAATCTGTGTATAATTTATTATAAAGTAACTGTCTACGTAAATCGACAAAACATAGGAAACGTGATGCAGAAACAATTACTTTGACACACTAGAGCCACAGACTCCTTTTCTAATGCCTCTATTCAAGATACTGTCCTTGTGTTCTTCCCCCACCCCACCCCCACCCCCCAAAAAATGATAAGTTGATAATTTTAAGAGTAAGTGAACTAAAAAAATCTAAAATTCTAAAATCCTTGAAATCTAAAAAAATTGAAGATTATCTTTGGAGTTTACACAAAATACCAATAAGACCGAACCATATCAATATCATTTGCAGATAGGTACAGCATGTTTAAATCATTGCTCTAGTTGTTTCTTGTAATATCCTTTACGGTTTTGAATCATTTTGATTTCTTACATTAAATGCTTTCTTACACTTCATCCTCATTCTTACACTTTTCATTGTGCCTGACTGACATTCAGAATTTTACGTGAGAAGAAATATATTGTGTCATAAGCCAAATCCAGAGCTTCGGCCTCACAATTAGCATGGCTAGATTTCATCATCATGTCTGAAGGCACAAGGAACTCACAGAATTTCCTATCCATATTTCATAAACCAACGGTTTTGTGGCTTATAGAATTGCATGGTTTGGTCGTGTGAAGATGTAGAGACATTTTCAATCAAAGTGCTTAAAATCGTTTAAGATAATCTTCAATTTAGGTATATTCTTGAATTTTGACTTTGAACTTTAATTATGCTTCTAAACTTTTTATCATTTTAATCTTAGGGCTGACAAGAGAAAAGGAAAATGGAATACCAAAACATTGAAACACTGGGGTACAACGTAGTTCAGATCAAACAATTTTAAGCTCTGTTTCCGTTTTACCATGTACAGGTGTCGTAGTAAACAAAAATGAACCAGTGTAATCAGAAAAGAAACTTCAGGTCGATTGAAATGCTAAACAGCATACATTTCAACATATAATAAGCTTTCTTGTTTCAAAAGCAAAAATGGAAACAGTTTCCCATACGCCTTTCCGTTTTATTTTACTTGGGAGGGAGGGGGGTTGGTTTTAAAGAGGATTTTGTCAGGAAAGTAAGAAACATAAATAAAGTGATCCATGTAAACTCTGTGGTTGCCAAGCCTAGCCTAAATCCGGAGAGTCAAATCAGATTACAATCAAAAACGAACTTTTGATCTGAATTATTGATTAGGCAAGAATAGGCAAAGATAAATTATTCATTTTAACAGTGAAAGAGCAAAATCTGAAAAGAAACTGAGGAAATTCCAAGAGGAAATGGTTATGCCTACAGTATCAATTTCACAATAAATTCTTTTAAAAAATAATCTTTAGGTTCATCAGTTCAGTAAGCTTCATATTCAAGATTCATTAATCAACAAGTGTTCTAGACAAATCTTAATTTTTGTGACCTTTAAGACAAAAGTTGTGGAATCAAATTTTTTTTTTGATTAAATAAACAACTGAATTGTACTGCAATATTGTGCTTTGACCAGTGGCGACGACCCCCCCCCCCCAATACTTTAGAAGACAATGGTCTTTTGTTCTAAAACAACAGGAAATGTGACGTCATCTTATTAAAACGATAGGCTTGCCCCCCCCCCAATATTTGACCAAGTGTCCACCCCTGGTTGTGACATGCAAAATATTTTTGGTGGGAATTATCCAAAAGGGAATGTACCATGGTGAAAATATCAAGCAATGTTGTAATCAAAAGTTGACCACTTTCAGTGATTGAGTGTTTATTATCATTAAAAAGAGTATTAAAGCGAATAGACATTACATTTTTCAAATAAAGTGCTAGATGCAAGCAAGAGCCACTAGTAAGCTGGTGGCAAGAAAAGAAAAATCTTTATTTGCAGGCAACATGATAAACGTTGTAGTTATCTATTGTCCTGGAAGATTGGCTTCAAAGATAGTGCCTCTGTGGCATGTGACCACAAATATGTCTTTGGACACAGAGTGCTGAATATATGCCCAGATTGTGTCAGGTTTTCACAGGAAGCTACTGAGATAGAAAGCAAGAATAAAGAACCCAGATGTTACTGATCTTAAAATACTTCTAATGACCTCCACCAGCAACAATGAGACATTCATAACCACCATCATTATTTGGTTGATGCTTTCACCAATGCAGTCAAACTGCACTGAAATAATTTTATCATATTCTTTGCTTTTAAAACAATTGCAACATTGCATTATTATCCTTCCTTCTTTGTCTTGATAAGTTAATTGTATTTTTTCTGGCTATCTAAAACTGAGTGCTAATTAATTCATACTGAGTGCTAATTAATTAATACTGAGTGCTAATAAATGGATAGATAATTAACAAGTCAAAAGATAAACACGATATTGCAGACCAAATAGGCATAAACTTAATTCAGTTCTATTTGTATGCAGTTGATAAAGCATACCATGTGATCATATTGCATATAAAATATATGACCTAAGAAAATGCACAGAATTGACAAATGACACTTAAAGATTTAGTGCTAACAATGAGCCTTTGTGTGCATGGCATGCCCATGCGAATCCTGCAGAGTAAAAGTTCGGGATTCTAGCCATGATCTTAAATCTGATATTGGTGAACATAAAGAAGACTATTTTTAGAGCTGGCTACTTTTGATGACATGATGTCTGTTGTCAACCGTCCTGTGCAATCTGATTCTGATAACTCATTGCTTTTTCATAAACGGACTTTGATACAACTAGATAACACTTTCTTCCTTGCATTCCTAATCTTCAGTGTTGTTTCACTAAAGTAGACCACCTTGTGCCTTTCTGAATGACGAGGATGCCCATTTCTTTCTGTGATTTTGGGCTTCATTTGGTGAAGTTTTTGCTAGACCCAAATCAATTTTTAGACTGTCTGAAATGCATTAAGAGATGTCTGCATTGTGCAATGGCTCATTGTTAGCAATGAGTTTTTAAAGAACATTTAGTATATATCAATTAAACAATTAACTGTCAGACAAGGGTTTATCAAACAGGAAAGTCAAAGCAGTTTTCACACCAGTATTCTAATGACATTAATGCTTTGCATGTCTCTGGTGTATGAGGTTACAAAACCACTGCCAAGATCTGGGAAACTATGGCAGAAGGCAGAACAATTCCAGCGCAGTTAAAAGATTATACAGATTAAGGAAAAAAAAGTTGACCCTTTAGATAAAGGAAAGCACAATCTCACCTGTTCTGCTAGAGCAAGTAACACTTCATCTTCATCATAGATTGTATCTAATCAAGAGAAAAATAGAAGTTTTAACAAAGATAAAAATAAATCTAGAACTTTCCAGAACCTTTAATCTAAAAACTTTGATTGTATCTAATCTGAAGACAAATAGAAAAAGAAACTCAGGAACTTTTCAATGATTTCTTTAGTTAGGTGGAGTTTCCCTTTTCTGCTCAATCTTTTCATGAAGTTGTTGCTGATGAGAACTGCATTTGGACATATCAATAAACAGTGTAGAATCGTTAAATTTGCAGACAGGTTTTTCTTAATGACTTCCAAGGTCAGGTTTAATTTAAGAATGTAAAATGAAAAATTGTCATATTGACAAATTTGCAAACTGATTTCCTATTGACTAAATATTGTATAAAACTTCATCACAGCACAATAACATCTTATTCATAAGCATCACAGAGCACTTAAATATGCAAGTTACGTGTAGCATTTCATCCAAATAACAATAATATAATAGAAAATGAATTAAGTGCCAAAATGAAGAAAAAATAAGTTTTGATTGTTGGAAACACAACATTTTAAGAATGTACTTGTTACCACAAAGCACTGTTTCCAATATGTATCAGTATCATGGGACATTGCAAATTATGTGTCAATATTATGGAAAAATAGTGTAGATAAAGCTCAGATACCTATAGCAAACTACCTTTAACAAAAGTCTGAAATTGCCAACTAACCTGTGAGGAATGGAATCAGTTCACTGCGGGTTCTTTCTGTTCCAAGAGCTAATGCAATTGTTGACAATTTACGTATAGAGTTCAGCCTCAACTGAAAAGTTAGGTATATTGTCCATCATTTATCATGATGCAGATAAAAAAATAATTATCAACATTAGCTATCACATAACTCTATGGTTATTTGGAACATTGCTGCATGTGACTATTATAAATTCTGCCAAAGTATTTATTGTGATTTATTCTTGTCTGTAGTCAAAGCAACAAAAAAGACTTTGAAGGCAGAAATAACCCGTCCTGATAATAAAAACTGTTTTATTACATTTCAGATTTAGATGTATCACATTGTATGAGCTAAACATGAATACAAATTTCATCATAAATTCACAACCAAACTTATGCTTTTGTAAAAAACAATAAACAAACATCATGTACAAACAAAGCACCCCTAATATAAATAAATCAAGTATAAACAGCAAAGTTTAAAGAACTAATCAATCTCTTCAAAAATAATTATGTAATTTATAATTTAATTTTCATACTTTCACTTTATAAAATCTATCTTGCAATATAATTATAAATTTATACATATATTGCACAAATTTTCTTCATCCAATTATGTTGTATCTGTTTGTCTTCTATACATTTTAGTGCTAGATTCTGATAATCTGATGAAAAACTACTTTAGTATGATTTTTTTTAATGCTTCTTCATTTGAGTTCTAGATTCATTGTTTGTATTTCAATATATTTGCAACTATGAACAACAAAGTTAACTCAAATAGTAATTTATAAACAGGTTGACATTTTGAGATTTCCTTTATTAACAGCAAATTTAATTTTTGATTCAAGAAAGAGACAACTAAAAAACAATGAAAATTGTAAATACAACTGAATATGTTTTTCAACACTCTAAACAAAACAGACATTTGAACTGTTATTTTCCACTTTTTTCCATAAATATTTGGACAAAAATGCTGACATGACAAGTAATGATAATTTCAGACTTCATTTCATTTACCAGATAGAAAAAGGACTGAACAGTCTACAGAAGTCTAATCCAATGAAGCAAGATATCTTAGAATCATTTATCTCATTTCTGGCTTCAATCTGCAGGCAATTTTGGTTAAAAATTACAGGTGCATTTTCTAAATGCCTTCCAGAGTATATTTTTTGAAAAATAAAGTTAGTGCAGACTGGAATTCTGAAGGACAGATAAAAATGGTGTTTGTAAAAAACTCAATATGTGGCCTTAAAGTGGGTGTGATTCCACTTGAACACTCATTTATTAGCAATATTGATTGATAGATGGCTTAAAGGTAATGTGTCTATATTAAAGGACTGCCTATACCCAACTTGTCAAGCCACCCATCGAAATAGCGGTTTGCGATTGGTTAGTATTCTTGGGATGCAAAATTGCTCACATGAAAAGCTAACCTCACAGCAGGATAGATAAACAGAACAAAGGTAATGGCTGAGGCGATGACATGAAAAATCACATGTTTCTAAAAACCCCTGCAGAGTCGCTTGCTTTAGCTGGACACATTACCTTTAAGCCACTTTTATATCTGTTGATTGCCTTTAAGGGTCAACTGTATAGGAATTCAAAAAAATAAACAGCTATAAAACCAGGGAATCATTGAAAAAAATCCCTTAAAGAGTGACCCAAACATTTGAATTTGGCCATTCAAATGTTTGAATAATAATGGCCATTCAAATTTTGATGCCAAGGTGGGCACTTTTTTATCAAACAACAAAGAGTTCTATTTTTAATTGTACTGAATCCTCTAACCAAACTACCTAATATAATAAAGTCAATATATATCAAAAGCTTATCTCAGATAATAATTTGATCATTGCATTCACCTATGAGCATCGAAATTCCTGATACCTCTTGGGACATAACAAATAAATATGATAACAATAATAGAGTGTGTAGTTTCAAAAACTGTCCGATGATTGCATTAAGTGTGAAACTTTTGAGTAGTGAGTATTCTTTGACTGTATGCATTGACAAGGGAGGAAGACTGATGCATTTTGCAGATAAATTTGACTGTTTTCAACTATAAATCTCAATTTTGATGTCAAAGTATGTGGCATTGTTGAAATTCACTTCTTTGTTGCTCCAATTGTGGCAATGGATTTACCCTTAGGCATGGTTTACAACTGAGAGAATACAACATTTTTACTGAGTGAGAAAAATTTTCCAGTGAAACTATTAAAACAGGAAATCATTTCAGTTAGATTGCTGAAGAAAATGACTTAGATTTCGTGAAATGGATAGTTATTTGCAGGACACTTTGAAAGTTACAGCTCTAACCCTGATTTTAGTTCAGTATAAAAAGTGTAGTCAAGTTTCCCTTGGTTTCAAAACAAAGTTACCAAAAAAATTCCATTGCCCATGATGATTCTGTGCTAATGATCACGATTCAGATCTTATAAATTTAGTTAGTGCCAAGGAAATTTTCCTTTGTTTGGTGTGAAAGTCATGATAAACTTTGTGAATGTTCGTTTTTAGTGAAAGTTACATGGTAATCATTTGTATTTTTACAGTCAACATATGCAATTTATTGTAGACATCTAAATACTGACAAAAGCTTAGGAACCTTACAAATAATTTCAAAGCTTCCTCTCAGAGATATGTTTCTAACATAAAGCTAAAAATATGGTATATTGAAGAAATATGCCAGTAAATAAACAAAAAGGGGAAATTAATGTTATTACTCGAAATGCCTCAAATTTGAAAGCATGCCAACCTTGTTTTTAAAATTAGGCTGCTTTTTCTTTAAGAGACATAATCTTGAGGGTAACTATAACAGCCAAATAATGCATGGATTTTAATCCAGGGATAACTTTTCAAATACTTCGGTTCCACAAAAAAGCGAAACAATTTGAAAAATTGGCGCTTACGCTTACGTACAAATAATTTCATGATATTGCGTTTTGTAGAACTCAATTTCAGCTTTACTTCAAAGTTTAAACTGTAACATAATTAAAGTAAAGCTCTAAATATCAGGGAGGAAGGCTTGAAGCAAAAGCAAGTTCCAGGTAGATTAGTGGTATTCCAGACGCACAATTTTTGGACTAGACATGTGGTTTTTGCAACAACAAGCGCGAAATTGCGGAAACTGCAGCTTTTTAATCTAGATCTATGAACTGAAGCTATAAATAAAATGAATTGGTGTCGTGTTCTCTGGCCCATCGATCCCACAGTGGGTGTTATTAAGTCAAAATGGCCTCTGAAATCGATATCCAGGAGCAAATTCCCTTACCTGGACATCTTCATTTCTCAGTTCATCGATAAGAACTGCTATTGGGTACAAAGAATCATCTTGGGCTTCGTTTGCTGCCATCTTTCCTCTAAAAGTACACAAACTGGCAGTCGACCTTTCCCTTCCCTTCTACGGTTCTTCGAGTTTGGATGCTTGACATGGAGGAGGCCACTGAAGTTTTGGGGGACTGGTAACGACCCATAATGCACTGAATGATAAACAATAGAAGGTTTTTTGGTTAGGAGGGAAGATGGAAGGTCTAATAAAAATTATAAGATCTTTCCGGATTGTGATATTCGTGCTTCTTCAAGTTTTTTCAACATGATTTTTAAAATAGTAGCTACACTTATTTTTTAACTCATTGCAAGTAAAGATACCAAACAGCTCATTGTTTTTTAACTCCCTCATTGCAAACATAGATTCAAATAGTAACCGTATCATACTAAAACGGCGGGACGGTGGGCACAAGAGGGGGTAATGTGCTGTTGGAACTTGAGAATCTTCCAGGCAATGCTTTCGTGCTGAAGACTTCCCAAAGGGTGCCTTCCAATTTTCTGCATCGTATGAAAATTTTGTGAAAACAAACATGGGAACACTGCATTACAATTTGGATTTTCAAAGCAGTAGATATTTTCACCAAAAGAGAAATCTATTGAAAAAAGACGTACAGGCTGCTGCTAATTTAAGGGTTTGCTACCAGCCTCTTCTGGTCGGCATTGTTTTGCTGACATATCCATAGTTTACAAATACTACCAATATTAATAGATATTGCTCCCAGGAGATCAGTGATATCATCCCTGATCCTGTGGACCGCGTAAGAAACACTGGGAAATTTTCCGGTTCTCATCCTTCCAAAGCCTCCGTGCAAAATTCACGCACTCTGCCCCACAACTCATTCAAACCTTGTTTATTATAATGATTACCTGCTACTGACGGATATAATTCCAATATGCTTAACATAAATTATATGGTTCTTCCCAGGGGTCTGTTTTAGGCCCATCCTTTATATTTTTTTATATCAAGGGCCTGCCATTTGCCTTTTTGCTGATGATACCAACATCTTCTAAAGGGTTAGTTCACCAATGGCCCTGGGAAGAGAGTTCTTGGCTAAATTTTGGGTAGGGGTCTGCCGCGAGCATATTCAAAGTTGGCTAGACTTATTTTTACGAAAACAGTGCCCCTGGTTAGACAATTTTTTTAAAAAATTGTTTCATTTACTAGCATATTATCTACAAACTTGGTTGTCAGAATGAAATTCCTACCTCAAAGCAACAACATTATTGTCACATATGATACCCTTGGCTAGAGGCTAGGCCTTGGCTAGAACAAAATTGCTAGAAAGCAGGGACCGCGGAAGCGGGGGGGGGGCTACGGGGGCAAGTGCCCCCAATAATTTCAAAAATGTACTTTAATCCATACAAAAAGCGTCATTTTCTTAGTTTTAAGCATGTTTAGCGACCCCTCAAATGTTTTAGCCCCTTCAGTCTGTAATATGTTCCGCGGTCCTTGCTAGAAAGTATACAGTTGCTTGCGGCACATCCGGCTTACTGTATCTTGGAAATAGACGATGAGGTCAGCCTTGTTATGACCTAAAAAATGTATGATTCTCATGTGACTTGTTGAATGGCGGACAGATATTTTGCAATTGTAGAAATTGGAATTCTATCTATGGGTTGAGTCGTAGTTGTATATATTTATTGGAATTCGTATTATATCGTTCATATAATTCAGGGCCTCCGACGAAGAAGCTGGGGGGCCATGCCCCCCCCACCTTTTTGCTTTAGCCCAAAGTATAAAGACATATACAGACACAAAGTATTAAGAAATGAACCACTAGTAAAGCCTCTTTTCATTTATTTTTAGCCTCCAGCACTTTTTATAGACCCCCATTTGGCCACTTTTCTCACCGCTACGTGGTTCCTGTCTTCAAAAACTTTTCAAGACCTTTCCTATTTCATGTCAACATTGAAATTGATAAAACTAAGTGACAAGGTAATGAGAATTTCCTCGGTCAAAACCAAAATTTGATCCAGTTTTTTGCCATCCCTGAAAGACTGGGTTTCTAAAACTTTTCCTAGGCGGCCAGAGCCATACCCTGGGTACCAGACTCACCATATATAGAAAAATATATAGTGAATCTGGTACCTAGGGTACCAGGGCCATAGCTCCCGGTAAAAATAAAGAGACTGGATCCCCCCCAAATAAAATCTGGAGCAAGACTATTTTGTTTGAGAAATTATTATCATTTCCTTAAAAAACTCAATTCCATGGCAGCTAGGTCAAAACTAAACTAAGTTTGTCCGTGTTACTGCAACAAACTTCAGCAACTATGTCATTGTGTCAAGCGCAAGTTGCCTATTGTTAATGGTTGTATTTTATGAAAGTAGAATGGTGTTGGGTCCGTGATTGTGTCCCAAATATCTTATCCACCACTTTGATTGTCATAAAAAATAGATGGAAGAGTATCGTATAAGTCGTCACAAATCTCGAAAATCCGCATTACACGAATATTCATTACACGGATCAAATGATCAAATGAATGACAGAAACTCCAGAAAGGTTCCCGGTTCCTTGTTAATAATGTATAAAAAGACAAAAGCGAAAAAGCACTGCGAATGTTCTATTTATTTACTTATGAAAAGACTCCTTGATACTGCGAACTTTATATTAAAACAACATATTCCATGAGTGAGATTATTTCTAGCGTAACGTTCAACTTGCGAGTCGTGTCTCTTCTTCTCTCTCTGTTTCTTCGAATCTGTTGAATTGCATGTCATCAATCACATGACCTAATCGATTTCCTTCAGCTCAAGACCTAGTCCCTAAAGTTCCTAATTTTATAGACCTCTATTAATCAAGAAGCGGTACGAAACCTTCATAGTAACTCCATAATTTTAACTGCACATTCAGTGCCATAAAAGAAGCTTAGACGCAAGAAAGACAGAAATTTATGTGTTTTGCTTTTAATTGAAGCTAGAAAGAAGGCCAAAGACAAAGAGAGCAAGAAAGAAAAATAATTTGCGCAAAAGTACAATGTCAGTCAAGAAATTCCTTTGCATAGAGGAAGGCAATGACTACACTCTTTGAATAATGCAATTCCCATATCTAATTCAATTACCACAACAACCCTCATGAAATTGATCCTGAGAAAGTTTGATTTGAGCAGCATTTTTCAAAGCATCTATTGCCTAACAAACGCAAGAAAACTGCAAGAGCAAAGCATTCAGTGAAAACTATCCACATTCATCTACTAGGTGCACTTTCATACAGCAGATAATTTCAGCTTTGATTCGTTTTCATCCTTGTCTTCATCCCCATTTTCGTCTTACTCTTGGCCCACGTCCTCGTCCTCGTTCTCATTCTCAATTTCATCTTCGTCTTCGTTATTGTCTTCGTCCGCCGCTTTGTCTTTGCCTTGTCCTCATCCTGTCTTCGTCCTAGCTTCCCCTTCGTCTCAATACTTATCTTCGTCTTCTTCTTTGTTGTCTGTTTCTACCTCGTCCTTTTTTTCGTTTTAACCTTCGTCTCTCTCTTCTTTCTCGTCGTGATTGTAGCTGCCGACACCATCACTGTTTTTCGACTTAACATCGGCTTTAAAATCCCTGACCAAATGCACTCATTTAGACGAAATGCACTCTGTTGAGCATTATTGCAGTATTTATGCACAATGATCTTGTAAAATGTGCCACCTGTAAAGTATAATGTTAGAAGGCATTGGTCATGTACCCTTTGGGGAAGCATCTTGTAACTAGTATCTTGAAACGTTATCTTAGATACTCTTTTTAGATACTCAAGTATCTAGTAATAAGACATTTTTTTGCGACTAACAGTATCTTGTAATAAGGTACTTAACTTTCCCAGATATAAGAGTATCTTGCCCATCTCTGAAAAAAACATATGTAGGTCAGAAGGTGCCTTTTGTGACAAAAGTAAACTCGTGGATAGTAAGGCTGTGTTTCGACAGTAATGGGATTTTCCATGCTGCACCACTGTAACACCTGTTATTTTCCGTTATTTTTATACATATCATGTATTTACAAGCACCATGAATCTTTTCTGTTTTATAAGCATGCCTTTCAAGTTTCTATGCTGTCTTATCAGAAGATTTTGTGTATAAAACAGTTATCAATTCATACGAAAAAAATATTTCTTGTCATTCTTTAAACAGGGTACCCCGGGTAGTGAGTCTGGTACCCAGGGTATAAACAGGGTGACATTACACGAATATTCAAAACACACTTTTTTATGAAGATCTTAGCGCAAAACCTAGTCCCTAAAGTTCCTAATTTCTAGACCTCTATTAATTAAAATGCGGTTTCAAATCCTCCATAATAGCTCCTTAAATTTAAATGCATATTAAATGCCATGAAAAAGCATAGATGCTAGAAAGACAACAATTTCCGATTTTTATTTTTAAATGAAGCTAGATAAAAGAGGGCCAAAGGACAAAGAGAGTAAAAAAGAAAATTGATTTGCGTAAAAGTAGAAAGTCAGTCAAGAAGTACTTTTGAAATGCAGAGAGGTAATGGCTAAATTCTTTTCATAAGAATACTAAACAAATAAAAACTATAAATTCCATCCACCCCAGCCGACGCATATCTTGCCCACCCCAGCGGACTTTCAAATAGCTAGCAAAAACTTGCGGGGTGTACCCCCCTTATTATTTTCTTTTTGTCTATATGGTGCATTATTTCTTAGATCATTGCAATGCTGTTTTTGTCATAATTGTTTCGGGGGGGGGGGGGTTAAACTCGTATGAAGCATATTGATTTAGATAAAAAAGGAGTAGTAGAGCTAATGCATGTCAACTTCCACCAGAGCCCCTTCCTTGCTGAGACTATTTGTTTTCTGAATCATAGAGAAATTCAATTTCCGCGAAAATTTGCTTCAAACTTTTCCCAAAATATAATTTTCTCTCATTCCGAGTAATCCAAATTTACTTACATTACAACCTATTGAGGTTCACAGTTCACAGCCCAAAGCAATCTCCTTACTTCCCCTCCCTCATCTGGGGTCTGGACACCACCAAGGGGTGTCATGGCAACTACAAGAGAAATATCAGCAAAACCTCAAAGTGGAATCAAAGCTGAACGGAGGAAAACATTTTGTTTAGTTCTTGTGAAGACCCGCACAACGACAAGAAATATGGTATAGTATTCTGATAAGTTTAGTTTAATGTCTTCTGAATTGTACTTTCAGCCATTGGTAACAAAATAAACCTGTTATTTAGACTTGGAAGATAGATAGGTTTGTAAATCGTGGTGCTGACAAGAGGGTACTCAGTCAGTGGCCTAAATTTTTTCCTACCTGCATCCAAACTTCGCAAATTTGGCATGCTCTTTTTAAGGTACTTCAACGGTAATCTTTCTGGAGAAAGCTTTAAAAATCTAGCTCTATTTTCAATGTGATTCATACTCTAATGAAACTTGTTTTGTTATACAGCCATCTGCAAGTTCAGTCGCATCTGGAGATACTGCTAGCTCGAGTGGATCTAGACGCAGATACAACCCGAAATATAATGTTGTCAGCAGAAACTCATCTGTGGTAAGACTGCAATTTAGCTCTTATAACATCATACAAAAATCTGTTTATTTGGTCAATATAACAGATTATTATTTTTAAAGTCCCCCTGGATCCGACTTCTTACCCAAGTCTGTGACAAATATCTTTTTATCACAGTTGCCAACTGTGAGATTTAAATAAGAGAACAAATTGTTTTTGTCAAGAATGATATAATTTTACAGTAAATGAGCTAGGAACTCAGGTCTAAAGTTCTTGCAAGCCTTAAAGCTCGACTGATTACACCATTTGCTACCCTCTTCAACCACACTTGCTCTTCAAAGTTGCATCACAGTGTTTTGTATTTGCATATCTAGTTAGTAAAAAGGATAATTGTGTATATGGCTCTCAGTAACATTGAGTGAAAGATTACAAAAATAAGGGTAGGATCTGTTGCATACTGACATCATTGAAAGGTGTTTAATTGCTCTCTAAACAAAGAGATGTCTGATTTTTAAGTATTTAAGATTTTAAATATTAAATATTCAATTGCTGCTATTTGCTACCCTCTTCCTCTTTTGAAAATATTACCTACTTTCCTGTTTATTATCTCCTTATAGCTGGCAAATGTGGTTTGTTACATTATCTTAAGCATGTTTTTGAAAACATGAGTTTTTTGTCAATAAAAAGATAGCTTGGGTAAAACATGATGTTAGAAATGTCTGAAATGTTTCCCACAAAGCTAAATATTTACAACCCTGTTCATTTTTCACTTCATTTTCATTTCGCATATTAATCAGTAAAGCAGGTAGCCTTTTTAGCACATGTGTTGGCATCTTTTGATTTAATTTTAGAGTCCTGTCTTAAATGTGTCTGTTGCTGCATAAGGTTTCTTTGTTTTGTTTTATGAAGGATGAAGCTCTTTTTGGAAATGGAAGGAGAGTACGATCAGCCCCAGAGGAAAAAGGACTACAACTTGATTTTTTGACTGGCAGATCAAATAGCGCAACTGGACGGCCATCTAGAAGAGCAAAGAAGGGAGAAGTTATTGAAGTAATCACAAAGGATATGATAAGGAAGTTAAAGTAAATGCTTAATTTTTAATTCTGACTTTTGAGATATTTGATGGCTTAATTTTGTTGTTGATTTGCCTTTAAGTATAAAAGACACAGGCTTTTTCAAATTGTATTTAAATATTTGGTGCTATTGTGTGCTATATGGAATACGATTTCCCACAAATTGTCATAAGTACAATAAACTTACTAAGTGTGTAAAAGTTATTTTCATTTTGTTAGCAACACTTCTGTGAAATTGTGAAAAAGTTAAAAAGTAATGAAGTATTTATGATTGCCATGCCATTTGGGAGTAGCATTTTTTCATTCTTGATGGATGTATAATTTATGTCTTAGAGTTCCAGACTCAGATCCTTCTGGAAGATCAATAATTCTCAACCCAATGGAATATAACAGGATAAAGGTACTTTTTACATTCAAATGAAATCAGTAGATTGGGATTTAATGTTATAATGCAATAAAAACTATGTTAAAATTATCATGGCTAAAATTACCTTCAAGGCTGATAAAGGTTGACCACGAAATAACAAAATAAATTATTACTCTTGTGATTTATTTTATAATATTGAATAATTGTCACCTTGGATAGTTCTAGTTTGGAAAAAAGAAAACCAAAATTTGCTGATGATGATCATCTGTTTTATGCAATATAATGGAAAATGTCCTTCAATAAAACAGCAGGGTCAAAGCAAATTTTGTGCATCTTGCATCTTATTATAACTATATACAGTATATTTAATTAAAAATACTAAGTGGGATCAGTAGCGGCACCACGGGGGGATGGGGGGACTAAGTGGGATCACACGCATCCCCCCCCCAGTTCTCAGCAGAATCAATTTTGTATTTAGTCTAAATTCAATGAGAAAATATTGGGGGAGGGGTAATATTTTGACACCATACTTTTTGTGATGTAATCCTATGATTTTCAAACTGCCAATTTTCAAACAAAAGTTTGTCATAGGCGTTCCCTTCAGATGAATTTGGTGTTCCCTGTTGGTAAAAAGGCGTTTTTTGGTGGTTAAAAGGGCATGGCTTGAATTTTTTTGGTTTGTTTCCCTCCCACCCCAGAGCTTAGTGGCTGGCGCCGCCATTGAGTGGGATTGTTTGTCTATTTGATATTAAATATTTTTTTTTGGGTACAGCCGGTGAAGACTTTTTACTTCAGCTTTAATTTGCATTGTGCAGTGGCAGAGCCAGCCACTAGGCTATTGGATGTGACAAATTAGAAATCTGTAGGGCATGCCCTTTTCTCTATAAGGATAATGTCATGTCATTTTACCAACAGGGAACTCCAATTTACCAAAAACAAATGCCCATGACTAACTTTTGATCAATAATACAATTTCAAAATCATAGAATCACATAACAAAGAATATGTTGCCAAAATTTGTACAATGCACACAGGAATAATCGAATTTCACATTTTACACCAGCAATCTGTAAGAGAAGTTTTGTCAATTCTAGAATGCTTCAAAAGTGCTTACAGCTGCAGAAAGAGAAGAGCAGATTCGAATGTATAATCAACAGAAGCAGAGACTCTTAGATGCAGGTGAAGAAAGGAAAAATTTCATGCAACAAATGGAAAGACAAAGGAAACAAAATGAGAAATTGTCAGAGATTGAGCAGGTTGAGCCTCTTTATGTGATATATGTGATTTATGGCTCTACCTTTTTTAGCTAGTGCTGCTTGGAGCCAATTTGGTTGTGATATTTTTGGGTTTTGAATTTTTACTGATTTAAAACATTTTATTGACCAGGACTGCTAAAAAGTTTTCGATGAGCTAAAAGTGAAAAACAAAGATAGTTAAATAGGCTGTTATAAGTACTTTCTTTGCATTAATGGGTAGAAGATAAGCTGAACCTCCTCCTCCACCTCTAGGCTCCCTAAATTTTTTAATATTTGTTCAGCTATCTCAAAGTTATTTTCCCAGATCCTGATTTCAAACTTGCTTCTTTATGTCAAGAACTTCATAAACATTTCTTAGAACCGTTCTATGCTTTTCCAGGAAGCCAAAGAGCAGAGTCAGTATTTGCTTGAAAAAGCCCAAGAGCAAATGGAAGAAGAGGAAGATGAAATCAAAAAGCTGAATGAATTGATATTGAATGCAAAATGTCATGCAATAAGAGATGCACAGTTGATAGAAAAAGTTGATATTAAGAAAGAACTCCTGGATGAAGAAAAGAGACTTGATGAAATGATGGAGAACGACAGATTGAAAGCACTTAAAGAGTATGAAGAGAGAGAACATAAAAAGAAAGAAGAACGTTTAAGGGGAGCAGGTGTCTTGAAAAAACAGATTGAAGAAAACGAAATGTCAAGGCTTCTTGAGCAAAACAAGAAGGATCTTGAGACTGCTGTAAGTTTGTTATCTCATGTAGTTTTTTCAAATATAAGCATTGAAGCAAAGATGTTGGCACAGAATTTGTCTAACTTAACATGCTCTTTTAAAGGGCAAGTGATCCCCATTTGGAATTTCTCCCAATTTTAAAGTGGGACTGAACACCCCTCTATGGCACATCTGCATTGTAACATTTAATGCATGTTTATCTAGCTTAAAAAATGCAGGTTGTTATGTTAAACTACTACCTTATTAATTTTACTGATATGAATGATGGCAAACTTTAAAAATGAGCATACTGAATCAGCTGATTTTCAATTGAGGATATTGACAAGAAAGAGAGTATCTCCCAACATTTACTGTTTTTTAAACACAGGCCATGTTGGAGTACTTGGACAAACTGCAAACAGAGGATATGGAAAATCTCATAAAAAAGAGGGAAATGCAACACAATGTGATGAAGGATGTTGCTAAAGCGAATAAGGTTTGAACATTTGACTGCTACTTATAATCGCTTGTATTTCTTGCAACTATTTTTTATCTTGTAAATAATTGCTATTCTCTCTTTTGTCTGACCATTTTTGAATAGCTTGTATCAATATGTATGCTTTTCTTGAGCTATTGAAAATCTTTAAGGCCTGATTCAAACATATTTTTATTGCCATTACCTATCGATTGGCGATTGATCTCTAAGGTGAAAGAAGACTATTCTGCTCCCAAAATGTAGTATAAATGCACATGTAATAGGTTTTTTAAATGAGACCGTTTCAGGGCCAGGCTTTTGCCGTTATCGATTCATGGTAAAGCTGCCAACGAGTCAAATTTGTTATAAGATCAAAATCTTCAAGACTATATGACTATTAAGATCTTATACGATGGGGATATTATTTAACGAATTCACTTTTCATTTCGTAACAATAAATGATTTTATTAGGAAATCAAGGCAATCAAAGAGACGAGAAAAGCACAGGAAATGATGGAGGAAGTGAAAGTAATGGATTATCTTAAGGAAAAGGCTGTAAGTATGCACAAAGATTTGATATAAAGAAATTTTAGTCTCCGGTAGTTTTTTTGCTTGTTTTGGGATGCTGCCTAGATAATGGAAATGAGGGGAGGAGAGGAAATAATTGCTATAGTTTTTTCTGACGTCTGTAAAACCCCGCTCGCCGTCACATATGTTTAACATAGGGACCATGGCAACGTAAAAACAGGTTGAAACATTTTTACTTATATAGCATGACATTAGATTTCAGTGAGCAACTGGCGTAAGCAATGCAATAGATTTCAGTCATATCTATATATTCTTTACATATTTTTTGTAGTCTATGTATCTTTTATGCAAATTTTTTTAAGGCGAGAGAAGAAGCTTACGAAAAAGAGAAGGAACGTCAAAGAATTGAAAAAGAGAAGGAGATAGCAAGACTAAGAGCTCAACAAGAACGAGCCATCGACAAGCAAGCGGAGAAGGTAGATTTCCTTACCTTTTGCTTGCCTTCCTTAATAAAACTCAAGTGTTTATCTCAATTTCCTTTCTTGCATTTATTTTGTATTGATAAATGATTTGGTTGCCTAAAGTATTTAAATTCAGCTGTAAACGCCACCAATACTACTGGAATACGAAAAAGTTCTAGACGAAAAAGATCATTATCCAGTTGTACCGATTTCTCTGTTTTCTCCCCAAGTGTAAAAGTTTTGTACTCCGGTACTAATCAAATTTGCTGTCATTTCGTTATTCCAATATTGTAAGAATACAGTAAATGAAAACCTGCAATCAATATCGATCAATGGCTGATACAAATGTTCAATAAAATTACCATTACTTATCAGAATAAAACTAAACCCCGATTTCCATGTTTTTATTTTGACTTTATTAGTTTCTCTTATATTTGTTTGATATTACAATGTGTTTTTATATTTTAAGTGTTTTCTCTAATGCTTTTAGAGCTAATTTGAACAACCATGACAGAGAGGTCACATTATTCATTTTAAATTGTCTTTTTTCAAGGATGCACTTAGAGCGAAAAGAAACCAAGAACGATTAGAAAGAGAGTGGAGAAAGAAAGAGGCCGAAGAAGCTGCAAAAAAGTAAGTCCTGTTCCATGTTTTGTTAAAGAATCCATGGCGGTGTCAGCAGTTCACGAGAAAATTTTTCAGATTAGGCCTTTTTTAGTACAGAAATACCAGAATTTAGCCATATAAAAGAACGTAACCCATCCCGACTCATTTATTTTCTAACGGGTGTTAGGTGCATCATATTTATGGAAAACTGAAAGCGTCCCCCTCTCCTGGCACTGTCACTGAGTTGAACTCAAATGGCATTGTGTTTAAGATTGAATATGAATTTGAATCTCCTTCAGGGGCTTTAACGTACAGACCTTAAAAAATTATGCAGCAATAATTTGATCAATAATTTGAAATACGATTTTAGCCCTGTCTGTTATTGTAGATAAAAGAACAAAGTTTTTGAGACAAAATTGATCAAAGTAACATTTCTCGTCTACTTCTATGGTGAATTTAGATTAATATTATCCCAGATAGTTCATCTTGTAAAAGTCACTGCCAGTTCATTTGTCTATTCTGTTATGTAATGCTTTAGATAATATGCGATATTATATTTCAATGGATGTTCATTCTAGAGCAAGCACTGAAGAAATGCTGAAAATGGCCCGTCAAGAACAAGTTTATGATAAGGAGCATTTCTTAGCCGTCCAAGCTGCCAGGGACCGAGCTGAATTTGAACGAGTTTTAAGGTACGTGGTCACAGTAATGACTCGAGTTGTTCTTCTTTAATAAAGTTTGAAGCATAGCCTGAACAAAGAGTAGCACATTGTGGATAGCGAAAGCAGAAATTGAGAAACAGAGACACATTCTGGTTCATTCGGGATAGTTTATAGTTCGGGATTGTTAATAGTTTAAGTAGATTATTGTCATTTTTTATTAAGCAGTCAAAAGTAAGTCTGTCGGATTGGTTTGTTACATCCCACCTTTCAAAGGTGTAAAACAGTTCTCCTTCTTTCAAGAAGCAGACATTTTTGCTTTAGGCTCCTGCAGTTGAGGTGGTGTAATCTGCCATTTGCCATGAACAGAGCCCAACCACTCTCTATAAGCTATCTTTGCCAAATTCCCAGTTAGTCTTTTAAAAAAATTTCTTGTAGCAAACAGCTAGAATTTCATGTAAGCGAGAAATCCAAACGGAAAACGACGTCCATAAAGTAGACTCTTGGAAACTATTGCGATACTGTTTTATGGGCCTATCGCATAAACAAACAGCTCATAGACAGAAATAAAGCTTCCTCCACTTTGAGATCTAGTTAAAATGATACATATCCAAGTGAATACGATAAGATATCATACCATAGTTGCCTTCTAAGATTCTTATGGTATATATTGTGTTTTATAGTGCGCAGAGGGGTCAGGCAGCCAAAGAGGAGGAGCTTGAGAACCACTTTCAACACAGAAGAAAAAATTACGCTGAGGACATTAGAACGCAGATGCGCGAGAAAGAAAAGGAGCGTATTCAGAACCGCAATGCATTTTTCGAGGAAGGCGTAAAACTTGATATCGAGGCGAAAGAGCGCCGTCAAAAGTTGGACGCAATCAAGCAGCGAAAGTTACGAGAACTGAAAGATGCAGGGGTGCACGATAAATATGTAAACGAGGTTTCCAGGCGAATCGAGGCACCGGCGCCTTCTTTAGCTAATATGTTATGAATGTACCAAGACTCAAACTTTGTAAGTAGCTGCTGTAGCAAATATGTTGTAAATTATTCATTAATGTTGGTCATACAACTCTCAGTATTAAGAATTGTTGCATTTCATAATATGTCTTCTGGTGCAGTTAATAAGGCTGTTTAAAGAGTACATCGGATTTTGTTAATAACAAGTCGTCTTTATTTGAAGGACTTGTTGAGAACTTCGTATGCAATAAAATTTTTACTTCTATCGAAATAAGCTTTAGAATCTGTATAATATGATGTTTGAAATGCTTTGTTTTTTTGTACCCTGTTTGGGACTCCTTTGCGAAAATAGGGCTTGGTATGAATCACTTTCCAATCAGGGTCTTTTTTAATGAATTCGAAAGAAAAACAATGTGATTGATGATTCGCAGGATCTTGCATGAAAAAACTCAAAATTTAAACAATGCAAGTTAAAACAATAAGTTTTTTGGATCATAGAAAAGTTAGTCGAAAAAGTACAATTTTTAATTTTTGTTGAAACTATTCTGATTTATAAAAATTGAATTAATGAAACAATAAATGTGTATGAAATGTGGAACTTACCGTAGAGTATTACCAAGCTTTTCTGCCCCTTGTACAGTCTACTTCAAACTCAAAAAACTGAGTTTTCTGAAGTATATAAAGGCTCACAATGTTTTAGAAAGCATATTTCTAAACTCTAAACAAATTTCAAGATGCAACATAATGATTTTAAGATTTTCTCTACAATCATCAAAATATGAGCTAAGCAGCAATTAAGCTAAGTACATATGTTGATATTCCCATTGTCCATTTATTGTGAGGCTAGATGTCATTGAAATAATCTGTGTCCAAAGTATGCCCTAGACCATTTTTTTTGTTAAGAAATTATAGTGTTAACAATATACCTCTTCTATAAATCAATTTTTCAAGATTGCATGCACAGCCTGATAAAATGTTTTTAAACATTAAGAATAAATATTGATTATAAAGCCACGTTTCACGGCATATCTTAAAAGGCATATGTCACATTAACAGTTGGCTGATGAAACAAAGCGTTTGGAGTGGAACTGTATTGTTTCGTGACCTTCTATTCCTTGTTCTTGAATTTTTACTTTCATAAAAATTCATCCTCGATTCTATGCTACAGTTAACTCTCTCTAAAGCGGACACCTTCGGGACTTTGTAAATCTGTCCGTCTTAACGAGGTGTCTGTCTTATAGAAAATTGCCGTTTTTGATTGCGGAGGAGCTCAAACAGAAATGAATTGTTGTCGCTTGAAAACCATTGTTAGCACATTATACAATTTGATTTGGATGCCTATTTCTAAAAGAAAATGGGCTGAAAACCTCGCGACAATCCATTTAACTGAGGACAACCCATTAAAGAAACATCAGCCTGAGGTTTGCCCAAAAAGTAAGAACGAAATAAGAAAAAAGGCAGACTGAGATTCAACAACACTCAATTAATAAAATGCCAACAAGAATTGAAAAATAAAAGGATAGCAACCGAGTACAGGCACTGCGGAGCGTTGAGAAAAGTGGTAGCAGCGGAGCACAGGCACCGCGGAGCGTTGAGAAAAGTGGGGGAGGGGTCTAAAAAGTGGGGGGGGGGGCTAAAATCGAGTAAAAAATGGTTTGACTGGTGATTTATTGGTAATTTATTGCATTTTTATTTGAGCAACAGAGGTGCCTGGAGCAACAAAAAAACGATAAGCAAAATAGCAAGGAAACAACAGTTACAATAACAAGCTTACCGAAGTTGGCACTGTCATATCAAATCCATTTCCCGATTTCCCCTGCTGAGAATAAAACTACAAGTACAAGTGCAATATCCCGGGCAGGGGCTTTAGTTACTTTTTCAAGCACATGTTATGTCCGGCACAGTACCGTGCACAGGAAATTTGATTGCAAAAATAAGCAAAAGAATAAGAAACACTCGAGGTGGAAACTATGCAAGGAAAAGAAATGCCAGGCTGAAACTGGTGTAAATAGGGCTTTCCAAACATGCAGTAATATAGCCTACGTTGAACTCAATTTCTCTCTAATCCCGATTATACTTCGTGCCAACAAAATCTTTCTCAAGCACCCTCTTAACCTAATCATAAAGATAAACTCCCATAGCAAATCGGGTTCGAAAAAGTAACACACCCAAAACATTACGAGATGCAAAGAAATGAAACTTTATATTTGTGAAGAATATTGATAACGCTCTAAACACAAAAACCAAACTCCAAAGAGATAACTAATGAATTTAAAGTTGTACACAAAACAGTTAGATTAGGGCCTTTCTTCTCCCCTCTATACATATCTAATAATTTTAGCTTAGCATAATATCTCCTAACACTCTCTAAAGCCCTGGCAAAACGACTAACATTTCCCTTAACATTTCACTCAACTTTATCGTAGATGTCATAATCACACGCGAAAACCATAAAAATCGTAACTGTGTTATTTGTTTGATTTTCGCAGCGAAATCATGTTCATTCAGTAAAATTAGTAGATTGTGTAACACTTTTTAATTATAAAACCTTTTTAATTCTAAAACCTGTGTACTGTAATTGTTTTAGTTTTAAGACTAGATCCAGTCAGTGATTTATTAATGTCTTAGTTAATTGATTGAAAGTAAAATCGCACCGAAAAATGAGCAAATGTTTATTTTCTAAGAATGAAGAAGCATCAAGGTTCTGAAAGCCTTAAATTTTGGGGAGTGGATGGGGGGGGGGGGTGGCATATTCGGAGGGCGGACATTGCCAACAGAAGTGGGAAGCCACCGCAGGGGTAGGAAAACAATACCCAAAACAGCTACATGCACGCGTGCGCTTGCTCTCTGCTCTATCGCGGTGAACCATCTTGAACGGGAGACAGCTGAAGGTGGACCGTAAATAAGTGGATATATTACGAAGTAAGAATATTTTAAGGTTTATCAAGTTTTGTATTTGCTTCAGGGTTGATAATGTTCTGCTACGATAAGCCTCAAAACGCACGAAAAACAACATGGTTTAGTTAGCGATGGCCTACTTTTCGTTCTCTGTTTATCTTCTACATGTCTTGCTACATGACAAGTTGGGCTCGCTATGCGGGTACTGTCACCTGGAATATTTACCATCATGTCTAGGATTTGATGTTGCTTTAATACAGAAAAATACATAAGAGAAAGCTGTCACTACGATAATGCATATACTTTGTTGTGGTAAACATAATTTTATTTTACACAAGACAAGTTTTCATGTCCGTAATAGTGATGTGTTGTTGAAAACATGGTTCAAAATTTCGTTGCTTACCGTGTGCGTGAAACGCTGTTTACTTAAACTGTTATGCATTAAAGTTTTGATGTCTGAATATTAACTGAAGGGGGGCTTTCGGTGCGTGGGGGTCGTGTTGGAACCTTGAGGTTCGTCCTAGCACGTGGCATGTTGTAGGCGTTTCTTTTATATGCAAAATGAAAGTATTTTATAAGTATTTTGAATATATGCTACTCGCAATAGTGGAGCGGTGACTGTCTATTCAGAACGGTTATAACACCTGATATCATGTTTTGCTGAAACTTTAAAATTAACTTCCACTTTCAACTTTTTTTGGTATACTTATAGATTAAGCGTTTTCGTGGCTCCGAAAGATGCTATCTGATAACATCCCCAACCTTGCTTTTTTATATACGGCAAAGCCTTGGGAATAAATTCCACTTTAAATTCAGCTTCATAAAAGATAATCTGAAACTCATATTTGTCTCTTTTCATTTTGCAATAACCACAGACTTTTGAACTTCCCGAGGGCCAATTTTTATCACAATGCACGCACCCTGCTAAAGTGTTCAAAATATTGAGAAAATGCCTTTGAAATTTTCAATATTTTCTTATATTACTCTTATATAGATTCTGGCATAATTGGGTTGAACACGTTGCGCACAAAGTTGTCCTGGATGGATTAGGAAAAGCAATTTTGGGGAAATGGTGAGTTGAATTCTTTCAATTCCATGCCATTCATTGCACCCAGATTTACGGATTTTTCCAGGGACATTACATTACAGATTGTATTATTCATGTTTGTTTATATAAAAGAATTTATTTTCTAGATGAAGCCAAAAAATAAAAAGGAAGCAAATGCTTCTAAAGAGGGTATGTTTTAAAAATTCCACATTTATTTTGCATTACATGTGGAGTAAGCATAGATCAATGAAGATACGTAATCATGTAATGCGTATTTTACATTGATGAACTTAATTCATGTTTTATGTGCTGTCATAACAAAATTGTCTAATATAACCAGAACTGCATTTGTTGTATAAAAATTTTACATTTTTGAATCATTATGTTATTATAAGCTAGAAGCTATGGGTCTCCAATGTGCCTTTGTCAATAAAATTTTGTGCAAAGCAGTGAAGACCACAGTTGCCTTTTTATATAATTTTTTTGTATAATTTGAAGAATGGCCAGTTATCAACAGGCATGTACATAACGGTAATGTGTCCATATGAAAGGCCTGCATATACCCAACTTGTCAAGCCACCCATCAAAATAACAGTTTGCGATTGGTTAGTATTCTTGGGATGCAATGCAAAACTGCTCACATGAAAAGCTAACCTTGCAGCAGTATCGATAAACAAAACAACGGCAATGGCTGGGGCGATGACATGAAAAACCACATGTTTCTAAAAACCCCCGCAGAGTCGCTTGCTTTAGCTGGACACATTACCTTTAAATATTGAAATAATGAAATGGAAGTGAACAAACATATCTTTGATCATCCAAGATAAGAAGGTCTAAACTTGCAATTAAATTAAATATATGTATGTATTTTAGCCTAAAGTGTAATAATTTGGTAGTATGTTTCATTTATATATAGTCCTTTTTTCCTCCTCTCTGATTTGTCTTCCTTTTTAAGTTTCAGAAAGTCTTATATCTTTCTGGTGGAAGCTTAGCGTGAGGGAGAGGAAGTCACATTTTGAGACAATCAAAGTAGATCTCTTGTCACCATTTTTGTTTTGTGGAAGCTACAGAGATAAGTTTGTGAGTTCTGTCAAAAGCATCTTAATTATATTTCTCAATGCATATGATGTGTTATCAATTTTAAACATACTTATAAAAGAAGCCACTTGCTTGCCAATGTGATATGGCTTGGAAATTTTACCTTGGTATCTAGAATTAAACCAGCAACTCAGAAGATTCCAATTAAAAGCCTTCTTTGAATAGTCAACATTTATTTTGCATCCACATAAAACAAAAATAGAAGAATGACAAGGCAGTTGTTGACAATACATGTAGAAAGAAGTGATTTATGTCTGTTGAATGCCAGTCTCAGACATTGTAGATAGGCTTCAGCAACAATCGGCTGAAAAACAAACTTTTTTTATTCTAGTTTGGATCAAAAGAGGTTTTCAAACCAAAGGAACTTGTCTATATAAGTTTATTGAGTTGAAATTTCTTTAAGCAATTAACACCTTCTTGGGCACTAGGTGCAGAATTTCTTCCATTTTGATTTCAGAAAATTTTTTTGCATACAGCAGCCATAAGTACAAAGTAATATCCAGATTATGTTTTAGTTTGGGCATGGTAACATTGTTTAACAAAATAATCAGTGAAGAAACCATTTTTAACCAAGCTAGTAGAATTTTGTACATCTAATTGATTAGATTATGAGTGAAATTTTGTGACCTTGGATATTACGAAAACAATCCAAGCACATTGGTGCAGATGGCATTGACTGTCAGTCAATTGAAATATAATACTTTCACTGTTACATTGTCCAAGCCTTTTGAATGTTATGATAATTTTATTGGTTGGTAATGTTATGATAATCAAACATTAAGTTGGCAGGAACTTTTAATATTTTTAAACAAAGGTTTTGGACAATGTGAACTGATTTTAATCCACTCTTAATATGATGAACTTTTTTAATTTTGTAATTTTTTAAGTAAATTGATAAAATTAGTTAAATAGAGGACCCTCATGAAAAGCACCCTTGAGTGACTGAGGCCATCCTCTGTAAATATTTGTCTTATTATTATTATTATTGGCGACTCATGCAGCTCATTCCTTGAAATGTGTGACTCTCTTTCCATCGATGATCAACACAAACGATATCTCATTTCTAAGCTTTCTACGATATCCATTCGTACCACCTATTACATTTTTTGCTGTAGGAACAAAACATGGACTAACCCAGAGCTACTCCCCTTTTAACGTTTTTTTTTCTTTTCTCTTTACTACGATTGTAATAGTCTTATTTTTGTAAAAACAGGCTAGCCAGTTACAAATTACCTTGTAATAGTGAGATTTGTAATTGTAGTTTTAACTGGAATTGAAAATGAAAAGTTTCCGTTAATATAATCTAATGCTGGAGATCTTTTCAATGTCTCGACAGTGTTCTGAGCATCACTGAATTTGAGCAAAAAGGTTCCCATGCATCTTTCACCATGCATCATCATTCCACAGTGTTTTTAACTGGTGTTTGTGTAACCCTGTTGTATTGCTCTTTATTTTCCTTAAAGTTAAATATTGTTTGTGTCACAGGACCATTGCCCTCTCTTTATTGTTAGTTTCAAATATCCACCTTTGTTGAAAACTGTGAAGGAAAAGGGACTTTCCCTTTGCTTAAGGGCTTTGTTGGATTTAAATGAATCACATGAATTTGATGTTTGGCCGCTTTGTCCATCTTTGGTAACAATGTCCATCAAGTCATTATGATTATTTTATTTTTAGTGTCTACGCTGGGCAAAAGATATTGCAATTCTTAATTCTGACAGGTAATCAGCACAAATCCTAGCTCCATTTTCTCTGTTTGTTCGATCACATCAAACTTAAGCTGTATGAGATGAGAAGTAATAGTTTTAAAATAAAAAAAATAAAATGTGGGCTACAATAATCCTGGAATGAATATTGGTTCCTTGCTTTGGCCATGATCCATGTTTATGATAGTAACTTTATCGTTGTTGTCACTCATTTCATGATGAAAGTAAGGGTGGCTCTTGGTTCATTAAAAATGCCTAATTTTCAGTCTTCTACAACCACCCCTGTTCATGGATCCTTTTTCCATTTTTGTAAAGCAAACAATACTGTAAAATTCATGCAGTCAATTTTGAATGTTTTCATTTTCTTTATATATATATTTATTTTAGCAGCACCCAAGTTCTTCGTGATGAAATTTATCGAAGGATTGATCTTTTTGAAGAAGCAGTTACTGTTCTGCAAGAAAGCCTAGTGAGTTTTTTTGTATTCTTCTTTTGCATAATTTGTTTGTTATTTTATTTTTTAGGCCTTTAATCTTGTCTGTGCCTGTAGAATTAAGACTTTAGAGGAAGTAGTTTGTTCAAGAAAATGGAGTGTACTAAAAATTTCAAAATCTCTGGGCAAGAAAGATTTCAGGTTTTTTTTGTATCTAAACAAAAGTCCTGATAGGTGTAGGTAGACGGAACCAGGTCTTTTTCTCACCTGGATCCTTCAACATTGCGAGTGACTGCTGGTCAGTGATTGGTAAAAAAAGAATCAATTATCAGGTGTTATTCTAATCTCAATTTACTTACACCTGGATGTAATTTTCCATTAACCTATTCAGGTCAATACCAAATGTTTTATACCTAGGCTAGAGGAGTGCCAGACAGAAAGTTCTCGAGTATATTGTGCCATATTTTTGCTCTCAAGTCATTTCTAAGATGTACTAAAGAGTTTGCTTTCCTGGTGAATCAAAATTTTTCAAACAATATAGAAGAAATCCTTTTAGGCTGTCCGAAAGCAGTATACCAGGGTTACGTTTAGCTACATCGAAAGCGCTAATAACTTCGAGATTCGAGAACTGTACCCTGAATCGAGATTCGTTAGATTACTCAACAAAAGTCTACACCCATTTCGCATCCATTTTGAAATGGGGAGCCTAGCAATGTGAAGAAAATACCCATGTAACCCCAGTCATGGTAACATTTTCGTTGAAACTGTTCTACTTGTGGAATTTATGTGAAAGTTTAGGCTAATCTTAATTTCCTTTAGCAAGAAAGATGTAGGGCCTCCCTTGACACAGGCCCTGAAATGCCAGTTATTAGACCTAGACACCAAATCATAAAGAAAGGGAAGTCTCGCAGTGCAGTTGTGTCATGAAAGCTAGACTTTAGTGTCAAATTTCCCAGTATGTTATTATTTCTTCACAATATTCACTTTTCTCATATGTAAATGCGTTCTTCTAGTCAAAGTTTGAAGGGAAGAAACATCTAGACGGTATGATAAAGTCGATGGAAGGAATAAGAAAAGAATACAAAGGAACTCAGGTATGAAGCTTCTATTGAGACATACTAGCACCCTTTGTATCGGGGCTCTTTAATGATATACCTGGCAAAAAAATAACAAAAATGGTAAGTGACAGAAAGAAAATATGCGACAACTATTTGCCCGATTACCTTGGAAGCAACTACTCAGCTTGCCATATATAGCGTTTTGATTTCAACTAATGATATTGTTCTGAATTGAAGAAGCGGCCAGTCTAGATAATTTTTCTCATGTGAAAGGTCTACAAGGAATAGGGGTGGTGTGAAGTTAAAGTGGAATGGGCTGAAGCCCTGAATCGTTAGATCTGATTTTTAAAATGCTTATACCCGAAGGCTCAATTAACATATTTCTACGATACACGAATAGTTTCAAGGCTGTTGAAGAATGACGTTTTCAATTTGCTGATCAACAAATGGTCAAACGAGATGCCAAAATGAAATTTTGCAAAAAAATCAAAGCAAAGCAGGAAAATATTATGACACTAATTTCTCGGGGGCTGTCATCTTTAAGAGATAGAATTCAAGTGCAGTGATGTAGAAAGAATTTCGAACATAGAGGCTCTAGGGAAGGTCTATTTATCTGCCCTGAACAGTTTTTAAAACGCAGTTCATTTCTGGTCCAACACAGAGGATGTCTTTACTTAGATTTTCATTCCAAAATGGCGAGGTTTTGTCTCGCTCCCCCTGCTTTAGCTTAGAATGTTATGCCTACCAAAATTCTTGGAACACCAACAGCATTTTTGTCATTTACATTAACAGTATTCATCTCCCCTTGCAAACAATGTTGGGCTATTCTCCATAAAAAAATGCACCATTCTAAGATCCTGTTTACATGAAGTGGGCTGGTGAACTCAAGTGGGATCCATTCCTTTGTTCTCTGTTTTTGCGTTTACATGGAGAGTGGGCCAGCCCGCTCTGGTGAGATCGATCCGCGTCAGGTGGGATGCAAATTATCCATGTAAGCGCAATCAGGTAGGCAAGCCCGCTCACTGAAAGTAAATGCCCCTGCGTAGAGCCACCTACGTGGGATAAATCGCGTCCTCATGTAAACACTCACGAATACGATCTCACCTGCGGAAACTAGCCCTTTCAAGTGGGCTAGCCCACTTCATGTAAACAGGTCCTAACGTAATCTGTATTTAAGAAGCTAGGATGGCAGTGATGCATGTCCAACATTGTTTGAAGGGAAGGGTGGCATCTAAAATTGACTTAAACTGCTTGTGTGTTAAAAGTATTTAGACAAACATTTTTCTATCCAGGCTGTGCCATCTGCAACAACGACTCTAAAGGGAATCGGCCAACAAGACTGGTTTAAGCATTTCAGGTGAGAGTAATTAAATATAATTTAAAGCTATTCATTTTCTACTGGGCACTTCGAATGAAAAAGAAGTTCCCATATGATTGTTAAACTTCACCGATTGTATCAATTTTTGACGAAAGCTAGAGGCATTGAGAATGTTCCATAAAAATTGCATTGAAAAACATTTGGAGCATACTTTTCATAAAGTTTTCGTCTGACTTTCTCCACGTTAAAAAGCCTCTAACAGTCCTTTTCGTGAGCAAAATTACGCGTGTGTGGCAAATCGCACATGTAAACAAATTTGCGCGTGCGATCGCACTTGTAAGAAAATTTGAAGTACAAACCTGATAAAATTGGTAAAAGGAAAAAGCCACTCGAATACGTGCAAGAGCAAAACTCAATTAATCAATACGTAACAGATTTTGTTGCCCTTAGCAGCCATCTTTTAAGAGTCGTCGTAACTCTCCAAAGTTACAAGAGCAAGTAAAAATTGTTTCCAATAGCTACTTGCTTTCAGGGCCTAATTACGTTTTGACAGGAAATCAGTTATTACACTTAACATGCTAATGGCGACTTAGCTGAAAGACGAGACGCTAAGTTGAATGGAGCACTCAGTCAAAAGCCAAACATCACTTCCGAAAATTGGAAAAATCATATTGTGGTCAAAAGTGCGAATCAAGTAACAAGGGAAAGGATAAACAATCATGAGACCATGGGAAATTGATGTTAAAGGGCCTCTCCAGCAAAAAAAAATTTTTTTTAATGACTTAAAAGTTAGCATCTGGTGCGTGTATTATGACAAAGTCATTTTTTTTGAAAAATTCCAATTAGTTTAGAAGTTGCAAGGCTTTAAAGTTGCACCTTTCCGAGAAAAAAAACGACAAAAGCCGAATCAGTTTGGTGACATTCTGACGTCACAATGTGCGGCTCTCGTTCGCCATGAATTTCGTATATCTTCCACCGAAGCGTGAAGGAGTCATGGTCACGCGTTGATAACTGCATCCAGCTCCAGTTCCTGTTCCAGCTCTTCCCTCGCGTATAATTAATCGAAATTGTCACTTCAGTTGTTCTCCAGAAACGATGAACAACTAAAGGCTTCAGAGTTGGTGTCTGAAATGCTCAAACTAAAAGCTGGTGGAACAGAACTGAGTACCATCACTTGCAGTGTTCAATTTGCGAATCGCCGTCGTTCGATTCGGTTTGAGGCGAGACTATCCGAAATACACTGTGACGTCAAAATTGCGTCACAGTGTCACCAAACCAAAAATTTTTGTCGGTTAATTCAATTAAATTATCGAAATGCAAGAGCTTATATCTCACAAACTGTAAAAAAATATCGAAAAACAAATAACGAATTCGTGATCAGCAGGCTCAACTTCTTTATAAAAATTGCCAATAAAATGCAAGTGCAAAATTTGGCTGGAGAGGCCCTTTAACAGAAAACTGCAAAAACACCTGTTTGCGCGTGTGGTCAAAAGCACGCGCAATTTAACTTGCGCGTGTGCAGGCGTGTGCGGGTGCGATCGCACGCGCTAAACGAAAAGGACTGCTCTAAGAATAATTTTTGAAAGTCCTAAGCTAGGAAACATTTTTGCCTGTTTGTGGATCGAAATAGGCCAATAAGAAGCACGAGCACATGACTTAAAAGGTTGCCCAATAAGTGCTGCTTTCCTGTTAAGAATATTACCAATGGAGTCCAAGGGTAAAAACGAGATCCTCCTATCTACACAATAGCGGTTTTTTTCATTTTCATTTTGACGGATTTTAGAACTGCTAGATGGAACAACGACTGGGCTCTGCCAATGTTCTGAAAAATAAGACCATTACAATGTTTTCCAAGATTTATTGTAAGCCGCTTTTTTTTATCATTTTTTTCATTTTAAAATTTTTTATGCACGGTAGCCTCGTCAGTCATGACTGATTTTCAGGGGGCCGTGCCAAAAACTTTACAAATTAAAAAATCTACTAAAATTAATAGCGGGAAAAGGAAACTAATTACAATAATAAATAATTTATCTACAACTATTTACAATAAATTTACAACAAACCCTTTATCTTGTTCTTAAAAGAAGATAAAGAGGGAGCTTGCTTGGCCTCGCGGCTGAGATCATTCCAGATTTTTGCTCCACGAAATGCGAACGCTTTCTGTCCATTACTAGTTTTCAGATCAAATATCAAGACATAAATTTCATCGATTTTTTATCAACAGATCAAATATGGTTGATTCCAGAATTATAGACAGGAATTTTAGAGACACTACCTTACTCATTTCTTCCATGAAAGGTTCGTTAATATCAATGAAGCATAGAAAGACTGATCTTCATCATTCAATATGAGAGGGAATTTTAGTTTACAATATCATTTTCTTTTCGAGAAAGTTTGAAAGTTTGGGTAATGTTTGAGTATTTTTCTCAGTCGTATAAAAACTGGGTAGAAATGGAAAAAGATGTGGAACAGTCCTTTTTATGGCTTTTAGATAACAAAATTATTAAAATCTTTCTTTTGAAGCATTTCGAATAAAATGAGGATGGGTAATATTTAAGGTAAGCACCAAGGAGAAATACTTCGGGACATTTTTATTAGAGTTGCCTATTTTGGGAATAATATGTACTTTCAATCGTATTTGTATTCTTTATTCAGACTGGAAATGAGTGTAACGCGTTTGAGAAAATGTTAGGGCGTGCTCGGAAAAAAGCAAGGAATTGTTTAGATTTATTTGAATCATGAAAAAGTAAGAAATTTTTTTTACAAACTTGCTTGGCAATCTGATTTAAAGTCTGTGTGAATGCTTTCCTTTTTGTCTTTACAAATTAAAGCTCTCAAAATATTTCGCACTTTCACAATGTTATCATTGCTTTTCAGTTTTTATCTATATCGAATCACTAAAGCTAGGCGAATTTCCACTGGAAACCTATCGAGAAAAGGCCACCATTTCAGATGGAAAGGTAATATTCTTTTAGATTTCACGTGGCATAAACGTAATTCGTCCTGCATTTTTTAAATCGGGATCTGATGCTTTCGCTGTCTGTTACAGTCTTGTTAACTCGGAGATCTTTAATAGGGGGAAGGGGTGAATTAAACAGGGGGTCGGAGGATTCTCCCCATCGGCAGCTAAGATGGCTGGCGCCCTCTTCTACTGACGCAATATGCCGGAGCCACAAAAAATGAAGTATGCATAGTTCCACTTGAAGCTTGAATACCCTTTCTTCTCGTAGTGCTCTACCCTTCACACTTGGCCTCAAGGGGAGGTTTGAAAAAAGCCATGTAGAAAAGGGCTAGAGATAAATAGTACGTAAAACGCTATTGATGTGAAGACTAAATGACCGTTTTTCTATAATTTATATTTACCGCCTCCGTATTTAGTGATTTTGAAGAAGAAACACGAATCCTTTCATAGAATAACAAAATTAATGGTTCTTTAACCCGATATCCTTTAGTATAAATATTTACATATATGACAACCACTCCCCTAAAAACCCTTGTTTTATTTTTCCATTTTTTCAGATTCTGATTGACAAGGAAACTGCAAATCGACATTTCACCGAGAAAAAGTACGAAAAAGCGATCACCATGTACACCAATATTCTTGATGTCAAGTGAGTGCTTTTTGGCTTCGAAACCGTAGTTGGCTGTGAGAAATAAGTTTCCTGCCGTAGTTTGCTGTCTACTTATGAGGAATACGGACAAGGATCAATCTTTTTTTTAAAAGATTCCCACCTTTTTTCAATTCTTACCTGTATTTTTGCTAGCAAGACACGTCGTTGCAAAGCCGTTGTTCGGAAATGTGAATTCTGTAAGAATGTCAAACGGAAAAATGTGAATAAAAACAGCGAGTAGAAACAGCGATATTCGACAGAGAACAATCAAGTTAGATGAAAAATTATATTGTGACCTGGGATATCAGTCTACGATATGAATAATTGAACTAATATTTTGCTCCTGGCATAAGAATCTTGTTTAGAAAGAAATATCCCCGTCGTTAACTTGTTTAAATTTGCTTTTAGAGAGATCGACTTGAATGTTTTTCTTTTTTAGGCCATATTGTCATATCATATATTCTAACCGCGCACAGTGTTACCTGAGTTTAGGAAGACACAGGTATGCCAGAGTTCCATATCAAAATCATGCTTAATGATAAATCCGGATAAATCGCAATTCGGTCCTGGAATACATTTAGCCGGTCTATGAGTTTGCCGTTAGCCTACTCCTTGTAGACCATTGCTTGGTAAGTCCAATGTTGAATTAGTATGCACACACAAAAAGATTCTGCTCCGTTCGCTGTTCAGCTCCTGTTGAATTATATTTGGTGGACTCGTAAAAAAGAATTTTTATATTTGTAAGGTGTATGATATGTATATTTCTCCGTAAAATCCAAAATACAAGCACAAACATTATGAAAAATTGTATCCAGCCTAAAATTGGTGATGAAACCAAATCTGATTTCTAAACAGTCGTACCATGATGTTCGGAGTATTTTCCAAAACGAGGCCTTAAGTCGATTTGATGTATTGATAAATTGTCGATTACAGAAATATGTATTCCTAAAACGACTTAAAACGGAGTGCAATTCGATTTCATGTTCACAAACTGGCTGATATTGGGCATCCCATCATGTGGAAGTAGTGCCACGAAATCGGGCGCAATGGTCGTACTTTTGGAAGATTTATTGGAATCAAAAATAAGGAAGAGTGCAAATTTTTGTTTGCATATAGGAAAATTGTCACATCTTTTGATTCTTCGATGGGGCAGAAACTACCACTTTAAAACATAAAGATGATAACCCTTGTGTCGATGGGTCAATGTAAATGTCGATGGACCATTGCATTCACTCTTTCTTTCTTAACAGGTTAGCGTTAGCTGATGCGAGAAGGGCAATAGCATTGAACCCTTCGTCAGAAAAGGTACGTGCCAAATTTGCCCTCTTTTCATATTAAAAGGGCCCCACATCTAACATCCCGAGGTTAGTTTATCCAATTAAATCTTATTCTAAAAATATCGAAATATTGCAAACTTGCCTATGACAGACACCCTCCAAGACAGCATTTCCCCACAATGTCTCCTTTACTTTGGGACCCTATTGAGGTCCTTCTAGACAATAGACATGAGACGCCATTCCATATTTGAAGTCAAAGGGGGTTTGGTGGGTTGCACTGCATCGGATTAAACATGATCTATATGTTATGACTGTATTTATTCTGACAGGGACAATACAGATTTTGCCGGTCACTCGAATTATTGGGGAAACAAGATGACGCTGCACGGGCGGTTCGCAGGGCCTTGCAGGCCTGTCCTGAATCAGCCGATCTTGAAAAGCTGCAAAGAAGAATCAGGCAAAAACTCGGTAATCAATCATATATTCCTCTGTCTTAGATTTGGCTTGTTTTATTTTGAATTTCATAACCAACTTTATTTTAAACGCATTTAACCAATCTTTTCTCGTGTATTGGCACAAAATAAAGAAGCCTTAGTCCTTTCTGGCACAGCATATCTTACAATGTCAAATATCAGCGCCGAAGGGTGAAACAGTAGTAAAATAAAGAAAATTGCTAATTTTCACGAGGGCAAGGGGTGGCTGCCCCTACTCGCCCCCTGCTCGCCACCTGCTCTGGTGTCCTTGGTTTCCCTCTTGCTATGCTGCTCCATCAAGTATCTAGAGAAGAAACTAGGTTATTGACAGATTGGCTCGAAACTGTGAAACGCTGATAGATTTCAAAAATGAGGTCTGAGGCAAAATGTCAAACGTATCTACCGTCTTTTCAAAAAGCCCGGCAATTTCTGCAGTGGCGTAACTTGGTTTTGATGTCATTTGCTCTACCATAATACTATCTTCGTGTTTAGATAGGTTTTTTCCCTGTTTATTAATGTTTATAATGAAAATGGTTTGTGGTAACTCTGTTTTGCATACCAAACAATGTCGTTAACCAGCAAACAAATTTTACTGATCATTTGGGATAGGAACTGTCACCCCACATCCCTACCTGATTACCCCATCAGGGGGGTGATGTAGCTGCCTGCAAAGAAGGAACCCCCAGTGAGCACATAGAAACCGATAAAGACTGCCTTAGACCTACTTAGAAACTATTAACACAGAATAGGAATTAGGCAGAAGGGGAACTCCTGCCTATCGGGTGAAGCCTGAAAAAACTAGCGCATGCGTTAACTTCTACCAGGCTTAGCATGTATCTGTCCGGAAAATTTTAAAAATAAATGATAGTAGAAAACTTTATTTGAGACGAAATGCCCCATGATAGTGAACAAATTTTCATTTCTTTTGGACCACTCTCTTAAAAAGCTCAATGGTCTTTGGTCTGTTGTGCAGAGCAACCTACCCACGAACATCTTCAACTTCACCATCAAATACCTGAACAATACTCTCCCTACGCGCAAAAATCTAAGCCTTTGGAACCTAAGCCAATCATCTGATTGCGAATTCTGCCTTCTTCCCGAAACTTTACTCCATGTCGTTGCAGGCTGCAAAGTTTATCTCGAACAAGGTCGTTATACCTGGCGTCATAATTCTGCTCTAAATTTTCTTGCAACCTCCTTGAAAGCAATAGAGGGATCCTCTTATTTTGCCGATATACCTGGCTTCTCCTCACCATCCATCATAACTGGAAACAATCTGCGCCCAGATCTACTTCTGCGTACAAAGGAAAACATTCTTTATGTTTTGGAACTAACGATAGGATTTGAAACTAACCTTAACTGCAATGCAGAAAGGAAACGTTTAAAGTATGCTCGCTTTGTCTCAGATCTAAGACCAAGGTTCAAATCTGTCATATTTGTAAATCTCTCCATCAGCTCTCTTGGCATCTTCAGCGACTCCATCGATGATCAACTGAAAAGATATCTCATTTCTAAGCTTTCTACGATATCCATTCGTACCACCTATTACATTTTTTTGCTGTAGGAACAAAACATGGACTAACCCAGAGCTACTCCCCTTTTAACGTTTTTTTCTTTTTTTTCTTTTCTCTTTACTACGATTGTAATAGTCTTATTTTGTAAAAACAGGCTAGCCAGTTACAAATTACCTTGTAATAGTGAGATTTGTAATTGTAGTTTTAACTGGAATTCAAAATGAAAAGTTTCCATAATAGTGATCATATGTCAGAACTATTGGAAACTGTCAACTCGTTAATGTCCAGTATCGACAAATTGTCGTGTCATCCAAAGAACAAAATTCTGTTATACCACCGATATGTGCTATCCAAAATTTCCTGGAACCTGACCATCGCTGATTTAAGCAAGACATGGGTGACAGAGAATCTAGACAATGTTGTTTCAAGCTTTGTTAGACAATGGCTCGAGCTGCCAATAAGTGCTTCACTAAGTAGCCTCGTCATTCCAAAATCGAAGTTTGGCATCAATCTCATTCTTCCATCTACCAAGCTCTTACAATGCCAAACAGTTATCCGCAACTCTTTAAGACTGTCCCCAAACCAAGAGATTCGCTCTTTATGAAAAGACTCTAGCACTGGTACAAACATACAATATGACGTTTATCGCAACACCAAACAAGTTCTCAAATCCATCCAAAATGAACACGAAAACCGCATTGAAAACGTTCTTACATCTCAAGGATTTATTATCTCGTGCATCTTAAAATTTGCTTCTAAAGGAACTAATCAACTTTGGTCTAGTGTCCAGCAAAAGTTACCAAAAAACATTTACAACTTTACCATCAAATACCTAAACAACACTCTTGCCACTAGAAAAAACCTCTGCAAATGGTCAATTACTCAGTCATCTGCCTGCTCTTTTTGTCTCCAGTCAGAATCATTACAGCACATAGTCTCTAGCTGCAAGAATTATCTTTAACATGGTAGGTATACCTGGAGACATGATTCTGTACTTCTATATATGGCTAAAATCCTTTCAACACCTAGAAACAGCTCACTTTACGCCGACCTGCCTTCATTTCTATCACCTTCTTTAATCATAGGCGACTCCTATCGACCAGATCTTGTCTTCGTAAGTGAAAATCGAATCCTTTACATGCTAGAGCTTACTGTTGGGTTCGAAAGCAACATCGACGAAAACAGTACTCGAAAAGCTAGGAAATATAGCGACCTTATCAAGGAACTGAGCCCTGCCTATAAACGTGTTACCTTTGTTAACCTTTCTATGAGTGCCCTTGGCATTCTGGGAACCTCATCTACCTCTCTCTCTGACATGCTACACCAACTTAATTTTGACTCAAATCAAACTAAATCCATCTTGATAAAACTCATGAACATTTCTATCCGCTGCACCTACTATATCTTCTGTCGTCGAAAAAAACCATGGCTAAGCCCCGAACTAATTGACTTTTAAATATTGTAATGCAGATAAGCCAATTATATGATGCCTGTAAAAGCGAGTCGTATGATTGTAAATTTAAAATGTATTCAATGAAAATGAGATGTTTAAAAAAAATTATTATTATTATTGTCATCATTATAACAAGAAAACACAGCAAGTATGCTCCTTTACTATCTGACTTACAGCGAAAGTTCAAATGTGTCTCTTTTGTGAATCTTTCTATGAGGTCTCTTGGTATCTTTGGCAATTCTTGCATCTCCTTCTCCAAAATGTGTGACTCTCTCTCCATCGATCAACAACAAAAACGGTATCTCATCTCTAAACTTTCCAACATTGCCATCCGTACTACGTACTACATATTTTGTTACAAAAATAAACCATGGACAAATCCGGAATTACATCCGTTTTAATTTTGGTTGTTTTATTTTCCTCAGTTTTTCCTTTTACCTTACGATTGTTATAGTTTTTTTTTTCTTGTAAAACCAGGCTAGCCAATTGCAAATTACCTTGTTATAGTGAGATTTGTAATTGTAGTTTAAGTTGAATTGAAAATGAAATGTTTCCATTATTATTATCATTATCTGTCATGGCTAATTTCTTCTAATGAAATCGAGGTTAAAGGGGAATTAAGGAATTCTATTGTTGACTCAGGCTTCAAAAACAACAAAGGAACCGACGAGAGTTGCCCTTCTGCCTATTTCCTATTCTGTGCTATTAATGTGCAATCCAGGTGAACGAGGCAAAGTAAAACCAGGAAAATCGTCCAACTGTTGTTTTGCGGTGCAATGTTTTGATTTTGGAAGATACACGGCTTTTAAAGCTATTCTTGTAAAGAGTATTCCAGTTAAAACTAAATTTTTATTTTTTTCACAGATTCAAGTCAAGTTGCTAGAAGAATGGATTTAATTCTCAGGTATGTATAATTAATTGGCAAGAAAGGGCTATCGACTTGGATACTAAAGTGCTCTCACAGATGCAGGTGGTAGGGGTGTTTAGGGGGGGGGGGTGAGTCTGAGAGACCCGCACGGACATTGTTGCTACTTATTGATTATGCCATTCATCGTTGAAATTAAAGAAAATGTTTTGAAATTATTAAGGGTTGTTTTACATTTTCAACCGATAAAAAATGTTAAAAATCCTTAAGTAACTTGGATTTGGCGAGGGTACCTGGCACTTTTACCCTTAATACCAAAGTCTCCGTAATTTAATCTCAGAAATATAGTTTGAATATAGTCACAGAATCTTTATTTGAGCATCGCCACTGAGGTCTCTACAAATACCGTATCCCCAGTTTCTTCAGGCTCTGGTACCCAGGTTAGCTGTTGAAACAGCAATACGCAAGCCCCTTGGTCTGGTCTTAAACTACGCCCGTCTATCTTTATAGAAACTTCTTTTAAGTAACAAATACTATGGATTTTAAGAAAAAATGAAAAACTTGCAAAACTTCACAATTTTGCAGAACTCCAAATTTTTGTAATTTTCAGCAAAGTGATTAGCTTGTTAGAATGCATGCATGTTCAGTTACAGACATCGTAAATATTCTCATATTTTTTAACAACCAGCTTTGCCTTCGAGTAGGAAAAAGCGTTTAGAGTAGAAAAGATAAGCGTTGCCTTCGTGGTAATTTGAGACCACGCTCTTTTTGCATTTTTTCGTCAGATAAGTTTTCCGCGGATAAACTTCGTCGAAAAAAAATTTCGGACAACTTTTTAATATTTCGTCATGACAAAACCTCTTCGAGGATTTTTAACGCAGCAGTATTACTAATATCATTAGAGGCAAAGCCATACAGGTTGCTTTATATTCAGTTCATTAGGTGACGACTTCGTGGAGACTGAAGCTCCCTTTCGGAATTTGGCTTGACCATCCAGGCAGCTTTTTCACGCAGAACATCATGTCCTGTCAAAATAAAAATAAAAGCAGTATATTTTCTCAGTTTATGCGAAGGATTTGAAGCCAAAGATTGGGGAGAGGGGGGGGGGGAGCTATTCGACAATGATTGGGTTTTGGTGTAACAGTGTAATAGAATCGCCCATTTTTTACAATTTCATTGTTAACTCAAAGAAAAAGAAGATAATAAGATAAAAAAGTAAATTTTTGGCGTAAATCTAAATAAATCTTTTTACCGACTCAAAGCAATATTCACCGAAGGACAAAAATATTGGGAGGGAGGGGCTGATCGCACTCCACACCCAGGCTCTAATTCCGAATGCAAGATTTGAGAAAGCAGGGACACAAACAATTTCTGACAAATTTCTACTGACATTGACTACAATAAGTTCAATTTAACTTCTTTTCCCCTTTACTTAATCTCTCTTTCATTTTGTTTTGTTGCATTTCGTTGTCTTGATCCCATGTGTGTGCCAATTTTGATACCTTTGTTTTCCGGAAATGTCTGTCAACGCTATTCTTTCATCTTTTCCTTAACAAAAGCCGTCACTCAAAAGGATGGAAATTATTAATTGGCGACATTTTGTCCGTTCGTTTTTCCGGTGACTTCCGAAATTATAGGCATGTAAACGAGCGTGATTTGATAGCTTTATTGTTGTTTTCCTTTTCAACTTTGTGAATTGTGAAATTTTTATCACACGAACACTCTTTTCAGGAGTGATGAACCCCCGGAATTGGTAAGCCCTTCCAGTGGAGACCAAAGCTCGGAAAGCTCGGATTCTTTTAGGCCTAATTTTAGCGATTCCGAAGACGAGGATTTTGAAGAGTCTTGTAGTTCTGAAGTAAGTAGAAGTTTATTGTACAGTCTACTTTTGCCTTTTATTGATTTTCAGATTGTGATGAATCTAGCATACCTACGTGCGCTGGATGTCAGCAAGTTGTTTCATGATCGGACAACGTGCAGGCATATATACACGTGCGCTCGTGTTGCCTAGGCCAGCAATAGGTTGGTCATCATGTCACGACGGCATTAACCACATTGATCAATAAATCGTAATGAAAACAAAGATATAAACAAAGAGACATGCACATGGGTGATATTATGCCATTACCCATGTTGCACGAATTTTGTTTTTCTATTTTCTATTTGGTCATCATCAACCTGCAGGCCAGGCCAGTTTGCGACAAATAGTTCTGAAAGACCCCCCCCCTCCCTAAAAAAGTGTTTTTTTGTCCTGTTCTTTTGTCCGTAAACGGTGGATGGACAATAATATCGTTTAGGAATAAGTAGTTTGAAATTAGCTGAATATCAAAGCGTCTCCAAACCTTTCAAGTAAACAAACAGCACATGTTTTGGCCTGGAGCCAATGATTTTGGAGGAAGTTACATGATAATTTTTTCTGTGTTTTTCTCATTCTTGTTGTGTATTTCTGTCGCTAGGTGTTTAACTAAACAATGCACGTTGTAAATAGGTCGTTGGTAAATGATGAGTAAAAACATGGAAAGGGGGCGTTTCCCATACCAAAAAGATTGTGGAGTTTTCACAAGGAGGTCCGTCATGTGGAGACGTTTTTATCTGTATGCTGCTTGTTGAATAAACAATCTTGCTGTTAGTAGGCATCCTTAAACGGAATGCCAATCAGAGGAGCATTGGGTAGTGTATTTATGGGGGGCTAAAAACAAGATTTTGCTTCCCGGCTGGAAACTTTTCTGAAAGTTCCCAACAAATTAGAGTCTTCTGGTTTAAGTCAATGAATGAACTTATGACAAAAGAGTTTATTGCTCAATGTTACAGAGCCAAGCAAATTCTATATAAAGCTAACGATTGGTAATTTGGCAAGATCGGTTGGATTTGAGCAAAGTTTGATGATGTCTTTCACAGCAATTATCGTAAAATGCAGAATTACAGTCATGGGATAGGGGGGCTCGTGTGGTTGGCTACTCAAAGAGGCGAAGGTTACTGTGACAGTGCTCCGTATTGGATTGTAGAAGAAGTTGAATCTAGAGTTATTCACATTCTCTGGAAACTCATAAAATCTTCTTCAAACTACAAAATCATTCTTTTTATATTTATTAAAATGGAAAATTTTGCGAAAGTGGTTTATCGACATTTAGTTCTTACGAACGCAAAAGTAATGCTTGCATGGAAACCAAACCATACTTTTTTCGTGCAATTTAATTGTAACATTGAGCAATAAATTTTTTTTTGAAATTATTTGAAAAAGTATTCAGAAAGTAAGAACATCGAGCCACGGCAAAAAATTGATTGGTTGTTATGAAAAAATGAATGTACCCATAAACGTATATAGCTTCTATGTTTGACTCCTGAAATAATAAGACCTTTTAAAAGGTTTTTCTTAGTTGCTACAAGAGGATTTAAGAATATGAGATGCATCCCCGGAGTTCAATTGAAAAAAAAATCAAGGTAGCTTTAGGCCCGACTAGAAGCTAAAGAGTTTGAAAACCGTCATTGAAATGAAAAACATTTGGATTGGCAAGGACCGCGGAGCAGGGGCTAGAAGGGGGCAAAAGCCCCTATCACTCTTTTTAAAAAAGTAAAGAATCAAGAAATAGACCACATGACGAGCCTTTTCTCGGTTTTAGCCCCACCCCTTTTTGACCCTCCGCTGTGCCAGTATGGACGATATGCTTTAATTTTTGTTGTTTGAGTAACACCATAATGGTATGGTATATAGTCTTGCGAATGCCGCCTGGTAATGCCATGCTAGAAGGGTGGCTCAGACCAATCCCCAATCCTGCCATTGATGATACAATTATAATTTTGATCGTGTGTCGAAGTTTTCTTTCCTGGCTTCTTTTGATTGATCGAATCGATCATTAGAATCAGCAATGTGCTTGTCAGTTTAATTTGTATAAACACAAGGCAAAGAAGGATCACAAGTCGAAAGAAATTTAGTTTTGTATCATAGTTTATACTTACTTTGGTTTGGTGCAATTATTTTGTTGGTATCAAACATAATGGCGAAGTAGTTTGGTAGCAAATTATCAACTAAGTGCTATAGAGTCAAATCGAAGCCAGGTTTGCGATATCTTGGAAGACATTTTTCAATGCAGTAGACCATCCTAAATTGAATACAATATGCAGTAATTAAAGCAGTTTTTAAAGTTATAGTGTCAGATTTCTTATGTGGCATTAATTTATTACGAGTCAAAACCTTTCTGTGTAATTTTCTTGCGAAGATGTTTTGCAAAGTTTCAAGATTGTTCCCATCACTATGCGCCATATATGCCTCACGTTCCAAGAACTGGTCAAACCACTGTTCCAAGAACTGGTCTAGCCAGAAGAAAACTTATTTTTCACATCCCATCCTACTTCCTTTCAAGTACGCAAAATGCAAGGCCCTGCCTTAAACGAGAATTGTACTAACTACTTCTTTGATTTTCCCGTGTTTTCAGAATATACCTTCATTCTGATCATCCAACTGTCTTTGTTAATTTTATTATCATCTTAATTTTGAGTTCATTTAATTGCTACAGGTTCCTGTATTGGTCTCAGATTCTGACGAATGGTGTGATGGTAATATTTTTATAGAATTTATTGCTTGTTTGCTTGTATGTGAGAAAATTATTGCTTGTTTTTAGGGGCACATCCCGAAACGCTCCCTGCCCCCCAGCTTTCATATTTTGCAAGCGCGTGTTTGTATCTATATATGTTGAAGATAAACGTGCAAAAGTGCCCCGAGAACATAAACCAAATTATAATTCAAAATCATTTATAAATCGAGAAAATGGCCATTTTTATCAGTTGTGTGTTCATCTGTTCTGCTTTGAATTGTTGACACTAGTGGAAGGCTGTTCTAAAAACTTTGCTCTAAAAAACCGGTCGTTTGACCATAGTTAATATCAGGGAGGTCCTCGTCCTCGGAGGTCCTTCAGGACAGAATAATCATCAAGCAAAGTGTTGCTGTTAATCCTGTTGTTTTTAACTGCTATTTGAGTCTAGGCGTTAATGGTTTGTTTTGAATTTTGATAATTAACGGAAGAACTTCAATTTCTCTAATTAGCATTTGCTTAATTCCTTTTGTTTAATCATCAATAAGAATCACAACACAGTCCCTTTGTGTAAAGGACGCGAAATTAGTGTTTTTGTCAATGTATTCCCAAGCTGATGTCGCTTTCTTGTTTTCATTTCAGATGATTCCCATGAGTAAGTGATGTTGATGACAATAATTCTTCTTTAATGTTTTGAAAAACATAAAGTTCTCGATAAATTTTGCAATCTCATTAATCCAGGTAAACTATTTGGTGTTAAAAAGTTTATATTTGATTCGTATCTATTTTAGATCTTATTTTTTTTCTTTACGTATGTTAAAAAGAAAAGTTCCTGAGATTTCTATTGAGTCTCATTTTTCATGAATTATTATTGAATGCTTTCGATTAAAAACACCATAGGTTGCGTTGACGACAAAATGTTTAGAATATCTAGTTATTTGCGAAAAATTGTGCTTCAAAAAAAGTTTAGAGTTAAAAACAAATATATTTTGTTTCTTTACTCTATCTCCAGTGGAAGTATGTATAACACTTTTATTTGTTTTCAAAACTCTCATTTATTTTATTATATTTCTAGATCTATAGAAGAAAGTGTCAAAGAAGTGAAAAAGGTAATTATTTTGATTTCTAGACCTGTATTTGTTAATAACATATTTTAGCAGGGCTACCTATAATGAATCGAAATGGATTAACTATTTTTGATCTATTTTACCACAACAGTGGTGCCCAGTACAGTACCACAACCAAAGCTATGGGTTGAGTGCTGGGGGTTGACACAGCTTCTCATAAGGCAAGCCGGAACAGTTTGCTGGTCATTTACAACCTTTAAAGGGTAATAATTGACGGTTTGGCTTTCTCGAATTGAAAACACGACAGTGACTGCATGTCCCCCAAGAAGAATTACGGTTTTGACAAAAAAACAAAACATTCTTTGAGATATACTGGCCCTGCGTTTACTTTTGGATCCGCTTTACGAACACTTTTGGGACCGCTTTCAGAGGTGATCCCGTATGGATCCGATCTGGACCGGCTCCCGTTCAAACGGGTGGAAACTGAACATCAGAAAACTGAACATCAAGCGAATTTTTGGCGTCGAAAGGATGTTTGTAGCGGCTATCCTCCTGGTCCCCAACTGGTCACCCGAGATCGTCCGCATAATTTTTGTTAATCCAATCATATTCATGCTGAGAAGTGACTCAACCTTTCTCTATTATCTCTTCTGTCTTTATGAAAGTATGGTTTTAGGCGTTTCAAGGGTGTGGTCTTTTACATTTTTCCAAGGGCATGTCCACCCAACCCCATTCAAAGTCTCCGCTATCTGAATTTGTTTGATTTGATTAATTGTTTGTTTGAAGATATAAAACCTTTTAAGCCGTAAAAAATAGATCAGTAAAGTCTTTCCCGAGGTCTGAAGCTGAAGCTGAACTGGGGGCACTACCTTATTAAACTCTTTCTTTACTCATATCCAGGTGTTTCTGTCATCCATGACCCTTGGAATCGCGGTGATAGTTTTATTTTTCATCTCAAGCTTATTGTATCAATCTCTTTACAGACGCTAAAGACCAAAAAACGTTTGCCAGCTAGTTCTGTCAAGAAAATAAAAGGAAAGGTAAGAACGCCAAACTTCATTTCAGGCAAGAGCTAAACTTCCATAAAAGGACCTTCCAAGGGGGAGGGGGGGGGGGCTCCAAGGCGGGATCATCCAAGGGCGGGGGAGGAGGAGGCAGAACTACTGCCAAGCACATGGCTTTGAAAAATTTCATTTTTTGCCATGCGTTGATTCTTCCACTACGAGGAGGAGAGTTTTTCTTCTTTCGCACTGCGTTCGACAAAAGATTACGCCACAACTATACCTTAGCCAATTGCCATAGCTGGAAAACCTCAACTCATGCATCTGATATTCGATTTTTTATTTGTTTTCGAACAATCAGTTAAAGCTTTCTTGTTACCCATTTGCTTTAAATTCTGTTGCTAACGATTCTACTTATAGCATCGCCCCCTTTCCTTAAATTATAAAAGCATCATGTCATGAATTCGTCATCGTTTTTGAACTCTTACCTCCTCCCTCTCGTTATATAATGACCCCCCTCCTCGGATCATTGTGTTTCGAAAATTTAATCACCACTATTTGAATTACAAACTCCCCATTTAAAAGAACTTTATCTTTTCGAAAATTCTTCCCACTTCTTGTTTCAGTCTTATTGCACTCGTTCACTGAGGTTGAATTGACTAGCCTGTGTTCCAGACCCCTAACTTGAAAGTACTTTCCTTGAAGTGACTTGAAAAGTGTTTTTCAGGGCATCAAACTGTATTTCCTAGTACATTAGCAAATATGCTGCCGTGAACATACCTATCTATTTGCCTGTAGGCCACTTCTTAATTTCAGCTGTTATTTTTACAGATCTCAAATTCGGCAAAGGAAGACAATATGCCTAACCTACAGATTGAAATGAAAAAGGTTGTTTTTCTATTTTCTTTATGCATTGCATTATACATTTATCCATGCGAATGTTTCATATGTATGTTAGTGGGTATAAATATTATGCTTTTGCTGTTGCCCTAGATTCATCTTATTCGTCAATAGTTTTTAATGTTTTGTCAAAAAGCTTAATTTAGAGGCAACTCGAACTCTCTAAACGTATTGTTTTAACTGCCCTCCAATAACCTTTCTTGAAGATAACGTAAATCCCATATATGTTCCACCGATTCTGCCAATTTAGGTTTCCTTACATCTTTCTAATTTATTGCTAGTTATCGTCAGCAAGTTGAGCTCCGCTTCATGCATTTGTAGGAATGATCTTTCAGTTATCGTGACGTCATTGTTTGTTGTTTATGGATTCCTCTGAAGGTATACAAAGCTTTCGCATAAAGTTTCTACCATGGCTACCAACAGCAACGACAGTAGCGCTATTTTTAGTCGCAGCTTGTTTTCCTTATGTATGTCAACAAGAAAGGTTGCGAAGATTTGGGGAAACATTTTGGGTTTTGCGGATGAGCCACATAACTGAAGCTAATCGAAGTACCATATAGTAAAGATTTGATTGTTCCAAGCTGGCCCTTCTTGTTGATTCACATTAATTGTTTTTTCAGAGGTGACCTGATAAATTTCTCATTTATTTTAGGGCACCAAGTTTTTCATGGCCAAAAATTACGACTGTGCTAGCACCTACTTCAATTTAGTTTTGAATCTTTCAAAGTCAAAGAAAAATGTAAGTAAGGATTATGGGATCTTAAGTTTACAGATATGGCTTCTAGCGACTTTAAAATTGTGAACCACTATTGATCAATCCGCAATTATGGGTTTGTCCAAAATAAGGAATTCTCCAATTTCTGATTTGGTTCTTTTCTCTAAAGCATCGTAGTTTAAACTCTTTATACCCAAACTCAGCTTTATATAATTACTGAAATTTCATGAAAGATAGAAAGTTCTATAAAGACATATAGAAGTATTTGCGTTGTGCCACAACGTTCCCAAAAGATGGGTTAATGCCCCTTGAAAGGGGTTTTGTAACCCTTAAACTATTTAAGGACCTTGGAGAGAAAATGCTACTTAGCAATTGCCAAAGCGGTTTCTTTAGCAAATTCTGCCTATGTCCCTAAATACACAAATCTTCAAAGCAGCATCTAAGTGAGAAGCATCTTGCATATTCATTGCTTGATCTTGATATATACCCTTTTTAACGTGCTTTGTAGATAATGGCAATAAATGAATTCATTCTTCTGAACATGTCTTCTCTCTTTTAAACTTCTCCTTTCTTTTTCTCTTGTTTTCCACCATCTCTCTGTCTCGCTCTCTCTTGTGTTTTCTCCCTTCTCTCTTGTTATCATCACAAAGTACTTGTACGCGTAACAGAGCTTGTTGGACATCTGTAAATGGCTATAGTCTCTCTTACAGTGTCCCCCAATTCTCTTTATTTGTATTTGTTCCTCAATTCCATATTTTTACCTATAGCTTTCACTTTCAAGAGAAGATGAAGTCATTCTCATTTATGCGTATGGAATGTGCTCTTTCGAAAGTGGATCGACCGAGGTACCGTCCTATAAACAATTTTTTTTACCAAGCAGCTCAAATAAAGGAGTCATAACACGTTATGATATACAGTTTTGTGTCCTCAGAAGTTAAAGCTTTGTATAATGAGCGAAACTAGTTGATTTAATATGTACTAAGCAAAGGAACGAGTCTTGAGAAATCAGGGTACGCTCTGAGGCTCCAGTGAGAACGGTAGCGTTTTCCCTTCGTTCATTTCAGGTTGACAAGCCCCTGGAAAACCATGTTATGGTTGTGATTAGGTTTGCAGTTTTCTCTGATAGTTTTTTAAACATCCATCAAGAGTGTTAGGGAAGCTATTGACTATATCTTGTTGTCTTTGTTAGCCGAAAAACTCCCCCTCCACCTTCTATCGTGTTTGTACTTCTCTCCTCATGCATATTCATTAACTGTATTACTGAAGCAATGTTGACTTAAGTATCCGTTCTACATGAATATTTCATTTTTAGCGTGCACATATGAAGAATTTAAAACGTTTAAACTGTGTGTGGTCAGTTTATGTATATGTGTTATTTCTTTGTTCATGTCATTAAGATGTTATCACGTTCCTCTTTTGTCTAGGATATGGGGGCAGCCAAAAAGCAGTTTGATTTGATTATAGAAAAATTTAAAGATGTTAACTTTCCTCTTGCACACTATGGTTGTGGACGAATCTATCACAGACAATCCAAGTAAGCTAATCGCATCTTAGCAAGTCTAACTTGTTTGTTTCAAATCCTTAAAACAGGAGAGCCGAACTCAATCAAAGAAAGAGCAAAAGCTAAATGGGTTTTGCTTTAAACAGAAGTTTAAATTTGGATAACGAGACTAGAGGAATTTTTTTTCTCAGTAGGTTTTGAATTGAAATCACCGCAAGATATAAAAAAGATTCTATGATATGATAAGTTTTTGGAAAATAAGTGATGTAAGCACCATAAAACGAGTTACATTTATTATTTATAATTGATGTGAATAGTATGAAGAGCATTTTTCATTCTCCTTTGCTTCAGATTTTCAGAAATGCAAATATCACTACACAAAGCTTTGGATATTATTGCGAGATTCGGCGTTGTCTTGCGTAGATGGCCAGGCTCTGATTTTGTGATCGAAGAGACCAAACCAGGAAAACTTGAGGTATTTCCAGTAATATTATTACGTCTTTATAATAATTATCATTAGATTATTCCAGTTCTGTTATCTAGGGTGCGGAAAATTTGATCCAAATTTGGTCTTGATGACATTCTTTTTCAGCCACTTCCACGATCCTTAATTTTTAGATTTTCATGCCAGCAGAATTTTCGTCTCAAAAAGCTAGCAGGGAAACATATGATTACGGCTTCTTCTAGCTAGGCCCAACCCCCTAGGCATTTGCCCATACTTTTTTTGCTTTTGCGATAGCTGCCCTCTTATATAAGTTTACTAAATAAACTGGGAGTTTGAACAAGTAATTGGAAGTTTGGACTTTGCACCAAAAGCCCCCCGGTCCAACCCCCTCTCAGAAACTCGTATTCTAAACTGCTTGATTTGGCGATTTTGTATTTGTGTTTAGTCTTGTTTGGTTTTAATGTTTATTGTTGGATGGTCTTCGCCATGGTTGAAGGTCCGTATATTTTTTGTTTGTTGAAATTATACCCAATATACCCAAAGAAAGTAGGAAATAAGTTGCAACCTATATGGCATGCATGGTGTTTCTCTACTGGATAAATGATTAAAGGAGACAAAACTCAAAACATTGTAAAGGATATGACTTTGGACGCTACACTAATAAAGCAGGAGCATTCATTGCTTAATTCATCTTCGAAGCCAGCACAATTTGTATTTGGTTTTTTCTCAATTCTTAGCTCAATACAATCAAATTTCAGGATTTCCTTTCCTAAAAAATCTTTCCCTATGCCTGAAGCTTTTTACGTCACACTTAACAACGAGAACGATTTACACTTTTCTAAGAAAGGACATCAAAATAAACGGGTCTGTTATCCATTTCAAAACCCTTTAAACGCCAATATAATTATTTTTTTTCCAGTATTACATCTCGCAATTGCTGACTTCAGCCGTTGGCTCTGCACGACTACCAGATGCCGTTTGTCGATTTGACTTGTGTGACCTGAGTAGAAATATTTTCAAAGACGATTTAGGTTTGTCTTTCAATACCTGTTGCATGTTTTTTTAAAGGAGCAAATTCATTTATGTTTTCTCATTACGTCAAGTTAAATCAGGGGCATAGAAACTATGATAACAGAAAAAAAACGCTGCGGCAAAAATTTTAAAAGTTCTGTAAAGTCTGTACGCAGGCTACAAAAGTTTTTAACAACCGTGTTCCCAATCTTCGAAGTTCCTGATTTTTTTTAATTCGCACGTGGCAAAATATGTGTAGTGTCTATAGATTTACTGTCGTGGAATTTAAGTGATTTCTTCGCATGACTTAGCGCCCTTCAAGGCAGCAGAACCAATTTTTCTTGATTTTTTCTCGAGATGTTCTGATAATTTTATGGTGTTCTAAGAGCAAGAAAAAAATTTTATAGGAACGAGATTATCTTGCAAATGGTTTTGTGGATCTAGAGCTTAGTTTATACACCTTTTGCAAGACCCTCTTAATTTTATGACTTTAATCAACATTTGTTATCTGCATAATTTTCCTTCTAGATTTTAAGGGTTATATACAAATGAAATGCAGCGAAGCATGTAAAATAGAATATCATTCAGTTTGCTGGCAAAAAGTAAAGAAAAAATTGAATTTCAAAGATCAGTCCCCGTTGAAGGTAAGATTGACGTTAAATTTGTTCATGTTTGGTCCTATCAGAGCTCCTCTCCTTTTGACAGCCTGGTCCAACTTGTTCATACCCTAGTATGTAAACCCCAAACGGAGAGCCCCGAATATTTCAAGGTAGCCTGCAAAAAGACCTAGAATTGTGGCTTTATTTCGTCATGATGTAAGATGGAGATTAGATATCTAGCACTTTTCCAATCCAGTTCCACGGTCAGTTTTTCATCATGGATTATAAAAGCTGCTACTTAAGTGCAAGTTAGATCTTCAGAATTATGGGATATTATCAAGATCTCTCGGTAAAGAGGAAGGGGGAAGTGTTTCTATGAGAGACTTCTTTTGATTTGGGAGTGAATACCCGGACAAGATAACTCATTGGTAGAGCAACTACATACTGTAGCGGTGGTAGCGGATTCGAGCCCGGTCATGTTGCTCCCTCACATTTTCTTTCATTATATTTTCTCAAACCCTGTTCTGCACTCAGTCATCAAGATTGCCATTTCTGTTATCCTTATTCCGTAACAAGACATGCATCGAAGTTATGATGTAAATTGCTATACTCATGCAGATTTCTCATACATAAATTTGATTTTGACGCGTTAACGGTATTCGGCCTTCTAGTTATAACACTTTCTCTGTTTCAGGATTTCCTTAATAGAAAATGTCTGACGCCCGATTGCTCCGGACTATTATATTTTATGCATTATACATTCTTAAATCGAGATGGAGAGATAAAAAACAAAGAGGTAAGCATTAATAAAGCTGCAAAAGTTCTTATTGTTTTGCATGTATCACTTAATTTGTCAGTACCTATTCATCTGGCATATTCATCATGCCGTGACAAATTCATTTGCAGTACTCCAAAACCCAACAGACATTTTAAAACTCTTTCTTAATATAAACTGTTGCTATATTTTTGTCTTTGTTTTAAAGATGAATAAATTGGTCATCGTTGTCAAACAGCTGTTTATCGATACTCGAAAGTAATTGATACAATCTCAGCCAATTAACGATAGCACGTTTATTTTCCTCAAAAAAGCATCTGGCAAAATGATAATAATGATAGAAGCAATGTTTTTTTGTGAACTTTAACGAACATGTTTGAGACAATCTTGTGTATTCGAAGCTCCGGTGGGCAACATAGAATGGCCAGAAAAGCCTTGATATTTCTGCAATGTGTTGCAAGCACTTTTATCTTATTGTGTAATCTATTTTTAGCACAAAATCGAGCTGCCTAGAAAACAAAATACCGGCGTTTCGAAAATTGATAAATCGAAGCGAATGAAACCCTGCAGGTATACAGCACACTCCAGTTTTTCATCTTGCATAAGTTTTCAAATTTGTACAGAAAGAGGTTTCTGCAGTGAAACTGTGACATTATTTTTAATTAGATAAATATTTGCTGATATTTTAATGCGATATCTTCTCGGTATCATTTCATGAAAAGAATTAATGTCTTCTGGTTTAAAATATATTGCCAGTTAGAAGACTTTTAATGGGTAAATTAAGCAGTTCAGGGGCGGACACTTGGTCAAATATTGGAGGGGCAAGCCTATTGTTTTAATAAGATGACGTCACATTTCCCATTGTTTTGGAATAAAAGACCATTGTCCTCTAAAGTATTGGAGGGGCGGTCACCCCCCCCCCCTCGCCCCCCAGGTGTCCGCCACTGAAACAGATTTGGAAACTGATGCTTCTATTATTGAACTTTTCTTGTTTCCATTATTATGCAAATGTAGTAATTCATAAAAGAATTTTATGTTTTTTGTTTATGTTGCAGTTCTATTGAGAAATTTAATCTGATTTAAGTTCTAAGACATTGTTATCGATAGAAACCCAGAAAAGAACCATTTTTATCTCAGTGTTCAAATTTTTTTATTCGTAGCCACAAGAAGCTCATGAAGAAGTCATCTTTAGAGGAAGAAAAAGAGAAGAAGAAGATGGAAAAAATCAGAGAAATAGACGATGACATTACCAACATTTTGAATGAGCTTGACGAAGAAGAGAATATGCGTAAACACATTACAGAGGTAATTTCAGCTAGGATTGGAATAAATTTAAGAATAACATAATTGGGTTCGTAATTTTAGCTTCTTGTAATTGCAATTTGTAAGCCTCCCAAGCCAGTTGTTTTGTTTAAAATTGCGCATAAAAGACATTGAAAGGGAGCAAATTGTATGGCTCAGTTTTGAGAAGAATATTTTGTTTTGTTCTGTCCAAAAGGCCTTGAACTTAGCCTTTCGCCTTTCCAAATTGGGTGTGTGTCCGACTATGGTTAAGTTTTATGATATATATCATGTTGTACTTAAGCTTTATTGTGTAGATGTGGACTGTAATGATTTGCACCAAAGTTATCTAAATATTTTCTTTAATTTTGTGCAACAAACTAAATGAACTCTCTTAAGGGCCTCATCCAACAAAATTTTCGAGTTTTATTACCCTTTTTTTCAAATTAAAATCTTTCAATCCAAAGAACAAAACTGTTTTTTTATTTATTTATTCCTTGCCTCTATCGAGGTTGTTTTTATTCGGGCACATGACAAATGTTTTTTTATCTGCTTACATAAGATCTAAAGAAATATGGCTGGTTTACCTCGTATGACCAAAGCTCTAATCTGAAAATCTTACGTAGAATTTATTTTGAACGAGAATGTTATAGAACCAAACAAACATGTGTAATATATATTTTATGGGCATTTTAGGACTGTCAAATGAAGCAATTTTATAAATGTCGAATTTGCTGTTTCGAAGGCATATTTAAACAGTTTATTATTTTCTTAAAATCAGGAATCTGTATATAAATTTTGTTTTGCAACGTTTTAAATTCCCCTTGCAGATCCCATTGCTCAACTCTCGTACACCTTTTTCATACAGAGGTACGTTTCCACTGTTGTGAAGTAGATTTCAGTCCTTTTGGCGTGGAAGGCTGTTTTGCATCTTGATGTAGTGGTTACCAAAGTGGGTACAGTCCCGTTTAAGAAAAATGTGTGATTGTGGTTTTTGCGACACTGTCAGTCTCCCAGCTTTGTAGTTCCTATATTTTTTTCTAAGCACTTTGATTGAAAATATGCCAGTCATAAACAATTCAGCTGCTCAACTGGGGATGATCAACTATTTCTTCCATAAACAATTTTCTTGTTTCCTGTATTTTGTAAGGACAAATTGTAGCTGGAGCAGCAGCTGAGGCAGACCAGAAAACTTGTGGGTAAAAAAGGTCAGTTTTCTTACCGATTTCATGGACACAATCTTAAACGGGGCTCAGCCTTTCAAGGGTTATGTAGAAATGATGAAATTTGTTTAAAGTCGCATATTTTTCTTTAAAGACGCGGCTTTATTTCCGTTGAGAAAAGAAGAGGTGTCGGCTGGTAATGCAAGCAAACAGGTATGTTATCATCCATCTACCGTCTTTTACGGGTATCAGATTCTATTTGAAAGAAATTAGAGGGGTTTTGTCAATCAAATGGCTCAAAAGTAACTAGCATATGAATTAGTAAATTCACAAAACCATAATAAGTGCTTCCTTTTTTAATGTTTTTGTTGTTGTTGTTTTTGTTGTTGTTGTTGTTGCTGTTGTTGTTGTTGTTGTTGTTGTTTGAAAGGCATGCGTATGTAGAAGCGTCTCACAGCACCTTTAAAAACAGTTTGTTTATTTTTGTTATACACCTTTGACAAAAAAAATAGACAGACTTCTACTGGTGGTTATAGGAAAATAAAATAATGATTCAGTGCTTCAATTTTTCACCGGTATGAAGCCAGTTTTAAAGGTTATAGGGTAAGACTGCCTAAACCACGTTTTCCCATTTACATAATCTTTTTTTGTGTACTCTTTACTTATAAATGGCTTTGAAAAAAGCAAACATTTAGTAAACTAAAGCTTTTCGTCTGACACTCATCAAAGTTTAAAAAGTTCGACAATGGCGACATGTTTCGGATTATTGGTAAAGCCCGATCGTCGTTCCACCTAGCAGTTTTGGAATCTATCTACATAAGCACGAAAAAACCGCTACTGTGTAGACAAAAGGAGTTCGTTTTCACCTTAGGACTCCACTGGTAACATTCTCAATAGGCAAGCGGCACTGATTGGTCAACCTATACAGTCATGTGCTCGTGTTTTCTGATTGGCCTATTTCGATCCACAACTGGGTATATATATTTCCTAGCGTAGAGTTTTCGACCTATGTTCTGACGTTTTAAACTCTGAAGAGTGTCAGACGAAAAGCTTTAGTTTACTAAATGTTTGCTTTTTTCAAAGCCATTTACAAGTATTGTACCACCAAAAGATTCTTTACTCTTTACTTACTTATACACATCATTTATTGATGAGATATAAAACGTAATCATGGCTGTTCCTTATTCAGGGAACCAAGGGACGCAGGAAAAAGAAAAATAAGGTAAATATATCAATAAGTTTTAAATCGTGTAAGGTGTCCTTATTTCAAAATAGTTAGTGTTTGCAGAGCGTGCTGTGTCATTTAGATGAAATTGTATAATTAGGCTTTTGATGAAGTTTAATTTTTTCGCCCAGAGACTCGTATTTTGTTATACCTTGAGTTTCAAACATAGGTCTACCTTTACAAGCAAAGCTGAGATGATACACTGCGCACTAAGCTTTGCTTATTCCGGTGTTCTGCTGTGACTTAGTTTACTAGATACTATAGATTTATTTGTAAGGACGCCTTTGTGGGCAAGGGGCGAATATATAAAGATAAGCATGGTAGCGAATTGCCAAGAATCAATGCAAAACTGTACCAAAGTAAAGAAAATTGCTAAATTTCGCGGCTATCTCTGCTGCCTGCCCCCTTTGTGTAGGCTTTCCATTGATGTCAGAACTTGATTCCAGCCTGTCAAATTGCTCGATAGCTTGATGTCATTTGCGGATAATTGCTCTTATCTTTTTGAGAATTGATAATTTGAGGATCTTCTGTGTAGTTTGGTAGTAGAACTTAAAATCACAGTTTTCAATCAGCATATATTATCGTTTCACTGTTACACATTATCATTATATACTCCTTTTCCTTTACTATTGTTATCACTCTTCTATTCTTATTTTGTATCTTGCCTCACTTCTCATAACTATTAATGTTTAATATTGTATTAATATAATAACTCACCTTGTTTATGTTCATTTGCATGAATTACGTATGTTGTATGATTTCTTTGCACGTTTTAATCCTATTTGTGTAATCAGCCAAATTCAAATAAACTTTAGCTATCATACCAGTCTCTCTCAGTGTACTCAGCGCTTAAAAATAGACAACATGGAGACAGGACGCATTTGCAGGATCCTTGAAATTTCTTAGGTTTTCGTTTCAAATCCCAGTCATCTCCCAGTTATCTTATATCTGTTTAGTTTTCCGTGCTGATTTGAATGCCTTCATTTGTCCTGCATTCTAGGGATCACAAAATTTAACAACATTTATCGGTGAAGAAGAAACAAATTCCCTGCGTCAGGTTTTACAGGAAGTGAGAAAAATTGAGAGGTATGTCTTAACAGACCATCTCGGAATTTTCAGAGCCATGACTCAAGTGGGTCAAAGGCCGCAATAAATACAACGACATCTTATATCATCGAGTTTTGTATGTTCCGCTGTAACTCAAGCAAGATCCATTGTTTATCAACAAAATTCAGATTTTCATTCTAAAAGTATTCTCTCTATTATAAGAAAGTTATACGACCAAAGTAACGGTAAAGCTGCCTCTATCAACCAAGAATTTTGGCGTGTTTGCCCCAATTGAGCGTTTTGAACTAGCTTTTGGACAGTAAAATTTCATCATGGCATCGTGAACTCCGAAATTGTCTCTTACTATTAGCCCCCGGTTTTTCTAAATCAATTTTTAACCCATTTGTGGTAATTCATGTTGCAAAATTACTTTCAAATTTCAATACCGGAAATACGCGAATGAGAGCCCCCTTTAACCGTAGAACATTTCACGAGGTCCTTTGAATGACCCTCTTTTCTTTGATTAAGCGCCCCATCCCTCAAGTAATCGCCCACGGGCTCATTGATTTGATGAGGCCTAAGGAATCACTGCACTGTAGTCTAACAGAAATATTTTAAAGAAATGCAGCATTCTAGCTGCGCGTTTATTTCCAAACGTAGATTCGAAGTATGTATTAAATATATGTACCCTCATTCAAGGATTTACGGATAGTAATTTTCAAACACAAACATTGCAGAGTATTAAACTGTTGTTTAAAATTGAATTGAGATATGAGATTGTGAAAGAGTCAAATAGTCGAAAGTTAGAAAATCTAATTGATTATCTGTTTTCAGATCTCCGTCACTCTCGTCTTCGGCTGCGTCTAGTAACTTTGATCTGTCTTCTACAGTTTTTGAGCAGTCCCAAATTCAAGGTTTTGATTTTGCATCAGAATGTTCAAGGGACACTGTTGTTGAACATTTACACTCGTAAGTATCAACAGAATATATAGTCTTTCGGGAAAGTTTAGGCCTTATGACGTGAACATTTTGCCCTTGGTTTGTCATTGTTTACAGCGATAAGGATGTTGAGGTCTGACCTAAATCTATTTCGATTCTTATAACAGCCTTTAAGACGAATAAAAAAGAAGACAAGGAAAGATTGCATCAGTTTGTCTTGAAAAATTTCCTTTTTGCAGGTTCGAAAAATTTGGTCTTAGTTTTATTTGAGGTATCATTTTGGTCTCATTTCTTATTCCCGGGTATCAAAAGTAGCTTGCAAATGATTGGCAACCATTTCTCCATTCATGAAAAGTGTGAAACGGCAGCCAGAGCAATCGTTGCAATATAAACGTCACATAGATTCAAAATATTTTTTTCTTTTTTTCAGGATATTCGCAGATTTGCTTGTTAGTAAGGGTCGTATGAATGTTGAAACAGACAGTGACGTCAAAGACCTATTAGATATTCTTGATATCTACTCAAGTAGGGTTATAAACTCATATGGCGGTTTGCGGCTCTTCCTTGCATCCTCGCCGAAGTTTGCGTTTGATCCCGATGATCCCAACATTGTTTATCTTGCCGAAGAGGCTGAAATATACTTGTTTTCTAAAAGAGAGGCTGCAAAGCAGAAAAGAAAAGGTTTCTATAAAGACAACGAGGCACTTTTCATCGATGACGCTTTTAGCGGTAAGGACAAAAATAGGTCTCCAAAAAAGACTTCAGTGATGGCAACTGACCCAGCAATCGTTTCAATACTGCCGGAATCAAACAACACACCGAAATCAAAAACGAAAAATAGCAAAAAGATTTCAAATTCCTCTATCCATGCTAAGTCAGATATAAATGGCGGTGGACCGACCATTGTTCATTGCATCAGTAATTTCGGCGGTGTCGTTGTCGATGATGCTCCATTTTACACTGACAACTCTTTCAAAATAAACGGTAATCAGGTACTTTTCAAGTCCAACTCCCACCCATCAGTCAAAAAATTAGAAACAATTTCCAAGCAAGGTAAAGGAAAGAAAAGCTCTGACGAAATATCCGGCCACAACAGCGGCCACTACGTAGAACAGTTACGCAATGAAATGATTAGAAAATCGGACCAAATCGAGGCAGAAAAAGTAATCGAGGTTAGTCGAGTAGCAGCGGAAAAAAAGGATGTTGCTGTGATGACGGAAAGTGGATTCAACAATAACAACAACGGGAATGGCTGGACAAGAGAGGATGATGGAGACGAGGACATCCATGATGCGTATGTCAGGGCGTTAGACAGCTGCGAACAGATGAAAAATAAACTGAAAATCACGAAGGAGGCTGCATCTGTGAAGGAATCTGAACTGAAAAGCGAACTCGAGGTCAGTATGCTGATACACTTGGTTTCAGGATTTGGTTTAAATGATATTTACCAGGTTATGCGTTATTGAAATTTGGCCCCAAACCAATTACTAGGCCACAATTCAACTGTGATTGATCATTTTTCCAAGCCTTTTTGCAGTGAATTATCGCAGAGGAAATATTCCCACCATAACAACCCTTGTCAAGCAGGAAACGAATTTTTGGGAAAAGAGGAGAAGGAAAGAGAAAGGACACGAGGGAAGGAAAGGAGGAAGGAAAATAGGCTAAAGTAGGGCACAGAATTGATAACAATGGAGGGCTTTATCTATAAATTTCTTCCAGTTTAACCCAAGGGGATATTCACCCACAAAATATGCTACACTGTCTAAAAAATGTAATAGATTTCTGTAAAGATTCTCTATCCATTCTCTTAACCCTTTATGGACTCGAGAAAACTCAAGAAACGATGCTCTGGCAAATGCATTAAAATTCCACTATGTCAGTCGCAGAAACGCTGGATCAAATTGTTGCCAAGTGTTGGATAAGCGACACAGTCAGATCTTTTAATTGAGTCGGAGATAGTGACAGGTTTAATAAGTTTTAAATGAAAGATGTGACAGTGGGTTATTATAAAAAGAAATAAAAAGAGATGAACGGATGCATTTCAAATGAGCATTAGAACGATAAGAGCATGTGTAAACTCAAGGAGCAAGGGCTCGGAGAGTGGGAGGGGGAGGGGCTCATATTGATGCACCTTTCCTTTCTTGTTAGCTTTCTAGCAGTTATTTCAAAATCCATCCATGAGTTCCGTTTCTGAGACTCGTTGATCCTTTTGAATCATTTGTTTCATATTGATTGATTTAAGCTTTTTAATTTTAATAACTTAGTTTTCTTTTCTTACTTTGGGTTGCCCCGCTTGGACATCCTTTCTGAAATTGTTAATACTTCATTTGCTCTTCGTTGATACATAATTAACTCTGTTTCGTAACTTTGTTTCTTCCTTTCTGCACCCATCAAATATTTGTTTTTATTATATAATGTCCATCATTAGAGTCTAAAAAGCAAGTTGATGAAGGAGCAACAGTCAAGAGAGAGTGCCCAAAAGAAGTGGCAACAAGAGAAAGACAAACTAAGCGGAACAATCAAATCGTTGTATGAAAAAATCGCGAGTTTTGACGAGAATCGGTAAGTTTTTTCAATCCCTTTTCAGGATTGATGGTATTATCTGCACAACTATCCTGATATCCTTACGAGGTTTTTCCATATACTTTTTATAGGACAGCCCATAACCATAAAGGCAGGTACACAAGCTGCATGTATTCTCTCCCATTATGAAGCTTTCACCATTGGTATGCACGTGTAACATACGAACCAAAGATATTATAAAAGCCGAGCCTTTCAATGATTGTGCTGTTATACCGCACGTGCATTGAAGTTGTGTTGGTTTGCAAACTTCACCTGATATATTTCAAATGTATTTTAATTTTCAATGTATTCAAGAAGGTGTTTCAATGGGCGATTTCCACCTTAAAACTTTAAGAGACTCCACTGACAAGTGGATTTGGAGTGACGTCACTAGCTGTGATGTAACTGTAGTGATTTGAGTCTGTTTCTTGCACTCTTTAGCAGCATTAGTTTTAATTTGTAATAGCCAGTATTGTTTATGCGTTTTGGGTCAAAAGGCGCTTGCCTTTGTTATAATTGAAAGTATACAGTTTTTGTCTGTATTTTGATAAGTATGTGTAATTGAATAGCAAGCGTAGCTCAATAAGAAGTTTCTCTAGGCTTTCTGCTCATCACCATAAATATTATCCTGTGGTGTAGAATGGTGGATCTTTGATCTAGTCCTTGTTCCCTTTGCTTAGAAAAACCAACAAGCTTTGAAGAAACACTTGATTGTGCTAGAATTTTATTCGAAGTATGAATAGCTGGATTTGCTAAACATTTCTGTTTTCATCAACTAAGGATCACGCCCATTATTAGTCTCACTGCACCTTTCATTGCATTTCGTTGCAATTCAGGTACAAAATCAAGCTACAGGACCAAGAAAGAGAGATGGAGAAAATGAGCATGAAAATAGGGGAATTAAGGTTGTTGATCGAGTGTTTTTGTCTTAATCATTTTTGTAGCCATTTATTATTGGAATATTCTACATCTTCTTAATTTTCTTTTGTTTTACCCTAAGCAACACTTTGAATTTTCTAATTAATCTAAAACCATTAAGATAAAAGTACCTATCAAAAAGACCAGACGTCGTCGACCTCCCATGGGTTTTGACAAAGAAGCAAAACACCAAACGAGAAAAGCTAAAATTAATCTCGTACCAAAACGATCTTGATCATGAAACCATTTGCTGCTTTTTAAAGTTTGATGGTGATAAATCTAGAAGAAACTTTGTCAAGGGAACATTTGGGCCCTCGTTGATTGGTTGCTACCTTTTGTGGCCTCCCTGCTGCAGACCCAGGAAGTGTTAATCCTCCCCCCAGATAATATCCTTATTTCCTGAAAACCTTTCTCAGAAAATATAAGTACTCATTCTTCTTACATCCAAACGAAACATGGCTGGATTTGGATGGTGCATTTGATTTTTGTGTTTTCATTGCATGAAAGCCCCGGCATGGAATTGGAACTACAACTTGCTATTTTATTTAGCTACTGCGCTCTTCAAAGATAAACATAATATCGGAAAAAAACGCTACAATTTCTGTAAAAAAACCAATGGTTTTTCTAATCAATGAAATTTTTTCGAGGTTTCTACCTTTCATCTTCGTTGATTGAAAAGAGTCTAAAATGATTGTTTTATATATTTTGTTGATTTTAAATTTTCAAGTTCTTAAGGCATATTTTGGTTTTTTGTAGACTGCAGAAGGAGCAAATTGTCTCAGAAAATCAAGATATTATTGACAAGTTGAGTACCTGTGTTACTGAGCAGTCAGTTAGGGCACAGAAAGCTGAGGTTCGTTTTGACAGATGCCTCTTTTCCAACCCAGTCTCAGTTTGACATAGTATTCTTACCACAGATTGTTTTCTGATCGTTTGGATGAAAATAGGTCAATTAAAAACTTATTTTCTGAAGAGCGTGGTCTTAATAAACAAAGCATAGAAAGAATTGCCTAATAAAGGCTCCGCACTCTCAAATGTAATGGAATTTACGTGAGATTAATGCAATTGAAAATGCCTCAACTGATTCTGCTTTCAGGCCAAATAAGGGTGTCGATTGTATTGCAAAAGATATACTCAAAGTTATGTTACCAACTGAACTTCAGATCATGATTATGAAGCTGAGAACACGATTAAAGCTAGGAGAAAGAGTAACTGAGGCGAAGGTGCATAAAATTGAGTTGATTATAAATTTTGAGGCCATCGAAAAAGTAAGGGCGTTATTTTCAAAGAAGCCCGAAAACAAGAAAATGTTGTTAAATTCGTATTTAACAAATAATTTTGAGTTGGAAAATTTGCATGTTTTGTCTGAAGCGTACTTCGCAGAGGAAAAATTAAATAAGAAGCACAAATACAATTATCTCGGGGTACGAGGTCTTCAAAAAATTAATCAAATTTGGTTTCGTTGGATCTGTAATTGGCAAAAGGCAAGTCTTCATTTGTTGTAGAAACTTTTTAAATTACTGGTGACCTCATTAGTTTCTGGCTCAAGTGTATCTCGAAAGCAGACTAAAAGGCAGATCAGACAAGACGTTAATAAGATCTTTAAAAATCCCTAAAAGTGTTGTCTTGGTTGCCTGTTATCAATACGCCACAACTCGCTTCTAAACCTGTTGTTTCTCCCCACGTGTTGGTTCTTTGAAACACGTGAAATTCAGCTTATTATCCGATTCTATCGTCCGCGGTCTATCAGAAGTACGTATAACTTAGTTAACCACAAGAAATCATAGCATTAACTGACTGTTCTAGGGCTCAGTGTTACTGCCCCTGCCCCCTGTTTATCGTGTGCGAGAGTCGCTAATCAGTGGTTAGAGCCCCCGGGGTAATCACCCTTTGGCCCACCAACAATATGTCCTTCTCAGGGCACCCGGTAATTGTTGTATGTTCCAGAGACAAACCCATTCCCCTGTGAATCGATTACGTTTTGCCTCGGAAACCCTTGAACAGGTGCTTCTTACAATGATTTTAGAAATAATGAGTGGCTAATTGTGAATGGGATGAATAATGTTTAAGGATTCCCCTGACAAGAATCCGGTCACTCCCGCCATTAATTTTTTTCCCTGTCCCTGGAACTGGACAGCCCTCCTTTTTCTGATCTCTGATTTCAGGTATTCCCTAAAAAATTAAACATAGATAGTTTTTCAATGTACTAAAGATAGGCACTAAACCTTTTTCCCTGAATTTATTCTCCTCAAGGCACTGTCAATGCCGTCCCCTCCAGTTTCCGATACTTTCTGATGTCATTTTATGAAAGCAGTTATGGAAGTAATAAATACAACACATTAGGGCATTTCTATTTGAACGAACATCTTAATAAGAGTATTGCCATCCTCTCTCTCTATTGTCGCGTCTTAAATTCACCTTGTTTCCCCTCTCCGTTCATCATGACGTCATTTGCGTATTGCTCCCAAATATGATTTAAATTAGGCATTCAACAGCATACACTGTCTTCATTTACTAGATATTTTCGCATTTTATTACAATGCTTAGAAATGCTCTTACTCTTTGGAATTTCATTTTACTCTTACTCTAACTCTTTCGTTTTTAATCTTAATTTCTATATCTATTGCTTTTCGTTTCTGTTTGTCATTTGTTTGATATTTCTTCTTTGGTTTACGACAGGTTCTGTTTATGGAGCTTAAAAAGGCGGAAATTTGCAACGATTTCACGAGGAGCCTTGAGAACGTACAAAGGAACATTTACACGATCGAGAATAATCCTTTTTTGGAGTGAGATATGGTTTCATTTTGAAAGTTTTACTTTGTTACGCGAGAAACTAGGCCAAGGCATTTTCTTATCATCAGCTATAAATCAGCCACTATTTCTGAACCTGCATATTTCTCTGTTGTGTTGCTGTATGATTGACTGTAATGCGCTGCGGCTAACGAGAAATTATCAAGATGCTTGATAGGTCACTGGTTTTTATTGTTTAACTAAATTGGTATTATTTCTATACTAGGCAAACCGTCAGCAGATCTGAGATGTTGAAAATTTGGAAGATACATCAAGATGTGGTATCCAAAATTTTGCGCACGTGGATGGTAAGATTTCATCACTTGAGAGAGTGCTGTTTTTTATTCTGTATTATCTTTAAACAAAAGTCTGGTCTGATCGTAAACGTGTTTGACAATATTGCACGAATAATTATGCTACAGCCTCTGCCAGAAGTTGTTATACCTCAACTTCCATCTTCAGGGGTGCATTCAGCTAGGCCCCCCCCATACCCCTCTTCAAACAGTGTTGGTTTATCACAAATTGTGAAATGTTTTTATCATTGGACTTTTATAAAACCTGCTGTGAACTTACTTAAACTATCAACACAGTTTCTGGGGGTAAGAGAAGCGGATGGGGTGATGTGAAAAACATAAGAGTCGGCAGCAGTTGGATGTTCCAGGTAATCTTAGCAGGCATTTTCGGACGGGAAGAGTTTACAAATCAACATCGAATATGAAAGGAAATTTCTTATTCATGTCGCTTACCAAGGTGTTGGGCTGACTGTGACCGTGGGTTTTCGTCATATGAAAATGAATGAGCAAAGGTCTTGCTTGATTTGTGTGCGGCAAGCACGCCAGTGGAACAAGGCAAAATTGAATTTAATTACTCACAAGGATTTAGAAAAAATATCTCTATCTTTCACGTTGTAATGAATTTTTGTTGTTGTGAAATGGGAAGTATTTTTTTAATCCCGCCAAATGTAAATGTTATTTTTAGGGCTTGACGGTGCCTTTGTCTTATTCCTTCGCTATGCTCATGTGGATCGTCGTTTAATTCTTCCCTGTCACTCAACATCTATTATCCTCTGTGCCTGTTATAATTGTTACAAAAGTTCTATTCCCGTTATAGTTTTATTTGGAGTAAGGATAACAGTCATTTGATGACTTCATTCTTTCCGACAAATCGAGAGATCGCCTTCAATACATAAAGGTATCCTAACAAGGACCTTGTTATAACGGACACTTTCATACCGAGAAAAATGCTTATGTTTCTGAATTTCTGAATTTCTTGATAGCAATGGAGATAGCCCCGCTGACTCAACCTTTAGGTAACGGACATTTCCCTTTAACCGCCCCCATCCCCTGTTGTAAAGTTTTATTGTTGTTAGGAGTAGGGGCCTAGTGCAACTTGGACTCAGGCCGGCATTGTTAATTTTGTCCAAGGAATAATTTTTGATCCACAAGTAAAACACGAGATTATACAAAATTTATCATTCTCGTTCGGAAATGAGCTATTTATCAAGACCTCATTCTCATCTTAGTTATATTTTTTTACCTAAAACATTGATTTGTAGTTTTTGCAAAGGGTTGCACCCCTCCTTTTCCTCTACACCACTGGTTGAAGATACTGTTTTGAACTGTATAGATCATTAAGAGCATCGCTGGTCTCAAACAAGTTATCCAAATTTCCTTTCAATGCTGAACAATGGAAGCATAACCAAAAAAGTTAACACAGCACTCCAATGAAATCCTTTGCTGATTACTGCTCCTGTTTTAGAATCTTACTGACGCATTTGCTGAACCAAAATGTTTAGTCTTTATCTGGCTAATGTTTATAGCAGGTCACTGCTGTTGTGCCTGAATCAATGGTCTTTTCATGACGAATAATGGCATCGAGATTCCAGGCTTGTTTATTTCAGTATTTGTTATTGTAAGTAATCCTTTGAATATAAACTGATGTTTAGCCTAAGTGACTGATTAAATTACAGCAAACGTGATTTGATTTATCGCCCTAGACCGGACAAAGCCACTGTTTCAAAATGTTTTCACGATGGATAAGGTCTCTCTTAATCACGTGGGAATTTTCCGCTTTAGTTTAGAAAATACCATACCCGTGAGAGCTAGCCAGGTTTTTGGGAAAATTTCATGAGCAATGTATCCGATATTATTTAAAGGAACGTCTGCCTATCTCCATATTCTCGAATTTAGCATTCCAGTCCTAGAGGGCGGGTTTGAAATTTTTTGTTTAAAAAAATATATTCCCTGTCTTTACCCATTTTTGGCAGAAGGAAGGGGTTGTAAGTTTTCTGGTTGTAAATTTGTGCTCAATGACTTCAGTGTGTCGTTTCACTCTTTATTGGCATTGTCCAACTACAAATGCACGCGATGTCCTGAAACAAGAAACACTATTTACGATCGCTCAAAATCCCAGCTCTCAAATTGGTTTTTTACTTCGTCAATAGCAGGCCTTAAAAAGGAACGATTTTGCAGATTTTATTTGAAGCAGTCTGTTCAGGGTTCTCGAGATGGATTGATTTCTATATATTTCAACAACAAAAAGAATTAAATAAAATGCCCCAATCTCCTCCACCAAAGGTTATTGTCCCCAGCTGAATTACTTACAACCTCTGTTCAGTCCCCCTTGAAACTGATGGCAACATATTCATCGTGGCCCGTTCAACTACCTATTACCCTGTCTACCTCCCACACATTGGATCCAGTCGATTGGACCCGATGTCTATTTTCGTTCAAGATAGACTTAGAGCAAAACAGAGTTCCAAAAACCGATCAACGCGATAAGACCGTAATTACCAAATGATCTCTTTCATATTAAGTGGAATTCTAGAAGATTAAGAGCTGTTCTGTTTATTCCGATGTTTATTCAAGTAATGCGTTTTCAAGTTCTCCCACGCATTCATCGCAGACTGTTAAAATGAGAGGGACGGAAACCAAAGCGAAAGTTTGAATTCCTTGTCCAGCTTTACTTTACCCGATCACAGTCTCATCATATGACACGTGTACAACCAATGTACCACCAAAGGCTCCTCATGTTTAAAAAAAGGGCAGAGGGACATCTCGAGATTGGGGAGGGGGGTGCTAAATCGGTGTGGCAAGATCTTCGCGGATTCTAAGGACTGTAGCTGTGTTTATTAATGTCGTTATTTTATTTGGAGGGGGCATGGCAGCGCTTTTCTGCTCTCTGAGAACTTGGGCCTAGGGTTTTACATCGCCCTGTGCTGGTTTTTTCGTTTGTACAATTTCGCTGCAGTTGGATCCCCAATAATTGGATCTACCCCTAGAATATTCCATTTTCAGAAACATCATAACTAAAATCCAAAACTATAGTTGCTGGAAGATAGGCAAATAATATCACAACCTTATGAGCCACAAAATGCGTAAAAATACGGGGTGGGAGTAAGGTTTGTTGGTGGCGCAAGCGAGTTATCTAGAGCTGGACCATAAAGTTAGTTACTTTGAAACCATCTTTAGATTTTCACCCTTCCTCGATGCTTCTGGTGCACCTAACTGGGATAAATTTTCAATAATCTGCAATCGTTTACCTTGAGGACCAGAGCCTTAAAATCAAGCGCGAAAACAGAGAGGAGCAGTGAAGCGGACGTGCTCCTCCGCTTCTCGGCTTGGTTTTCCATTTCCGCTCTCGAAACTTTGTGGCCCTGGTACCCAGGGTTGCGTTCGTAATGCTTACTGTTTCATGACCCTCACTTCATTTTGAACCTAAAGACGAATCTGTTAATCTTTCCGCAAAGCAACTTTAACTACCCTTTGTGGACGTATAGCAGCTCCTGTTTAGCTTCCCATAACGTAAAATAAGCCGATATTGGTTGTGTACACTCTAAGTCTCCAAACTTCAAGTCAATTAATAATTGTTATTCTCTCTGTTAATGCCACAAAATCCTTGCATAAAGCTGGCAATGGCCTGATCATAGTGAATCGATATGATCGCAAGAAAAAATGAATCTTTGGATCACCAAGGAAATCCTAACAATAACAGATGTAATCGCAAAGTTTTGTTGTGCATTGAAGCTAAAATCCAGGATAAGACAAGGCTTGAATTATCAAAGTCCTAGTGTTTTTATTGGAAAATTTGCCCATTCCGAAACTAATTCACACGTTGCTTACTATATTTTCAATGATGAAGAACGGTATTATTCGGAGTACCAACTTAGAGCAGGGCCTGCGACGAAGGGGACCGGCCATGCCCTCCCCCGCCACATTATTGCAAAACAATAGAGCTTTTTGCAAAATCTTTTGTCATGGGTGTTGAATTTTCCCAACACCTCCCCGCACTTTCCAACTTGTTTCCGAGCCGTCCTGTAGAGCCGTCCTGTTCTATACACAAAAGTGTTTCAAAGATGTATGTTGCTAAGGATAGGTTTGGTACTTTCTGATCCTATCCAAGGCATCATTTTCACTACTTTTATTTTTAATTAAGATTGGGATTTAATAATTAAACTAAAGAAATTATGGAAATTTTTCTTATATCTTAGCGCAATCCTATACTTCTAAGTAGCTGTTGTCAGGTTACATTGAATTTGAACCTTAAGTCCATACAATTTTAAACCAAGTCCTTGCTATTGGCAGAAAAATATTTGACTTTCTACTTAGGAAAATTGTCAAGTTATAAATTTATCCTGTTGCAAGATTTATTATCAGATCACCCAACCCAAACCAAAAACTGCTTGTTCGTCCAAATATTAAACGTCTCTGCTGTTTTGGTGAACCACAATCGCGGTTCAATGCAAGTTTCTTTCTGCCAAATTGTCAAGGGGATATAAAACAGTTGCGTTGGGCAATGTGAAAATAGTTGATCTGATAGTCAGCGCTTTAACTAATCGATTATTTATTCTGCATGACCTGTGTTCTTTTTAAATGATTTGGATACGTATAGCTATGACCGTTTCTTGCACTGCCTGTTGCAGAGAACTGCTAATTCCTAGATTTAAAACGGTTATTTAAGAAGAGCCCCGATAATGACCCCCAGGAAGCGTGGATCGATTTCTCTGCTCGCCTTTTTAACTTCTACTGCATCTGATTTCCAGAATAAAATCGATCACTTTGTTAGCGAAAAAGCATGCTGCCTCTTGTGATTTTTTGTCGGTAAATTTTTGACTTTGATAAATGCATTGTCTCTTAGATGCTACAAATCTTTTTGTGTCAGAATATGATTAGGAAAAATCATTATCGCCAATACCCTTAATTAGCCTTGTTAGTTTTGACGCTAATTTTGTCATCTGGATCTGAGCGGGAGTTCTAGGAATAGTCTTAAAGAAACAACCGTTTCAAGAAAAGCCCGTCTTTCCTTAAGCGGAACCTCCACATCAGAACTGGGTTTGGTCTCTGGATTAGCACTGATCTCTAAGGTCGAATACTTTGGCCTTGTCTTTTAAGTATGTGTTTTTTCGGAAGATACGATTGAACAGTGAAGCGAATTTCGTCTAAGCCTCATTGATACCGTTGGCGCTGTGCTTCATCCTCATTTTGTAGATTTATCAGTGACAGCATTTTGCTTGAAATTCCACCATGTTGGCCAGGGATCAACATAGAATTTCATTTGCAATGCGTATATTGATTCAAAGAAGTTCGTCTGGCCCTTTTCAAGAAATAGTGGCCAAGCGGATGCCGGTCGGGTACGGCCTAAGGACCGACAAAATATAGGGCACATCAGCTGTGTTCCAGTTAAGAACGAAACTAGCTATAATCAAAACACGTGCCTCTAATTGGTATCTTCTTGGCAACGTTTTCAAGGGGTAGGTTCATCATACCTCATGCCTCAAGCCTGGTCGATTTAATATGGTTACCTGAACCTACCCGAGGAACCAAACCGTTTTTGATTTTGACTCTTGCGTTTCACACTTAATGCAATGTTGATCTTAGTTGAGTTGATAGTTTTTTGAAAGATATTTTGTTGCAGATTTTACACCTTTCGATTATATTTTGCATGTTTGAAAATAACTAAATATTGCATATAGACCAAAGAAAATATTGTGTATTGTTCAAATGATTATACGAATTTATTGTTGCCAGCCAGCTCACACTTCACACAAGAGTCTCACACTTCAGAAAATATTACTAGCTAGGGTCTAGGTTTGGATAGATCCTAAACCGGCCTAGGTTATTACACTTTGACCATTCATTAGAAACGCTTTTTGCAGTCTTTTAAGCCCGGTTGCCTTCTCTCCATAGACCGAAATGGAAGAAAGAATTCAGATGATAAAAGATGGAACGCCGTTGGATGAAATTCCCCCGTTACCAGTACCGCAGTCACCTCCTTGTCCTCCGCAGCCAAAGATGATACCATTCCCTGCGAACCCACCTAATCAGGTAAATTCATCTGATTGGATTGTATGACGAGGGGTTGGTTGTTTCAAATGACAATCTCAATTACACGCTATATGTTTCAAAAAGAGATCAAGTTTCCGCTGTAGCTTTCAGGTTGTTTTTGCAAAGTTCGTCTAGGCCAAGTTTTGGTTGCACATTCACACAGTTTCAAAGGGTATTGATGCAAACTTAGATTTATCTGATAAACGATTCCGTTTGTGCGCCTTTTTAGATGGCCAGCCACCTTAGGCAGACAGAGATCAAAATCAGATTGCTCTTCATTCTGATGAGGCTTACACGCAGGCCATCATGTTAGATACCCATCATTTCAGCTTTGTTTCGCCTCACAAGTATTCGGAATTTCCCCCAAACAACTAGCTTTAGTAATAATCATACGGTGAAAGATGCCCTGGACTACCATAGATCGCGTAGCAAACCCGCTTAGCCGGTCAGATTGAGCCCCGCTTGACAAATCAGCCTGTTGTCTTTTGGAAATTGGCTCCCCTAGTGAATGCTAGGCCACCTTGGGTCAACCCGAACCAGAATGCTCCATGTATCAAGACACCAAAATATTGTCAGCTGTACATAATCAGCTGTTAATATGAGGTGTCTCAAATGCCTTGGTAGTCGAGATGTTTCATTCTTTTCCGAAATTATAGACCTCAAAGTTCAACATTATGTTATTGATATTGCGTCAAATGAATCTTGTTTCAAATTCCGTCGCAATGAAATTGTAGTAGTTTCAGTGACATTACATGTTTTAATTTGGATTTGGAGGTCAAAATTCCACTCCAACTTTCATTTAAAGATCTACGTTGTTTTCTATAAGATTCCACAAATAGAGCTAAATTCAATGTATTTGTTGAGTGCCGTTTGCATAGTTTCCAACCTAGGAAGAAGTGACACGAGAGAACAAATAACAACGTCTTGAAATCGCCCTTGACCCCGTTCCGTCTCAGATGGCAATCATAAGCCTCACTGGAAAACAACAAAGCGAAGAATATCAAGATAAACTAAGTGATGATAAAGCCGACATTGATTATTTATTGACATTTAATTCTAAGCCTACTTAAAAAAGGGTAGGACTCTGCTGGTTTCAATTCGCTATAGAAATCTATACATCTGTTTTGTTCATCAGATTTTTTGCTTTAAACATTCTGCAAGGAAAAACTAAACAGATCGACATTTGCTTTCAATGGTTTCATTGGAATAGTATCTAGTGTTGATGCATTTCTGGGCTCTTGTCCCATCAATTCCTCGAGAATATCATGACTCATCCATTCCAATCTTAACCATGCAGTGGCGGATTTAAGGGGGGCAACTAAGGGCAGTTGCCCCTCCCTCGACGAGCTGAAGCAAAGAGGGCGCCCCTGTGAAAAAGTTTCTGAGACCAATAGGTTAATTTGCTTCAAGGATTACTTCAGAGTTATGTTGTTTATTCCGAAAATGGACCTGAGATTGTTGTTTACAGCGTTGTCTCGTCACTAATTTTTAAAAAGCCCCCCACTACAAACTGCCCCTCCTTCAAGTTTGCTTTGGATCCGCCCCTGTAACCATGACTACGTTTCAGTAATTTGGAAAGGCAGAACTTTACTCTTTAACGTGGATTCCCTTCGGAAAATTTGTTCGTTTTGATGTGTTATCTTTATAATACCAAAATATTTTTCTGCATTAGCAGAGTAATGTTTTGAGATTTCGGCAACTTTGCCTCCATTCATCTCAACATGGTCATTTTCCCACTAGACCGATACAATACAGACTTGAATCTCATTAGAAGATTGGGTTTAATGTTATCGTAAATCTTTATTACAAAATCAATGATTGTAACAATTTAACTAAATAATGGCTAGGCCTGTTTTCTGTGTCATAACTTTTATTTTTCCCAACAAAGTTTGACGTGAAACATTTTAGTTCGTTTTAGAATTGCACTTTATGTGATATGCTACTTTGAATATGCAACTTTCAGGCCTTACAGGGGGCCAGTTAGGGGCAGCTTTACTCCTTTATGTTATTACCGTGAATTTGTGTCCTTTTTAACACGAATTACGCCTAGTTTCTAGAGTGTTTTGTGATAAATTTCAAGGGAACTGTAGACACCCATGTCAACGACTGACACCCTTTTAAGGGTCGCTGTTTATTTGCCCCTGCGACTGGTTAAATGCCCATTGAATTTCGACTATAAAATTTAGGTTTCATATCAGGTTTCTTTAGCAGTTCATAACACTGATAATTATATACGAAATCTAATGAATAAAAATAGGTGTTATTTCCTCAATTTGTAGGCCAACCCGATACCAATCCCGGGATTTGCCTTTGGGAATGCCCCCATTCCATCTATGATCGTGCCATCAAATGCTGCGAATCAGCAGCCAACGGACTCGGTTAATGGCCCACGTACTGCAAGTCCAACTGACGTCAACGAGCACATGTCGCTCGCGAATGTAGCCGATTCGGATTCAGACCCAGGCTCCGCACAAGCTGTTGCTGTTGCCCAGGCCTCCTTTGCTAACTCAGCAGCGATCTCAATCTCAACTGCAGATACCAGTGCCGCGAAAGCAAAGGCTTCTCCACGCTCCAAGGAAACGAGAGGAGCAGAAGCTAAACCGGCAGAATCCAAAGTAGAGAAGGTGACCTCGAGCAAGACTAACGAGAAAGGTGCTTCGAAGAGTACGAGTTTTGAGAAAATTATGGTCAAGCTTTGTTCTCAGTACCCTAGCATACCAAGGTGAGCACATCAAGTGTGGCAAGTTTCAAAGTCTTTCAATGAACAGAATTAGGGCTAGCAAGGCAAATGAGATAACGTCTTCAATTGCAAGCCTTGTAAGGACAGTAAGAACTTTCAAAAAGGCACTTCTTTGCCAGATTGAAGCTTAAACCACCACATTGCTTATTGTTGGGGGGGGGGGGTACATAGGTTTTTGTGTTCTTACGAGAAAAAACAGACACAGATAGAAATCTAATCATCTTTGCCAAATGAAATTGCCCCCTTTTTGGGAGCTATAGAGGGGTTAGACAACAGAGTACTTTTGGGACCCATACCTCTTATACATTTGAGACCCATACCTCTTAAAATTGGCTGTGAATATCTAGCTTTTAGCCGATAAACACTGATTTTGACCAGCCTTTCTAGGCAGAAGTGCCGTCCTAAGTAGTTAGAAGGGGGGCTGTGCTGTAGAGAACATCAAAAAGCCACACCCAAGACCACACCCTGTCTTCTTGTATTTGTGTTAAAGATTATCTGTTGTGTATATGAAATCATTCAAACTATCCACCTACTCTAAAAGGCTAATAGAAGTTGCTCATTTATGGAAAATCAATACCATTACACACGGTTAATTCACATTGCCAAGGAAGGGATTTGCCCAATGAAACATGTACTTACTTGTAAAGAGGGGGCTGAGCCCCCAAATCTCTCTTAATTTTAACAAGGAGGGCCGAGCTCCCGGAGCCTATCCCCCTCCACGGCAGCAATGGTTCTAGGGTCGCTTCTGTAGCAGTAACTGTGGAGATTTGAAAAGGTTGCCGTTGTTTTTGTCACTGCCACAGCTCATTTCCCACGGACATCGTCTTCCTTTTGGTTTTCCTAGTTTCCTCGATCTTTTCATCGTTTTGCCTTATTGTTTACTACTAGAAGGATTCATGTCTCTGGCTCTGATTTAAACATCCAGTCTAGTGCGTAATTTATCCGTATTGAATGATATAGATTGCTCGTGGGCCAATGTTTAGTCTGTGGACTGGTCGGAAATCTCATGAACATACTGTTACCAATTTTGTTTCCTCCGTAATGTAATATTTGTTCAATATTCAACCTTGTTATTAGACAAGTTGGTTCTGAATAGGTTAGTTCAGAAACTTTGCCTTTACTCTGCTATCTCTGTTCAATCATCCGCTATCACCATCAGTTATCAGCAAAAGTCAGTTCTAATCATTACAACCACTATTGTCCACGTAAAATTATCAACGTCACCACTTGTCATCGTCAGCACCATCAGCATCAATCAGCAGCTGATCAACATCATTATAAACAATCAATCGATCAATCGCACCCAATCAAACAACGAATCAATCAATCGTCGCCATCATCAACCCCTAATCGCCTAACGCCAATCATATGTTGCCGAGTATGTTCTTTGCCCTCAGCTGAGGTCGGCGCTTATGCTTGCAAATATGTTTTTCCCGCCCTAGAGCTGTCATAAAGATAATAATCATCATCCCTAATTAAAACTCATCACAACCTTGCGATATTCAGAGCTTTCATGTACTTTTTTGTGTTTTATTAGGGACGAACTCATTACATGCCTCAAGCAATTTCGAGAGAAGCGCAACAACACTCTTGCCGGGCTGCGAGTCGAAGAAATTATCACTGGAGTGTCAAAAATGATCAAGGAGAGTCGGTTCGAAGATGAAAATGTAAATGCAAAATTTTCTTTAAAGTTTGGGATCTGCGTATCATTTCTATTGTAATCAGTGCTCTGCTTCAGTTTATGATTTAATCTTGCCTGATTTTTACGACAGATTGATACGCAGTGAATAGTCACATTTCATGTCCCTCACAGGACTTGGGGCTGTTCATGTAATGTGATGTTCCCAGGCCTTTCATTAACCCATTTAAGATCAGAATATGCCCTCGCATTTGATGCATAGTTGTATATACAATCGAGCCTCTAATGGCGGCCACTTTGAGATCCAAGGCCTAGCGGCCGTTCATGGGAGGTGGCCGTTCATGGGAGGTTTACTAAAAACATTCACAAGTGTTTTGGACTGAAGGTCTATACCCGCTATTGGGAGGTGGCCGCTAATCAGAGGTGGTCGCTATTAGAGGTTCGACTCTATATACATATTCATAGGAATCTATTCTAGCCTCACTTTGATACTGCTAAACCCACGCGGTTTGTATTATATCTTCGCTCACAGACCTCTCTATACATTTTTCATGGTTGAGCAGCCCAAAAGATATGGCCAGAGATTCGTACTCTAAAGGGTGCTAGGGTAAGAGTTAGGGGTTTTGCACTCGCCCTTGAGCATGTTAGCTCTATTTTTCGAAGGCAAGTCTAGTTTGTTATTGCTTCGTGAACTTGTCTTTTTTCCAATTTAAGCTGAACATTTGGTGCTATTGAACGACTTGTAAATGTAACCCTATTAGCACTTGTGGCAAAAAACATATAACCTTTGATCATTCACAAAAACTCACTCCCAAGCAGTGGCGGCACATTTCAACGCTGCGTGCCAAAAATGCTGACAGAGAGTGGTTTTTCATTATGATTACAAATCTTTTCATATCACAAGGATGTCTTTTTTTCTAGAACAAAATGTTGCAAAAACAGGCAAAAATTAAAGCGAAGGCTTTTGGTTTTGAGGAGCCGTGCATAATTTGCCACGAGGATATGTTCTCGATCCAATCAACGAGGCTGCAGTGCAAGCATGTCTTTCATACCGAGGTTTGTGTTTTTATGTTTTTGCCAGACATAGTACGGGCGATTCGTAACTGGGTTGAGACTGGTTCTTAATTTCTGAATTGGAAGATGTTAGCATTTCGAAATTGAGCAACTACCCCCATCGAATGCACGAAGCCAAATTTATTATGGGTCAAAGCAAACTGTGATTTATTTGATATTTGGATACCTATTCCTCCCTCGCCACCAAACTCCAGCAGGGAAACTTGCTCGACCCTTATTTTGCTACAAAAAATGCCAGATCTACAAACTATGCAAAGTGTTAAGCCGTTTGCCTGTGATATAAATCGTTTGTGAAATTTTTCCCCAGAGGGACACACTAATTTGGAACCTGGTTTGGAGATGACCGCAGGCCCTAATTGAGTTTTCCTGTACATTTGATTTCATCGTAATTAAGTCAACCAGGAGTTTAAAGAAATCCAAGATCGTGACAGGTCTTAGATTTATCACGTTTCATGCCTTTGGGTGTGAAAAAATCTCTTCTTCGTCTGTCCAGGTTTTCCTATCGACAATTCTGAAGTTTTCTTTATTTGTTTTGGCTCTTGAATAAATTCAGTTAGCTCTGCCCCTAAGGTGGCTTTGTGTACTGTAATTCTTATCAATCACGCTGCCTTTGATGTAATCCCAAAACAAAAGTTCTAGACCAACCATTTTCATATTTTCGAAGTTAATGTAAGAGCCGCAACTCACCATTGGTATATATAATCCAGAGTGCAAAGCTGTAACGATATAATGTTTTGTCTCTATAATTTGATATTTTACCAAAAGCCTCTTTTTGTAACTTTTGTTTTAAGCACGGCCCTGTCTTTTTGAGATGTCGTCGTAGTGAGCCTCTTTTTTTCTCCTTTTGAAAAGTTGGCAGACGGTTCCAGTCCGGATTTTTGCAGGCTCCATTAATATCTTCAAATTAGAGGAATTTTCTTACTGATTGTAGCAAGAAAAATCTTTCGACTAGATTGCCGAATGTAACCATGGCTCCAATCGTCTATTGTAGTTGCCAGCAACTTGGCTGCATTTGCTTCAGGATATTTCCTGCTAATCCTGGTAATCACTTTGAGTAACGATAATCCTAACTTCACAGCTATGTAATCTGAATACTTAGATTACCTGAATCTTACGCAATTAGCGCCCATTAAAGTTTTGATTATACGAGCAGAGAACAAGAGATAAATTGTAACAGAGTAAGATTCATGTAAAAGCACTCCAGATCAATGCTTTGCATGATGTAATTTCCCGGTTTGTATAAAATTAAGCAGACCACGAGTGGATTTCTTTAGACCTGTAAATGATAAGATTTTAATTAATGTAAAAGGTAATGTATTTGATGGTTGCTGGAAATCGTTAAAGTAGATCTTGTCAATTTCCTGGTTTTATTGAATTTCCACAGAAATCTCATCATTTAATCTTAAGGATAAGGCCTAATTTGGTTTCGTTTGAGCTCTGTGTCTTAGCATGGTGGTGATGTTATCATAAGACCAGCAGATTCTCAAAGATATGCTAAGATGTTAAGGTAGAGTTTGTGGACTGTCTACCAAAATTTGATCTTGCAGGGAAGGAGCTTTAAAAATTATTACTTCAACCTGGCGTAGGTTTTCTGTTTTGCTGCAGCAGTTTCTTGTTTGTAGCTGAATGGTTTCCGAATATCGTCACTGTAAAATTAAAGGCAATGGAGGCAACAGCAGAAAATCCTAGACAGTTCCTATTCCAAACATTATTATCCGCATCAACATAGTGCAAAAATGTTTTTTATGCGCGCGCATGTTGACGTGATTTGCCTGCCCGCGAAAATTGTGTCGTTCTGTCCCGGATGCAAATGATATAAAAATATATGAGAAAACAAACTTGGAATTTTAAACTTACCTCTGCTTTATTTTTATGGAGTCAAATAGATAAATTATCTACTTAAGATACATTTATATCATTAAAGCGGCTGCAAACATTTTTACTCTATGTTATCCGCATCTAGTCTCCAACCTGTTAAAATGCGTAACATGTCATTCTAAATCCTTGAAATCCCCTTCTATTTAGACCTTCACCAATGCCAATGACAATTTGTGCTCCGGCATCCCCCAGCTCTCTTAATTCCCCCAGAATACTCTGATATCCTAACAGGGATCTTCTCCAGGATAATAGCCTTCTTAAAAGTGCTAAAGCAAAAATAATAGATATTACAGAAAAGCAATTATGAAATATTACTTGTTGAATAATAAAAGGGGAGATATCTTTGCCAAGACTTGGATTCAGTTGATGTATTTGGGAATAAAAGAAATGGTCTAAGAGTGATGAAGCGGCCCCTGTATGACGAATATTTTGTTTGGTGTTCCGTATTAAATTCAGGCACCATTTAATAAATTTAGAACTATAAAATGCTAGAAAACTATAATGCGGGTTGTGATGTTTAATAAAATCTGTCGATTTTCGGCAATTTTTATAGAGACTCTATCGCAAATGTATTGTACAACGCCAGGCAAATTCGTCAGTCTTTTGGTAATTGTCAGGAATAAAAAGTGCGTGTGCTTAGCTATAGCCGTATATTGCTGTTGTTAAAAAAATATTGTTTTTCCTTAGGATTTTCAGATTCCTAGACTGACACTAGCATAATTTATGCTTGTTTTGTGTCGATGTTTTTGCGTGGCTTATTTGTAGAATGAGCCTGTTATCCAATATAATATTGCGGTCTCGAGATAAAAGAAGATTTTCTTGTAACCTAGCCCGGCCTAGCCCACGAGATCTATTACTTTATATTATTGTTTTATGTATTCGTTATTATTTGTAATTCCTGAACACAACATATAAGGAATTTGATTTCAGCCGAAAGCGATGAAGCTCCACCCCAAGGTAAAGCTTTTGAAACCAGATTGACGGTGCCTACCCGAATAGATGACCCCGAGACTTAAGCCTCTGACCCCGACATAGTATGGCAAAGTTTCACCAATGTGTAAAGCAGTTTAGTCTACACGAAGTTTTATGTAAGGAATTTCGGCTAATGCTTTGAGTGCTCAAAATTCCTTAGCAATTCATCTACTTTTTTTCTTCTTTTCTAAAATAAAAATAGGAAGTAAAATATAGGGTCATGAAGATGTCAGACAAAAAGCGAATATGTATGACTGAAGACAATTCATTACAATTATTGTTTGCACTGTTCATACATAGGAAAAGCCAACTCAACGAAAGTTATCGAAATATGATTTTTATCGAAATATTAAGATAAAAAGAAGTTAGAGTTCCATTATGTAGTGTCTGGTATTCAAAAAGTGTGATCTCAACGTCAGTTTTGCCAGTAGATTTGTAGGCGTCAGAATCGTCATCGGACTCAATCTTAAGCTTTGGAAGCTTAAAATGAACCCAAACCCAAAAGCTTATACCAGTGAATCGTACAAACGCGTGCGTTCAAAATTTTTATTTTTTCACAGTCTGGCATTTATTTTTAGAACTTTTTCAGTTTTTGACCTTCCGCATAAAGCACTCCCTCTCTAAGGGTTTAACCAAAGATTATTAAGTGGATCACCCTGCTACGATATGATCTTTGTTCTCCCCACCTAGGGTAGAGCTTAAATGCTACAGAACTGGGAAATGAACAGTTAACATTGTGAAAAGGGGATTGCCTACTTGTCGGAGTAATTATCATATGTACAGAATTTTGAAAAACAGAGAGACACGTTATGTCTTGAATATCTCGGTTATGTCCTGGTTAAAGGGGTGCCTCGGTAAATAGGCGATATGAGGAGGTTCCCGAAGGATTTGTATTTAAAAGAAATGGTATTACTGATCCTAATATATAATATAAAAGACAAAGGTAACCTGAAAGTGCTTGTTTTTCCCTTATGTTTGCAAGGGATTTAAGTAATAAACCTTTGTGTTTTCAAGTCCACCAGTCCTCTCCCAGGTTCTTTCAAGTTGCCTTTGATGCCCAGATTTCCAAGACCCGTCATCACCATGTGTATGCTTCGTACATCTTTATTTAAATATCAAGTTTCAAAGACCTGATCTAGCTCTTTCCATTGCAGTGCATCAAACGATGGCTTAAAGAGCAGCGAACGTGCCCCACTTGTAGAGACCACGCCCTGCTTCCTTCGGAGTACCCTTCGCTTCGGTAAAAACACTCCTATAGACTGCTATATTTTACACGTAATTGTGAATACCTTCGCTGTTTTTATTCTTATGAATAAATAGTTTTCAGATTTCGTCCTTATTTTGTTTGATGCTTCAGAGTACTGTTGTTTGATGCTTCAGAGTACATAAAACACTAAAACAAATGCCCGATATTGTGTTAGCTCTTCCCAGGAACAAAAAAAATTTAGTATGTTGAATAAAATGTTTTTATCCTTAAATCATAAGTGTGGGTTTTCTACCATCTTCAAAGTTGACAAAGTAGAATTTGTATATTCTAATAGCCTCGGTTGGCTGAAGCATCAAAATATGAAGCTCATAAAAGCTTCATATTTTGATGCTAAAGCTGCTAAAGCTTTTATGAGCTTTAGCAGTTCATAAAAGTTTTTTTCGTATGTCTCATTAATCGATCGTTATCAATTTGCACCATATGCCCTATTAAAGTTTACTAACTACAGATGATTCTCACAAGAAGGATCCAACTACCTGTCCTATAAGTAGGGCATTCCAGTGGCCCAGTGTCTGGTACCATAGTTTATTTTCTGCTGTTTTTCACTATGAACTATTGATTGCTGTTGGCGTGCATCTGCCCCCGAAGCCTTAGCGTAGATATTTCACTTATTTATGAAAACATATTCTGCTTTGATTCGTTCTCCCTGTAATGTAGTCGATTGTTGAAATGATGGAGAAATGCTAGGCCCTTTTTATCACCATAGCTCACACAATATCCCAATCCTTAATTGTATATATATATATATATATAGGACTTAAAACTAATCTGGACTTCAAATGTAGTCTAAGATCACTTTGCTGAATTGACATCCCTCCTCTCAATTACCAGATTTTGATAGCATTTTGTGACAACATAACATTGACTTGCAAAAACCACAATTATTTACAAATCATTTTTAATATGAAGAATGCTGTTACTTGTAGCCATGCGTATATGAAGATCTTCACCTTTAAAATTTAGAAAACTAAAGAAAGCTGTAATTGTGTCGGAAAGATTTGTAAACTCAATTACATCATATAAAAAATGAACATTAACGCAATGATTTGTTTTGTTAAATATCTTCTTATAGCATTGTAATTATAGGTAAAAAAATGTGTATGCTTTTAGATATTGTCTTAATTGTGTTGTATTTGGTACATTTTATGAAATGTGGTAGATTCTTTTAAACGGGTTTGCAGATTACTGAGTGTTGGTGTGTATCAGGTCATGCAATGTGACCCCCATGCAAACAAAATCTGCAATCTTACTTGCTTTTTCACATTTCATGTGACACTGAACATTAACAATGCCGTTTTCTGGCTTTCCCAAAGGGTGTAGACCCCCCACTTTCCCCTTTCTCGACTTTCCTTTGCCCCCCTTCTTACCACACTGTCTACTCTCCGCTACTGAGTATATGTGTGATTATAAATTAATCCTTTCTAAAACCTGAAGAAGGAGTAGCAGGGCGATTTTATTTTATTTGAAGAAAATTTATAGCTTTTAGTTTTGTACTGAACCTTATAGACTTAAAGTTGCTTTTAACTTTGCTGTTAGCTTCAGCCTCAAACATAACGACAGTCCTGGGATGAATAATGTTTTTAGTCCCTTGTGTTTTTTGAACAGAGAGGTTTGCAGTGATTTCCAAAGGTGAACGGGCAACTGTTTGTTTTCGTTTCATTATCCTAAGACTGAGGTCGACATGCGAAAGAAGATACAATCTACCATATCACATTTTTAATTTTCGTTGGTAACTCTGTTACAAATTTGCTTGATTTAATTGTAAATTTTCTAGATTTTTTTCATTTTATGACAACCCGCGTATTTGTGGTATGCTTTTTCTAACTTTGCTAATACTCTTGTATGCATTTAAAAACAATCACTTCAAACCATTTCGGTAAATCCTACCATTTTCGTTAAACAAATGGATAAAAACGCCACAATTTCGCTGTCTTTAATACACTAAATGTATAGGAATAATTCAAGAAATGCATTTTAAGAGTGTGTACCAGATACCTAAATACCGTTAAATATGTGCTCCTAAACCATTGCATATGTTCCATGTTTTAATTTGGTGTAGTCTTATTAAAACACATGAAAATAAAAACCTTCCAGATGGTGAAAACCTTTCATACCAGTAGCATTGAGAATGGAGGGAAAGGATAGCCTACTCAAGGGAAAATTAGCTGCGGGTGCAAACCTTTGTTTATATAAAAAGGGGACATTAGCCTATTGTTTAGGATATAAAGAGGAGGACAATAGCGAAAGCCAGTTGGGCTGCAGGGAAAATTGCCTCCATAGTTTGTAGGTTGGAAAAGGCTCTGAAGAATTATTCATCTAAGGCCTTGTGAAGAGTTTCACCCTGTATTTCCTAGTTGTGAATTTTTTTATTTGTGATGGCATTTGATATTTGGTTATGCTTAAAAAGGCCAATCTTTTTCGTATTTCGGAATTTCCATAAATGACTGACCACGTTCTAACACGCGTGTGGGCGTTCTAACACAAGTTTTGTTTTGACAAACTACCTCTTTAAACAGTTTTGTTCCGAACAGTCCCCTCATTCTCCAAGAAATTTTTTTATTTTGTAAATTATAGAATGATTACCTGTCATGATACATAAAACACCAACCTTTGTAGGTGGCCAGGTACCATAATAGCAAAGTGAACAGGGCGGGGTTTAGGCGTGGTATTTTCAATTTCTTCTTATTGGCCCTCTTTATCTTCTTGATTGGCCCTCATCACGGATTTTTTACCGTAGACCGCCAAGCTGCTGTATCAGGCTGAGGACAAACCTAGTTCATGCCCCACGGCCCCCTTCGTCGGAGGCCCTGTAATCAGGGACGATGGCGACCGGGTACGGATTGATACCTAGTAAAAGAATCTGGCACAGGGACTATTAGACCGTTAAACGCTTTTTATAAGAATATAGTCTACAAGAATATCTAGGCTGAAACTTCTGCATAATTTTTTAGAATAATCCGAGGCTCAAGCTTCATCAAGAACAAAAGTTTTTGTTTTTTTTAAGTTTTTTGAATGCTAAAAACATTCGGGTTTCACACTGTCTCTTAAAATAGATGTATCCGGCCTTAGAGTCAATAACATTTTGTGTCACTGAAGTATAATTTAAGAACAATCTTAGGGTCAAAATAAAAAAAATTGAGAATATTGAAGCTCAGCAAAAAATTAGGTATTCTTTAAAAATGTGTGCATTGGCATAGGAAACCTACTGTTGGACAGCTTTGAAATCCAACAACATTCAAGAAATCTGTTTTTAAAACCGTTTCTGCTGTAATGATTTTTACATATCTCAACTTTCGTCTTCTTTACGTGGTTTTTCGATGTCAACATATGACTTGGCAGATATTTCGCTTATGACGTGAAGGATTAGACAAGCTTAAATACTGATTGCTTGGTTTTGATTCCGATGCCCAGACAATTCCTTTCTCGTCAGTAGTACTTCCCGCCACACTTTGTTGCCAGGTCAGACCGTCACAACGATTTCATCTTTCTCCGTGGTTCCATTTTTACAAAACTGAGAAGATTCACATGAATAAAATATCCCCTTTGTGTCATCATTCAACAGGGTTTTACATACACCCAAGAAAACTCTTGGCGGATTACATTAGTTTTCTTTCCAAGGTAAATCTTCAATGTGACGTGATGTCACTAATCCGCAGAACTGTTCACGTCATAGCCTGGATTTTCAACTAGTCTCTTTTAAGGTCGTCGTGACATTTAACCAGATTTCGAATCATTCTGAAATAATCAGTTTCCAATCAATCTTTTTTTAGTCTGTGTAGCTACTTACCAACAAATTACTCCTTGCCAATCTTTATTTTAAGGAAACTTCATCACTGTACGATTCCTTAAAAAAAATCCAATATGAAACCGAGGCTATTTGAAAATGAGTGGACGAGAAGTGCATCTTTCTGGTTACCACATTTCTTTTTCTGCAAGCTTCGCTTTTCACTTATTGCGAATTATGCTGCTTTTGTCTGCTTTTAGATCGTTTTTTGTACTATGATGGTGGTGTTACATCACCAAACAATTCTTCAATTATCATTGCGTGGGCATGAAATAGTACTGGCTCACACAAAAATGAAAAGTCATGCAAAACAATAACCATATTGAAAGCACACACTATATAAGAGCAAGATATAATATAAAAATTGTTGTAAATACAAAACACCTGCCCAAGTTAGAGTAGAAAGTGCAATATCAATTCAGTCCTAATTTTTAATTCTGCAGATTTAATCCAGTCTGCAAATATGCACAGAAAACTTAACCGTTCAAACTTGGCAAGACGCTGTAGTGCTTGACCTTTCCTTTCTTTCCTGACAAAGCATACAGACCAAGTCATAGATGATGTTGCTAATATTTCATTTTTTAAAAAATATAATTGAAAAGATAAAAGTAAAATTCTTAGGGAGGCAAATGGGGCAAATTTCGTCAGGAGGAGGGTTGAAGTGCTTTCTGAACCTGCGAAAATAAATTTGCAAAGTAATACCCGAAAATGTGTGGGACAAGAAAATGGTCACCTATTTCAGAATATAGCTGAGTCTTTATTATGTTACTGTTAACATTACGGGCTTTTAAAAAATTACGTTACACCTTGGGGGTGGCTCAACAAATTTTTTATTATTCTCCGTGGCGATAAATAAGGGGGCGAGGTTAGTTTGTACTTGATTCAAATGTAATGCTATCGATGATGTCGACTATGATGATGAGGAGAAATGTTGTACTGTATGATATAGAACCAATGTGGACAAGCGACTGACAAAAATAAAATGTTTTCTGCTGTTGATTTTTTTCCCATCATATAGCCTCCGTAATACGGGGACCGATTTGAGATAAGCGATTAAAAGGTCGTCCAATGGCCAGAAAAGTTTCTCTTATAGAGGTGCATTTGTTTTGTTGTTGGTACTTACTGCAGTTAAAAAGATATAAAAAAGGATGAGATTTCTTAATTTTTTTCTCCTATCCCCTTTTATTTTCCTAAAGTTTTATTTCATTGGCAAGAACGGCTGTATTTGTGCTGAGAGTGACGTAGCCTGTGTCCCAGACCCCTAACTTGAAAGGTAGGGGTCTGGAGCACTGGCTAAGCGTGACGTAAAGCAGGGGGGTCTTGTGAAAAAACGAGACGGAGCCACTGATCATTGAACAGCCCTTTCTATTATTGAAGATTAATAAGGAAGATAATAATATTTTATTCAGTTTCTGATTCTATTGAATATGTTCTGTGCAAGCAAAGGTTGAAAATCCTCCGCAATCTCTTACATTCAACACGTAAGCTACGTATAGACAATTCTCTTTTGTATATAAATTGAATTTAGACTTAGATTTTTAGCCTCGATGATTTGCATATCAATCAGGTTTTGAATGTATTGGTTCATTTTTCAATTCAATATCATCCACTTGTGTTTAATTAGCCATTTAGCTATTGTCATCTCATATTTCTATTGTTAATCGCGTAAATCACCAACGTAAAATGAAGAATACAAACCCCCCTCCCAAACAAATTACCATATGCCCGTATGCCCGTGTCTTTCTTCTTGCGAATTGAACTCTTTCAATTTTCTTATTTCTTTTCAGCAGAATTTCTTTCATACAATTTAAGAGGAAAATTGACTATTTTCCTGATAATTGTTCAGGGACGGCCTTTCAAAGGGTCTCAGAGTGCCGTGAAAATTGCTTTTCAAAACATTCTTTGTAACGAAACAATTATTGCGATTGATCTTGTATTTTGAGAAAATAAAAAGGCCATGTCTATTGTGTGTGTCACAAGAAGAAAACAACAGAAATGGCTTGTCGCTTTTATTAAGCCCAAGGGAAGTCAAATAGGATAATTTGCTGGGAATTCCGCAAGAATACCGCCAAAATTCTGAGGCGCTGCGGCAGATGTTCACCATTGATAAAATACAGGATTTTCGAGAATTTTCACAAAGCCTCAAAAGTTTACACGGCGGTTAAAATAGAATGTGGGTTTAGGGATGCCACCGATTGATGGCCTGCAGTTTTTCTTGCACAAAATAGTGGCACCCGGAAGCCAACTGGATACCATCCTCGACCTACCATATCAAGTAAACAGCTTGATATGTTGTTTTTACTTCTGGAAGGGATCGAATCGAAGGTCTACATACCTTTTCCGTTTTGCTAACTCTACGTACATGATAATTGCAGTGCGGCTACAAATTATTAGGAAATTGATATTCCAAATAATTATGTATTTTGTTCAGGAGTGGCTTCCGGAAATTTTCCTGCCGAAATATTCTAATTATTCCTCTTTTTTAAGTGACTGTCTTGCAGGCAGGTTTTTAAAAAACAGTGTTTTGTAGGCTTTCTTGAGGTTGCACGTTGTATGCTGGTCTATGACAAGCTCTGACATTCTTCTTACTTGCAAACAAATTTAACGACGCCTATGCTAAAGAAGTTTCCCCCGACATTGTCTTTGTCATTTCTCGTTACCTAGTTTTATTTTTTCCCAAGTTTAAAAAAACTTTTCTTCCAAAGTCAACTGAGATAACTGCGTCGTATCGTAGGCGTAAGTATCTTTAGAATTCGATATTTTGTTTACTGGCGTGCTAAGGGTTGCGGCTTCAAACGTTGGGCAAAAGCCGCAAATTGAAAGGCAGAATGCATTGCGGTCGCAATTGAAGAATAGAAATTTTAACCAATCAGATTCGAGTATTCTTAATCCGTTGTGTGTGATTTTGGCCGACGGTTGTTTCAAGGCGAAACCTTTGCTTTGCAGTAAATTTGTTGTTCGTGGGAATCGATATTTACTGTCCTTGTCACAAAATTGTGACTCATATTGATTGGTTAATACATTCTAAATATCAACCCGGACTGTCGAAATCGGCAAAGAAGAAATCAGAGTGGTTTTCGAGGCCAGAAGAATGATTTTATTAGCGTGATTGTTCATTGATTCGCCGCCCGCAAATTACCCTGCTTCAGGACTGTCTGGAATTCAAGAACAAGGCAAACGGATCAAAAATGGCTGATGATTTAGATGATGGTGTTATTGAAGTACAAGTTATCCCACAAGATGATAATTGGGGAGAAACTGCGACAACAATTACTGAGACGGCTACTTCGTACTGCCCGAGTTTTGATGGTGACTACGAAACTTTTGACGAGAAGCCCAAGACTCCATTTGCAATCGGTTTGAATTTCAAGCAGGTTATATCAATCATAATTTCGTGTTTACTTGGCTTACTTGCCGTTTGCTCTCCTGTTGCTTTTGTTTTACTCCCGATCTTGACATGGGGCACTCTTTCTTGTGGAAGTATTTGTGACGGAAAGTTCATTAGTCTGGGCGTAAAGATAATTATATTGTTGGCCGGGATTTGGGCATTGTACTTTCGGCCAAGAAAAGCGATGATGCCAAGAATTGACATTTTCAAAATGAGTTTAATGGTATTGTGTTTTACCGTTATGATTTGTTTCTGGCTTTTCTATGCGTTTAGAATTATCGAAAGGAAAGAGAAGGCCTTGTTAACAATTCTCGAGTATGCATTATCGTACACAGATTCGATGCTTTTCCTCCATTATTTATCCCTTGTTGTTTTGTGGATAAAGCACAGAGAAAAGGCCTTTACCATAAAAGTTATACGAAGCGCAGATGGGACAAGCAAATACTACAACATTGGGCAGCTCAGCCTACAGAAAGCTGCTGTCTTTGTTTTGGAAAAGTATTATCGTGATTTTGCAGAGTATAACCCGTACCTCGAAAAGCTGCCTTCCCGTTCAAAGGCAAAACAATTTCAAGGTCTCAAATTTTACGATGTAGATGGCCGGGGGAATAATGATTCGGCGAATATCGCTTCACAAACAAGGGCTGTCCTTGCTGCTAGTGCAAGGCGTCGTGAGGGGAGAAACGACAGGTTTTACGAAGAAGCTGAGTTTGAAAGAAGAGTGAGGAAACGGAAAGCACGCTTGATTGTTGCTACAGAAGAGGCTTTTGGGCATGTTGCCAGAATAACTCAGGAGAAATACAACGATGGGAATGTCATGGACCCGGATGATGCAGCCCAGGCAATTTTCCCGTCGCTGGCAAGGCCGTTGCAAAAGTACCTGAGAACCACTCGTCAACAACCCCGATTTACCATGGAATCGATTATAAAGCACCTTGCTCATTGTATAAGATGCGATTTGTCGCCAAAGTCGTTTTTGGAAAGGTACACAGCAAGCCAGCCTTGCATAGCTTTCATGGGACCAGACCGCAAGCAAGAATGGAATCTCGTATCTGTTGAGTCCCCACATAGATCTTTACGTGAAGGGACAGTTTTCCAGTTGAAGAAAGATGATATCTCCTTGGTAGTGACTGTCAGACAAATACCTCTTTTTAAACTCGAAGAAGAACCGTTTGATGTTGAGAACAATCGATTTGTCTTACGTCTTAATTCGGAAACCTCAGTCTAACATCATTCTTTTGTATGTGCCAGGCAGAAATGATGCCTCTGTCGTCAACTACTTGACAAGTTCTGACCAACTTTGTTACTGATGACAGTGCAGTTTGACCCAAGGCTCTGTCATATGGTAAAAACATTCCAGGTCTAGAGATAATTGACAGTCCAAGGATACAAGTGAATTGACGTAACGATGTTGTACGATGGTACCGCGGTATCTTGGCTTACTGTATACTTGCAATGTTACAGTACTTCAAGGCATGTAAAGGTGTAAAATCAAGTTGAATATGTAAGGAATTTTGATAACATGAACCAACCTTTCGTAATTCATGGACATGGAAACAATGTGACAATGACTGTGGATCAATATGAATGCCACAAACTCAACAATATTTAGTTTTAACTGCTCTGTACGTTAGTATATAATGCAAGACAAAACTCTGTTTTGCAGATATGCTATCAGTATCTTTTATGATGTGTCAATTCTAGAGGCTTTTCAGAAACCCTAGGTTGTGTGCTTTGAATAGTTTTGCTCTTGTTAATAATTGCTTAGAACTTTTTGTCAGAAGCCAGTTGACAACGTGTAGATATTCCCTGAAAACCCCTGAACATGACTATTCCTATCTTCAAAAATATTCTACCTTTATTATCCCAACCCCATTTCAATGCTGTAGCAACTGATTAAGATGTTTATAAATATTAGATAGACTTTTTCTTCTGTTTATAAAGGTGAAGAAGTTAAGGTGACATATCTTTTTGAGTGTCAACCAATCAAATTTGTGAAGAAGCTTTGCCAGTGACCTCAATTCATTTGGGGTCCTGATGTCTATATGCTTGTATTGTGTTTAATTCTTAAAATTTCAGTATTTCACATGTAAACTTTACAATTAGGAGATTTTTACTCTCAACAACAAAAACCCCCCACTTCCCTTGCATGATACAGAATAATGTGGATAACTGTAAGTGTTTAATGTGTAAAGTAGTTCTTAGTACTCTGATGTAGAGGGTTGCACATAATTTTGTGCTTTAGTGGTCTTCTCCCCCATTGTTATTAAACCCCAAATTACTTGGAAAACCAGATACACCCTGCTATTAAGGAAGGGGAGATGATAGGGTAAAAGTTTTTTTTAGGAAATCTCAGTTGCTCTATAATTGGGTGATAACTGGATTTTACATAAGTAGTATTTTATCTGAATATGCTGTTGTATTTGTTCTTATGTTTCAAATTCTTGCCCAATATGGTCCTTCCTGTTTGAAAATTCCTCCCCTAGGAAAGGAAATTAAAATGAAAAACCTGGTGATGTCAAGCATCCTTTTTGTATTGTTAATAATTAATTTTAATTTTCTTAATCCACTTATTCTTGGAAAACAGCAGAACTCTCATAGTCTTTTTCTGATGTAAGTTGTGGATTTAACTCTGTTGATAAAAAATCTGTCAGCTAATTTGTTCATTTTCATTGTTTCAGTGGTTTTTCAAACCTTCCAAAAAGCAAAGCAATTCTTGTAAATTTTATAAATTCCTGATTGAACAAAGTTAATTGCTTATATCTCTTATCTAAAGTTTTATCAGGAGGCAATTTTGCGCTCTAAAAGGTCATTTGTTCCAAATTCAAATTGATATTATATATTTTATGATGCATGATATAATTTACGTCATCAACCAGCGAGGATTATTAAAAAATTCAAGAGGTGGGGTTTTCTGGTCAAAAGGGTTTTGTGGATGGGTAAAGACTCTGAAGCTAGGATTTTGACTCCTGTGGTGGTGTAAGCCTTTGGGGGAATGGTGATGTCTCTAGAATGTGTTCCCAGTTACGAAGAAAACGTATTGTTTTGAGAAGGGAGGCAGCTTTCAAACCGAGATGAAGCCCATCATAATGTTGATTCCGGCAACCTATCCGTAGTCAGTAGCTGAGAAGTGAAATCCTGGTACAGTGTTCTATATTTTATGAAATACCAAAAGATATGATTTACAATTTACTTAGGATTTTGAATCTTCTGTTCACGATTTGCGAAAACAAAAAAGAATAGGTGATAAAAATTTGATCGAAAACCTCAAAAGATTAAAAATTGATGCGGCCACCAACACAACTATCAACCACATAGGGTAACAAAACCGCGATATCAAAGCCTTCGATTGCGCTAGGAAATTGGCAATTAGTTTGGGTACTTACTGAAATGTAAATAAAGCAAATCATGTTGACATGAAGTGACTAGCAAATTCGTTTCGATAATAGTGGTAGAGTACTGAGACAATAATCTCTTTTCTTTCAAAGTTCTTCCACTGTTATAGCTGATCTAGATAGATACGTAAGCTTATCGAAAAGGTATTTCTTGCTTTAACACCACGGGAAGAACGACATGGCTCTCCGGCTCTTCGTGCTTACTTTATCATGGTGCACAAGGGTACAACGGTATCAAAGGTAATTGGTACTGTTTATCGTAAAGTCGTCTGTTGTTGGCTTTAAAAACGTTCTTCTTTATTTGAATGATTCTAGACCATTTTGCATTGATCCTATCTGAAGCAATATACGTTCACATTTCAAATCTCAAGTATTGATACGCGACATGTAGTTTTAACCAAAAACAACGTTCCATATTAGCGATTGAATGTTTGTGCCGTCGTGCATGATGATTTACTTGAATGGCCAACAGATACTGCAAAGTCCAAAGAAATGCCCCCGCCGGGCAAAACTCTGAAACGTTCCTCAGAAACACACTGTAACAAGGCGATGTTTGGGTATATCATTTTTATTTCTTTTGCTACATTGTTCCTCACATTCTTTATACGAGCGACTGTAATGTTTTCTTTGCTCAGAGAAGCAGGCCCCCAGTATTTCTCTGATGTCGGAGTTCGTCCTTTATCAAGTCGACAGTAACAGTGCATTATATTAGTGAATTTTTGTTCGTTTTGCCCCTATCTAAACAATTTCCATCAGCCCTGTGATGTCCACAAAGCGTGTTTCTTTCAACAGGTTTTTGTCTATGAAAGGTTGATACTTTTACCGTAAGGGTAGCTCGATAAAAAATTTGGACCACTCACATTTCCAGAGTCTACTCATACAAAATATTTATTTTTCCCGGTTGACATATGCTTTATTGTGGGGCAGCAAATCGCTACTTTTGCAGAAAAGCTTGCAACAGCTTCAATAGCAGACATTTTTTAGTATAAATGTAGAAAGTGTAAAAATTGAGCTCGTAGCTTTGTAAAATTGATTTTCATGGAAATTCTCTGTTTATCTCTGCGAACGACCGCAAAGTCTACGAGGGATAAAAGCTTGCTTGGTGTGTGCTTTGTTCAGCAGAACCTACTGCGCATGCGCAAGATTATATCTAAGATTTCTACTGTTTCACCGAACTCTTCTTTGTGTGTACTTGGATGAGCGACGAGTTTAAATTTGAATGTGGAGAAAATAATAAAGAGTTCAAGTCATGCCCGTGTGAAGACGGAAAAAGTTCAACCATAAATACCAAGAGGAACATACTAGTAGATCTGAATGTGAAAATAAAAATCTCAAAATGTGCACACGAGATTGAAAAATATCGGAGAGGAATTTCTAGTATGAAGCATGCTATAACCTATTCTATCACATCCTTCATTTTTTTCAAATAAAGAAGGGTACAACATTTTAATGTTTTCGTGGGAAACACTCAATCCTAAAAAATGACCAAATGTTTAGTCATTAATATTCAGTTTTGATGAAATGCTTAAAATGTAATAAAGAAGCGAAAACCGCTTTTGTAAACAGAAGGAGGTTCGTTTTCACCATTGAATGCTGACTTGACAATCTTTACAGTCGTGCACTCGCGTTTCTGAGTGGCCTATTTTGATCCAAAACTAAGCATAACTATTTTGTAACGGCTTGCCCCCTTTACTTTGAAGAAAGAAATAAACTGTTGGTGAAAATTGAAGAGAGGTATCCCTATATAAAAAATCTTAGTCATGAAAACAAGTTTATTTGGATGATGAGTCAAAAAGATAATGATTTGATTCGAATTCTTGTGAAAACAGTAATGCGAGCATTCCAAAAGCGTGACCTTTTGAAAACTTTTGCTTATCATTTTGCTGTTGTATATCTAAAATGTTATAATTTTTGTAGCTACTTGTAGTAATATTTAGGATGTAGCAATTTTGAATAACCATTTAGGTTTGCGACGTTTTGTATTGTTGTAGTAGATTAAGGGCCATTTCGGCCTATACATCTATTATTATATGTATATACATATGTGAGTTTTCGAGTTCTGATGTTTTATGCTCCGACGAGTTTAATATGTTAGAATATTTGAGATCTTACAAGCCAATTCGAAAATCCGTTTTTGTGAAAACACTTAAGATGTGAAAACACGTCTGAATCACTGGTCTAAACCCTGGGTTAATGACCCTTATTCATTCTTTTTGAGCGAATTAATTGCATTTGTGGACGTTGTTTCCAAATAATAGGTGGTCAATAAAGGACAGCAGGGCCCCTTGCAAAGGAGCTCAAGAATCTAGAGTTTTTCAATGTCATTTGTTGTTTTTGGGCCCTTGCTGTTTTTAATCGTATAAGTCCAATAAGAACCGTAGCATCATAGCTGGGATTTGCTAGAAGGGGGCGGTAATAATCTGATTAGGCCATTAGAAGTGGCTTTGGACTCGGGTACATATAATTTTGATAGAAAAGGGTTACAAAATCCTAAATAAAGCCATTTTAAAAGAAAGGGAGTTTTTAAACGGAGATTAACCAGTACCTATGAAATAAACTTTTTCTGCTGCTCCACACTTTGAAAATGTGTCAACACAGGTACACCACACTGAGAAGATTTTCATTAGAGCGTAGGAGAGAATTCGCTAACCCATTCGCTAGAGTCCAAAGCTCCCCGCTTATACGTAATCTTGGCTGAGAATCCGATTTGAAGAGCTCAACCAAAACCAGCCCAGGTAAGCCTTTCCTCTGCTGCTAAAACCCGAAAATCTTTTCTGATTCACAATGCCACTGCAGGTGCCTGCAGGTATGGCCGATTCATTCAAGAAAGCTTGACCTCAATGCCGCTCATACCCCGACATTTTTGAGGACGCTTTTAATTGCTGAAAAGTAAGAAAGGCAAGAAAGCAAATAAAAATTGCAATATTTTTTACGACTATGAAGTTAAGTATTTTAATTACGTTACGGGTAAGTGGAACAGCTGTGAAGAAGTGATATGAATATAACATCCAACTGCGAAAGGATGTTCATGGGGGAAATAACAGCGGACTGAGACATGAGTCCTGTGGGACACCACAGAAAATCTCAGTTGTCTGTGATCAGCTAACCACTATGTCTTCCAATGGTTTTCCGTTTTTAGGTAAATATTCAAAGTTATCCTTATGAAACAGCTTTAATAGTTTTAAAGTTTTGAGAAATATGGCATAATTAGGCGCTTCGAAATCAGTTTTAAGTTCGCCAAAACATACACCTCTTAAACTCTACACGGAAGACGTTTCAGTCAGCGGTTAATAAAACCAATTGATTAAAGCGTGCGTATCGGCTATTAAACGTAGAACCTATGAAGCAATGCGCTCCTATAAAGCAACTATACTTGTCAAAAAAGAAAAATGTTGTAAATTGAAGCTGGTTTATTATTTGAAATAGAAGGTGAAGTACTTCATAGGATATCAAATATCATAGCATGTTTTGTTTCGTTTTTGTCGAGACCTACTGTAACTATATATTTTCTTGGAGATTTAGGCAGATTGCCTCCGTGTAAACCAGCATTTCTGAATAGGCTACCATGTTTAAACAAATGATGATATGATCTCACTCTTCGTCGCAGAGGCTGTTGCAAGCAACCAACCTTTTTGTAAGGGATAGACGCGATCTAATCTCACTCTTCGTCGCAGAGGCTGTTGCAAGCAACCAACCTTTTTGTCAGGGGTAGACGCGATCTGATCTCACTCTCCGTCGCAGAGGCTGTTGCAAGCAACCAACCTTTTTGTCAGGGATAGACGCGATCTGATCTCACTCTCCGTCGCAGAGGCTGTTGCAAGCAACCAACCTTTTTGTCAGGGGTAGACGCGATCTGATCTCACTCTCCGTCGCAGAGGCTGTTGCAAGCAACCAACCTTTTTGTAAGGGATAGACGCGATCTAATCTCACTCTTCGTCGCAGAGGCTGTTGCAAGCAACCAACCTTTCTGTCGGGGATAGACGTGATCTGATCTCACTCTTCGTCGCAGAGGCTGTTGCAAGCAACCAACCTTTTTGTCAGGGGTAGACGCGATCTGATCTCACTCTCCGCGTCGCAGAGGCTGTTGCAAGCAACCAACCTTTCTGTCGGGGATAGACGTGATCTGATCTCACTCTTCGTCGCAGAGGCTGTTGCAAGCAACCAACCTTTTTGTCAGGGGTAGACGCGATCTGATCTCACTCTCCGTCGCAGAGGCTGTTGCAAGCAACCAACCTTTTTGTCAGGGGTAGACGCGATCTGATCTCACTCTCCGTCGCAGAGGCTGTTGCAAGCAACCAACCTTTTTGTGAGGGGTAGACGCGATATGATCTCACTCTCCGTCGCAGAGGCTGTTGCAAGCAACCAACCTTTTTGTCAGGGGTAGACGCGATCTGATCTCACTCTCCGTCGCAGAGGCTGTTGCAAGCAACCAACCTTTTTGTCAGGGGTAGACGCGATATGATCTCCCTTGGGGTTTTTTATTGATGTTTAACGACACTGACTAGATATAATATTAGAATATAACGAAATTGTTTCTAAAGTTGTGCGATGGTCCCTTACCGGAGTTCATAAATTTAAGCAAGAATGGATTTCAATGCAGTTTTGGATTGGTGTCAAACCTAAGTGTTTAAGCAACGCATTTACTCTAAACATTGAAAAATTTTAAACCTCTAAAAAGGATAATGAATATCTGAATAATTTGTTATTCTAACATGAGCAAATCTTGTATGGAATAATCTATTGGCTTGTGTACTCAAGCAGCTTCCGACAGAATAAACTTCCTGAAATTTTGTCAATATTTTCTTTGTTAATCCAAATCTTACATATTCCTGCTTAAATCTTTAACAAATCTGTTTTATCGGAAATCCGTTATAGTCCGTGACACTGCCTTGTGCATGAGGGAAAATCATAATGGCGGCAAATTTCGAATGACGATTCAAGCTTCTTATAAATTTTATCATAGTTTTATTCAGAAAAAATTGTAAAACCTCCATTTCAGTCATGAAAAAGTAAAGAAATCTTATTGCAAATCAAAGGTAACCAAATATATTCACTTGGAATGGGAAAATAACTGTCGTTTAGGATTTGATGGGAGGTCTGATAACAAGAAAGTACATTCAGGTAGGCCGTGTTAAGAACTTTTTCTTTGTTTTTGTATTATTGTATTTATATTTGTTTCTACCTAACACCCGAAGGTAGTTTTTAGGACACTGAGAAGGGGTGAGAAACCCACCTGCGAAGCTAAACTGCTATTTTGTCTAAAAAGCTTCTGATATTTCCGTAAATATTCCTATGTATTACATTTTGTGTGGAAAGTACTAAAGCGCGATATAACGACTTCTTTCGTTGTTCTGAATCAGATTGGCAATCTCTTTCAATAAGATATGATACTTAAAGATGTTCTCTACGCCACTGTTCTCCAGCATTTCCACTTTGAGCAATCTGTTGTGGACAATATTAAAGACTGACTGTTACTAACAATTGCAGAAAATACTCGGAACTTGTTGTTACTCATTTTACAGTCTGACACCCTAACTAGGCAGGCACCGCGCAGCCATTGGGCTAGCAGAGGCTATAGCCCACCCACTTTTTTGCAATAATATGCTAGAAAATTATTTTTAAGGTTTACTCTAACGCAACTTTGGATAGTTTACTCCTATGTAGTAGCAGTTCTTCTTGGCTGGAAACCATTTTTTTTCTTTTTCTAGGTGTTTCATCTTGTTTAATGATATGATGATTTTCTAACTTCGTTAGCTTGGTTTTTTTTACCCTCGAGCTAATTCTATCTATTTTTATAGTTATTGATAATTTCTCTGAGCCAGACTGTTTATAAAAATTAAATAGAAATAAGCAATTATTTTCTGAAAGGGGCGTTTTCCGGCCTCAAATTCTTTCGGTCACACCCATTTCAGCCCCTCCACTTTTAGAGTGGTGCGCGGTCCCAGTAACTAGGTTCAATTAAGGCTTCATTCATTCATGGGATAAAGTGGTAATGTGTGAAGGATTTGATGTTGTGTACCGTATAATTTACGCGCTTTGCCTCCCGATGAACAATTACAGCATACCGATTGTCAATTCCTTGCTAAGGCATAGCAAATACGCATTCTAATGTTGCATTATGGATGGGATTTAGGTATGAGCACATGCATCTCGTGGATACCACATGATGAAATTGAAGTGCCAGTTCTCCTTCTTTCTGTTGGTCATGCGGCTATATGCGTGCCACAAGATAATCCTGTTCTATGAAAAATTGATTGAAAAAACACAAATGATTTATATAGGGACATTATATTATTAGATTCTAAAGACATGAACGCTTAACGCAGAGCTCTTACATAGAGCATTAGGTAAGGTCTAAGGATGCATCGAACAGCATTGAAGACAAGTCGCGACATTATATAACAGCAGCAGGGACAGGACCTATGCCTGTTCACTGGGGTGTGGTGTTTTATTCCCCTCACATTCAGGGCTACAGTCTAGAAGGTGGGGGGAGGGGCAAGAGAAAATTTGAAACCCATTACAAAAATTTGAAACTCTATGAATGAATGAATGTTACATTGCTCTTTTTCTTTCACTCTAACCCAGTATCTCAAAATCATCATCTCAAAAGTTCGATTCTTTGCTTCAAATGTTGGAAATTATGGACATTAACCTTTCCGTTAGCACCTTGAATAATTTAACCTTCACGAATTTGGTTACTTTGTTTTTGAAAGTTGGACATTAATTCAGTCAGCACACGATTAAGGCCATAACTGTGGAATTCCAAACGATTTTATTCATAACCTCCAATTGAGAATTTTTTAACAGACTTTGTCTGAATTTTACTGTTATCAAAGAAAGAAAACTTTGCTACTGCACAAAACAATGTTTTTGAAAGTACATACCAACGTTGACTTGCAACGTGTTGACGTTTGCTGTGGTGTCTTGCCAGTATCAGTGTAAAGCTTTTTAGAAATACTCATGCACTTTAATTCATTTTCACACTTTAGGCCTTCTCTTCTTTTTATCTATAATTGCAACTACCATAGAGTCAAGCAACCACCAAGTTTTGTATGAATAGCAGGCGCACCTTTGGAGATATTTTGAATGCATGGCGTTAATGTACAGCATTCTCCCAAATGAGTGTTTGGGGAGCTCATTCATATTTTTGCCTCCAAAAGGGGGAGGGGGCACCCATTAGAGATGGGCGCTCATTGAGGTGAGGCGCTCATTGAAAATAGATAGAACTCCACCAATAAAAATTGAGCTTTGAAATTCAAACGATCACTGTTTTTACAAAAATATATATTCCTCTCGCATCACACATGTCAAAGGCAAAACAGTTACAACATGTCAATTTTCCTAGTCAGAACCCTCGTCGATTTGCATAAGTACTGGTGTAGCATCTTGAATCTCAAAATTTTCAATGCACAGTCGAATGGATTTTTATCTGGTTCTGTCAGTATTTGATGAAAACTTCCCCAAACGCAACAGCATAGGTTTTCTTAAGTATATTTAGCTGGTGACTGACTATTGGGGTTTTGCTGGTCTCCATCTGTTTTCATAATGTTTGGGGGTGGTTATTGAATTTTTGCTTAAAAAGATGAGGTGCAATAGAGAGATTGGAAAGAGGCGCTCATTGGAAAGAGGGTGCTCATTGGAAAGAGGGCGCTCATTAGAGAGAGTTGCTCCTCCGTTCATATCTTCTATTTCCTCGCTGGCGATGATTTATACCCGGGGTCTAAATCTCAAGTCTTTTGGCGTTGTTCACCGTAAAGAATATCCGAAGGCGATGGTTTAAGACCCAGGATGAAGATTTCTTGGTTTATCTTGAGTAGGTACAAATCTCAAATAGCTATTAAAGTTTGACAAAGAAAGAAAGAAGATTAGCAGAGGATTACAAAATACCTTTGAGTGGAGTGAAATACTTGTGATAACCACAATACTAATGACATTCTATTACCAGCTCCTTTTTAATTTCTTAAAGACTTGACAATTGACATGATCTTCAGAATATTAGATTCTTGAAACAAGATTCTTATTTTAGTATTCATCATTAACTATTCTAACATTTAAGGTAGCCTAACTCTGTAGAAATCACTTGTATTTTTTGCTAAAATGAGAGTGTCTCGAGTTTTTAGGAAACTATCATAATTTTAAGATGAGTACATAGACATTTGTCACGCACTTCCGTCAGGGAGTCAACGCGCACTTCATTTTCTCATTTCAAGAATCTAAACGAAAAGAAAGGACCAAAAGTTGGACCAAAAGGCCCATATAAGGAAATCTTTCCTCTACCCCTCTTTCAAAGGTTTTCTATAATCTTTCTATAAACTTTCCTCGATTAAATTTCATTGCGTTAAAGCGTTGTTGTAACGGGGTTGACTTGTAGTCCCTTAAGTTGCCTTACGTTGAAATGTGTTTTTTATTTTAAAATATGGTGTGGTCGCAAAAATATTATCATTTGTTCCTCTAGGTCCCCAGTCCTCCCCATTTTCGGGTGCTGGCGCCGCCTCAGATAGGACCCTCTTGTTATAAAAAATTTCTTTCTTTTCAAATCTTCTGCAGCCCATGGGAAAACTAAGGTCCATGGGCCTACCTAATCCATTTGTTAATTTGCTCATTTATTATGGGCTCCGACACAGTTTAGAAAGTGGGAGGAAGGGGGGGGGAGGGCAAGGAAAATTTTAAAACCCATAACAAAAGGTTTTGAAAGAAGCTCTATTGTTTTGCAGAAAGTTGGGGGTGGGGGTTACGGCCCTGTTTATAATTCACAGTCTTTGTTCGAAAATTACTTTTTGGCGGATGGGATGACTAATGTGGGATACGATAACAGGACCCACATACGAAAATTTCTACCTGATGACACACCTTTTTAAGGCAGAAACTGACTCAGAGAATGTCAAGTTCACTATGCCAGCTCATGGAAATGGAATCAAATAGAGAACCATATTTTTCTGGCTTTGAATGAATGAAGAAAAAACTAGGTCTTCAAAAACATGTCTCATAATTAACTCTTTTCGTACCTCACAGCGAGATGTTTATTATACTTTCTTAATAGACCATGGTTACAGCCTCTGAATATTTCTATGTTTGTTTACAATAAGATTTTCTGTGAATCATCATAGAAGCCCATTCTGCCTGTCCCGGGCCCCTGCCCTTTGGCCACAGGCCTCTTATCCGTCAGCAAGGTTTGTTTACATGGGAGGCTGAAACAACTGTTTGATGACGTGCCTGCAAAATGGCGGAGAACGGACACTCGGAAAAAGGAGGAGATGAAATTGAAGACATTGCTTGGTAAGAATAGTTGCAATTTTATATGAAATTCAAGTTAACTTGATTTTTTTTGCTAGGCTATTGAAAGTTGATGATTTCATGGAAGTTATGACGAAGTTTCTCCCCTTCTAGGCGGACTGACCTTCTCCTGTGTCTTTCAAAACAACCAGATGTTGAACGACTTAGAGAGCTTTGCAAAGGGAAAAAGATCCCGTCAAGAATGAGGCCAGAGCTATGGAAGGTAGGAAATAGTCCGAGTAACTTCAAATTTTCCACAATGGCTGAAAGCACCAACAGCCATTACTTTAAACTTTCTAGTTGTGTTGTTATGGTAGATGCCTGGGCGGGGGCAAAATACAATGCGGCACCCTTACTGAGTTGTTACGCAAAATAGATGCATAATGACTATTTAAACTGACTTTGATTTAGTGCTATCAATGTCAACAATCAAAACATCTTGCAGAGACTTTTGTGTACCTGTGTGTATTGTAAATAAAGTAGCGTACATATTACCTGCCCTCTGTTGTTGTTTTATTATAATTGTAAAAATAGCACTTGGAATTTTGTAAAGATAACAAAGCGTTGCTGTATCCTTTACATTCACGTAGAATGTGAATTGTAGATAATTTACAATGGGAGCTAAAATTAGCACTTAAACACCAGTTACACTTAAGTTAAAAAAATGATAGACTCATGAAAATAAGAATTATGGCATTCTATTCAGTTAGGTGCAGTCTTTTCTTCATGTAACCTCAGCCTAAGTATCCTCGAAATTGCTTACCATTTAGGAATACACTCACCATTTTTACATATAGCCATAAAACATAGGACATTCATGAATTCACTGCACTGGCCTAGTAAAGGAAAAGTCACATGACTTCGAAAATTTTTTCAGGGATAGCCTCAAAAATTCAAATTTCCTTTGCTATTTCCATAGCAAAGCAATTTCTATGCAAAGTTACTATACAAAGTATTGCGATGTAAATGAAGTTTGCTGAAACAACAAAGAACATTGAAATGTCATTGAATCAAGACTTTTATATGAGCTGTTTTTTTAACAGTAGAGCACCAGGAGAACTAAACACTGTAATTAATATTTGTTATCAATGGACATTTTTTAGGCTCTTTGAAAATTTATATTTCCTATGGTTTGTCTAGTCTGTGCTTTTGCTAATTTTTCAATTCTTGCTTTTTTATGACTTTAATTAAGTATAAAATTTCTTCAAAATTTTGATGGTGTCCAAATATTTTTTGAATACAAACACAAATACTTTGCAAGCTGGCAACAATTGTTGCAATCCCTTGACACTTTTGTTAGTTAGTTCTTCATTTTTTAAAGCTCCAAGCTGGCATTTTAAGTCCCAAACACTTTTAATAGTTTGTTTTTTCAAATTTATTGGCATACCTGACTGTCATAAATTTATTGGCATACCTACCTGACAGACATAAAAGACATCTTGTAAAAATTTTGCAGAAATGTATTGTTCATATTTAAAAAAAAGTCTTTCAAACTGCATTGTATGAAAAGTCTTCAAAACTTTGAAGGTATCCAAATAATTTTTTAATGTCATTGTATTTAAAAATAGTTAATACCCAGTCAGCTATGTGTTTTGAGTTAGGGGAGATAGATACTATTTAGTTTTTCAGATTCACAGTAAGGATCTAAGCAAAAATGTTGACTTCGATATCTATAAAACAGCTATGTTGGTATGAATTTCTCAATAGCCATATTTCCTTATTTTTAAAATGATAACTTGCTTGGTTTTCTCAGGTGGTTAATTTGTGTTTTTAATGTTGTTAAGGATACAAATAGCACAAGGATGCATTGATAGATACGTAGTAAGAATTTAAATTGTCTGTCAAATAATGTAAGCCAAATTAATCACTGTGTTCTTCCTAGCATTTGCTTCAAAAGCCAGCCTTGTTCAAAAAAGCTCAAAGTATCTTTTTGCTACTCCTTTTGATAAATTTGATTAAATCATTGGACTAACAGAAAGCTAGAACAGCACTGTATGCCTGAGAATTTGTTGTATAAATCTGATAATTGGTTTTAGTTTAATTTCTTGTGTAAATAGCCAGTTCAAGTATCCACCATGCAAATATATTATCAGGCTAGCAAATCCAGTCATTACTTAAAAAAATATTGTTTTTTTGTATGTATGCAGTACAACATTTTGCTGAAAACAGCTTCCATGGTCACCAATTTCTGATTGACCATGTGCCAAATGTTTATTAAAAACATGTTGACAGTTTGATTCTATTTAATATTGTTATTAAATAGTAAAGTGTTTTGTCACTTAGGCATTGCTGAATATCGCAGGCAAACCAGACGCAATCAGTACATGGGATGGTGTGCTTGATCTAAATGAGCAGGATGTTTTGTCAGAGGACTGCAGATTTCAAGCAGGTGACCCTTCTCCCTTAGCACTATGTTACAACTATATTTTGAGTACAACAACAAGTCAATGTTTACATGCTTAAGAAAGTAATTAACTTGAATATGCATCATTTCAAAGTTATGCAGTTACAAACTCATTACTTTCCTAAGCTTAAGTGTGTGTCAAACAGAATGATTAAAATTTTATGTGCATTTTGCAAACAAGCGCACATGAACAATAATATTTTAGATAAATCGAAAAAAGTTGCTTTAACTTGGAAAGGATCTCCCTAAATTAAATGAATTGCTTGTTAAACATTCCAAAAAGCAAATGTATAACAAAAGCTAAAATAAAAAATAAATAGCTGAGAATAAAGTGAAAATCCTGTTGCTCCCTTCTAAACTTGGGACCAAAAATTCAATTTCATTCTACTTAGAATGCAGTCCTCTGTATTTTTAATGGTCCCTTCCAAACACGGAGTACCCTGGCACACACTTATTGCCCTGTACAGCACAGATACTCCTGTCATTATCTCCATGGACTTGCCAAAGCACTTGTTTTTAATGATTATTCTGCTGCATTGACCTCCCAATTTCCTTCTACATCCACTTTTTGTGCTCAGATACCAATGTTATTTTTGTCATAATGAAGAGTTATCATGTTCATGATCTTCAACTCAATTTTTTTGAAAACAATGTCCCCAATAAACAATATGTTGGTTTTTTTGATAGAAAAAATTTCTTAAAAAGCAGTTAGTTATCACAAATATACATTTCTCTAATATGACTTTTTGACAATAAGTTTGATGTTATTTTCTGCAGCTAAACTCCGTATCACCGAAGAAGATGAAGAGGAAGTTGCACGTGATATGGAAGGTCTGATCACATTTTACTGTAAATCAAGGAACGAAAAGTACAGGACAACAAGTGGACTCATTGAACTTCTTTCTCCATTTATTACACTGAAGCTACCGTTAAGCGATGTTTATAACTGTTTCTACGCCATGCATTCAAAATACATCCCAAGGTACGTCTGTTGTTTATATAAGACATAGTGGTTGCTAGATTACATTGAAATTGCAATTATAGATAAAAAAAGAAGGGAGGTGGCCAGATTTACTGGTTGTCAATGACCTACGACAATAATTGTTACAAATGCTTTAAGCAAATTTATTCCTTAAAAGTTAGCAGTTTTAAGAGGTATTATTACAAAATTTTCTTTATTTGATTCGAATCAACTTTTGTTTGGCGGATGTGTTTTTAGTAAAGATTGCATAAACCTGCATCAGTCTGCAACCCGTTATCCTGGCAGCAGGGATTCTGTGTAATCTTACATCGACTCTGCTCCTTAACAGCAATGATGATTATGTTTGCAATGATAAAAGGTTTAATGAAACAAAAAAAACGTTTTAGAGAATTTTTGTGGGTAGATTTATTAGTTTCCACTTAGCCTCGTCATTTTGCAGTCGATAAACTGATTCTAAATGATTCTTTTTAGCTGAAATTTCGAGTGATTTGATGCTAAGTTGACCTTCATATACAGCAAGGAAATACTTAAAATCCAGGGAATTTTTTGACCTCAGACTCTATTGATGGTTTAGCTTTCTAGTTTCAAACATAATAGAATTAGTTTGTGCACTGCCATCACGCTAGGAGCCATACATCGGTTTAATTTCTGTATATTGCAATTGAATTGTGTGTGACCTGCGGCAATGTGAATCCAATTAAAACAGTCATCTTCAATAATTTGTTTAGGCCCATTCCGATACACAAATAGGACGACATATCTTATTTTGTGGACAGTTCATCGGTGTAATCGCACTGTATATACGTCTTTTATACCAAGGCGAAATGTATTAGAATATATCACCGTGCGACTTCTTTAGATTTCTGCTTTTGTTTCGCGGTCAATATTGGGTTCAACATAGGGCTTATCACCTCTTGAATGTTTAAAAAGTTTCGGTTTATGGCACAAGCTCCCATAATCACCTGCTTGCGATGAAGAAATCTCATTACAAAACCCATACCGTCTGATTCCAATGGGCGTGATTGATTCCGCAGACAGTGAGGTGGTTTGTTGTCATCTGGTGCATTGCTGTGGTTTCATTATGATCTAGTGCATTGCAATGGTTTCATTATGATCTAGTGCATTGCAATGGTTTCATTCAAATGGTCGCCATCGATCGCTACAGCTGAAGCTACTAATTTGAATCATTAGGAACTGCAATACATTAAAGCACAGACCCTTTTGTGCAATCGCAAAAAACCTTGCCAGATGAGTTGACCAAAGATTAGGCATACCCATAAAAAAAAGAGGGTGTCTTCGATGAAAACAAGCGTTGGGTCTGATTCGATCATAGATATTAAGGAGCTCGTGATGTAGAATAGCAAACGTTTGGCAGTTATTCAATCGCTTCGTTGTTCTGCAAAACACGGTCTTGGGATCAAATTAAATAATTTTCCCGAGTTCAGGGGTTCCATGGGATTATAGGGCTTAAAATATGTTCTCAACTGTCAATCAGGAGGATAATTTGATAGCCTGATGATAATATACGGGATACGGAGGGTGCGGTACCCCCTCTCCCCCCAACAAATTAAGGGGTTTTGACGGGCAAACGAAGCAATTTTTGTGCTCACCCTGTAACCTCTTTGCAATAATTGTAACGTATTAACATCTTTGTAGTAATTGAAATTTCAAAGTATGGCACCAAAGTATGAACTTTGAAATAGGAACGCATAAAAGCAGCAACACCCTTAAAGAGTGAGACACGCCCTTTTTGTCGGCAAAAATCACTTCTTTACCCCTCCAAAGAAAATTTTTGGCTTTGCCCCTGGTTCTGAAGCCATTCGTCATTAAGTATATTTCCTTTTATTCGCCCTTCTCTGTCTTGCATTAGATAATTGGTCTAACTGTTGTTTGTTATGCCTATCAAAGTACTTAAGAAACAGAACTGATCTCTATCTTAAGTTTATCTTCTTTGGTTTGTCGGTGCAGATATGTCTGTCAAGTCAACGGAATGTTATAACGGTTGCACTTATACTCGCAACCGTTCCCCAACACTCATAGCTTGAATGGAGACGAGACCAAACTCAGTTAGTCGACCTGGGTTCCTTTCGTATGGTAATTGAAAGTCCATGGTTTGGGCTTATTGACTAATAGAGTTATGAGGAGTTACCTATTTTACACTCCAATATGCCTGCACCACAATATTTTCAAATCATGTACACTCTCCCTTGAAAATGCTTCCTAGAGTCGTATTTGCCGAACATGTTGGGGACTTGTTATGTTCATTTCCCCCTATCTTTGTATTGTTACACATGTATCCTACATGTTTACTTTGTCAAGGTATCCATGCAAGTCTGCTAATAGCATTCTTTTGCCAATTTAATCCTCAGCTCCATGGCGGTTGGGAGCAAGTATAGTCAGGGATACGGCCGCTATTTAGTGGATTATTCCTCTTTGCCGCAAGCCATCCAATGCTTCTTCAAAACTTTAAATACATAGTCTCTGCTTTTAACTGAACTAAACTTTTTATTACTCTGTAAAACCTTTTTTGCTACAAAGAGTTAATCCATCTTCGCTTGCAAAAATTTTGATTAATCCAGCGTCCTTTTTTGAATTCATTAATAGAGAGTTGTTTGATTCTTAGCTTGTGGCTTTTAGGCTTGCTCCACTTACGGTTGCAAACGCATGGCGTATTGTTCCCAAAATTAAGCACACTATTAACGGCGTTTTTTCTCATTAATGCTAGTTCCGCTGCAAGCACGATGTTTTCCAAGTGTGGTACTTACGATGTACCAGGCTTCCATGCTCTTGGCAATAGAGAACTGAGGCAGTTCTGTTGTTTGTGTAATCAATACTTCTAGCTTAACAGTTCTTAGACAGATATCTTATATACACGACTCCAACTTGTGGGGCAATGGGATCGATTTCTAGATGTTTGTGAACGAGTAGAAAGCATCACAAAATCATCTTTCTTAGGCCTGGTTCACAATTTTCTCGGCCCTGGGATTTCGTTCAAATGGAGACACAGATATAAGTTATTGCTATGAGTCCAAATTAAAATGTTTGAAAACAGTTTTCAGCGATGAATCATTTACATACCCACTTATTGCTGTATCGGTTTTGGCAGCGAAAAAATTGAGGCTTTTGAAATCGCGTTAGTGTTAACAGGGTGACTTGTCGTTCACTATGGCCTGTCCCCAGTTTAAAGCGTCTCGATCTTTTTCGAGCCAAACGTTCCTGATAATATTTTGGGGATCGGTTACTTAATTAAGGTACTGCTGTTTATTTCCTAGCACGAGCTGCACTTTCATGCTTCGCCTTGCTTCAATACTAATAGAGAAAAAAGTTTGAATATCAAAACATTCCGTATTTAATTGTTTTGAAACAAAGTATCCCAGTGTATCCAATTTTTTGCTTCGTGTTATGTGGTCTTTGTCTTATTCTGTGAACAGAAAGAATTTATACTTGAGTCTTAGTTATTCACTACAGAAGAAAATCTGCGTTTAATGGTTTAATGTCACGATTGAAAGCAGTACATTCCCCCTTAACCAAAATCGTCTTGAGATCATTTATATTAGATTTATCCTTGTCACCAAAAGGCGCCTAGCATGCTTTCAGTATATTACGGTTCCTTTTATCGTCTTTTGTAAACGCGTGCTTTAATTTGTATTGATATCGATGGGATGCTTGATGCATCGTTTGTTACTGTATGGAGAACGATGGCTTATGCAACATTGCTGGATGCGTATCCAGACGCATTATGCTCGCTCGAGTACATCCATGACTCGTGACACAGAAACAGTAGCCCGGGAACCTCTTGATACTTCTGTTTTAATTTCCAACCATATATTACACAAATGAGAATATTTCAAAGAGTTGATTCGTGCCACTATTCCAAATTAATTTTATAGGTCACTGTAATGTCATTTAAATCTTCCTTCCGTTAAACAACATATCCATATATCTAGGCTTCTTTCCCTGTTATTCTTGCCAAGCAATATGTTTATGTATATTATTTTTATTATAAATATCCCAATTATTTTAGGTGTATGATATCTCCATTTTGTATTTTTGATTTTGCACTGTCAGCTAATATATTCAGAATAGCTGCAGCAAGCGTCCATCTTCGTAGGGGCAATGCAGTTTTGATTTCTAATTTTCTTTTCTGTTGTGACCCATGCTATGGTACGGAATGGTTGCAAAAACGATTTTCGAGCAAACTTTGGAAAAATAGTATTTATTTGACTTGAAGCTATTAGAGATTTATTGCTCCAAATTCTCTAAAAATTCTATTCTATCGATAATTTCGGGTTGATCCGTGAGGGTCTCTCGGGGTAGGGGGTACTTGTTCCCGTGTTCCCTTTGAAAGAAAACAACGAATGTTTCTATATTCCCTTTGAAAAATAAAGAAAACGTTCACTTGTTCCCTAACACTAGTAATAACGTTCCCATGTTCCCAGTGGAAAATTTAATTTGTTCCGGTGTTCCTGTACCATTTGTTGCCATGTTCCCTTGTTCCCGAAAGCCCCTGGGAGATGCGTGTACAGAAGTCAATGCCGCCTCATAAATATGATTTTTTATTCCAGGGAGTGCTATCGAGATGGGAAGCCATTCAGCCTGTTCAGGCAGATTCTCCAGTATCATGATCCTTTGCTCTGCTCTTTTTTGGATTCGAGAAAGATCCCGCCTGACTTGTATGGACAGAAATGGGTAAGTTGTGTTATGCTCCGTCGTAATAATGAGGCATTCGTTGTGAGAACCGACGTATTACAATATATGATATAAATATCGGGTAGAAAGATTTAATTTGCAAATTATGGAGATTCATTTTATTTGAATGATCAATCTCCTTCACGTTTCTTCTGTTTTGTCATTTCGTAGATGTTTTTTGCAAATCTTTGAGTAACCACTTACGAACTCATCAATCATCTAGGGTTTCATCCAATGGATTGTTGTTGCCTTTTCAGTCTATGAGAAGTTCCTAGAAGGAAAATCTGCTAAATATGCTCTATACTGAATTTTTATGCATCTCTATTTTGCTTTAACCGTCCAGTTTTATATACAAAGGCGTGTACAGCACTGCCTGTACGGCATCGATTACGTTATGATAGACCGGTCATTTTCATTATTATTACCTCATCATTTAAACACGAAGCCACTGTACTTTCCAGCGAAACATGCCTTGTCAAATTTAACTACTCAAAAAACCTTTTTATATACGTATGAACCTATTTTTGTAGATGTTTTAATATCTTCCAAGAGAATCCACCTCAAGTATTTTAACCTTCATATTCTTAAAATTACCAAAACGGTTACGGTGCCATTATGTGATTTTGGAGGCAAGTAACAATATTTCGACCTAATGCTTTTCAAGCATGTTTATCACTTTTTGCAAATTGTTCGGAAGCAGAGCTTCGTATATTTTAATGCGAAGTTTTTGCAAGTCACCAAAAGACAATTTCTATTTCTAGTTATTAGTATCGTCCGCGTTCTGCTATCGCTAGAGAGCATTCCAGTCATGACTTGCATTGTCACGAGATCTCTGTAACTTGCTTTGAGCCTGGTCCTTTCAGGCTTATATAACTATTAGCTTTGCAAGTTTTAGATACCAAAATATCTTATGTTAGAGAACACCACCACAATGATGGACCAAGTTGTCAACTAGGCCCGAACAAAACGCCACCATTTTGTTTTCTCTTTGTTCAAGGCATGGTACTAATCAGCTATTTTGTTCCATAAAATACATAAAAACGTCCATGACTTCAAATTGTATCAAGACACCGGCTGTCTCTGCCTGTCATTATAATATTCAAGATAACTGCCTCTCTCTAACTGCCCCTTCTCTCTAACACGTGTTTCAGAACGTTTATCAAACCATATCCGCGAGAGCAGTACATCAAATTTATGTTCTCACGTAGCAATAAAATCGATCAATTACAGCTCCATCAACTTAATTAAAGCCTTTCTGCTGCCTTTTGCTGCTAGCGGAGATCGAGAAGCTAGTTACTGCTGTCAAACGATAATTTTGGTAAGATGTTGTTCCATCGAGATCACGAAGTATTCAATGCCAAACATGACTGAAATTTTTATGGATATTGTCACTGCTACTGTCTTTGTTTGTAGAAAGTTTGGAATTTTCTCATTTATTGCCCAAGGCTTCTTAATCTTTTTTACGACCTTCTTTCATAGTAACGCACAACAACTTAGCTATTCATATATCATATAATTATTAAAAATTTCTTTATAGTTGGCAAAAAATTGGCAAATACCATTTTAAATAATCACAAATTAGCTTTATCTTTGATTAAAAGTTTTTTATATCTGTAGACGCAAGAGTTACAATTCCAAAGCTTATATTTCGTTTAAATTCAAACATTGGCATTTAGACTTGATAAATCCAGTAGCTACCTGATTTGAATACTTTCAATGCCCTATGTTTTTGGCTCTGGTTTTGGCAATTGTTGATGATTTTCGCTCCACGATCTACACTTTAACGATTCACATTCTTTTGCTTTTTCAATCTTTAGCCTTTCAGAATATAATGATACATTGTCATGATTTTTCTTTTTATCATTTCTGTTCCACTTTCTTTGCATATATGTCGTATTGGTCCTTGTTGGACATGGTTTAAGAAACATCACGTTGGGCGAAATGTTGGATTGTTTGACCACCATCGTCATTTTCGTTGTGGGATGAAATTTGACTGAGTTCAAAAATTTTGGCTGCGGTCATCCAACAATTCTATTGTTTTGAATTTTTGGGCGAACTATTGGGTCGTTTGACCATCCAGCCAACGTTTTTGTTAGCTCTGCGCACGCGCAGTTGGTTAAAGAGCGCCAAATTCAATCATCGCATTGGTGTTGTTTTCTCGGGCTGGTTTCGTTCGTTGCAACAATCGCATTTGCTTACAATCAACCACACTTTAATTATAAACTTTATAATGAAATTATGTTCCCAAGAAAAGGCATGAAGCGTCAATGAAGAGCCTGTAGCACAGAGGAGCTACAAGAAAGCGCAGGGGGGTAAATTTAGGCCATGGCCTTGATAGGGGATGCGACGCTCGTCCTGAAAGTCCGCGATGACAGTGAAAATATCTGAAGAGAAAATAAAAAGAGAAGGCGGTGATTGCCTTCCTCTTTTTCGGATCAAAATATCGCGAAACTTGCAGTCTTTAGCGCGACCCTCTACCCAGTCCTTTTTCAATCTGCGCGAGAAAATGTTGGGTGAAATGTTTGATCGTTTGACAATCAATGTTGGATCACATTCCAACATAAATGAGAAATTTTGGACGAAATGTTGGGTGAAACGTTAGATCGTTTGACCAGGGCTTAGACCCCAGCCTGAAATATCCAAACGAGAGGGCAATAATCTTACTGAGGTTTAATGAAAAATTGGTCTCTTTGATAAGTTCAGCGTAATTGCATAAGCGAGCAAGTACATCGAACCTTCTGCTGGCTTTTTGTTCTTCTTTAAGTTTAAGCTTTACTTTCTATCAAATTTGTTTAAGTTATCACCATTTAGTTTGAATTGATTTTCATCAGAAAACCTTTTCGCTATCAGTGTAATCTCCTTCAAAATGTCTTATAATAGTATCAAGATTCAGATGGCATCATCAAGAAGCAAGAAAGTAGCACTAATAAAAGAATTAAACAGTAAAGGCTACAGGATTGATTCCTTTTGGCACTCAATATTTTCACTTCTTTTCAGTCACAGACTTTTCTTTCGCTGGTTTCTTTCACAAGCTCTCGGTCATAATCATTGATGCCTCCAATTTTATTTGCAGGCGCAATAAGAAATCTTCAACTAATCCTAATCCAATCTTATATTGAAGTTTCTTATTGTAGCGGAGAAGATAAAATGAAGCTTAAAAATTTAAAACAAATAATCAAGATAGTTAGTAGAACAGATGGACCGATGAGCCAAATGATTTATAGTTATTTTTAACTATGATATTTTCTTTAAATAAGTGTATGACTATTCTCTTTTCAGCTGCGAAGCCTGTTTGCGTCAGTTTGTGATTCTGATGTCATTCAAGCAATGTGGGACGCCTATCTCCTAGATGGAGACTCGTTCTTTGTTTTCTTCTTAATGCTCGTTATGGTCTTAAATGCCAAGTAAGTAAACCATATATTTTTCGTAATAGCCGCTCAAGAAAATAGCATAAATTTTAAGTTGACGGACCCTTGAGATATTTGGAAATCCCAGGTTCTTCAAATGCTTATAATTTCCACTCGATATCTGGAGCTTAACATTCTAGACAGATGTCAACTTTCTGAGTGTAGGCACTTCAGTTGTCAATTCTAGCCAACCTTTCATACAGAGCTGCAAAAAACATTTTCTTTTCTGGGAACTTGAGAAACAGGAAAAAAAAATTTTCTGCGAGGTGAAAGTATTGTGTACAATAGCTCTACCAATAATACGCACAAATGTCCCACACGGTATTCTAATTTATTGGGTCTAGAGAAAGTTGCCCATAAAATATCACAATTTGGTTGATTATTGCATCTTTTTATCTTTGGCAAAGATTGACAGTGCGAAAAAAGCAAAAGTGATTAGTGAACCAAATGGCAATATGTTTATTGACAATTGTCCGGTGGTTTGGAAAGGTAATAGATGCCAACTTCAGGGAAGATGAATCTAGTTAAAATCGACTCCACTTATGCTTGAAGTCACACTACCTGTTACAGTCAAATAAAGTTTAAACCCAAATATGCAAAATCATTCAATTTAGCTCTGCTTACAGTCACACTTTGTTTACAGTCATGAATTTTGAAGCAACATTTGTTTAAGTGTAACCACAGTCTACTGTACCTGTTTATACTTATCAGCCAGCTTTTTTGGCCTTGCATTACATTTGATGGGTACACATGTCAAAAAGATAGTTTTTATTAATAAATGGTGACGTCACAATATTCAAAGGAGAAATATGATCTGAAAGAACATAAGGATGCAATTCAATACCAATCAAAAAGTTTGCCAAGTCTCCCGAGAATTCATTCAAGACTCACTGAACAGCACTTTTTAAAGCACATAAATTGGCTACTTTAGCACAGTTTGGATTCCTCATCTCACTTGATGAAGCTTTACTAATAGCCCTGAACATGACCTCTCGAAGCTTGTTCAAAATTTACTGATTCCCTGCTCACGTTCTAAACTCATCTGATCAAAAGTTAAACGTATCTTGGTATCTTTAGTGATTAATGTTGATAGATACTCCAAGATACATTGCGAGAGCCTATCTAGTAACTTTTGTCATCCCTCTATGTTTTTAAAAGAAAGTTACACCAACGATAGCTTTAAGTGCAGACTTGCGAGATCCCTTCTTATACAATAGCTTTACCTCATTTCTTTTTTAAAATATCTTTAAACTGTAGGTACATAATTACCCCAAATTTTTTTTATTAAACCCAATTTATTGATGTGTTCATTTTGAAGATGAGTTGACATGCTGGTCATCTAAAACTGCGAGGAATGTGGTTATCGTACAATTAAAGAAAATGAGAAGAATAGGGGAAATGGGACTGTTGATTTGAGCCTCGATTACTTATGTTTTTGAGCTGTGGAGTGGATATTAAATAAGGGGGCGGGGTGCGTACTAGCAATGTTATTTACATTTGTCATTCAAGCAGCTTGGATTTTTATTAAGTACCAGTTGCGATGATGTCATAACTTCTTTCAAACTTTTCTTCAGGGAACGAATTTTAGAAATGTCCAAGAAAAACAAATCAGCTATAATAGGTGAGTTATATTTTACGTTAGTTGATTTAAACAGGCAAGGATTTTGCATTTTCCTGGCTTCAAATTTAGTGCCCTCTTGGATGCAGTGAATCCCCGAAGCAGCTCTCTTGGATGCAGTTAAACAGAATATCAAGAATGTATAGGTTGTGTTTCACGGTTATGCACCGTCAGCGTTACGCTCCACCCTGACAAATGATAAGGTTTTTATTTTCAAAGTCATTTTCCCCTGACCCTTTTTTGAAACAAGATACCACTATTTCCGGATACCACTAGCCCGGTTCATTGTTAGGGTGCACCTTTTAGATTTGTACCTAATAGACCGTCTCGGAGTTCGCGACGCCAAGACATAAGTGGGGCAAAAACCTTTTTGAAATAAAATGGCGGCTTATATCATCGAAATTTGTTAATTCCTCTGTAGTTCAAACAAGGTCCATTGTTAATCAACGAAATCCAGATTTTCATTCTAAAAGTATTTTTCTTTATTCTAAAAAAGTTTCACAACCAAAAGGTTGAAGGAGCAGCCTCTATTAGCCTTGAATTCTTCGCTGGTTTGCCCCACCTGAGCAATTATAATATGCACTTTGGCAGAAGATTATATAGATTTTTAGGGATCTAGAATTTCTTTGAAATCCAAAATTGTACTGCCATTTCTTTTGAGGGCGGTTTTGAAGGTAGCGAAGAGAGGTGAATTGAAGCCGGAATCGCGCTCAACGGAGGAAAATGTATTCTACACGGGGGGAGGGGGGGGAGGTGACTGTGCTCTCTCTACGGAAATCATTGTGCAAAAGAGATCTAAAAAAGAAACTTAGGGAATTAGGCCTTGAGCTGGGTTCCTTTTGAACAAATTATGTATTTTGAAAAAAAACTAAGGTCGTCATATTTTGTACGTTAATCATGAGTATTTGACGATTTCTTGGTAAATACTGCTTTTGGCTCTTAGTGTGTTGCTCTTGCATTTTTTTGTAGATATGATTACTGCGTTCCCGCAAGACCTCGGAGCCGATGACATTGAAGACTTTTGCATCCTTGCGAGGTACTATTCCACTCGGACGCCCCAGTCTTTCAGAAAGGTATGTAACTATGTTCAATTATGAAAGCATCGATCTGATAACGGCTCTGCCTTGACGGTTACGGATGTTTTAGGTAGCATCGAATGTGCAACATCTACTTGCACGACGGTAACGTGGCAGAAATATAACGGAAACCCTAAACTCTCGACACTCTTGATGTCCGCCGTTGATCATTTATTAGTCTATTTTAGATGTACGGCTTTTGCAATGATCGAAGGAGTACAACTTGTACAACTTGATACATTTCCAAGACGAACTAGCATTTGTCTGAAGATCCGCTGGATTTTAAAATTTTGCATTATATCAATTTAAAAACAGTTATAATTATATGTTGAACAATAATTATCTTTTGTTATATTGATTCGTATCTACATCCGCTTCCTGTTCCGCAAAAGCGGTTATACATCATGTGACTGTAATGAGCAGAGTGTCTCGCTTGCTGAAGTTGTGTTCGCTATTATTATTGAGTTTTGTTATGTTGTCAGATATACACTCGTGATTTCTTTACGCTATTTCTGCGAAACTCGACATAACTTTAAATTAACAGGTTATGGGCCCAGACACTTTTCATAAGTTTTTTCGTCTGTACATGGCTTAGATATTTGCTCCGTACATAAATAAATCAGAGGAAGTCTGTTGGAATATTTCGCTGTAATCATGGCAGCCGAAGACACTGGTTTTAAAGTTGAAAAACTGAATGGAGAGAACTATCATAGCTGGAAGTTCCAAATGAAAATGTACCTTATCGGAAAAGATTTATGGGAATTAGTTACGGGAGAAGAAACCCTGAATGCCGCAGCAAATCCTGAACAGCAAAGGAGATTTCGAAAGAGGGAAAATGTGGCCCTCGCGACAGTGTGCCTGTCTGTTGAAACAAGTTTACAAATTTATGTTCGATCTGCTAAGAATGCTAAAGAAGCTTGGGACAATCTTGAACAACATTTTGAACGAAAATCGCTATCACAAAAAATATTCTACCGCAGGAAGCTATATTCTGCACGAATGGGAAAAGGAGCGAAAATGATCGACCATATAAATTATATTAAAACACTTGCCGAGCATTTGGAAGCAGTGGATGACGAAATAGCTGAAAAAGATTTGGTTATCATTTTAATAAGCAGTCTACCTGAGGAATACAATTATTTGATCACTGCTCTAGAAACAATTGCTGAAGAGAAATTGAGTTGGAACTATGTTCGTGACAGATTAATTCACGAATATGATAAAATGCAGGGCGGAAGTGAAGGGACAGTGAGTACTCCAAAAGCTGAGGCGTGCCAAGATGCATTATTTACAAAGAAATTAACAGAACACAAGAAAATAAATAATTGCAAGAAATTTCAATGCCATTATTGCAAAAAGCCCGGACACTTTGCCAGGGATTGCTTTAAAAAGAAAGCTGATGCAAAAAATAACCCCAAGAACGTATCAGCAAGTATGGCAGAAACAAAACAAGAAAATGGCAAGGTAAATGAAGAAACAGCAACTGAGATTGCGTTAGCTGTGGGTAATACTCCATCAGATAAAGATGACTGGTGGATAGACTCGGGGGCATCACAGCACATGACCCCTGTTAAAAAGGGGATGTATGGATATACACCATTCAAGAAACCAATAGAAGTGAAGCTTGCTGATGATACTGTAATTTTTGCTTATGGAAAAGGGGAATTGCAGCTTGTTTTGTATGATGGCAAAGACAAGGTGAATGCAACCCTGAAAGATGTACTTTACGTACCAAAAATACAGAAAAACTTGCTATCTTTGCCTTCTATCACTGACAAAGATGCAGAAGTGCAGTTCAAAGGTCAACATTGCAAGATAATCATCAATGGCAATGTATACAGTATTGGCCACAAGCATGGAAAACTGTATAAATTGAATGTAGATCCCGAGCAATCATGCTGTTTTGGATCAACTGTTGCAAATGATGACAATGCACTTTGGCATTATCGCTATGGACACCTTGGTTATGACAACCTGAAGCTGCTGCACAACAAATCTATGGTAGATGGGCTGAGCTGGAAACCAAATGAGCAAACTGATAGAAAATGTGAAGGCTGTGCCTATGGGAAACAAAGTCGCCAACCATTTTCAAAGAACTTTTCACAGAAGAATACTCAGCCTTTAGAACTCATACACAGTGATGTGTGTGGTCCCATGAATGTCACTTCAGTGGGAGGTTCAAGGTATTTTGTCACCTTCATAGATGACTGTACTCACTACACTACTGTGTACATGCTAAAGAAGAAGAGTGAAGTACTGGATAAATTTAAAGAATTTGTTGAGTCATCTGAAAGACTGATTGGAAAACAAGTAAAGAAGCTTAGATCAGATAATGGAGGCGAATACATTTCAGAAGAATTTGCTGAATATTGCAAAAGTCGTGGAATACTGCACGAAGTCACGGTTCCCTACACACCACAGCAGAATGGCGTTGCTGAACGCATGAACCGAACAATCATAGAAACTGTAAGGTCAATGCTACATCATGGTAATCTTCCATTGAGTTTTTGGGCAGAGGCTGTGTCTACAGCAAATTACATCAGAAACAGAAGCCCAACATCATGTTTGAAAGAGAAAACACCACATGAGTGCTGGTATGATGAGAAACCTGATGTAAGCCATTTCAAAGTATTTGGCTGTAATGCTTTTGTCCATGTGCCAGACCAAAAAAGAAGCAAACTGGACAAAAAGTCTATGCATTGTATCTTTGTTGGTTACCCTTTTGGCTGTAAAGGATACAAGTTGTACAATCCTGAAACAAAGCAGATGATAAGAAGTCGTGATGTCATATTTCTGGAGAATTCCTTCGAACACAAACTGTTTGACAATGAAAAGGGATTAACAGAACTGTTAACTACTGACAAGAAAGATTTATCGTCTGATGCTTTGCATTTCAAGGCCGTACAAGATGCCAACAAGAGTAAAGATAATGAAGAACTTGCAGAGAATCAAGAAGAAGAAAATGCTGTACCAGAAGAACTGCATCAAAGACCTCAAAGAAACAGAGTTGCTCCTGAAAGATTAGGAAGTATAACGGGTGAATGGTGGCAACATGAAGATTTGGACTGTGCAAATATTGCAGTGCAGGACAGTGAAGAGCCTAAAAGTCTACAAGAAGCATTGAACAGTAAATTCGCAACACAGTGGAAGGACGCCATTGACAGTGAATATGAATCATTAACCAAGAACAACACTTGGGAGCTAGTTGATTTACGACCTGACAAGAATGCTGTTGGCTGCAAATGGATTTTTAAGATCAAGAGGATTGCAGATATCCTTACTAAAGCGCTGCCTAAAGAAAAGTTTGAAAAATTGCGAAACTTGATGGGTCTTAGATTAAAGGACTAAGAGAAGATACTCATCAAGGGGGACTGTTGAACAATAATTATCTTTTGTTATATTGATTCGTATCTACATCCGC